TATTTGGAGGAATTATTAAGAGATTGAAGTTGAATAAAGGAATAGTAAAATATATAATTGGCGGTTTAGGATAATTTTACTTAGGAAAGTCCTCTATTTGTAAATGGGGTATACCTAAGAAACTATTATTAATATAACCGCTACTAGGGTTAGGTAATAAGTTATCCTTTATAATATTACGTATACCGTTAGCATTTATAATAATAATAGGAGGAATAAAGTTATAATTTATATAAAAATTGTTATAGTTATTTAATTTAGTAATAATAATTATAATTTTAATCGCGAGGGTATTATAAAGGTATATATTTGTAATAGTACTATTTAGTATCATATTTTTACATTCGTTTTTACTTTTACCCTCGTCGATCCGCTCGTAGTAATATTAGCGCCCGTCCTTATTATTGGTTCGATTATTAGCGTACCCTTTATTCTTACCCCCTTTCGTAGTATAATTAATCCTTTTATAATTGCTACGTTGTAATTATTGTATGCATTTATTACCTTTAAGTTTGGTATAGGGAGGAAGAGTATAATTAATACGATATTGGAGGAGATCAATAAATTTAATAAATAAGATTACGAGTGAGAGGTACGTAGGGAATATAAATTCTACGGTATTACGTATTATAAATTCTTTTAAATATAGAAGTATAATACTAGGTATAGTTATAGGAATCATAATAAGGGAATTAATTATTAAATATATTATTTCGTTAATAGTAGTAAAATATATTATAATTTCTTTATTAAAGACGCGGGTAAGTAGGTAGAAGCTATTACAGTTAGGTATATTATTATACGAAATCCTTTTATTTCATTATTTAAAGGATAATTATAGTAGAGACCATTATAATTAATATTAATTCGAATAGCGGGAAACGTAGCGGTAATAGTAATATTAGTATAGAATCTGTTAATAGTTGTTTATAAGTAATATTGAGAAAGGAGGAGAGGCTATTAGTATTCTATTTATACCCCTTATATTAGTTATATTTATATCCGCTATATTAGTTAATATATTACCCTCTATATGGTTATTTTTATTATTTAGTTCTCCCGCCGCCTCTTTTTCTTTCTTTTATTATAGTTACTTCTATTATTATTATACCGGTATTAGGTATTGTAGTAACCCTGTTTAGCGCAGCTTTAAATGCGCCGTTTGATTATTGGATTATTGTATTCTATAATTACTTTATTGATTGCGATATGTTAGTTGCTAGATGTAATCTTCTTCTACCTTCGTTTATTGTATTTATACGGGTATTTTCTTTTTTATTCTTAATTGTATTTCTAATATTTCTATTAGTTATACTACCCTTTGTTGCTGATGAGGATGAGTTAATATAGCCGTAGTCCCTTCTAATTCTTTCTTCCCCACTACTGCCCCTACTACGTAATTATACTTTAAGTGAGTTTATTATAGAGTTTTTTAAGATTTTTTTTTGGGAGTATTGTTTTGGGAGGCCTTTGGTAGTAGTGTAGGCGTTGCGGGCTTTAATTATATTGTAGGAGGTATTTAGAGGATTAGACGGTCCTGTTAGGGATATTATAGCATTTAGAGATTAGTTAGTCGAGTAGTTTATAAAATTGAGTTTTATAATAGAGTTTTATATTTCGTTAAAGAGTGGTATTAAGACTTTCCTTGAGTAGGAGTAGTTAGTAATTGTTTAAGTAGGTAGCTTTTATGGTATGCGTTCTACTTTCTAGTTGATAGATTTAGTTAATTATTATTATTATATATTAGATTCCTAGTACGGCTTTATAGTACGATTGACTAATATTATTGCCTTTAAGCTTAGCGTTGTGAGAGTATTTACTTTTTTGGCGGGTAGTATTATTATTAGCGGTTATAGTATACGAGACGAGTTATAGTGAAAGAGGTGGATTATTTTGGTTATAAGGGGGGATTTTGTATACTTTTAGTACTTTTATATATATTTTTTATTATTATATAGATAAATGCTGGTATTTTATTTGGTATTTTTGGCATTTCTAGTATTTTTGGCACTTTTAGCACCCTTTTTTATTATTATATGGATAAATGTACTTTTGGTATTTTTGGTATTTTTGGTATTTTTGGTACTAGATTATAATATAAATTATATATCATTCCCTATATTATTTAGTTACCTTCCTTATTTACTTTCGCTTAGGAATATTACTAGTTTTTTTGAACATTTTTAGTTAGTTAGTATATAGAATCGTATAGTTTTTATTAATATTATTAATACCTTCTATAATTAATTTGGCGTTTTTGAAGTAGTTATAGATTTATTGTATTTTGTGCCTAATATTTTTAGTAGTTCGATAGAGGAAGATAGGGAAGTTTTTGTTAGCTATCCTATCGCTACTTTTGTTGTTATATACCTTCTTTATATGCTTTTTGAAATTGTTAAAGTACGCTTCGATTAGGTTGAATTTTAGGGAGTATAGCGGTAAATATTAGAGTAATATACCCGTACTTGTATACGTATAGTAGAATTTATTATATAGATATTAATTCGCGTTATTTATTATTAGAATATTGTTGCGATTAGGAAATGGATTTATTATAGGGAGGAGGCTGTGATGGCATTTGTGGGATGCATCTGTCATTACAACTATATAAGACCACTTGAGCGACCGAATTGCCAGCTTCGGTTACTTGTACCCTTTTGCGGGGACACGGGCTGGTTAGTATAGTGGTCTGCCACCACCGTGACAGAGGCAATCTTTTAATTATTTGATAAACTTTAGGGTACTTGTTTGTCTTTTAAATATTAGTATTTCGACTACGCTGTTAACTAATATAATTAGGAGAATATAATACCGTTTATTGCGTTTAAAGCGGTTCAATATTATTGCGATAGTATTACGGGGAATTTAGTTAGTATAATAAATTCTATTGTATCGGTTTATATTAGATTTATTGTAAAAAATCAATATTTTTATAGTAAATAACGATATTTTTATTATTTACTTTGCTATTAGTTAGGGCTTTTGTTGTGTCGTTTTGAATATTAGTTTCTTTTTCTTTTAGTATTCTTAATATAGATAGCGCTGTACGGTTTCGGTCGATACGTATACGTTGTATTCGTTGGCTAAGAAGGTATAGATTTCGTTGAAGTATAGGGATGGTTTTAATATTAATAGTTTTATGATTTCCTTTATGATGTTAGTTATAGTATAGTAATTACGAACGGTTGCTATAGTTACGAATATATTTCTATAGCCTATATAAGAAGCTTCCTAGAATTTTAAAACGTTCAAGAAGGTAGTACTAGTTTATTAATAATGTTGAAGTTGTGTTTATATCGATATATTGTACGTTTGTAAACGCTAGCGGTTATAGCGATATTTTTAATAGGTTCGTCGTTATAGAGTATTAAATTCACGACGGCTCGCTGGTTCGAGTTGGGAAAGTTTACTATATTGTATTGGCTATAATAATAGTAAAGATAAAAGAAACGCTAGATAAAACGATGGGTAATGTGCTAGCATTGAAATGCCAGCTTTTTGGTGTAGATTTCAATAGTTTACGATGCGATGCGGTTGATTTGTGTTGATTAAAACGGTTAAATTTGGTCAATCTGTCAAAATCCGTTGGAAAGTCGGTGTTGTGGCCAGTTTAATACAATTAGCGCGCTAAGACTGACAAGGCGTTTGAGTGTGGGAACGGTGAACGCAGTCTCAAGGCTACCCGTCTTGTGCGGGGGTGGGTGTTCAGTGTGATAGCTCAAGGTGGGTTAGTCGATGCGGCTGAACAAAGTGAGAACGTGCCCGTGTTGTTAGGCCAAGAAGCTAAAATAGAAACACTTGCGTTCAGGTATTGTAATTCCTCTCGTGGTGGCAGATGAACTGGCCGCCAAAGGACATCAGCGCCAAACCGAATCAAGGAGAATATCCGATACTGGAAAGCCATGCGATTTTTGAGGATATTGGGCAGGGAGTCGCGCCATGTTTGCGTAGGAAGGTAGGATAGCAGTAACAGCAGAATGCAAAACAGGAAGTACTGGAAGCAGTCAGACGGTGTAAGTCCGATGAAGCCTCGCACCACACTCTGCTGACGATGATGCCGGCCAGTGTCTGGAAAGACTGCATACCTACAGTCGGCCGGTCGGCAAACTGAGGGATCCGTGCGCGGAGTCAGGTCATATTACCGATGAAGAAATGGCCTTGATGCAGGGTGACCATCTCCCTTTTCGGAGAGAAGTCGCGCGGGGACTATAAACCCGGGGTACGTCCGCCACCAAGCTGTCAGATTCAGCCTTCGATAGTTGTGACGAGTGTGCATTATGCCCTGCATAGCAATCCCATGTGTCATCAAAGAGAGTGCCGTTGTCGGATACGAGTTTTCCGGGCAACAACGCATCGCGGTGTAAACGTGCCCGGGATGACTGATGGACTTGCTGATATAGGCATCCGAAAGGAGATAGGATAACTCTGTGTAATAGGTTGCTTGGTGATAAGACAATGGAGTTGGCTCATGGCATTAGAGTTCAGACCCATTCTATAGTGTCAGGTCATGCCAGAGAAGGACGTTTTGCGGGGGCGTGATGGTTGTTCGGTCTTGATAAGAAATGCTGGATGTAATAGGGCCGAAGGAGGCTTGTAAAAAGGGTGTGGGTTACACTCGACGGCCGACGCCCAACTCCCATTTTGGAGGATGATGGCATGTCGTTCACGATCCCAAGTCCAAGGTTCAGGATATTGTATTGATGGGCCTCTTGTCCCAAAGCACGGACTTTGACCAAAAATAGGAAGAGTGGTACAGAAGCCGTGAGGAAGGGAATTCATTGGCTCCTGAATTCACCCCGGAGATTTCTCTTTGCTTTTGGGAAAATGGCAAGATGCTGATTCTGCAGGGCTGGGCCCTCGTGATGGAGATGTTGACTTGACCGCCTTGTGGGTGGGCTGAAAATGCGAATCGTATGCAGTTGACTACCCGAGATCTTGCAGTTGATTCTCTTGCGGCGTCAGTTCTTGGTGATGAAGAGGGCCCTGATGACAGTTCGGACTTATTTACCACCGAGGCTGACATTGAAGAGCATTACCTCTCTGGAGCCTTGTGAAGCCTTGATGCGCTTCTTTCCCCTAGAGGCAGTCAAAAGCGAGATATCGACAAGAAGAAGACGCCCCTTAGCTTGGCAGGTGAAGTAACAGCCCAGCTGAGAGTTGGTGATGGCGGGGTTGTCCGGGCAGCTCGAGCCGCCGAACTTGTCTTTGGAGTCGCATTTTTCAGTAATTATCGATCGGCTGAGCTTTGGTTGCGCTCTGGGGTATCATTATTCTGTGAAATTGGACGAGGAGGATAAGCGTCAGTCGAGCTATAGCACAGATATCACAGTCGCCAGGATGAAAGTGATGATAGTTGTAGAGAGGAAAACAGCGAGCTCGATGTACCTTGGAGTTTGCGGATCCACCCACTTCATGACATGGTGGGGCCGAGAGGGATGTAACCCTAACCCCTGCTGACCAAGGCCACACCATTCTGATCCAGTCTTGTCTTTTTTGACTCTCGACACACACGGTGACAACAAGAAGGTGTGGCAGACAGCATCTAGCGGCCAATTCTCGTCGGTGAGGTCCGCGGCTTGCTCCGGTCCGAGGTTTCATCGCGGGCTCGTTTGGTCGACGTTAAAGCTTTTCGATGGTTTTCAGCTCTTTCCGGAAGCAATAGTCAGTCACAAATCGAGAGGAACAGGCGACACACCTTTTGGTGACTCCATCTCGAGGAGGATGGCATCAGGAACCAGGACAACCAACAAGATGATGGCGAAGAGCGAGATGGCGTTGCGCCAATGCCCTCTTTATCACAACAGGAGTGTCATTGTCTGTCATAGGTTGATGTTCCGAACAGACTTCTCTTGATCATGGGCGAAAAGTCGACGAAAATCGAAGCCCGGGACGGCACATGAACAGGAAGTGCAGAAATTTCAGGATTGGGGGAGACACCGCTGCAGTCTGCAAGGTACCCGGTACCTTCCTTGTCTTGATGGGAGAATCACGGTGTGAACGAATGAAGAAAGACACTTTGGGAACGAGCAAACGCCTCTCGACCGATCGGTCAATGGGCAAGAGGTTGAACTGTGGTCACAGGGCATGAAGCCCGGCTCCTTCTCTGCTTCCTTCCACTGTCTAGGAATTGGAAATATCCGAGACAGCCAAGACAATCTGATGGGCTGGGCTTTTCGCTGAGCCGAGACACTCACACCGACCAACACCAACCTTCTTCACATTCATCAACATCACCAGATCCATCATCAATCAGCAACTCTGCGCCACAAGCAGCTTTCGGCTTTACAATGGCGGCACAAGGCCAAACAGCGAGGACCATTGTGTTTCCATACTCATGGCATCATGGTTAGCCATCCCGATGCTGGGAATGCGCACATTGGCTCCTTGTTCCAGAGGGCTTCGTGTGGCTTGTGGTGGCACTCTGGAAAGGCTGACCCGGCCAAGTCTTCTCAGATATCTTGATGCAACTCGCCATTGACCTTTCTTTTTCTTTTGCAGGGTTCTGGTCAGGGTCCGAACTGATCGTAGACGGCTGACTTTTCGAGGACAGGATTGGTCACTACTAGTACCTTACCTACCCTTTCTTCCCATTGCATACATACTGTAGAGGCAGCAACCTCCATTCACCATTTATCACACTCATACAACTCAACCAGGGTGATACGAGTCGACAAGTCGCGAAATCGGTAGCTGGGTAGACTCAAACTGGTCCCTGGATAGACTTATCGCTGAGTAAGCCCAGCCGCCCAGCCAGCCGCCCAGCCCAGCCCAGTATACCGTGTGCAGCGTATATATCGCTACCTAACCGCCGCTACTGTCGCGCTATCTATTAGCGGTAGTTAATTTTATATAATTGAATAAAGCTATTGCGAGACTTTACTTTGGTATTGAACAACTGTTTGTAACGATTATTCCTCGTCTTTATTATTATTTAATATAGTATCCTTAACCTCGTAATATTTATTAATATACTGCCCGCCCGCCCTCCGCACGTTGCGTATTCGTTTAGTAAATTAAATTTCTAGCCTAGCTGATTAAAATAACTAGCACTAATAGGATTTAATTAGAATTGCTAGTAAAATGCCTTCAAATTCGAAAAGTCTATTTCGAATAATTATTCCCGATAGGAGTACGACCCCTATTACCGAAATCCAATCGCTATTAATCCGCCGTCCCCGTAAAGAGCGAATAAGAACGCGGTTACTACAATCCCTTAACGAACGCGCTATTATTAAATAACGAATTCCCTTTCCTTCGCTTTTACCCTTACTAATCCGACGACGAGCGAGATTACTATTTACTTTGTCAGGTTACAATAATAAAGTCGCTACGTTCGATACTTTATAAGAATACGCTATATAATAAAATTTTATAATTTAATTATACGGTAATATAAAGAGTAAGAAGAGAGGAGAAGAATAGCTCGTTGTACGTATTAATTACCATTATATATATAGTTGTATTTATAAGGGTAATACCGGGTAAAGTATTCGAAATACTATTTTACGTTAATTCGATTATTTTTACTAAATAAAGGTCGTATTAAAAAAAGGTAAGGTAATTAATAATTTACTAAAGAAATTAATAATAATTATAATTACGACGTCAATATTATTAACTTCGCTAATAATATTATTTATCGATAATAAATCCGTCGCTATTATAAAGAGGCTATTAATATTACTATCGAAAGGTTATTTAATATTGCTAAAATAAATTCTCGTGAAATTATTTATTATTTACGCGGTACTTTAGATCCTAAAGTCGAAGTAAAAAAAGTTATTTCTATTTAATGTACTAATAGTAATAATTTAATATTAAAATTACGTAATTTTCGAATCCTTATTATTACTTAAGAGGTTTTGAATTTTTAAAAGCGTATTCGCTATATAAAATATAATCTTGATTCCTTGATAAAAATACTCTTCGATGTTCTAAAGTAGTATAAGAACGTATATACTATCGAATACTTTATCGATTATAACCCGCTCTTTCCTAATAAATAGAAGGTAGTGCGAATATTTTAAACTTTTGACTAGCATATAAAAATATAAAAGAAAAACCCCTATATTTTACTAGTCGATAATATATATAGAATATTATTCCTTTTATTAATTCAACTACTCTCTAATTTAATTACTCTTTAATTTACCTATTCTTATAGAGTTTAATTAATTAACCCCTTTTTTTTCCTTACAAATTAACTACTTCAACCTTCCATTTTTTAACGTTACTAATATCGATATATTTAATTATAATTTCAATATCGCCTTCGGTCTTTCGAGCGGGGAAAGGTAAAAAAACTTTAAATAGTAGTTTAACTATTTGAAGAAGTTCTAAAAGGATTATAAAATTCTTAACCCCACAATATTTATTACAGACTTTGATAAAGGGTTTAAGAAGGCCGCTATTACTGCCTACCTAAACGTATTATACCAACTTTATATATAGTACGTTATAAAGAATATAAATTATTATATTAAAAAAAATAGGTGTAACCTTTCCTTAATAGTAGTAATAGTAATAATAATCCTACCCTTAGTATTAATTTATTAAATCTCCCGCTAACTATCTGGAATTTAGATAACTATAATCCTAATCCCCTATTATACCGAAGCCCTACGGCGGTTGTCACGCGTGGCCAGGGATGGGTACGGGTGCAAGGACTGTACTACCCTAATGGCTAACTTGGACTAAAGACAAGAAGTTGAGAAAAGAAGGAAACTCCAAAAGGGAAGGCTAGATGGGAAGGACTGGGTTTTATACTCTGAACTCTGGGAGGGAGCCAGGCCAAGCCCAGAACCTGAACCATCTGAACCAAACCCGTGAATGGAAGTCACCCGTGAATGGAATCCATGACGACTGGTGGTGCCAGCCGTCACAGCGGTTAACGATAATAAAGTTAGTAATAATAATATTAATAAAGAGAACGAATATATTAATAATAATTTAAAAGAAGACGACTTAAAAGAAGCTAACGATACTGTCGCTGCTAACCGCCTTACTTAATAATCTAATAATAGGTAAAAAGTTCGTTAAGTAATTAAAGAATTAATAATTAAAGCCGTTATTCTATATAATCGTAATGTATTAACCTTTAACCCTACCCGTCGATTCTATTTAAATATATACGAAGGCTTCTAAGCCGCCTAAAAGCAAATAATTTATACTAATAATAATAATTACCTTAAGCGGGTATAATATTTAATAGTATATAAATTTAAACGATAAATTCGTACGTATTTAATAACCCCTATCCTCAACCCCCTTCCCCTCTATAATATATTATATAGCTTTTTCGCTAATACTTTTTAATTTTCTTAATATACCTTTATAAATACTATTTTTCCTAGATTAACGAATTTAGGAACTATACCGTTTTAAAATATAGGAACTTTATTATTAGGGCAACTAATAAAATCGAATTTATATATAGAGCTATTAAATGCTTCTTTAAGAACTATTTCTCCTCTTTAGACTAATTATACGAATATATACGCTCTACCTACCACTCTTAAAGAAAAGTATTCAAATTACAATATACTATAGCGAAACAATTATATTTATATAAATATAAAAGGGTAGGGATATTTAATAATTTAGTATTAAAAGTATATAAAAATACCGTCTTTTATTATTACCCTTATAAATATAATTACAAATTTAATTAATTAACCTCCCTTTTTTTTTTTATCTAAGTAACGCCATATACCCTCAAACTCATATAGTACCAATACCGCTATACCTATAACTACTAATTAAGAAACCCTTATTAAAACTTAAATACTAAATATAAAAAGGCATTTATAGCCTAATATAATTTACCCTATAAGTATTTTATATTAAAATTATTATAAATAATCCTACTATTGATATTAGCTATAGAAAATATGAATATATATTATTAACTAAAGTTAAACGGCGATATTAAGTTAATTAAAGCTAAACGGCGTATTTACGCGATTTAAAACCCTATTACCTTACTTAACCGCCGACGATAAATAATTATCCCCGATTTAAACCTTACTAATTATACGTAGAATATCGGGACGAGACTTTATAAACCCGGAAATTCTCGAATTACGTAATTTCGAAAGTAATTAAAGCTTTATTCAACCCGCTCTTACCGCGCCTACTATTACCGTACTTATTAACCGCAACCGGTATAATAACCGCCGTATATTCTCTTATAGTAAACTGCTCCGCCGGGTAATATAATAAAATGCTTAAAGAGGAGGGAAGGCGTTAGCTCGCTAAAAATAATTTTGGGCTAAAAAGGGGATTTAATAATAAGCGAGCCAAATTACGTAAAAAGAATTTAAATAACGCTATTATAGAAGCTATAATACAATTTATATTAGTATTAACGCCTTTTCTAATTCCTTTACCCTCGCCTTTTTATCTTCTAACTCCTTTATAAAGAACTTTAACGCCCTCCCTATTTCCCCATCCCCAAATCTAATACTAACCGCTAAATAAATAAATATAGCCGCCTTATAATTATTTACTAATTTATAGTAGCATTAACCAATTTAATTATACAATACTAATACTTATTGAATAATTAATATCAATACCCCAATCCTAACTAAATTAGAATCTCCTTCCCCCTTCTAATTAATAGTAAAATAGTTTACAAAGATGAATTATATTGATAACGTAATATAATCGAATTCTAATCCTTATAGTACCACCTCTAATGCTTTTAATATATTTATAAGGATATATAGGGGCTCTCTAATACTCTAAACAATACTTATATAGTGGGTATCAAAATTAGAGTAAGTACGTATACTTTAAGTGGTAAGTGTAGTAAGTATAGTATATATAATAATAGAGCTAGTATAGAAGATAATAGTATTACTAGCAACTATAGTATTAATACCCTTAGTAATAGACAATTGATTAGATTGATGACTTTAAATACCTTTACGTAAAAAACAACAACGACGACGTAGATCTGGCGATGCGCGGGCATCGATTATATAGCCTCAATTACACGGTGTACTAGGCTGGGCTGGGCTGGGCTGGGCGGCTGGCTAGGCGGCTAGGCTTACTTAGCGATAAAAGTGGGTTTAGTCTATCCAGGGACCAGTTTGAGTCTACCCAGCTACCGTTTGCGGACAAGTCGGCATCGGTCACTCTGCTGCAGTTAATCTCCACATCAACTGTTATGGTCTACTGCATGAAAACCGAGAATGACCCGATCCTGCCATGAGCTTTCTCCAGCTTTACTCGGGGGTATGGCATCTCCAGGTTGTAGTGCAGCCGTTGCCTCGTTCACAGCAGCAGGCTACCTTTTTATGACCACTTACAATGAGTTGAGCCTTGTACATCCAAGGCCACAAGTGTGGTAACACAACATCTTTTCCTGTCGTGTAGGTTCGGAATCATGCTCACCCACTGCTTGGATTCCACTACACCGCCACGAGTTCATGTACCTTACCTAAGCTTACCTATACGGATCATGCCGTACTCGCTACACCCACCGGCTGCTCCCATGGTGCCGGCTATCTTCCTTGCATTTCCATAAGCAAAATTGGTCTACTGAAAACACTAGCTGCGCCAAGTGTCAAATGGTCAAAAAATCATGTTAATGGTCTTATCGCAACCCTTGTTAGCCGTTTGGGATACATAGCTACTCACAAACAGTTTCCCTTGTAAAATAGACATGTTTTCCCAAGGCTGACCCAACACGATACTACCCTATACCCCTGTCGGGATCCCCTCTCTTCCCCCAGCTCCATGATATGCAAGCAATATGGGCTGTCTGTCACTGGTACTTCGTATTGCCATCTCTTATTCTCATGGCTTGACTTCGCCTAAAGCTGTCAGCCATGGTGTTACCTGGCCGTCAAAGATATATAGCTATAATGGTCTCCGTCCTTGTTATTGCTTCCTTTGTGTTCGGTATCCCTTCTCCTTGAACTTGCTGTCGTGTTGGAGTCCGCAGTAGGACATAACAGTTGCCCATCATGAGGGCTATTCAAGCAGGGGCCGTTCTATCCTCCCTTTTACTATCCTCAGTAAGCTTCATTCTCTACGTCTGCTTTGTCGAGATAAGACCAATGGCTAACTGTTCGCCTAGCTACCACTTACACTTTCCCAACTCGTCGTCCCCAGCAATCTTCCAGGCGTTTGGGAATACGATGGATGTTATACCGAGGTCGACCGAACCATTGGCGCCGCCACCTATGCCGACAATGAGGACATGACTAATGAGGCTTGTATCTCCTTTTGTACTGCAAGAGGCTTTCAGTATGCCGGAACACAGTACTCACAAGAGTGTTATTGTGGTGAGAGCATTGCCACGACTGCTCTCAAGCTCGAGGATTCACAATGCAACATGGCTTGCAAAGGAAACGCAACAGAGCCGTGCGGAGGCCCCTCGAAACTATCCATCTTTCACAGCTCTGCCGCTGTCGGACCTCAAGCGAACCCTGGTGTCAATGGCTTTTCCCATCTTGGTTGCTATTCGGAGGGAACAACGGGTAGAACCCTTACCTTCGCTGTTAGTACCATCCCAGGCGCAAACATGACGGTGGACAAGTGCACAGCCGCCTGTGATACTTCTGGTTACAAGTACGCGGGTGTGGAATATGGCGGCGAATGCTGTAAGTTCTCTTGAAGCTTTCCACAAAGGAGCCACGCTAACTTCAACAGACTGCGGAAATAGTATTTCCAACGGCGGGGCCCCTGCCACCAGCGGATGCACCACGCTTTGCAACGGCAACAGCACAGAGTTCTGTGGCGGTGGTAATCGCCTGAATATATACATTAAAGGAGAGCTCCCGCCAACTTCTACCGTCACCGGCGTCATTGCCGTCACATCCTCAGCCGTTGCCGAACCCCAAGGCCCCGCTCAGCCGGCGTCTGTTGGGAATTACGTCTGGTACGGATGCCGGACTGAGGCTACTGGCAACCGCGCTTTGAGCGCTGCTACCTCCGCGACGGATGAGATGACACTCGAGGCCTGCAGTGCCTTTTGTGCCGCCTACACCTACTTTGGTGTAGAATATGCCCGCGAATGCTACTGTGGCAACAGCTTCAATGCTGGATCTGTGGCCGCACCCGGCTCTGACTGCAGTATGACCTGCGCTGGTAAACCCACAGAGTATTGCGGCGCTGGAAACCGACTGTCTGTCTATGCCAAAAATGGCACCGAACCCCCAAGCACGACAGTCGCTCCTAGTTCCACCGTCTCGTCTTCAATCCCCCAAGCCACTGGTCTTCCCGCTGGTTGGGCTTATAAAGGCTGCTGGTCTGAGGGAACCACTGGCCGTCTCCTCAACGTGCAGGCACCAGACAGCCAGACTAATTCTCAGGTTGTCTGTGCCACTTATTGCGCCTCAAAGGGATACACCATCTCCGGGACCGAATATGGCGTTCAGTGCTTCTGCGGAAACTCCCTCTTTAACAACGGGTCGAAGATTGACGACAGCCAGTGCAGCGTCAACTGTCCAGGAGATGCAAGCCAAAAGTGCGGCGCAGGTGATAGACTCACCATTGTTGCCCGTGGCGAGCCCCAAGTGGACCTCCCTCCAGCTCCGAAAGCGACAGTGGGTGACTGGACCTACAAGGGCTGCTATGAAGACAATATCAACAACCAACGCACCTTCTTCTGGCAATCACTGTTCCCCAATGTAGCGACGCCCAAGATGTGCCTCGATCGATGTGCCGAATACGGATACATGGCTGCTGGCATCGAATATGGAGAAGAGTGCTACTGCGGTGATCCGGCCAACATTGCGACATCCGGTGCCACCAAACGCCCTGAATCAGAGTGCAATATTGTCTGCCCCGGTGAGACATCGTCCATCTGCGGTGGTGGTAGCCGCCTCACAACCTACTTCTGGACAGGAACACCCTTTTACTCGTGGGACTTCCCCCAGGATTACAGGGCGGGCAAATATGAGCTACTCATCAATGGCGTTACCGTCCCGCTGATGGCATCCGAGACCGTCCAAGGCAAGGTCAACTTTCTTTCCAAATGGGGAACCGGTCCTGCCAACGAAACTGGTGCGTACGAGCTCGATCTGTCCAAGATCGGCACCAACGCTGCCTTCCGTGAACTTCATCTCAAGACTGATGTGTTCTGTGCCGGTGGTGTGACCTTGCCCGACAAGGTAGGCCGCCAGCTGACTGTCGGAGGTTGGTCTGGAGACTCTACCTACGGCACTCGTCTGTACTGGCCTGGCCACGACTGGGAGGAGAACGTCAATGAGTTGAGCTTGCAAGTCGGTCGTTGGTATCCCAGCGCCATGGTCATGGCCAACGGCTCTATCTTTGTGATTGGAGGCGAGACCGGCTCGAACGCTGCCGCCGTCCCTTCCATCGAGGTCTTGCCCTACACCGGAACCAAACCACTCTTCATGGACTGGCTTGAACGCACCGATCCCAACAACCTCTACCCCTTCGTCGCAGTCCTACCAAGCGGTGGCATCTTTGTCCAATACTGGAACGAAGCCAGAATCCTAGACGAGAAGACCTTCGCCACCATCAAAGAACTCCCCATGGTCCCCGGCGCCGTCAACGACCCCCAATCCGGGCGCACCTACCCCCTCGAAGGCGCCGCCGTCCTCCTCCCGCAGCGCTACCCCTACACCGAAAACCTCGGCGTCCTCATCTGCGGCGGCTCCAACGTAGGCCCCGGCTACGCCCTCGACAACTGCGTGTCCACCCGTCCCGACGACGCCAACCCGAAATGGGTCATCGAGCGCATGCCCTCCTTCCGCGTCATGCCATGCATGGCCCCCCTGCCGGACGGGACTTACCTGATCGCCAACGGCGCCCACCACGGCTTCGCAGGCTTCGGACTCGCCAACAACCCCAACCTGAACGCCTTACTCTACGACCCCACCAAGCCGGTAGGCTCCCGCATCACAGTCATGGCCAACACCACCATCGCGCGCATGTACCACTCCGAAGCCATCACCCTCCTGGACGGGCGCGTCCTCATCTCCGGCTCCGACCCCCAGGATGCCGTCAACCCCGAAGAGTACCGCGTCGAAGTCTTCATCCCTCCCTATCTCCTCAACGGCAAACCCCGCCCCACCTTCACTTTGCAAAACCGCGACTGGGACTGGAACCAAAAGACCATCCCCTTCACCCTCGGCTCTGCCGCCAAGAACGGAGCCATCACCGTGACCCTTTTGGGTTCGGTATCAAGCACCCACGGCAACTCAATGGGCGCCAGGACCCTCATGCCAAACATGCAGTGCCAGGGCACAAGCTGCACGGTGGATGCGCCGCCGAACGCGCATATTGCGCCGCCCGGGTGGTATCAGTTCTTTGTGCTGGACGGAGGAGTTCCGGCTGTGGGGGTGTACGTGCGGATTGGAGGGGATCCGGCCGGACTGGGGAATTGGCCTAATGCTGATGGGTTTTCGAAGCCGGGTGTTTAAGTTTTTTTCTTCTCAAGTTTCTTAGTGTAGCGTAGGAGAGGGAAGGAAGTTGGAAGGGTCTCTTTCTTTGATGTTTTGTTTATTTAGCTGATGTTCATGTTCATGTTCAATGTTCATGTTTGATGGATTGGGTAATTAATGTTTATGCGCATACATATATCTTTTGGTGATGATGATGCCGAAAGGGGCGTTGCGTTTCTTGATACCTCTACTCTACCTTGGTAAGAAGAACATTTTGGTTGGTTGGTTGGTTGGATATCCATCCATCCCTCAGCAGATCGATCAGATGGACAATACTCGTCAGGACTAGTTTCTTTCATTGAACAACTCCCTGAATGGCTTCTTTAATGTGTCCCCCTTCCTCTTCCTTTCTCACACATGTAGTTGAAAGATCAACATCAACTCGCTTCACAGATAACACGATAGGTAGTACGGATTGTATGAATCCAAAATTGCCTGCTTGCTATTTCACGACTCCTCTCCTCAACTACAGACACAACCACCACCACACCTACGAATGAGTAGGCATAGCAACATCCGCCTTCTGTCCAATCGCGTCCTGCGCCGCCCAGTGCGCCGTAACAGTCTTCAACTGCGTATAGAAATTCACTCCCGGCTTTCCATAGAACGTGCTCGCGCCTCCACCCGCAATACTCTTCTTATTGCCCGTAAAGCTAAACATAGGCAGAGGGACAGGAATCGGCACATTAATACCGACCTGACCGGCCTCAATGCGTCTCCTGAACGTCTCCGCCGTGGGACCGGAACGGGTGAAGATGGCCACGCCGTTGCCGTACTCGTTGCTGTTGATCAAATCGATGGCTTCATCCAGTGTCTCGACGTTGAGGCAGACGAGAACAGGACCGAAGATCTCCTCGCGGTAGCATTTCATGGAGGGGGTAACGTTGGAGATGATGGTCGGCGCGATCCAGTTCCCGTTGGGATACTTGGCGGGCTTGAAGCCGCGGCCATCCAACAAGATGGTGGCGCCCTCTTGCTCGGCCGAGGCGATCAGGGACTCAATGCGCTCCTTGCTCTGGGGGGAGATGACGGGTCCCAAGTCGGCGCCCTCCTCGAAGCCGCCGTTGACGTTGAGCGCTTTGGCGCGCTCAGCGAGCTCGGGGAGCCAGTTCTTTGTCTCGCCGACCATGACGAGAGTCGACAGAGCCATGCAGCGCTGGCCGGCGGCGCCAAAGGCGGCGCCCACGACGGCGTTGAGGAATTGGTTCTTGTTGCAGTCGGGCAGGACGGCGGCGTGGTTCTTGGCGCCCAGGTTGGCCTGCACGCGCTTGCCGTTGGCGGAGCCGCGCGAGAAGATGTACTCGCCTGCCTTGTTACCGCCGACGAAGGAGATGGCCTTGATGGCGGGCTCGTCGAGGATGAAGTTGACGGTGCGGTGGGCGCCGTGGACGATGTTGACGACGCCCTCGGGGAATCCGGCCTTCTGGACGAGCTCGGCGAGGATCATGGCTGCGCCCGGGTCGCGCTCCGAGGGCTTGAGGATCAGCGTGTTACCTGTTACGGTGGCGATGGGGATGCACCACAGGGGAATCATGGCGGGGAAGTTGAAGGGGCAGATGGCGGCTACGACTCCCAAGGGTTCCCGGTAGGTGCGCGTTTCCATGTCCTTGGCTACTTCGAGGAGCTCGCCCTTGAGAAGCTCGGGAGCACCGCAGGCGGCTTCGGCAACTTGCAGACCGCGGAGCACGTCGCCCTTGGCGTCGGCAAAGGTCTTGCCTTGCTCGAGGGTGATGCTGGCGGCGAGACGGTCCCAGTTCTCGCGGATGAGGGCGACGAACTTGAACATGATGGCCTGGCGGTGGAGAACGCTGGTGTTCTTCCAGGACTCAAAGGCCTTCTGGGCCGAGTCGACGGCGGCCTTGAGTTCCTCATCGGTGTTCTGTGGCACGCGGGTGACGAGGTTGTTGGTGGCGGGATCGTGGAGGTCGATGTACTGGGTGGTGGAGGAGGCGACGAACTTGTTGTCGATGAACCAAGGAGTGTCCTTGACGTCGGCGATCTTGTCGTGGGTGGTAGGATAGCTGGTCGCGGTGCTCTCGAGGGCTGCAGCGGCCGGGCGAAGGTGGTTGGCGGTGGCATGTATCCTTCGCGCCGCGGTGGCGGAAGCAGTCTTGACGGGGGACGACATCTTGGAGGCGGAGGAGAGCAGAAGTGGTGATGCCCTGCGTGAACTGGTGGAGGCGAGGCGACGACCAGCGGCAGAGGCAGACGCTGAGAGACCCCGAGAAGTGAGGCGCTGCATGTTGAGGAAGTCCTTGAAGAAGTCAAGGGAGGGAAGAAGAGAAAATGCAACCACGGGACGACGGCAGTCTCTTTTCAGAGCCGGTGAGGTCAGTCTCAGGCTGTTTGTTGGTGTTGGTATTACCTTGACCTAATTCCTATTACCCGTGGTCTCTGCTTGACTGGTTGATCAACGACAGTAAAGAGATAGGAGGTCTCCGTGCAGAGACAAACCCCGGGACTGGCCATGATGCCCTTATATCAGGACGGGCCCGGGCCGATTACCGCTTTCCCATTCCAAACCACCGTTAGCCCGAGGCGACTTTGCTCCCGGCTTGACCATCTCGGTTTATCGGGTATCGCTCTGTTACGTACTAGGCAGGGACAATGATATAAACTGCTACTGTCGTCCTAGCGCAAACAATGGCCGTCGTGCGGGGGAGTGCGGAGAGGTGGAGATGCTTCTTGCTGGCAGTGACGGGAATAAGCCGCCGCCTGCCGACCAACCAATGACCTCCCTCGACCCTCTCCCTGGCCATCCTGGCGACCCAGACGGCGATCAGTCTTCCCCACTGTGTCTTCATAGCGGACCCCCTCATCAGGCACATCCCAGCCAAAGTCAGCCCAGCGGAAGACTGGAAGGAAATGGACACCCGGCAGCCAGATCAAAGCTCCGAGCTACTATGACACTATCACAGAGTCCACCGTCACTATCAGTCGAGATAACGCCAGCACGTCAACACTCCACATGCTTAACTGCTTCAGATAATGCAAAAAGATACTGTGATAAGCCTAGATAGAATAACAGTGTGCGCCCCCTGATACTCCGAAATATCGATCGAGCACTTCGAAAACTGAACCCAAACCACAAAGAACCTTTTGGCCAACTATACCCAGGCCGGTATCGCTTCAGAGCTTAATGAATTTCATGTCACATCAAAACACCCAACTAGATTAGGTGATCCTGTAGTTGTTTTTCTCCTTCCAACTATCTCAGACTCCTTTTATTACCCGTTGATAGATAGTCCCACTTCTCCAACTTCCTCACTCCACAGTCTGCCTGCTTACGACTGGCTGCGGGTGTTGCGCTTGGTAGCCTCCTTGGCCTTCTCAGTGCCAGTGGCAACAGCCTCAGCGGCCTTGTCCTTGACGTCCTTGGCCTTCTCCTTGACATCCTTGGCAGCCTTCTTGACAGCAGGGGCAGGAGAGCTGCCGCCAGAGACAAGGGCAGCGAGGATGGCAATAAAGGTAACGAGGAGGGCGGCAGCGCCACCAGCAACCTCAGGGACGAACTTGATAGCCTCGACGGGGTCCTTCTGGGCAATGGTCATGAAGAGGTCAACCTTCTCCTTGATGTAGGTAACGGGGTCCTCGGTGAACTTGAGGTCGTTGGGGGAAGAGGGCTTGTTCTCCTCAACCTTGGGCTTATCAGCCTCCTCGAGCTTCTCCTCAACGGGGTGCTTCTTGAAGAAGGTTTCGTCAGCGAGAGCCTTGGCGTCCTCAACGGAGTGACCAATGTAGATGTTGTCGAAGAGAATGTTGTTCTGCATGGTCCAGATCTCGAAGCCAATAGCGCCCATGGGCTCGAAGTTGGCGGGGTTCTTGTCCTCATAGTAGTCGGGGTTGGGGATCTTGCGAGGAGCCCAGGGTCCCTTGTAGGCGGGGTTGTCAATGAGAGGAGCGTTCCAGATGCCCTTGTACTCGGGGTTCTTCTTCATGGGCTTGGTCCAGGGGCCGCAACCAGAAACCTCGAAGCATTTGGGGTTGGGAATGGTAGGGGCGATCCAGTCACCATCCTCCTCGTCATCCCAGTCCTCAGGCTTCTGGGCCTCAGGGTCGGGGATAGTCTGGGGCTCATCAACGAGCCAGTCCTCGGGCATGCTAGCCTCCTCATCGACAATCTCGTACGGGGCATCCTCATCCCAGTCCTCGGGCTTCTTGGCATCGGGGTCGGGGATGCGGGCCTGGTCAACCCAGTCCTCGGGCTTGGTGTCGTTGGGGTCGTCAATCTCCGCCTCGGGGTTGACGGAGGGAACGAAGTCCTCGAGGAGGCTGCCCTCCTTGACGGTCTCACCATCCTGCTGGATGAGGTAGGTGTTGTTGGGGTGGACGATGAGCGTGTAGAGCTCAGTGGTCTTGACGATCTTGGCCGTCGGGGGAGAGCTGAGGTGCTTCTCTTCATACTCGCCAGTCTTGGGGTTCTTGTGGTTGAAGATGAAGTGCACCTTGTTATTGTGGCCGCACTTGTCGGGACCGAACATGATGACGTAGGGAGTGGTGTTGGAGAACTCGTCCTGGTGGAGAGCCTTGTTCTCACGGAGGAGCTTCAGGTAAGCACCACCGCACTCGAGGCCGTCTGCACGGTGTCTGTTAGCAATTGCGTATTATGAAAACCAGGTAGCCGGGGATGACATACTCTGAAGCTTGACCTCATACTGGACAACGAGGTCCTTGCCCTTGGGGTCGATCTTCTTGGGGAACTTGGCCGAGATGGCGTGGTGAGCGGCCGCGTTCTTGATAACGAGACCCTTGTCACCCTCCATGCCCTTGTAGACGACGGGCTCCTCGACGGACCACTCGCCGACGTAAGCCCACTCCTCCTCAGTATCGGGACCGGTCTCCTTCTTGGCGTGGGAAGGCTTCCAGCGCGAGTCCCAGTCATCGGTGAACTGCTCGAGGAAGGGAGCCTTGAGCTTGGTGGGCTGTATGAATGCATTGGTTAGCTGCTGTCCGTGATGTTGGCGTAGATAGACTGCATTGACGACTACTTACAGTAAAGGTAGGGACCTCGACGGGAGAAACCGAGGTGGCGGCCTCGGCGACGGTGCTGGAGCTCTCGTCCTTGAGCACCTTCTGGGAATCGTCGGCACTGACACCTCCGGCAAGGAGGGCGGCGCTGGCGGCAGCGGCAGCTACATTGAACCTCATGATGAAGGCGAAGTTGCTGTTATTCGTTTCAAGCTGATTCGCAGTCGCGTATGTGGTAGATGTGTAGATGGAGGGGTTGGTTGTTGCTGGTGGCTGAAAGAAAGACGTCGAAGTCGAGGTCGAGTTCGAGACAGACAGAGACGAGAACCTTGTTGGGCAATGGATATTCACTCCCACGGCACGAGGAAAGGAAAGAGGTTAAGAAAAACAGGCGGCGATGGGGGAAAGGGTTCGGTGGTGAATTAAAAGTTTCGGCGATGGTTCAACCTCTTCCAAGTGACAACGTGTCTTTAATGGGCCGCCGAGACGTGAGATGGCAGCTGCTGGGGGGAGCTTTGGCGCGGCAGCGGGCGGGACCTGCGGAGACCAGCATTATTGCGGGAACAGGTTTGAAGCACAGGCCTGGAGGCTATGGTAAACTGGCCTCTCAGCGTCGTTTTGGAGTCCGGGACTTGTGGAAATGCTTCGAAACTTCCATGGACGGGATTGGACAGACGACAGGGGTCTCTTTTCTCATTGGACAACCTCGGGTTACTGTAACAATTGTTCTACTTGAGCCCATTGTCATCCCTTTTGCTACAAAGGAGCCAACGTGCACAACATGTGTCCATCTCCAACTCCAACTTCGGAATGTCTTTACCGGCACCGAAACATGCGGCGATGGAAGCGTCCTGTTGGTCAATTGCGTTGGAGCCATTCCTTTTAGCGCGTGTATATTATGTGGGGCCTTCAGTTTCGACCACGAGCATCGTCATGCAGAGAGAACACTTCAAGGGTCCTGTCTCGCCAGTGAAGAGAATGTTTGTCTCTAGGAAAAGGCAATCAGGTTCGTCTCGTGTGAACATGTTGGTGTTTGTGCGGTGAAAGATGCAATGAAAGGTTGGCTTCGTCCCTGTTGTTTATCCACCACCGTTTCTTCCAGAAGGTGAAGTGTAAATTGTTCCGAGATCTCGATCTCGTCTGATGGATCCCGGCCAAATAACCATTCTGGCTACGGAGCTCTGCCGGTTTCCGAGTATGGAATAGCCGTACAAATAGCACATTGATGTCAATGAATGTCTCTTTCGTTGATGATAGCTTCAAGAGCGAGTCGAAGTCTTAATAATCTCCAGATCGGACAGGTCAGCTCAAGTCGGGTGTCTTCAAGATCAACAGATGTGAGTGTAAGTCTACGGATAGCGCCTCGAAGTGCAGCAAAGAGCCGTCTGAAGCACTGAACTCTTCACCTTCGAGTTCGCCGCTCTACACGTACTGTACCAAAACTTTGAACAACGTGGCTCTTTCTCTCTTCATACCTACTCTATTTAGCCTCATCTCGCTTTCTCAAACTCGAGACTGCATCCTCATAAACATTTAAACGGACCAGCCGGTGATATGTAGGATCCGCACGGCAGAGGCTCCCGACATAGCGCCATTCTTCCCGGATCCTGGTCAATGAACTGGGGCGGGACCACATTTTTTTTACTTGGGGGCTTCTGGGCGCCAAGCTTTCTTTGCCCCCTCTTTACCCTCTACAAGTAAAGAGGGGGATCCGAAATTCTGGGACAGTATTTTAATTTGGGACACATCAGGATTCTTAGCGTTTTCCACAGAAAAGTGTTAGTAGGCAAGACAACGCAATGCAAAACCGCCACACAGTATTTTTCTAAAATTCTACCAAAATTCGAAGGCAGAGTTCTTACTTGGAAAAGCCATTTTGGAAATTTTGAGAAAATTATTTAAGAAAATGAATGGATGGTAGGGTCCGAATGCGTTTTATTTACCAAACGTCGTCGCTCTTGGTGTGCAACGGAGTTGACAATTCTACAGCAAGAACGCTTGCATCAGGATTTTCTCCCCAACGCCTCGATCAAAATTGATGAAACTTTGAGGATATCTTTTTGAATACTCCCTTTTGCTTCCTGAATTTTTTCAGATTTTTGAAAAATGGTTTCGTAGTTGAATGGTTCATCGCGATCGCTTCGCTAACACATTTCTATGGGAAACGCTAAGAATCCTGATGTGTCCCAAATTAAAATACTGTCCCATAATTTCGGATCCCCCTCTTTAGAGGGTAAAGAGGGGGCAAAGAAAGCTTGGCGCCCAGAAGCCCCCAAGTAATTTCTTAGCGTCAAACTTGCTCCGCGCACGTCAACGGGGCACGCAACGGCCGCTATCGAAATCGACCCCCTCCGCTCCGTGCCCGAAGCCCGCGTCCGCGATTTCTAAACCCCGCGACCGTCTCCGCCGTCCGGTAAACTCACGACATCCCCCCGAGATTTCGCGCCCGCCCAAGCCCGTCGTCAAAATGTGTCCTCCCACCACCTCCACCAGCGAAAACAACAACGACCACCTTGTCCAATCCTCCGACCCCAACCACCCGGCCAACCTCATCCCCGCGCTCTGCGCCAAGTTCTGGACCCTAGGCTGGGTAACCGGCACAGGCGGCGGCGCCTCGATCCGGTCCGATGACCTCGTCTACCTCGCGCCCTCCGGCGTACAAAAGGAGCTGATGAAGCCCGAGGACATCTACGTCCTTTCTCTCGCCGCTCAGGCCCAAAGTCTCGACAAGCGCCAACGCGTCTACCTCCGTTCGCCAGCCAACTTCAAGCCCTCCCAATGCACTCCGTTGTTCCTGGCGGCGTTCACCAAGCGGAATGCCGGGTGTTGTATTCATACGCACTCGCACTGGGCGGTGCTGGTTACGCTCATCCTGGAGACGCAGGGCAGTAAAGAGTTTTTGATCAACAATATTGAGCAGATCAAGGGTTTCGGGAAGGGGTTTGGCAAGAGTGGGAATTTGGGGTATCATGATACGTTGAGGATTCCCGTGATTGAGAATACGGCGCATGAGGAGGACTTGACGGAGTTTTTGGAGGAGGCGATGGATCAGTATCCGGATACGTATGCGGTGTTGGTAAGAAGGCATGGTGTCTATGTGTGGGGGGAGAATGTGCACAAGGCGAAGACTATGTGCGAGAGGTATGTCTTTCTCGTGTTTGTGATGGTGGTTAGGCACGAGCTAACGAATGTTGTCTGTGTACTGTTACAGCTTGGACTACCTCTTCCAACTCGCCGTCGAGATGAAGCAGCTCGGTCTTCCCTGGGTTACCGATATCGAGCCCACCATTCCTACGAGAAAGTAAACAAACAACATAATAGTGATACCAGAAACAAAGGCAAAAAAACACTCGGTCAAAACAACATATTCAGGTCCAGATGTGTTTGCGAACTCGAAGTGATTCCAATCGCTGATCATTACTACCATACCAAACGCTCGTTACTACCTGCAACTTTTCAGTTTTTTCCAAAAAGGTATCAAGCACAGACCCCCCAATCGCCGCAAAAACCTCATTAAGTCCGTCCGTCATCCAAAGCCACACAAGCCATTACCCATAACCATAATCCCATCATCCGCTCATCCCATCATGTCCGCCCATAACCATCACATCATACATCCAAAAGCCGGGCATCAATTAATCATCCCACCCACCCCAACTCACTTACTTCCCTTAGTTGTTCACCACCTCAAAGCACAGCCGCCAACCCCAAAAGGAATCCTCCCAACCCACCCACCGCCACCCTCCCAGCAGCACCAGCACTACTCGTGCTCTCAACCATCGCCGTGCTCGTCGCCTTGCCATCATCACCACTCTCACTAGGCGCAGCGCTAGGCGTGCTGGTGCTCGTAACCGTCGTGGTGAAAGATCCGCTCACCACAGTCGAGACAACAACGACATTAGTCCTGGTGACGCCGGTGGTGGTCGTGACAGGAGCGGCGTTGGTGGGGTTGGAGGCAGCTCCGCCCGTGGTGGCAGTGAAGTAGTGCTGTCCGATGCAGTCTTGCACGCAGTCTGAGTATTTGGCGTTGTCGGATTCGGTGCCGTTGCCTTTGGGACAGGCGGCTACGCAGTCGTTTGTTTCGTTGACCTGTGATTGTGATGTTAGTGGTTGTTGGTGAGAGGTGAGAGGTGGGAGGTGGAAAAGAGTGATGAAGTGATGAATAATCGATGATAGAGTGAGTGGTCAAGTGCGAGGAGAGGTGAAGAGAGGGTGAGTAAGTAAGGAGTAAACGTACATCCTGATCAGAAGGATTAGGAACAGCAATGCACTTGCTCGTGCAAGAAACATCGCCGTCCTGGCAGGCGTCTATGCACTTGATGATCGCGGCCTGCTCAGAGTTCAAAGGGGCCGAAGCAGAGGTGGTGCCGGACTGGGCGTTCGCGGAGAGGGCGAAGAGGCCGGTGAGGATGAGAGGCGTGAAGCGCATTTTGGCTTTTCGGTCTTTCGTGGTGATCGGTAGGTATTAGATATTAAGTGAAGGTATTCCGATATCTATATCGTGTAATGATGTAAACAGCAATCTCAACAAGCGAGTGTGAGAGCGAGTGTCGGTACGAGGTACGAGGATCCTGGACGAGGCAAGAAAAGTTCTGAGGAAACAAGGAAGAGAGAGGAAAAGAGAAGCAGAGGAAGGGGGAGGTAGAGGTTGTGTTATGTTAAATAGTCCTCTTGTTTGGAGAAGGGAATGGAAGGAGAAGAGAGGCTCATACGACATTGGACGGACAACGGACAGACACATGCAAGCCACCACTTTCCTCCTCCATCCATCACGCCGTCGGTAGCAACCAGAACCTACCGTGACCAGTTAGACATCCCTGCCTGCGCCTCAAGCACTCGATTTGGTTGTCTTCCGTAGCATAGCATAGGTAGCAGCTGTGCTGTGCTGTGCTAGGGATAGAACATGGGGGAAAGCAGGTCACGATGCCTGACTGCCGTGTCGTTGCAAAGTGTTTGGCTGTGATTTCCACCGAGTTCCGTCTGGGGGACATCGCGTATCTCCCCCACAAATGTCCACACAGACACGAAGGCAGGGACAGGGGTGCCTGGTCTGAGCGGCAGCAGCCCTTTGGAGACACCACCAGAAAAGTGATCCACGAGAGCGATGCGCCTCGAAAGTGGATGAGTTAGAGATGGCCTTGATCCACTGATCCAGTGGGATATGACCTGCTGTGCTGTGTTGTGTTGGAGACGTTCTGCTGTGCTGGACAGGATGTCGTGTCGTGTTGTTGCTGTTGACTGACGGCTCGGGTTTCGAGTGCCGAACAAGTCTTGTCATTTGTGTTCTCAGCCCGGTCAAGCGTTGCGTGACCCCGCGAAATGGACAGACAGAGAGATTGTCTGATGTTTTTTGGTTGTCATCCCTTCCCACGATGATCCCTTTTGTTGTCCGTTCACGGGCACAGATGTTTTTTATACCATCTCCAATTATCGCGATCAACCCCAGGGTCACAGGGATAGAATCTTGGTCAGAAGTTTATGCACACTTCGCTTCCCGTGGTTCCCCTGGCTTGGTGGTGTTCAGGTGTAGTAAAATTAAAATTACTTGCTGCCACCCACCATTATTATCCTTTGTCCAGATTGCGGGTGTGTCAGTGTGGTGGTGGTGGATGGTGTCCTCCCGTCGCAGACTCGCAGACGCCGGCGCCGAACGAGATGAGGAAGAGGGAAGGGAACCGAAGGAAAACGACGGAAAAAAAAAAGTGGGTGTGGTGCTATTTTGCCCGATTCGGTATCCATTCGAAGCAGTGACCAATCAGAGCCGAGATTGTGTTTCGGGTTTTTAGTGTCATTCGTGTTTGACGCTGGGCCACCTCAGCTCTTCGTCTCTTTTCTATTGTTGTCTTTACAGAGGTCAGAGAAGGATTTCGAAACCGAGACTCACGATATTGACCTGCCTTGAGGTTCAGTTCATCCGGTGTGCAAGACCAATGGAAACGATGCAAAGCCTAGGCAGATTTGACAGACCGGGAATGTACGATGGCCCAGGTCGGTCTTCGTTTCACTACCACCCTCTGGTGTGGCACCAGCTGGCACTCATTTTATATCAACGCCTCCGAGGCACTTACAGAGTCCGACACTCACACCCATTAAACGCCGCCAACCAGAAACGCTGAACATTGAACCCTACTATACCTCATTTCTTTCTACCTTCTTGTTTGCTTTTCCTCTTTTCTTTTCTTTTCTCCTTTTTCCTTCTTTTCCTTCTCCCTTTCTCATCTCTTCTTTTTCGAGGGAGGTAGAAGGATCCATTTTCACTGTTACTATTACCCCAAATCGTTAATTTCCAAACTTGGAGAAGAACTGGTGGTTGAGAATTGATAGGAGTCGATAAGAGTCGATAGTCGATAGGAGGAGTCAGCACGGTGTTGCATCAGAGCCTCAGAGACACCCTCAGGTGCGAGCCTATCACTTGCCAGCTGGGGAACCCCGAGGGAAGGTGAATTTCAGGGTTGTGAAACGAAAACCGACATGGGCCACCGTAGGAATGTCCAAACGGACGATGCACCGACGCAGACGCGCAACGAACAAGGCCTCAACGCCTGCACGCCTGCACGCCTGAAAATGCAAACTGCACGCCTGCAACGGAAATCCGTCCAAGCCACCCGAACCGAACCGCTTGGACAACTTGCCAAGCGCAACCCATCAATGTGACACAGAAGGGAACTGGCTGGCGACAACAAAAAGCCTCTTCTCCTCCTCCTCCTCCTCCCTAGCACCAACAATGGGCGGTTGGGTGATCAGCACTTGCTTGGAGCTAGCAAACGCGGAGAAACGCAGCCATCAGATGGTTTGAACTGCTTCTCGGCCTTGGCTTGCTTGGCTGGTCGGAGATGAAATGTCTCGAGCCTCGAGGGCCTCCAACATCCACAAAGAGAGGCCGAATCCCGAGACGAAGGGAGAAGAAATGGGATGAACATTGTCCGTGAACTTCGTTGACCCAAAAGTGCGGGCATCCTCACGCTGAGCAACGCGTACACAGACACCATGGACGCTTTTGCTTTTGCCTGGGCCTGGGCCCGGGCCCGTGACAGTTGCGCAAGGCAAAGCTTGGAGGTTGTGCTTGAAGCTTATTCATTGTGCCACACTTGTGTACATCAGAGAAAATAGCCATGAAACGGGCCTCGAGCGAGCTCTCCGAGCCCGAGTCTTGCGCCATACAACAGTGCGGTGCCATGCCGGAAATAAGGCCGTCTAGCCGACTTATACGAGGACTTCCCAGCCAACAACATGTACAACCGTTCATCCAATGACCACTGGAACACGCATCCAGGCTCCATTTTGATGGCCAGAACGCGAGGCTTTGAACTTGTAAAATGTACCTCACGGTCTGTATAGTAGTTTGGACTCTAGACCTCTGTCCAAGGAAGCTTGTTACCAGATCAACGGCGACAAGTTAATCAGATTCTCCACTTGGATTTGCGTGACTTGGATTGTGATTGTTTTTAGACGCACCAGGGAGACATGTAGTAAGCAAACATGTTGAAGCAGGCTGTCACAGCACTTGGTTTGAGGGCCGACGCACCAAAAGGACTGATGAAAGTGATGAGTATGAAAGATGAAGAAGATGAGGAAGCTAAAATACACGTGGGTGGATGGGAAAAAGTTTTTTATGTGCGATGACAGGAACTAGATGGGATGAAATACCAGGCGGTCACACAAGATCTGGAAGTTGCTGGCACGTGCCATCACAGAGGCCAAAGAATTGGGAAAGTACTTGATTCCTAAAAGGGGACAAGACCAGTGAAAAAGCCGGGAGGGCCTGCATTATATACACGTTCTCTCGTGGCCGACCCAACTCCCAATCGGCCAGCAAGCTTGTTCCTGGCGATGGCTTCCTTCCTCTTGGTGATGATGGCCTCCTTCTCATGATGGGGAGCGCCTTCCTTACCTGTTGGCCACTTCCCTGCATCTCGATCAGGTGGGTGTTGGGCATGCATCCCTCGGTCCCGACAATGTACAGAACAGATTCTTCCAAAAGTGCACAGCAATTTCTGAATGGCTTCATCTTCGCACCTCACATTTCGCACCTATATCGAGGTCCTTTGCTCAACCCTAACCCTCACATCTCCGGGCACCCCAGTCCTCACCACCACGACGACCACCTCAGTTTCACCCAATGCGCCTATGTATCACCACGGCACTTCACCCTCCTTATCCCTAAACGTCCCCGTCGGCCCCCCTTCCTCCTGCACAACCCTCACCACAATCTCCGCCGCTTCCCAGGGCTCTTGCGTCCCCTTAAAATCATTCAACCCCGTCTTCGTATATCCCGGACAAACCGCATTGACCTTCCACTTCTCCCCTCCTCCCTCCTTGGCATGTCCCAATCTCCACGCCAGATGCTTTGCGTACATGTTCAACGCCGCCTTGCTGGCGCTATACTCGGTGTAATGCCTCGTGACGTAATCCAAGTCGAAGTTACGGCTGTTGGCTTCGTTGAAGGTGTAGTTTATGGAACCTAGTTTTGAGCTGACGAAGACGATCTTCCTCTCTGGCTTTGGGGATGCGGATAGTAAGGGGAGGAGTTTGTCGGTTAGGAGAGCGGGACCGATGAGGTTCGTGTCGAAGACGGAATGCCACTCCCCTCTTTCTATCTCTGGCGCGTGTGGGTCTGCGACGTGTGTGAAGAGAGAAGAAGAGGCGATGGCGGCGTTGTGGACTAGGATGTCTAGGTGGCCGTGTTTGGCGGATATTTGGGCGGCGGCGGCGGAGATGGAGGTGTCGGAGGTTAGGTCGAGAGTCAGGGGTTCGAGGGTGGTGGAGGCGTGGAGGTTGGGGAGGGAGCGCAGGGTGGTGATGGCGGACTCGACGGAGGAGAGGCGGCGGCCGGAGAGGATGATGTGGTAGCTTTTGTCGAGGGAGGTGCTGAGGTGCTTGGCGATTTCGAAGCCGATGCCGCGGTTGGCACCGGTGATGAGGACGATGGTTTTGGAGTCGGGGGCGGTGGTGGCCATGATGAGAGGTTTTGCTGTGCGCCGGCTGGGAAATGCTTGATTGTTGACGGGGAGTTGAAGAGGTCGTTGTTAACGATGTGTCCTCGGGTGTTGCTGTTTTTGTCGTCGTCTCTGGTTCTGTTCGTCTGAACATCGTGAGCTCTTTATACCATGCCACACGTCATGGTGACGTAGCCGCGGCCGTCTCGTGAACCATTTCAGAGCTGCCAACCCAGCCCTGATATTCGTCCCGATCATGTCGATGGAACGGCTGTATGGTAATCGCCGAAGTTTGACGGGGTTAACTCCGGTCATCAATCACCTGTTTTGGTGGTGTTGAGTACCTTCCTGGAGATAAGCCCTCCATAAGCGTAAACTCCGCCATCGACCAAGGTCGACGACAAAGTAAGCCCAACAGCCCTCAATCTTTGTAGACAGGTTCTTCACCCGTAACCTCCTCAGACCAATTCAGCATCACCCCTCTCCACCAGTCCCTTCGCATCTGACCACCTCAAAATAACGATATCCCCCTCTTTGCCCGTGAGCACACCATCGACGTCGACTCCGTGACACTCAATCTCCGCGTCCTTCAACAGGCGAATGAACACAGCCGAGTCGAGGTCAGGATTGTCAATCATGCTTATATTCCCCGCCGTGTCGTTCAAGTTCTGCATCGCTGGGGGGAACGTTCCCAGGAAGGAGTTAAGATAGTGGTTGTGCAACAAAAGCTGGTGTCTTCGCGCGTAAGCCTCTTCGATTTGCGACATGCGTGTTCGGAGATTGTCGTTCGAGATGTAGTGGAGGAGGTGTTTGTCGATCTGTTCGCAACATTCCTGTCAACAATTGCCCCTATTCGTCTGTAAGCAGAGATGAAGATATCGGGCGTGCCATACCTTCGCAATCCTCGTCCTCAAAAACGACCTGACCAGATACTTATATCTCTCCAACTCCGTCTGAATAACAATCAGCGCGAAATTGGTCTTGGGATCCATGTCGCCCGTCATCTCCTCCACTTTCTCTATTTGCCGCTTGATCTTGTCGTTGATGCGCTCGAACAGGCCATTGGAGGGCCAGGGAAGTAGTTCGGGTGTAGAGCGCTCGGCGACCCAGGCGCGCGTCAGGTCTTGCAGGTCGCGCGTTTCTTGCGGGATCTGGTGCGAGACGGGGTCGACTTCGCGGAGGATGTCGTCGATGTCCATTATGGCTTGTTGATTGATTGGGAATTAGAGTGAATCGGGTTGTGTGGTGGGCGCAATGGGTGGTTGAAGAGGGAGAAGGGAGGGAGGGGGAGGGGAGAAAGTTGTCGCATTTTTCGTGACGGGATTTGATCTCGACTTCACAGCCCACAAGGTCAGGCCTCGAACGCGGGGCGGGGCAGATCCCACCCCGGATTTTTAGGGGCTCGGCGGGCTGCTACGGCGATCCAGTGGAGCGGTTCATCCCGCTTTTAGTGACGTCGATGCCCGCTGCGTCCCCTAACCTTAACAGTGCAGGGGTCTCATAGGGGTGCCCCTGAAATTCATGTAAACATCACGGCGAGCATGCCCGGGAATGTGGTCGGAGTCTGGGTCTTTAGACTGAATGATTGTTACATGTGGTATTATCATTGGGGTAGCAACTGGATTAACTATAGCCGCCTCTGCATTTCAAGTGTTGCCCCTTCCTTGCCCTCCGTTCCGCTCCTAATCAAATCATGTCTATGCTCTCATCAGAGTGTGTTGGCGCCAGAGTCATTGTGTTCGTGAAGACTGAGGATTTTCTGACCCCAGTCCGAATCTGAGGCTCTTCGGGAGAACATCAGCTTGTACATGAGAGCCGGGTTGGGAGGTGGATCGCCCGGCGACATCTCACCAGCGCTAGTTGATGTTGGTGTAAGCACTGTTGTGCCGTCGGATGATGACTCCTCCTTTGTCTCGACCTCCAAGGCCGAGTCCGATGTTGAGGCATCAGCATCATCAATGTTCTTTTGAAGGATTTCCTCAGCGCCGTGTACTGTCTTCTGGTCCGCGCGTCCTGTATTCTCGATCTTTTGCCTGTTTTTCCTCCTTTGGGCCAGGGACGATCCTTCAAGTTTGCCAAGGTCGGGGATAGGCTTGAAAGGACACACCGGGATCGAGTCCAGACCAATCACTACCTCTGTAAACGGTCTCCCCTTGAGTCTTGCTGCTCTCGAATTATCGTCCGCGTTGTCGTCGGCTTCATCTCGTTCTCGATCTGGCTGTTTGCCATTGTTATAGCGCTTCTCGTCCTTGACAGATGCGTTTTTGACAACCTCAATTTCATCATCTGTCCAACTCTCTTTCGATATAACGTTGTCCTCTTCCTCCTTGTTCTTGTCATGTAGACATTTTCCCTCCGTGGCCGCGGCTTCTTCGTCCAATTTGCCCATATCATCCACTTTGTCCCCTTGCTTTCCTGGTCTTTCATCCGTTATTTTCGTATCGTCCACGTCCCTGGGTTGCTTGATCTTCACCCGTCTTGTCGTCCCAGTCGGCAGTCCTGTGCCTTTTCCACTCGCCATCCGCTCACAGTCCCCTAACCGCCGCCTCAAGAACCATTCAACTGAGTGACGGCCATGGCCACTCTTTGCGAATCTCTCTAATGCCTTCCTTAGCATTGAATCCCATTTGGCGACTTCTTTTGGGCCTCCTTCGCCCTCGGTTTTATTGTATGATGGCTGTGTGGCAAGAGGCTGCGGCGCGGTGGACGACGAGCGTGACGAAAGGCCTGTTCTCAAAGACGAAAAGTCTTCCCTGGAGCGGTATATCGTGCAGGCGCGGTTGTGAGGGTAGTAGAGGGTGATCTCGTATAGAGGAGACTCGTCTTCTTGGCTCCTGGACTTTGACCTGCGTTTAGATTTCCGTTTCTGTCTGTCTTTGTCCTGAGCCTGTGAATCGGAGTCTGGCCTGGGCTTGTGCTGAGCTCGAACTCGAGTGGCTATTGGTAACGTTCGGGTCCCATTGTAACTGTTGTGATTCTTTTGAGTGTGTAGTTGAGGCTTGAATCTTGTCTCAGACTGAGATTCCGATGTCTTGGAGGTTCCTCCCTCCAGGTCGGGTGAGAACATCAGTGGGACCAGCATGTTGCTTCTCGCGTAGTCTGTGATTGTTGGTGATGAGAGGTGAGGGATATCTCAGGATAGATATTTGAGGTGATCGAATCGGGGATTAAGATTAGAACATGGGATTGGTTTCCAATAATAAGCTCGCTTGATAGAAGCGAAAAGAGTTGAGAAGGAAAAGAAAGAAAACAAACCACACCGCAGCCGCGATGATATAACCCACGCTGATGCGGAATGTGGATATCACATGTGTCCCACTGTATGCAAAACTAGTGATCAACTAGTTTCGGGACTTGGAAACCAGATCTATCCCGTCATGTGTACTGGAACAGGACCTCATTCCAACCGGGGAATGGTTACGGGACGTGCTGCTGGCAACACAGGCGGTATCAAGAGCAAACCGTAAGGTCGCACAACAGGCGGTTCAGGTGGCTCAACAAAGAAGGTGCCTCGCAAGGCTGATTGGACTGGCGAACCAGGAGCCGACAACGGGGACGGTTTGGCACGGTAGAGCTGACATTCTCACCTGAAACGGACTATTTGGCTAGACCGGCGCTGACTATGCACCATGAGGATCACTGTGATTTGTAGAGTCAGAGACCGATGATACCGCCTTTTCCCGCCATTCATTAGATTGGGCATTGGTCAAAAGGGCATTTTGGGGTCGAGGTTGGTATGCCTAACAGGCCAGTCGGTGCCCGGTGGTGGGAGATGATGTTGTCAAGTGGAAAAGTGTCGAGTTGTCAACAGCCGAGCTTTGGTTATTACGGGTCAGGGTTGATAGTCCATGGTTGACGCGGATTCATCTCGGTAAAGGGTCCGTGAGATATACCGAGGGTTGTGGATGTGTATATAAACTGCCGTGAATCACAAGGTGGTATCGACATGTTCTCGATTTGTGCTCAACTTGTGATGTTGAAGTTGAAATAAAAGAGAGAAAATGACGGCAAGTGGCAGTAGACCACACCGACAAAATCGGGTATAGCGTGTTTCTGCTCCAAACCCTAACCCCTGCCCTTCTGAAACGCAACGGTTGCAGTTTAATGCGACTTGACCACATGGAGCCGTGCAACCCCGCACCTCTTGTTTGAGGGCTGGTACGTACCACTAGCAGTCTGGTTGCCCGGCTCCCTTGTGAATGCTAACACAAGCCCGACTTTGTTTGTCACAAGATCTGTTGGACATAATCACCGACTTCGACATAGCTTGTTCGACGTTTATCGGTGTACTGAAGTTCAAAGAGCAACAGACTTAACAGAGGTCAAATTGCCCTCCGTTTGAGCGTTGCTAGGGCGTCCAATCGATAAACCTTCTGCGCTAATGCAGCACGAGAGCTCACAAGCATGTCGACTGTGCCTGCGTGATCACCAGCAGATGCGAATTGGGAGATAGGATTCTGATTGGAAAGATTTCCAAATCGTGGTCAACATGGAGGCAGCTTTAGTCCTCAACACCACAGATCTGCAGATAACCTACTCCATGATTTCTTCCCAGAGATTGCCGAATTCAACTTTTTATTAATAAATAGTCGTGAAAGAGCAGACGGTGTTGTCTGCGCCTTCTTCGGGCCCAAGGGAGCGAGAGTGGAAAGTGGACTGCAATGGTGGACCCCTTCCCCATGCAAGCAATCCCTGCCAACTTTGCTTGCCCTCTTTCCATGCGTCAGTCCTTCACTTCCTTCACTTCCACCTGCCCCAACAGCTCCAGCTTTATTTTCCTGTTTTCACTTTCTCCCTTTGATTGATCTCGGAGCTCTTCAACTTCTTGTTGACATTTGTGAAAATTCCCATTTTCCCCTCTCTCTCGACAAACAGCTTTTGAACAAGGTCTTGGTTTTCTTGGCCAGCTTTTGTTATCCACCCCCGCCTTAAGATACTATCACAGCTATCTTTGCGCATCGCATCGGATTAGAACATCGTCGCCTTGTCATCCTTTCTTCAGCAAGACTCAACATCGCCAACTGCAGCCATGTCATTGCAGGACGTATACAAGAGGTTCCTTGGTTCGCCAAGCGCCGCTGCGCTCTCGGACGACGCCTCCCTACACTACATCACAACCACCACCAGCGTTGCCGGCGCATCCAATATCACCAAGCATCTCTCTACCGTCGCCAGCCAGGTGAAGAAGGAGAAGGAGAACGTTCTCTATGCCATCGAAGGCCAAGATGCCCTCGCTCTAGAGGTCAACACCTCCCTCGAATTCCTCATTGATGGAGGCCCCTATCTCCCTGGTCTGGATGACAATTACGTCGCCGATCGCAAGGTCAACTTTACTATTGTGAGTTGCCAAAGCTTCCCCTCCCAAGTTACCCCTCCCTCCATGAAACCCAGCCAAGTTCTAACCCCCGCGCTTGACAGTTCCACATCGTGACGTTCAACAGCGACGGCAAGATCACACAGATCCGACAAAGCTGGGACCAAGGCTCGCTTCTTAGGCAAATTGAGGTTATTGGCAGGTCCGGTCGCAACTGGCCAATTCGCGACAGCAAAGATCAGATCAACCTGATCAACAGATGCATCAAGGAAGGCGGCACTCCCGCTACCGACAACCAAGGCTCCACGAGCACCCGTCCCAAGGCTACCAACGCCATGCGTGATCCTCATGCGTCGCTTTCTCTGTTCGCTCCTCGCGAAGAGGTCGCAACCCCACCAGAGCCCGTTGTCTCTCCCAAGGCTGGTTCCGCGAGGCACTTCCAGCCCATCCGTCTCTTCGAGACTGACGAGAATATGCCCGAAATTCCCGATACACCCCAGTCGATCCATTCTGTTCAACGCAAGGTGAAGCCCGATCCGACAAAGTACAAGCACTTCGACTTTGCCGACGGTTCCGATCCCGCCGACGCACCCCAGCCTGGTGTTCCCTTCGACAAGAAGCCCAAGACCAAGCATGACAGCCAGTGGTCTTTCGACGACTTTAACTCCCCCGAGAGGCCAGCTCCTACCCGTACCATTGTCAAGAGTTTCCTTAGCAGCGTTGACGACGAAGACCACCAAGGCCCTTCGACTCCGCAAAACAAGGCATCGCGTAAGCTGCGCCGTGATGATGCGACTCACTTCAATGTTGGCAACGACGGCCCATCTCCCGAGGTTCAGAAGAACAACCGCGGCGCTGGCACGAACGCAGCCTCTCACTTGTATGACGACGACCTTATGAAGGCTGATGGTAGTGCGCCATCGCCGGTCCAGAGAAACAACCGCGGCGCTGGTACGAACGCAGCCTCTCACTTGTATGACGACGACCTTATGAAGGCTGATGGTAGTGCGCCATCGCCGGTCCAGAGAAACAACCGCGGCGCTGGCACGAACGCAGCCTCCCATTTGTATGACGATGACCTCATGAAGGCTGACGGTAGTGCGCCATCCCCGGACCAGAGAAACAACCGCGGCGCTGGCACGAACGCAGCCTCCCATTTGTATGACGATGACCTCATGAAGGCTGACGGTAGTGCACCATCCCCGGACCAGATAAACAAGCGCGGCGCTGGCTCAAATGCAGGCTCCCACTTGTATGACGACAACCTCATTAAGGCTGATGGTAGTGCGCCATCGCCTGCCCCCCGTGCGCTAAGCAACATCACCAACGCCAAGAACAGGGAGAAACACTTTGAGCCTCACTTTGAGATCTCTGATGAATCGCCCCAGGCTGAGAAGGGTGCCAACGGTCGCTCCAAGGCCATCGAGGATCGCCAAGCGGCTCAGCGTGGATTGGAAAGTCACTGGTCGATGGAAAACGAATCGCCTGTACAAAGAAAGGTGAATTCGAACACCGGAATCACCATTGCAGGTGATGGTATGGGTAGCCGAAAGGGATTCGAGGCCAGCACCGCTGTCAACAAGGGCATCACTATTGCCGGAGATGGCATGGGCGGCAAGAAGGGAACGCAGCGGAACTGGCTTACTGAGGAGGAGGAACCTCAGGACCTACACCTCCAAAACCGAAATCCCGGCAAGAGGCAGACCCAAAAGTCTGATAACTTTTGGGACTTCTAAGTTGTGCCGTTAACGGGAAGAGTGGGAACTTGTGGGTCTTTGTTTGGTATACTGTCGTCATCTTGTTTTCTCGCACTTGATATCAGCTGCTGTTTGTTCTCGTTTTCCACTTTTTTAAGGAGGGGGGTGTCAACCACTGCTCCTGGACCCACGTTTGGAGAAACAGGACGTTTGAGTAACAGAGCCATAGTGGACAAGAAAATAGGTCCTTAGCTTTGTAGGAAGTTCGTTCAAAAGGAGGAGGAAAGTTGTCTCACTTCGAGTTTTCTGGTTTGTGGTAGACCTTGGCTTTACAAATACCAATACGAGAATGAGAAAGATGGAACAGATATGGACGATACGCATGTACATGACTACTCTGCTCTAGTCTAGTAGGCAAATACATAAAAATACAGAACCATGGTGTCTTAAAGTTGACCTAATCCTCTCTACCTAATCCTCTCTACTCTTATGGTGGACATCGATTGTCATGCACAAATCGATAAACGTATCGTGGCCTGGAATAGTTTTGTTCCTTGTGACAAGACATGTCATCAGGTTTAAACCTAGGAATAGAAGAGGGGGAGGGGGTCGAACGCCATGAAGAACGGGGATCAAGTATAGCATAGGTAGTGTTAAGATCAGGATAAATAGTGAAAAAAAAAAAAAAAAATCTGAAAAAACCATCAATGTAGTTCTTCCTATCGTGTTTCCTCTATCTGTTGGTATCACCTGATTTATTCCTGGTGTGCTTACTCCTGCGTGCGGCCAAAAAGAGAGAAGAAGCCAGAGATACCTAGGCATTAAAGAACCAGGAAGCTATTCAGGAAGTTAGTTCAATGAAAGAAACTAGTCCTGCGTGCTTGCCTTTTTCTTACTTGCTGTGTCTTTTTTTTTTTTTTTTTTTTGTGGCTTTCCGTATTCATGGATGGGCATTATAGGCAGAGGTCGGCTACCTTACCCCTGATTGAGTGTGCTGCGTTCATTGAGATGATGATGATGAGATAAGGATAATAGTGATGGCAAGCAATGAAGGAGTCAAAAACGCCCAAGGAATGAAGAGATTCTAATACTTTTTGTTGGGCTCAAAGGTGAAAAGACACTTCACCACCGCTTCACTTGTTGGCTATGGCTATCATCACATTCCACCGAAGCTTCAGTCACTCTTCACTCTTGACCATTGCATTGTTCATTACCTACTTCTCAAGAAAGAAAAGAGCTGGGAGAAAGAGTTGAATAAATCATGATATGTACATCGTACCTTTCTACAAACACTCGAAGATTCAGACAGGCTCACAGGCCCAACGCTGACTTCCTTACGCGATGCCACTTCCATACCACCAACCAGTAGTCCGGTACAAGCTATTCCGACAATGAAACCTCCGCCCATACCTAGAACTAGATAGTGATAGGAAAAGAAGAAGAGAAAAAAACAACGCCTCCCTATAAAAGTAAAGATACGCCCAATGAAATGCGGCATGCATGAATTCATACGTACGTCGCGTCGTCGTGGGTATAATGCCATCTCCTTATTTCCCCTTGAACACATAAGCCACCCTCCTCCTCCTCTCTCACCATCACCCTTTACCCCCTATTATGCGCTTCACCTCTTCCTCGCAGTCTCATCAACCTCCTCCCCCAACTCTTCAGGCCTCCTCGGATCCACATACGCACTCAACCTCGAATCACCCCACCTCGCTCCAATCGTAACCCAAACATGCTTCATCGGGCCCGTAACATTCCTCGTCTCCCTGCATCCCGTCCACCTCATCCTTTTCTCCCTGGACATGTCACTGTTTCCGAGACCTCCGTTGGCCGACCACTCCCGTATCACGTCACGGATGAACGTGATCTTCTCGCGGAAGTGGTTAGCGGCAGGGATGTTCTGCAACGAAGCGGGGATTTCGGGGCGACGACGGGAGGTAGAGGTACTGGTAATGGTGGAGCGGGAAGGGGAGGAGAAGTTGAGGAGGGTCTGTAGGGGGTAGGAGAGGACGGAACGCTCGTCGAGAGCAGATTCGGAGAGGGAGCCAGTTATGGAGAGGTGGGTGGCGGCGGACTCGGGGAGGTGCCAGAAGTGGCAGAATGTGCCGGTGGAGTCGAGGACAATTTTGGTGTGGTCGGGGAAGTTGAACTGTACGGAGTTTTGTTAGCTGGGTTTGAGCAAAGGAAGAAAGAATAGGGTAACGTACCTGGAAATGACCATCGCAAAACATCCAGCAACCAACGTCACCAAACCTCTGGTAAAAGGTCACAACATCACTTGGCGCAACCGTCGGGTCCGTGATAGTTGGCATCCGAATTGGCGCATCATCCTGGTTGTCCGACTCTCGACCATACTGAATCATGTAGTTGGCAAACTTCTTCCATAACACAATGCGCTCCCTCTTGCGGTGATCGTAGATATCCTTGCCCGCCGTAAGCTTACCCGTAGTGCCATCGGGGTTGACCGGGATATGGAAGTTCTGGGGCGAGACACGAACACGGTTGATGCCGTCCTCGCCGTTGTTTTCGTAGAAGTATACGCCCTCATTTTGGGGCAGGATTTGGTGCCTGTCTGGGTACCTAGGATCGTCTCTGCGCTGGCAATGACGTTCAGCACCATGAACAAGCACACAAGCAGGTGGTAGCAAACCGTTTCGACTACCTTCCTGGGTAGGGATACTGCGGAGAATGCAGCCGACACTGCCGTCGTTCAAGATATAGCCCAGACCAAACTTGTTGGTGTAGTCAACCCACTTGACAACAATGTGAGGAGGCGATGGGGTCTTGTCCCTGGAGGACACAAGAGCCATTGAGCGAGCGTTGAGCGCTCTTTCCAGCTCTGCTTGTAGCCTGCGCAACCTCTCGAGAACAATGTCGGGCTGCGTCCCTGGTACTGCCTCTTGATACTCGGCTGGACTGAAGAGACTCAGCTTGTCTTCCTGTGGCTTTTGCGTTGTCGAGGTCGGCGCACTCCTCTGGGCAGGAGCGGGCTCCTCAGTTGGCAACGCTGTCGCCTGGCTTCTGGTTGTTGGGTAGCTGCGAGAGCTACGAGTTGTCGGTCGGATTGGCTGAGATCCTAGTGGATCAGCACTCTCTGGCACTTCCCGCCTGCTAGAGCGGGTGCGAACCGAGGTAGAGCTAGCACTTCGGAGAGCCGGCTCTGGAACCGTTTGCGACCTGACTGTAGCGAGAGGCCTGCCTTGGGCCCTTTGTTGAGCCGCAAAGCTCTGAGGTGGTGCACGGAGAAGTCCTGTGGTGCCCCTGTTGGCGATGCTCGCCTGGGCGAGACTGTTGCTCAGGTCATCCACAACCGGCTTTTGAGGTTGTGAATGTATTACTCCCTCCATTCTGCTTCCGCCTATGTCCGCCAGCGGAACGCGTTTCTGCGGTTGTTGTGACGATGTCACCTTGGAGGCTTGCTGTTCGGCTTGCTGCTGCTGTAATAGACGAGCCCGACGTCTTGCCTCGGTCTTGATCTCGTCATAGGGCCTGTAGACGATACCCTCGGCGAGCGGAATAACAGGGGTAAGGCCGTTTGCCTCCTCCTCTGCCATCTCTCGCCAAATGTTCTTGAAGACAAACTGCTGCGTGCACCATGGACCAACACTGCACTCCTTGCACATCTCTTGCACATTGCGGAGGTTGTCTGCTTCCGCTCGGGGACCGGACAGAGGATCGTAGAAGGCAGGGTTCTGTGGTGGGGACTCTCGGAGTCTGGACGAAATGTCGGAAGGGACGGGCATGTAGCCAGAGGTAAAAAAGGGATGAGAGACAATAGTGTCAGGATCCGGTCTCATATCTGCGTCTTGCAGCATGCTTGCAACAAGATCCTTAGCCTCCAGGCTGTAGAACTTTTGTGTGGCGTCGGGCGATGGCCATTCGTAGTCACGTTCTCTCGCGCGGCGGTAGATTTCGTCGGTCGTCGAAGACTGGAAAGGTGGTTTCGAGGTGAGCATGGCATAGACGATGATACCCAGACTCCAAATGTCCACCATGTGGTCATGGCCCTTCTTTCCCTTCTCGAGAATCTCCGGCGCAATGTAGTTGGGTGTTCCGCATAGTGTCGTCCTCCTCATAATCTGCATGTCCTTGCCGGTCAGGAGCAAGGCAGCCAAACCAAAGTCTCCGATCTTGGCGTTCATGTACTTGTCGAGGAAGATGTTGCCCATCTTGAGGTCGCGATGAATGATACCCTTGGCGTGCATGTACTTGATGGCGCCGGAAATCTGTACGGTGTAGAAGCGCACTTCTGGTTCTGTAAGACCCTTACGGCGCTTGACCATGTCCATCAGAGAGCCATTGGAGCACAGTTCGAGAACAAGATATGTGCAGTTTTCGAATGTAAAGGCGCGGTGGAACTGGACGATGTTGGGGTGTCGCATTTTGGAGTGGATCTGGAGTTCGGTCTGGAATTTCTGTTCCATCTTGGAGGCCATCTGGGCCTTGACAATCTTGAGGGCATATCGCTTGGAGCTTCCGATCAGCTTGCCGTCGTAGCAGATAGCGAAGCCGCCCTTTCCTAGTGGCTTGCCGACCTGGTAGATGGCGCCCTCTTTGCGATCGGAGCTGGGGGGTTCGTTGACATGGTTCGGCGGCGGCGGCGGGTGGTCTTTGTCCTTGGAAGCCTTAAGCCCAGCAGCTGCCTTGGACTTTAGCTCATGGGCTCTCGGTCTCGCCTGGGCGTTAACATCTCTAGGGGATAGGGCGTCCATACCGACACCTCTCATTCCCACGACTTTCTCGAGCGCGTCGAGGATAACAGGTTGGGTATTATTAGGAAGTCGTCGAGGTCGACGTCGGTGTCGTTGGTCGGGAGTCTCGTCTTGTTGGTCGGGTCATTCAATGCCGTGAATTATCTGAAGGTCTAAGGAGTGGAGATTCCACTTGGTTAGAGACAAAGTAAACAAAGCAAGGGGGCGTGCAGAGTGGGGATTGAACGGTGGCTGGCAAGGTGGAAGGGAAGAGGACAAGGAAGAGGGACAGACGACAGCGCCAATTGCTTGGAAGAAGCAAAAACTCACAGTGGGACTAGTAATCGTCAAGCACTGCTCGGCGACCTGGGATCCGACGTAGAGGTGAGCCAGGCAGTATCATGAAGATAATCGTCGACTGATGATGGTGTAGCGCGGATTGACTCGAGTGCGCGCTGGGGGGTCGGAGAAATAATTGGTGAAAGACAACGAAGGTCGGTAAATAATCCACTTCCGAGACGGCGCGCAAGGTCAAACGCAAACTGAACCCAGGACGGCGAAGAGTTGCCAAGGTGGAGAGGTCAAAGGAAGGTGAAGCGTGGGAAAGAAGCACCCAAGCAGACAGTTGTGTTGAATTGCAAAGTCAAGGACGGAAGTTGCTTTGGAATGAATCCACCGTCCAAATTTGGCAGGCAGACCTTTGTTTGCAAGTCGCCAGGGCAACGGCAGAGTGTTGCGGGGCCCGGGGTCGCTCTCCAGCCCAGCCAAGTCGCCTGCCAAGCCAGCATCGCAGCGCACCCACAGGCGAACCAGGGGGCCTGACTCGTCCGGCTCAGTGGGGTGCGGGTGGGGTGCTGAGCTGGCTGAGCATGACGGAAGCTCTGGGATCCTGGAATTGTCCGTCATCCGAACTTTTTGTCACATGCGCCTGTAGAAACAACAGTTGCGACCTGAACATTGTTTGCTTTTAGACAACAGCGATCACTTGGCGAACAAGATCTTCCACTCGTTTGCTCCTTGTCCAACCGGAACCTCGGCATCACCTCACCCACCAACAGCAACGACCAGCGGTTTCCCTGGTTACCTCCTTGGCAACACCTCCTCATCATGGTCGTCTCCCTGCCTCTCTTTAAGCTTGCCGCCCTCTTTGTGCGGCATATCTCCAAATATGGCGCCGTATGTCTCTCCCTCTCTTCCCCTCCCCTTCTCCTCGGCATAACTAACATGCCTTTTCACAGAACCACATCAAACACCAAGCCCATGAACACCCTCGATTCCGCGCCTTCGCTGCCAAGTATGGCCAGATGATACACCAACTCAACATGCGCATGTCCGTTCTCGCCCTCCGAAACGCCGACGCCGAACAGCGCGCAAAGGAAGCCAAAGAGAAGGCCGAAGCGCCCACCGTGAAGACGGAAGAGCAAGTGCGCAAAGAGGAGGAACTCAAAGCCAAGTACGGCGTCGTACCAAAGGAGTCGCACCCCGTCAAGCAGCCGCCCAAGAGCATATGGAGGCGCCAGTTCCGGCCCTTGCCCGAACCCAAGGCCGTGGACCTGTTTGCCGATGTGATTGGGGATGTCTTCATCTTGACCATTGCCAGCTCGCTGCTGCTGTACGAGTACTACCGGTCCTCGTCAAAGCCCGATCCGAACGTGCAGAGGATAAAGGATTTGGAGAAGCAGTTGGAGGAGGGAAGGAAGAGGGAGGAGGAGTTCCTCAAGAGGGACGAAGAGAGGCAGGCGAGGCTGCAGGCTATTGAGGATGCGCTGAGAGCGTACAAGGATCCGAAGACGAAGAAGCCTATCTTCCCGCCGCCACCGGCAGGCTCTTCAGATGAGTCGGAGGAGGGCTTTGCCCTTACGAGGGTGTTCTCCGGACTTGCCGGGAAGTTGGGCTTCTAAGTACGACTTATGGATTGGTCATCTTATTGACAGCGAAAGCTCCTTCTGATACCGATCGAACGGTCCTGGTCCCGACCCTCAATGTTGAAGGACGGACCATGAAGAAAGACGTACCATGCGACGCGCAATACGTGTCCAACACTGTATTATACCCGGATCCTCTTGCGCTCCAGGCAACACGGGCAAGCGCAAAGAGTTTGAGGGGCTACTTGTATACACGATCCAAGGGAGGAGCGACGGATAAAAGGGCCTCGGGAACAGTCAGCAGTTTCGCATCACGATAAACAAGGCAGGCACGGCGGACTACAATACAGGAGGAGCATCTTAGACAGCATACCAGATACCTACTTAAAGCTAGACGATACCCTTTTCGTTGAATAACGAACCACACCACTCACCATCTCATCATCTCCCCATCACTTACTATCGCTTTATCTTCCTCTTTTTCTTCCCCACAATGTCTTACGATAGCAAGTTACCAATCATATTAGAGGCAGAGGAGCTTGTCTCGTCAGAGCACTCAGACTCATCCGACCACCCTGTCTCGTCAGAACAGCCCGTCTTGTCAGAACAGCCTGTCTGGCGAACCATCCTGTCCCGTCAGAGCGATGCCTGGCAAAGCATCCTGCCCCGTCAGAGCGAGCAGGTTCATCAGAGCGAGCAGGCGCCTGTCTCGTCAGAACAGCCTGTCTGGCGAAGCATCCTGTCCCGTCAGAGCGATGCCTGGCAAAGCGTCCTGTCCCGTCAGAGCGAGCAGGTTCATCAGACAGAACAGCCCGTCTTGTCCGAACAGCCCGTCTTGTCCGAACAGCCCGTCTTGTCCGAACAGCCTGTCTGGCGAAGCATCCTGTCCCGTCAGAGCGAGCCTTCGTTGTCCAAGTTGAACGTGGAAGCGCCCGAGTTCAAGTTTAACCCCAACAGCACTTTCAAGCAGGTTCATCAGACAGAACAGCCCGTCTTGTCAGAACAGCCCGTCTGGCGAAGCACCCTGTCCCGTCAGAGCGAGCAGGTTCATCAGAGCGAGCAGGCTCATCAGAGCAAGCAAGCTCCTGTAGACCCGGCTATCATCTCGTCCAAGTTGAAGGCACCCCCACAGGAGCAACCTACGCAGACTGTGGCTGACGACAAGAGCTCCGTCCAACCGACTAAGCCATCGTCCGCACCTACCAGTACCACCGCGGACTCAAAGGTTGAGTCTAAGCCGGATGTGAAGACAGCTTATCAGTGGAAGCATGTGTTTGGCTATTACGGTCGAATGAAATCGGAATGGAACGAGGTCATGAAGGAGGTCCTTGATGTCCACGGAGAACGCTAGGAACGTACGTATTCGGTGTATACATTCGTGACCATGACATATATCAATCAACCAGTGGTACTTACGAGCTTCCCAGAGACCGATGCCATATTTCACGACATTGGCCTTCAGATGCCTACCCAAAGCGAATATCGGGTTCTCTCTCTCATGCTACTTTCCGCAGAGGATGTGCTGAAAGGTCGCACACTTCAGCGGATTGAAATTGTCGAACAAGCCTTCCGTACCAAGAGCCACTCCCCCTGCAGGCCGGCAATCATCTTCTGCCTCGAGGATAGCAAAGACGGAAAAAGAAAGGGGATGGACGCCTTCATTGAACTTCAAACCAGGCACGTACTTAGTCCCTGCCCTTTTCCTCCCCTCCAGAACATAGCTTCTTCAGTGAGAGCAACACAAAAGATTAAGACCCCAGCTAATCAACCACTATCCCACAGGCTCATGGACTCAACAGCCTCAGATCTCTCCTCAGTTCCCATCCTCCCCATCGCTCGCTACACCGTCCTTCCGTCCTTGCTCGGCTGGCTTGAGATGTGGGGACTGCCCGCCAAGTTCTTCGACACACTGCCTTTTGAACTCCGGGATGACAAGCCCCCTTGGCCTTGCACGCTCAGCAACAGCAATAACCTCGTCCCGCGTTCGGCTATGTCTAGCAGTATCCTGAATGGTCCGCCTTTTTGTCTCCTCATCGGAAAGAGGGGTTCCAATGCTCGAGGGCTGATCAACGTGGTTATTGCAAAGGCAGGAATGAGGGCGATCCGGAAGACGCCAAGAGAGACGTCCCAAGAGACGGGGCAGGCGGTACAGGAGTATGAGGGACAGGCCAAGGTAGAGAGGGTCGTTGCTTTTTGGCTGAAAGAGTACATTCTTGACCATTGAGCGGAATGATTCCAGGGTTTTCTTTTCACCGACTAGCTTATCACAGAGGTAGACATCTCTTGTACTTGAGAGTTTCGCAAAAGCGTTGATTTAAATAGCTTAGTTTACATTGATACAAAATAAACCGAAGAGAAAGCATGCCATCCAGTTTATTTACTGCTTGTCAGACAATACTCGTCCCGTTTCTCTCTTCACCCATTCTCTACTTACCATCCCATCTTTCGAACCCTCTATGGTTCTTCACCTTTAACTTACAGGCACCTTTCCTCTCCGCCCTCTCCGCCCTCTCCGGCCTATTCCAAACCAAAACAGAAGAAGCCTCCAGTCCGCCATTGATAACCAGATCAACATTTTTCAATCGAATCGTCATCGAATAACCCCCTCTTCTCCCTTCCACACAGCACCAACCCACTCAGCCCAGGCCTCACGTTCACAACCTCTAGACTTTCAGAGCATAATCATCAAACATCAACCCTCAAAGCCAACCCCTCATTCTCCCTCGCTAATTTCTCCACATCCTCTTTGGCGAGGTCAATCATTTTTCGTAAATAAGCAATCTCCCGCTCAAGATGCTTGATGTAATCGAAATCAGCTTTTCGTTGGCGGTGAGAGTGGGAGGATTGGGCGCGGCGGACTTGGAGGAGGCGGCGGGTGTGAATGTGATATTTGGATGCCGGCGGTTCTGACTCTGACTCTGACTCTGACCTCGGATTATGTGGTGGCTGTGGTTGTGGTTGTGGTTGTTCTTCGGCAAGGGGGAGGTGGGATGGTGGGGGTGGTGTGGATGGTGTGGATGGTGTCGTAGTCGTGGTCGTGGAAGGGGAAGCGGAAGTGGGAGTGGAAGTGGGAGTTGGATTGAACGTGGAGGATGATGAAGAGGAGGAGGATGATGTGGTAGGACTTTTCGATGGGGAGTGCGGGTTGATGATTGGGCTGAGTTTGAGACTTTGTTGGAGAGGAAGTGATGGGTTGGTTGGTATCTCCGTGGACATGGAGCTCAGGCTGGCTGAGGACGAGGAACAGGCTGACAAGAAAGAAGACATTGTGTTGAATGTCTTGGGAAAGATCGAGTCAAGTAGAGGTATGTAGGTCAAGCTAATCAGACTCTAGTTTTCTTTCATAAAGCAGTTGTAGAGAAGTCAGGAGCTCAAGATGATGTTTCCAAGAAAGGCCAAGGGCAACGAAGCACTTGAGAAGAACGAATCCTCGAGAGGGACATCTAGCTATGTACCGTCGTGATATGATCACCGGAGACATTCCACCGAGACCAACCGGCAGGAGAGAACCTTGATGAGAAACACTCCGCAAGAAGACCACCCAAACTGCCGTTGGTCTTACATCAAGTCTCCGAGTGTCGCTCTTGACTCGGTACCTCTGCGTCACCTACGTGAATGTCTCCGCTTGATACCTGGTAGAGAAGAGGTACGGGGGTAATTCCGTCCTGGTTACTGGCAGTTGACAGCTTCCAAACCCATGGGCTCAAATAAACTCAAATACCATCTGCCTGATCAGCCTACTTCCAGTGGATGCTAAAGCAGTAGTAGTCCGCACTGTCAATCTGTCATCCATCAGTTCAAGACAACCCAAGGCGGATAGAAAGCGGATAAGAACCTTGATGGCCCAGGCGAGCCATGATCGGCCCGTTCGGGGTTTGCAGATCCATGATTCCATCCATGCCATCCAACGCCAGCTGGACGACCCCAGGCCAAAAGTTCCTCGCTTGGTGTTGACAAATACTGTACTCTTGATGTAACGCTGCAAGTGGAATGGATGGGCCATCCACCATCGTAAGGCAGGATGGGGATTTGGGTATCAATATCTTACTTGTATTGATTTGGCTATATAGAGTGTGTTTGCTTACTTCTTCGCTATTGCTGATTCATCCACTACCTAGGTCTAATCGACCCGCCCGGTCTCGTCCGGGAGCCAGCGAAAAGAATAGCAAAGTCCAAGACGACAAAGACATTCCCACTATTCCGTTCGTCCAGCTATGGTATATCCTCCTCCCATCCCATTCCATCCCATATCACTGTTCCTTCCAACACATGTGATATGATTGCTGCCCTTCCTCCAATCACTTCTTTACCAATTCTTCACACCATCCCATTTGATGCCATACCCTTATAATCCCGACCAAAGAAAAAAAGTAAATTTTCCGACCCTTTTCCTTTTCCTTTTCCCTTTTTCCCCTTCCAAACGCCATAAGTGACGAAGGTGATGCGCTTTCCCGCCGCCCCCCATTCGCCATGCAGACAGCACAAATAACAAAAACCCTACCAAAAATCAACCGACAAGTAAAAGAAATAATGACCCTTCTCCCTCCTCAATCAGCAAGGACCGACCACTTCACTTCTTCAAGCTCTCGTAACCCTCTAAGTCCTCCGAAAACTCCCATGATACCCCTCATCCCCCCCTTCTCCATCCGTACTCTCATCATCCTCATGATGCTCCACACCCCCTCCCTCCTCATCACTCTCATAATCGCTCACATCCGCAATCTCGCCCATCCCATCCTCACTCACATCATCATCATCCTCCTCCTCACTATCACTATCCTCCTCGCCCCCCTTCTCGAGCACAGCAATACTCCTCCACTCCACATAATTCTTGTCCAAATCCAACCACCTCTTAGCGACCGGCAGTTGGAACGGATCAAACGGAAAGCAGGCCTCGATGTGCGTCCAGTTCTCGTGGTCGAATTCGAAGCCGGAGTCGCGAAGGGCGCCGCCGGTGGCGTAGGAGGAGGTGAAGAATTGCGAGAGGTGGATGGTCTTGTTCTTTTCGATTTGGGGGTAGATGTAGATTAGTCGGAGGTGGTGGGAGAGACGGGCGAATTCGTCGACGATTATGGGGGAGCAGCATTTTAGGGGCTGTTGCGTATGTTGTTAGTAAACGCACATCCAATGGGGTTGGAGGAGTTGGTGGCTTACATTAAGCTTGCTCGCGATATTCACCTGCAACCGCTGCCTCAACCCCTTCATCCACGGCAAATCCTGTCCCAAAAAGCTGGCCGGATCGTCCCAATCGAAGCTCGCGGGGACCTCGTCCCGATCAATCAGATCCCGCCAGCGGAAGCAGAAGATGTACAGCAACCCCTGAAAGTACGCATAATACTGACTATAGCGCCTTATGTCCGGTCCGCGGCAGCTGGTGTGGGTGTTTCTGTAGTGATCGATGTAATCGAGGAAGGTCTGCGCAATCAGCTGCACCTGGTCGCTCTGCACGCGGGCTCCTCGTGCCGTGAAGGAGGCCAGGTAGGCGACGGCCGCTTGCTTGACTACGGGGGCTCGGGTAGATTGGAAGGCGATGTTGAAGAGCGTGCCGATGAACATCTCCATTAGCCGGTTGGACTTCATGGCGAACTTGAAGAGGAGGTATTGCGTGTGGCGCGATTTGAGGTGGGGGAGGATGACGTTGACGAAGTCGGTTAGGAGGTCTTCAAAGGTTGCGAGTGCCTCTGGGCTATCGGGGTCGGCGAAGACGGGGTCGTAGATGGAGAAGAGGAGGTCGAGGATGGCGTCCATTGTCTCGAGTTTGCTTTTTAGCAAGAGAATCCGCCGTGTTTGCTCGTCGCTTTCCTCTTCGTCTTCGTCGTCGGAGTCGGCGTCGCTCATGGCATCGTCGTCCTCGTCATCGCTCTTAGCGTTCGAGGCTTCAAGCTGTCGTAGAACCGCCCGTGTGGTCTCGTCGTCGTCGTTCTCCAGATCGAGTGTCATTTCGACGTCCAGCTTTACCAATCGCGAGAGGATCAGCTCCATTATGTCCCGTTCCAAATCCGGCTTGTCCGCTTTTAGCCTGAGCAAGTGGTCGATGTACTCCATGTGTCTCGTCTTCGATTCTTCGGTATGCGGGAAGCTGTGTGTTACGATGTCGAGGATCATCGGTCGTGCATCGGCGTAGAGCTCGAGGAGGTATTTCAGACCGAGATGTAGCCGCTCTTTCTTCGTCTCGCTATCGACGGGCGGGAACCCCGGTACGACTTCTACGGTCGAGGATCGTGTCTCGGTGAACTTGTCGACCATCATCGAGAGTGCTTGTTGCCTGAAAGACACCTTCGCAGACAAGGCTGCCAACAGCTGAATGTACGCCCGTGCAAAAACATCGTCCCTGTCTAGCCAAGTGCAACTGAGCACCGCCCGTATAAGTCCCGAACACGATCTATCCAGCAGTGGTGCATGGCTGGTCAACGCAACGACGTAAACCTGGAGGTCTTGTGGTTGTGGGGCATCGGCATCTTCCTCTTCGACAATTGTTCGCTTCGGGCTCGGGCAAAAGATTTCTTTCAGGCCGTCGTAGTCTTCATCGTCTCCGCGGGCATGACCCTCAAGGGCCTGCTTGACCTCGCGTTTTGCGTCGTCCAACGTCTTGCCACCGAACTCCTTGATCATGTTGAGCTTGTCGTTGAACATGACGGTTTTCCTCTTCTTGACGGGGCTGCTGCCTGGGAGGCCGTCGCTGCTCTCGCCGTCCTCTTCCCTGGGCCTCCTCCCGAGCACTGTGGACGGCTTTCGTAGGATGGACTTGATGGCGGATGAAGTGAGCGGGGTTGCCTGCGATCGGGTCGCGACCGGAGTGAGAGTGGTCATGGTCGAGGATGGGAGTGGGCGGATAATATTCGCCGTCTACCGGGGGTTGGTCTATTATCTGGAGATTATTTTGTCGATAGGAAGTGGATCCCTGGAGATGGATTTGGCCGGCAGAAAAAAAAAACCCAAGAGTATAACTAGCGTGGTGGTGTGGTGGAAATGGAAAGGGTACGCAGTACTCGGTCGTCGTTTCGTTCTCGATATGCACGTCTTGAATGCCGTCCCAGTGGCGGACAGGTGATGGTACGGTGATCAAAGTGTCTCTCGGCTCCCGTCGCAGATTTGGCCAAACAACAATAGCATAGTTGTCGAGATTGAGATTACAAGCAGATGAAGCGAAAGAACGGGCGTATGGGAGTCTCCTTGGGCCAGTGGCATTGCGCGCTGGTCTGTTCTTTTCTTCGTGGCTGGCCGCAAGGATACCGCTTGAAAAGAGTTTGTTTACGCTGTGATGAAAAGACAAATCAATTGCGACTGGACATGTTTTTTTCCTGATCTGTTAGTGAGCGGAAGCCTCCATTTGCCCCCACAAAATGGCACGTGCACACCGGTCGATGTGGGCCGTGCCCGGCCGATCAGGAAGGCGGTGAGCTTATCGGTCTCGGTGAGTGACGCTTGATTACATAACCACTGACATGGAGTTCAACCTCCAAGTCCCCAAATTCCCATGTCATTGGTATCATACGCATCATGACCTGTATAATAAAAAGACATAGGAAACGTTCATCAGAGACATCATGATGGGCTTCAAGGGTCAGGCAACAAAGTCACTAGCTTACGCCGATAATTTATTCATTCTCCAGTCTATTCCTGATATGATCACTAGGTACTTGCTATCATCTTTCAACCTTTTGATCAAAGTCACAGAGACGCAAGAGCATCACCCCCGGTTCTCTCACAAAGACAGAGACCAAACTTCATAACCGTTCTTTGCGCCAGCTAGCCGACTAAGTACCAATTTTGATGGCCGCTCCTGTATATTTGAAGACCAAACAATATCCACCCCATAGAAAAAAGAAAGAGAAAAACATAGTAGTGTAAGAGGCTGCTGCTTCTTGCCTTTGCAGGTCAACAAGCAACAGCCCCATAGTTATACATACATCAAAAACTCGGTAATGGTGAGTGTGGGTATTCGTGATCCTTCCCAGTTTCAGCGGCAGGTGCATCTTTTTCAGCAACGACAGGACTTCTCCTTGAGGCCACGGCGCTGGCTGGTCTTGATTTGCAACTGGGTCATCGGACGTCTCAATAGAGCGCACGACGCCGTTCTGATCCGGTGTCGAATCGTCCCTATCAACCACAAGCTCGTGGAATGCCTTCTCGAGGCCAACGACCAGAGAGTCTGAAAAAGGACTGCTAGCGCTTCTGGGGCTTCAACTGCTTCTGAAATTTCCGGGGATTGCTTCTTGCCAATAACGCCATGTTCTGCGGGCCCCTAGTACCCTTCAGCACCGCCACCGTTATGACCTGTCTGGGCGCCATAGAGGTTGTAGCCTGAAGCATCGCCACTTTCTTGCTGGCCGCCAAGGTCGTTGCTGGAAAAACCGCCCTGTCCAGGTTGGTTCTGGCCCTGAGGCGCACCGTAACCCTGGCTGCTGGGCCGATTCTGCTGGTTCTCGCTACGATTTGTCTGATTCTGCTGCTGCTGGAGTTAGCCGGGCTTTCATGTTTTTCCCGTACCGTCAAGACCACCATTCCTATGTCTCGGTATTGTATCGGCCGAAACGCCACGAGGCAGCAATAAGATCCGTGGTACGAAGGGAGCCCCGCGGGAAAAGGAAACTTTTTGAATGGAGACTTACTTCTCTGTACTTGGAAAGGTAAATCTTAAGAGCCTCCGCATAGTTCTCGAATCCCAGGGACGTCATAGCGAACAAGATGTCCTCGCCGTTGACCGTCTTGCGCTTTTCTTGCTGGCATTTTTCCGAGGCTGTGATAGGTCAGATCCAACTTGTTCCTCTGACTGGGTGACTATTGCCATTGTACTTACCTTCACTGGTGATGAAAGAGATGAACTCGCTCACGCACTCTTGCATGCACTCCTTTGCCTCTTTGGCTATCTTTGCATTTTCGGGAAGCGCATTCTTCATAATACGAGCGACTGGGGCAAAGTTGCGTATGTTAGCATCATAAGCATCACATCTATCGGCCTTGGAAGAGGAGGAAGAAGCGCGCGGCGCTTCGGGCGACTTGGGCGACGAATGGTGAGACATGGAAGTGTGTAGAGATATGCGCAGCGGCTGTTCTAGAAGTGCTCTCAAGCCCAAAGCAGCAGCAGCAAGACAGAAGCGAAGCCAGTCGGAGACGGTCTCGGGTCTGATTCTCGTCGCCAAACCCCCAGCCATGAATGGACATGGTGCCATGCAAGCGCAAGCGGGCGTGCTGCCCTGCTCTCTGTCTGGCCACGGCTACCTAGAACACACACTCCCACGAGGGAGGCGGGCGCACACACGAATCATGGTCTGTGACTGTCTTTGTGGACAGACACAAAGAGGCTCAAGGGCCCGCCGGCACCGAGACAGAGGCCAGAGGCAACGGGTAGGTAGGTAGGTCAAGAAGGGCAAGAGGGGATAGGCAACGAGGTGTGTAACATACCATTGGCTATGGGCAACCACCGGTCCTGTTCCTTGACTTCGAACTCATACTGGTTGAGCCCGCTCGAGTGTGGGTCCTGAGGGTCGTTCATTTGTGGTTCCTCGCCGGGTGACGGTGCACCTTGTTCGACATCCTTTGAATTGGATTGGGGGGAGTCGGACATATTTGGCTACCTGCAGCGGCTGCTCACGTCTTTCTAAATTCCTTGGACTGCCAGCTCGCACAGACTGGATTAAGGTGGATGATGTGTCGTTGGACACGTTGCAAGGGTGTTAGGTAAGGCTTGAGGCCACTTTTTTTTTCTTGGGCGGCTCGGCCTGCAGGCGACTGCGTCAATCGTGCCCCTGTTTAAGCGTGTCCAGGGATCCTTCAGGCTGTGACGGAGGGCCGGGGCTGGGCACTTTTTGGGGGTGGTGGCGATGAGAAGGAGGGACGGGAAACGCCCGAGACTGGGTATGGCAGCCCGAACCCGAAGCAAAGGAACGCTCCGACCTTTACTTGTCAGCGGCACGCTCGGTACCTCTAGCGGTAGGTAGCGAGGAGTGAGGGGGCTGTTCCGGGGGTGGATGGGTGGCCCGACGAGACTGGTGACTGGACGGGGCACTGCGGGTCCTACCCAAGGGCTTGCTTGGAGACTCTCTGGGGCTCTGGAACCTTGCCGGCGTCCGCTGGATGGATCGCCTTACTGCAGGACTGGTGCGGTCGTAAACAGGATGACCAACGGCCAACAAGATTTCTTCCAAGGGTAGGTAGACCGACCCTGCCGCAAGTGTATATTCCCGTGTCCCGGATTCGACGTTTCGATTCTCTTGCTGCTGCTGATGGCCTCCTGTTGTGTGTGTCTCTGTGTACACACGGATCGTTGTTACACCACACGGCGATGGGCTGGTGATGGTTGGTTCTTTGGCTTTACTGTCCGGGCCAGCGCAGGGGCAGAGCAACGCGTCTTGTTCTTTGATGCCGCGGTGGGGGTATGAAGAGACAAGTAGCCTAGTGTAGTGTAGATTGTATTGTGTATCGATGATGTCTGCCTGTTGTTCGTCTCGTGGAAAAGGTAACCTGCAAAGTCGCGTCAGAAGAGCAAATCCAGTCAACTAATGAACCAATACTTGGCCGAACGTGGGACTACGACTGTGGATTGGACCGGGGGCGGATTGGGGATCACTGGAACCCGAACTGGGGAAGTGTGGAAAAAGTCCAGTGAAGCTAGGACCGGGAAGGTTGGGATGTTGGAGTTCAACGCCCCCTTCACTTGGACTGCCGCGTTCCTGCGGGGCCAGCAACAGCAACAGCAGCAGCAGCAGCAGCAGCACCTCACAGCACCTCATGGCGCTCACGCAAAAGACGGGATGACTGTGGTGTGCCTGTGTGTGTGGTGGTGATGTGCGCATTGATGCAGTGCGCGCATGGCAGCATGGCAGCAGGAAGGCAGGGCAGTCTGTCTGTCTGGCTGGTCTGGCTCGGATCCTTCACTAGACTCCATAGTCTAGTGTAGTTTCTCACGATGTGTACGTACCAGTGGTAGTATGTATCAATACGATGCTTGGATAGTCGCGTAGAGTACAAAAACGGGTTTCTGCTTTGTCCTGGTCGGGGTGTCGGACGGCGTGTGTATCCACGTCGAAGGGGGTGTTTGACTGGGGCGCGTCAACGGTAGGGTACTTGTTGGGTTAGGGCGTCGAGATATTGATAGCCAGAGTGAATGGATATGAAAGTAGAAGATGGATGCCGATTCTTCCTAGTGGATAATCCAGGTGTCTGAGTTGGCCAATATGGATGGACGTGTGAATGTCAAGGTATGTAGTTGCAGTAGGTCTGTCGTTGTCGTTTCGTTCCGTGTCTGAGATGCATGGAAACACAAAACCAAGACAAAGGACGGTGTCAGCTCGTTGACAGCTCTCTTTGTTGGTCTCTACCAAAACACTGCACTAACAATTACAAAAAAGAAGGAAATCGGGTGAAGAGACGAGCATGCGGGAGAAGCGGGTCTCATCCGAATCATGCGCCGCAATCCATCCCGGATAGGCATAGCTTAGTTGTAATGTTCTAGCGATTTAGCGAACATCCCGGCTTCGCCAGCACAACGTCGGATTTTAGCAGAACAACAACACCACCACCAACAACAACAACTCACTCAATCTGCATTGCTGATATCGATTGACAATGGCACATAAAACACCCAACTGATACCTCTTGTTGTGACGTTTGGTCGGGCTTGTCTGTTGCCGTTCTCGTTTGCATCAACTGTCGATTTTGCTACCTTAGTTGGCATCTCCAACTTTATGTCAGCGAAACCGGAACTTGAACGGCAAGGTTTACGCTTCCATCGATACAACTACAAACCAGAGACCTCAAAGAAACTGTTCCCCTCATCCGACCCCGGCGTCCTTGCTGTTATCCTATATCCGCCTTCCCCACTTCGATCGATGGATATCAATGCCATGACGAGTCACCCGACTTCAACTCCTCGCACTCAAGGTGTCGATTATTCGCACTCAACGAGACGTCAATATCTGATATCCGTGGACCGACAAGAGCGGTGAAAGTGCATCGTCCGTGACCTCCTCAAAGGGTTGCATGCTTGCGACTATTAGCAAGGATAATGCGCAAAGCAATAGTTTTTGCTCTTCCAACTCATCAACAGTTGAATATCTCTTGACAATGATGCCGAACGTCAACGCCATTCCAGATATGATATCTTGGCGAAACAGCAACCCCAGCTTCAGGGCGACGAATGCCTGGAAGGTGGGTGGAGACAGCCTCTGATTCGACAATGGCTGTGACATATCAACATCATCTTCAACCCAAACAACAGGAACGAGAAGGCTGAAAAAATCCAAAAGCCCAATCGATGCCCTGAAATCCAACCACGACTTTTGGGCCGAAAGAGGCTGGGCGTTCTTTTGTTGGGGGTCCAAAGGAGATCCCAAAGGAGAGGTGTGTGTGATCACTGGCTGGGCTTTTCGCTATCATTCAGCTTTTGATATGCCCGCCCCTTCTTCGTTTCCCACGATGCGGGTAACCATTCACAGCCATTCACCATTCCCCAGACACGAGGCTGGGACAACTTCAAAGGCCAACCTCAGTGGTTGTCACAAAGCCAGTTCTTCGCCAATGGTCGATTTTAGATGGGATTTCGGCAACCTTATTGGAAGATATTCCCGAGATTATTTGAGAAAATCCCCTGTTGGCTCACAAGCTAATCACGGTCACGGGTGTCCTCCTTGGAAAAGCACCCCTCCCTCGCGCGGAAATCCAGAAAAAAGTTGGGGTTGGCCAACAGCAGCCTTCGAAACCCGAGTTTCATGATCTGCTGCTGTACGACTGGACCGGACATTCACAGGCTAACCGGCTTACTTACATTCAAGCCATAAAGCGGAGAAAATGACGCCGTCTTTCCGCCCGCCGACGGCAAGTCCGTCATCATCGTTCTTTGCATTTGCCCGTCCGTCCGTCAACCTTCTGCGCAGTAGCTCATCACCGGTCTTTTGCTTGCTTCGTTTTGCTTGCTCGCGGGTTCCAGTCCAATCGAAGCCCAACCAGCCAACCGCATGTGCTGGCTGGCTGGGCTTGGGGGAAGTAGAGGATTTTCGGCCTCCCGGTTGGGCACTGAGACGCGCCCCTTTGCCGCTAGCTAGGCTGCAGTGAGCCTCCTTGGGAGTACCATGCCAGAATGGGCTTGGGACAACTCATCAACCACACCACCACCATCATCAAATCCAGGATCTAAGCACCCAAAAAGCACAAATATGCCGTGACAACTGTCAACCGATCGTTTATGCCTTGCGTAAATATTGAAGAGGATGACGACCTGAAAGCCCTCGGTTATTCCATTTCTGGAGAAATCTTTCCACATCATAATCGGTTCTGCTGATGTCGGCCGCCCTTTGACGACCATCAACATTGACATCCATGATATGATTCTAAGCACTGTCGATTTCGCGGTGCTGAAACAGAAAAACATCTAATACGACGTCATCGCCTGTAGCTCGTTCTCGATCATCATCGCCTTCAGATGCCGAACCTTGCCCTTGAACACGTCAACAGCCGACCCTCCTTGGTGACATGGCATCGTTTATCCACATGAACCTTTCACTTGCTTCATTCGGGCTCCTCTTCACTATGACGAATCCGTAATGGTGGGGGGTATTGTATCCGTACACTATACCTGATGAATCTCTCTATCTTCCTCCAACATGCCATATCGTCTCCTCATGACTGAACAACCTGGACGTTGTTCTTCTTCTGTATAGTGGAAAAGCAGTCAGTTGACCATTTCCCCATATCCAACCCAGGGACATAACTCCGAAAGGAAAAAAAAACAACAAGGACACATACCTTCCACTTATCCAGCTCCTCCTGCTTATTCTGGTACTGCTTGACCAAGTCGTTCAGAACCTTCTTCAAACCCTCGGCGTTTGTCTTCAAAGCGGGGACCACGTCCTGCACCGTCCTCTCCACCAGGACGCCATTGATCATGCGGAAGCACTTGCGGTCTGCCGGGAGAGGTTCCAAGGTTTCGAGGACGAGTCTATTTTCGGTGTCAGTTAGATCTTCCAGGGTAAGCCACGATTAAGTCAAGGCGAGGAGTCAGAGGATAGATGTGGTGAGAGAGTGGATGAGGAGGAGGGGAGTATTGGAGGGGCGGTGTGACCAAGTATCCTAAGAAGGAAATACGAAGAAGAAAGAAGAAACAAGGAAAAAAACAACAAAAGGAGAGAGCTGAGGAAGAACGTTGAACCACCATCACCATACCGCATAAAGCGGTGTGATGACATGTATGAAATCCCACAACTAGAAGAGGAGGGAAGGGGTCAAAGCATAACCGATGAGTGAGGAGTTCACACCATCTCCAAACACATCCAGCAGACCAGTTCGCCTCCCGCGGCTAAAGAAAAAGAACATGAGACCCCGAAGACAAAAGAGTAAGCTACTCACTTATGCTCCTCAGCCTCCTGCTCAACATCGCCAATCTTCTGGGCAATTTGTTGCAGAGTGTTCTTGTAAGTGGTGTACTGAAGCTGAAGGTCTGTTTGAAGCTGTCAGTTTACCTGCCCGTACGTCTATCGACAAGGATGCCCCTCATCATCTGCCCGAAAAGCACACTCACCTTGCTGCTTCTTCGCAGCTACTTGTTGTTGAGCCATGGTGATGGATATGTGATCTGGATTAGACTCGACTAATGGAAGCTCGAGATTATGTTCAGTGAGAGGTTCTTCTTGTCCTCAAGACGGAATTGGATAGGAGACGATGGCCAGTTGACAGATGGTGAAGACAGGCCAAAAATGTTAGTGCTCAGGAGGTGTTGAAAACCGTTGGAGGGGCAATCACAGGCTCTCTTGGGCCCAAGTAAACTTCCATTGGTTGGTCAAAGCTTCTTCCAAGCAGTTCGTTTAGCTCCGAGCGGCCCAGGCCTGCCGCCGCCGCGCTTCCGTTTTTTGGATCGGCTTAGTTCTGTCTGATCTTCCCGTCTTCCGTCGCGAATCGCAAACCGATCCCCAGATCACTTCCTTTTGTTTTGCGACAACACCCGACTTGGTCTCAGTAGCTAGGTGTTCCTCCGCGACAGCTTACAAAACTCGGTCAAGATGCATCCTCACTTGCACACTAAGGACAATGCCGGTACGTTTTCCACCTCTTTTCACCCTTCCTTCCCCTCCATCACAACCCGCGTTGCGCCCCCCCTCCTCCTTCGAACATCCCACCAACCAACCCTCAACCCCGGCACCTCTCCTCCCCATTCCCTCCCAAACGACTCGCCCTAACTATATACCTTCTCGACAACTACAGCCTGCCACGACGTCATGATCGCCTTCGAGGAATGCCACGCCCGCGGCTTCCTGTGGAAGTCCATGGGCATGTGCAACGAGCTCAAGGAGGAGCTGGCGTCCTGCCTGCGGGCCGAGCGGTTCAAGACCCAGAAGATGAACCAGAACAGCGTGGCGGACAAGAAGGCCGTTATCCGGCAGAAGTGGAAGGAGATTGATGAGAACTCCTAAACAATAAACGACATTTCAACATTTTACGCGATCCTCCGACGTACCCGGCAGCCCTCCCGAGACCGAGACCGAGACCGAGACCGAGACCGAGACCGAGACCGTGACCGTGACCGTAACCGAACCACCTTCTTATCCACCACCGAAGCGATGCTGTCCCCTACCTAGCCAGAACGACGAACCGAGTATACGTGGGAGGGGATCGAAGAGGAGGAGCATACAGACTGGACGGAGAGGAACAGTACCGGTATGGCATTACACAATGACGGACCCCTGGAAGACGTCGAGAGGAGCAAGTCGGTCGAATACACATATACCCAGAATTAGGTACGCCCGACTACGCAAGTCACAGGCCGTCAAGGTTCACACAATGATACCCCCATCACATCATCACATCATCACATCAAAGGAGCTTCAAGGAGGCGCACAATTGGACATGGGTTCTTCTTGTAACATTTTGGCTTATAGCGCATACGCATACACTACACAAATACCAACTCCCCTCTACCAACCACCTCTTCTATTCCGCTCAAGACTTACAAAGTCTTGCGGAAAGCATCACCAAAGGTATACAGCCCAAAAGCAGCAATGGCGCTAAGCATCATAGGCACAGGCTTGCGGAGCTTGATGGCGCGGGGGAGGGAAGCGCCGCCGAGGACGACGGAGGCGAGGAGGCCGAGCTCGACGCCGTGGGGCTGGTTGTTTTGGATGCGGTAGCCGCCTAGGCCGTCTGTTTTATGAAGGGGGGTGGTTAGTGTCGGTCCAGTCCCGATGAAAAGATCAAAGGCGGATGGGATGGTAGGAGGGACGTGAGAGGTTGTATAGATGGGTGGGTAGGTTGAGGAGTTCAGTTCTGTTGGGGCGCTGGGCTCGGATGTAGAATGCGACACATCGTATCGTATGGAGTGATGGGACATACAAAGAAGACCGACAGCGCAACCGGCGATGATGGAAGGCTTCGACTTGGTGCGGGCATAGCCGGCGATACCACCGGTGGCCGTCAAGGCGGCGAGGACGTAGGCGGGGAATTCAAGGCCCTGTTTGAGTTTGCGATTGCGCTTGTTAGCATGACGGCTTCATGTATCCATTTGTAAAGCTCGGTCTGTCTCTCCCTCTCTCCAGCTTGCCATGCCAATTACCAGTCAATTGACAAGCTGGGGCCGCATCTCGCTGTCAATCATGCAGCTTCCTTTCCGCAACTTCATCCGAACGTACCATTTTGATTTGCAACTGTTGCTGTAGAAATTGGTTGTTGAAAGCTTCAAAAGATCATCCAAGTTCGGAAACTTACCGAGCCCCGAATGTCCGCGTCCGCGACGGGATCTTGGGGGACTCCGCTCAGTTACGATCGGCAGGCAATGGAAGCTCAACAGATCGCGATGAGGAGCTCGGGCCACTTCGTCACAAAGCTCCGAAGGTTCGGGAAGAGCCGAGGATGACGTTAACTGGACTCTTGGCCCTAACCCTGAGAGAATAGATACCCTAACCCTCCATGCCATTGGTCTCGAAGAGGGTGAGGAGACGGTGATGAGGCAGGGAGTCTTCTTTTGTCTTTACCTACCTAGGTATTCATGATGTGAAGATCTTGGTCATGGTTTCTTGTGATCTCTCTCAGTAACTAGTCAGGACTATTATCTCCAATTCTTCGTGCAACATAACGGTGTTTTGAAGTTCATTAGACTAAGTGTCTGTTCAACTGTCGCCTACCTATACCTGAGATTGGACAACTGCGATGTCTACTGTAATTCATAAGCAGAAATGACCGACGCCTTTTTCATCACCAGATAAGAAGTCATTAAGGGTTGTCAAAGAGACCCTGTAAGTAGGTTCCTGAACAATGCTTATGTGTGCTATTGCCTTAATGTTCTGGCAGATGTCAAAGTTATTGCGTAGTGTCTGCCTGTCCTCTTTGGGAGCGAGCAACGGCATGGTCAAAGCTCGACTGGCGACTCGACTTTGATAAATCACAACAAGATGGTCAGGACTGGAACGTTAGTTCTCAGAGCGTGACCGATAGGTCATATCTGCTACCATTTCTCATATGAACAAGATCCCTTTCGATGTTTGCTAAGGTCGATCTAATTCATGAAGCCAAAGACCAAGCTGCGAGGTTATGGAGATTCCGGATTTGCTCCGATCTGATTTCAGGGGGTACAAAGCCGCCGTTGAGTGCACTTTATGATCCTTCAGATCCATATGGTACCGGACCTTCTCCCGGTCCCGAGAGGCTATATCATGGTTTCACAGCAAACTTAGACCTTGGGCAACCCGAAAGTGCGGATCTAAGCCAGGTTCATATCATATGTGATCCACTGCTTTGCCGTTGAAGCTTATGCGCGCCATCGGTGCTCATGAAAAGCAGAAGAGAGGCACATAAGCCTTAGCTTGCGGCGGAGAGGTTAGGTGGGTGTATGTGTTCGGCCAGACTTCCCCGGTATCGCCAAGATGGAGTGACCCAAGTTGAATCAAGGCTTGGGGCCAAGAGCTTGTGTGATGTTAAGTTTTGGACCGTGGAGCCCAAGTTTGGAAGATGCTGGTTATATGAGAATAGGGCTGCGTCTCGGGAATGGATAAGTGTCGGATACGTTAGAAGGAGTGATGATTGCCATGATCAATTTCGGGAATTTAGAAAGGCCTAATCTGAGTACCGGAGGACCTTCCGGTGCATGAGTTGTTGAGGCTGATGATCGTTGAGGTGGAGTGATATTTTAGATTGGTTTATCGGGTACCGACAACGGAGTTCCTCCAGCGGTATGGGTCGTATCAACTCAAGACCGCGGTCCATGACGGTTCCTGGTATTTGTCTGTCCGGGGATATGAAGATGGTTCCGCTATGTCAAACTGTTTGTGTTAGAAGGTTATGATAGCTGCTCCTTTTGTTAGTGTAACAGACCGGCTTTTACCAGCACGCTGATTGTCAGCGGGCAGCCGAAAAGATGAGAGGAACATGATGTCTGAGAGTGAATCAACGGTGATGATAGGGTTCAAAAGAAGTGCTGAACCAGTTCGGAGACGGGATCCCGGAGGAGAGATGCATCGTGGGAAAGGCTCCGTAAATGGGGGTGGCAGAGCGGAAGTGGAAGTCGGCGTGGCGTGGCAGTGCAAGCCGTCCGGAAGCTGCACGGCATCAAACTAGACGACCCCAACCACCAGAAGGAATCTTGAATCGAAAAGACCCCGGGTCAAGTTGAATGGAATGTTTGTGATTCTGTTGTTAATGCAGTGGCTTATGAGAAAGTGCTGACTGCATCAACTGAAGAGTCTTCGGATGATCGGCCAAGGATTGGGTTCAATGGTTCGTCTGGACTTTTGACTTGGTGATCTCAAAGTGACAAACGAATCGGGATGGTTCAATATCGAACCGAAGAGGAAGTGACTGGACGTCAAAGAGGTCTGATCATCATGGCTTCGACTTCCATGCTTCCTTCCGTGCTGATGGGCTGCATATATCATTGTGATGACGGGAAGGTTGATGTAAAGTCGCAAGGCACAATCCAAGCCCCTGGTTGAGATCTGAGAAGATCACAATGATGGTGAAGTGTCGGTGAACTGCCCGGCGACGGTGATGTCGGGTTGGTGGTTTGCAAATGGTTCGCGCGGGGCAGTGCAAGATGCCTTGTTCAAGGTGGGGTCAGCACGCCGTTAAGGTTGGTCGGGCAGGTGGGGTATCTGGGGGATCCTGCCAGGGGATGGTCCTTCTGTTTCTGTCTTTCTTCTCTGCAACCGAATTCTCGTGACCTCAACTTGTCCCTTCTGTGACTGGACACAGATTGAAACCAGAACTCATTGGATTCAACCGGCTTTCTCTTTGGTCGCCTTGAATTGCTGCAATACGACCCAGCGGCCTTTTGGTCAATTGTTTCTGTTCAGCCTGCTTCTCTGCCCGAGTCTGCCCTTTTCGAACAATGTTGCTTCGCCTCAATTCACGATCCACTCAGAGACTTCAACAACCACATCAAGTGGGACGCACCATGAATGTTGCGATATTGGTGAGACCGTGCCGACTTCGGGACATCTTCCACTGTCTCGGGTTATGATGGAATGAGCTTCATCCAGGTTCGTTTTCTCACCGACCGGTATGCCTTCTTCTTGTCTCATTGAGCCTTGGACCATCTGGACCATGGACCTCTGCAGGTGCTCACAGTATGTTCACGGTGGTAAGCAGAACATGTCGAGGGTGATCTCGACCAGGTGAATCCGTCAAGCCCATTGCAGGCTTCAAGTTGGCTGCATCTCCAGGCCTAATCAGGCAATATTGACATGGGCTTGAGGGTACACAAGGACAACACACTCTACACCCACCCCGGAAGCCAAGTCTAGATGACATGAAGCCACGATGAGGCAGACCGAGCACTGCTCCATGTGGCTGGAAGACCATGAGATTATCACAGAGTCCATCAACTCCGTATGCCGATTGAGAGACATCGAGAACATGACTTCATACTCGGGATATTGGTTTGTGGTTTTAGCATCACATCCTTCCCAAAAGGGTCTACACCATCACTATCGACCCCAGGCAACCATGGCAACCTAGAATCAGGACTCCCATCATGGGCTACCTCACCTCGAATATCTCAGTTGACTGCACTGATGAGACTCTAGAGTCCAAGGGTAACCTTCAAATCATGGCAAACCCACATAATGATAACTAAAAGATTTCACAGTTCGATGGATTTAACCTCTTGAAATTGCGGATACCCGGCCAGTTAGTCTCAAAACTGCGTTACCACACACTATCTCCAACCCCTGCTCACATCACCCAAATCCAAGCCTCTTAAGCGCTCACGGTCACAGACCAGGCTCGAAAGCGCAGCTGTCTCTGCGCCTCGCCCCCCCATCCTCATCCTCGCTGCACAAGAGAAAGACAGGGGTCCAGGCCGGTGTTGCTCAAGCTTTGCTTCCTGTCGGGTACGCCAGACACCATCTTCTCCCCTTCTTCCCGTCTTTCCTACAGTTTCCCCAAGTTTTCTCTTGGAATCGCTTCATATCCAGCTTCTATCACGCGTGGGAAAGGGAAGCCATTGCAAACACTTTAACCTCTGTCTCGGTTGATGTGGAGAAGCGTCTACCACGGCGACGATCATTCAGCCAAGCCAACACCATCACTCTCTCTTCCGAACCCCGCGCAGCCGCAACCGCAGCCGCAATCCGCTCTCCTCCTACTCCTCCTCTGAGGTTTGCCTACGCAGATATACCATGATTGCCGCCTAATCGCCTACTAGCAAGTTCGGGACCTGACCGCGCACCGCCCATTCAGCCAACATTCCCGACATCATAACATCACTTCTTGATATATACACACTCACACTTAGGGAGACACTCTCTTAAGGGCCCCCACCCCTCCCCTCCTTCAACATGTCTTCAGCTTATACCTACTACACGCCTTCTTCTCTGGCCGATAATGACTCTGCCACGCCGGAGCGCAACCAACTATCACAAGGGAGCCATCTCACACCAAATACCTTCAGCAACTCGGCATCACCTGCCTTAAACAACACACAGACATCAGAAGAGTCTCTAGCAGCTCTCAATAACCAGTATCAACACATAGATTTTGGCGACAACGACGATCCGTTCTTTGGGGTCAACTTTTCTTCCATCGCGGACGGCTCACCTTCCTTCCTCGAAGACGACTTCCTCCAGATAGCCAACAGTGACCACTTCGCCGACCGCACCTCGTCCGAACCAGTCCAGACGACACAAAATGCCTTTTTAGGTGCCAGCCATCTCCCTATGAGTCCAGAAAAGACGCCTTCATTACAGACATCCCCAAATCCCGAAGCCGGCCCGAACCAGGCCACCTTCGCGAAACGTTCAGCAATCTCCGTCATCACCCAAGAGGTTACCCATAGGCCAAAACAGCCATCGCTATCAGACTCGCAGGACAGCAGCCAACCGGAGTACGAGTTGACACCAGGAACTACCAATAGCGCGGAGCTGGGTGACGACGGCTCTGTCCCCTTGATCAACGTCATGTCAAAGCAAAGTCCAAGGGTCACAGTCTCAAACTGGGACATTATCAACTCGCATACCCTCGAAAACACTCAATCCTATGCTCCCTACTCTGGCGTCAATCAAAATGATTTCGCCAATCAGACCTCCGACGGCAATATGTCCCCATCATCGACACGCGCACGCGATGGGTCAGTACGCTGGGCCCCAGATCAAGTCACCGGCCGAAGTGGAGTGGCTCCCGGTGACCGGTCTTCCGCCGAGGTGCGCAGCGTGAATGAATTGGCAGCCGAGAAGCAAGTTAATGAACGGAATGAGGAGGTCGATGCCTGGATGGCCAAGTTGAAGGCTGTTGGCCGCACAAAATCGGGCTTTGTGGATGTGAATCAGCCCTTCATACGACCTCTCGACCACGACGATGAAAGCATCGATCCGCGGGAGATCGGAACCGAACCCTCCGAAAACAAGAAAATATCAGGGCAGACATACTTTACAGAGAAAGGCGGCGAAATGACAGCAGAGGATCGAGCCATTATCTACGGGAACCGCAACTGGGCCGATGCACCTTTGTCATTCCCCATCACCTCTGAACGACATCAGCCAGAGACTTCACAAGATGCCATTAGGAAATTTGAGCAAATGTGCAAAGACAACGGCTCCATCATCTCGCGAGCAGCAACCTGGGGAACAAGGCGTCGCAGTATTGGCACCATAGACGCTGAGGTCGAAAACACTGGGAACTTCCTCAAGAAGTTGTCCTTGAGCAGAGGAGATTCTCTTCGCCGACCTAGTGCAATCATCCAAGAGCTCCGAGGTCTGGTCAGAAGACCCAGCAACGCCAAACGAACTCGGGCCGAAAATGAAGAGGATGCTTCCAAGTCCACACGCTCGTCGGTGGACCGAAAGGAAAGCCAAAGCAGTTTGAATTTGGCTCCCCCAAGTCGTACAGGAAGCTTGGGCAAGAAGCAATCGGTTCCCAGCATCAACACTGCCTTGGTCGCCATGGGAAGCAATGTGGCATCTATTGGGGCCGCGCACGCTAGGAATGGCTCTATCAGTACCACTTCCATAACTTCTCCCAACGCCAAAAGTCCAGCACGGAACCTGAGTGTCAACTTTTCAACTCGTTTCCGGAGCAGGTCGGACGCTTCTACGCGAAAAGAGCCCAATACTACTCTCGCAGGCATGTTGAAGAATTATGGCGGTCCTCCAGTCCCATCTCTTCCAAGACCTTCTGCGGAACCAAAGCCTTCTGCGGAAGTCATAGAGATCGATGATGATTCGGATGAGGAAGATGACGAGGACGGGGCAGGAGACTCCAACACCGATTCAAGCGCATCGATTGTCAACATCAAGCCAACAATAGATGGTTTCAAGCAACATTTTCTGGAGCTTCATCCCAAGCTCCCCGAAGCAAGCCGTTACCTGATTGACCGCGTTGCCTACCAGCAGCAGGTTCGTTATAAGGTGCTTTTGAACCACAAGAAAGAGCACGAACAGCACCTCATGAATAAGAGCTGCCCATCTGGATCTGTGTGCATTAAATCAGGCGGCAAGGCGAAGTTGTTGAAAACCAATCCTAGCGGTCGAGGGCTCTCTGTGCGGTCTGAAGAAGACATGCCACCGGGTGACAAAATGATCAACCCAAACCAGTTCCCTGCTAATATTCCTCCGCCAATCACCAGGGACTTGCCCGCCGAGCTGGAGTGCCAGTTGTGCTTCCAAGTAAAGAGATTCGAGAAACCTTCGGACTGGACCAAGCACGTGCACGAAGATGTCTCGCCTTTTGCCTGTACGTGGGAAAACTGCAGAGACGGCCTCAAAACATTCAAGCGAAAAGCCGACTGGGTCCGCCATGAAAACGAAGGCCATCGTCATCTCGAGTGGTGGAAATGCCGCGTCGACGATTGCACCCACGATTGCTTCCGGCGGGACAACTTCCTCCAGCATCTCGTGCGCGAGCACAAGTTCCAGGAGCCCAAGTACAAGACAAAGGGAGATATCAGGAAGGCTGGCGGCGCGCGCCACCCGACCTGGCAGATGGTGGAGAAATGCCACAGAGTCACTGAGAGAAGACCGGACCAGGAGCCGTGTCGGTTCTGCGGGGAAAGGCTTACGACATGGAAGAAGTTGACAGTCCATCTGGCTAAGCACATGGAGCAAATCAGTTTGTCTATCATCAAGCTCGTGGAGCGGACGGAGGTAGATCCTGATACGATCATCAGCCCGGTGCAGGAACCTCCGCCGAGGCATTTCCCGCTTCCTATACCCCAAAACAACGACAGAAGACACAGCGGACAGCCTCATGTGCAGCAGCGGTTCGATCCGGCAATAGCTGGCATGAGCCATATGCCAATGTCATATCCCAACACTCCACAGCAACACCCAGGCTTTAATGGGTTCCAGTCCTTCCCTCAGCCTGGCTACCAGGCCATGCCCTTCGGTGACCTATCACAAGACATGATGCCTTCTGGATCAATGAACATGCCCATGGGCCAGCAACCGATGAATCAAGGCTACCCCAACTTGATCACCTCTCAAACATCATACACCACCATGCCCATGGCTACCACAGCCGGGTACATGACCTCTCCCATGTCCGCCTCGCAGATGGGCGTCTCCTCACAGCTGACTACTCCCCTGATGGGCACGCCGTTGATGGGGGCAGCGCCTAACCAATTCATGGGTGTGTCCCCAGACGGCACCGGAACAGAGGCGTTTCCTGGCATGGACCTGAACATGAACATGAACGCCTTGGGACTTCAAGATCCTGTCTCGATGGGATATGGAAATATGAATGGTGGCGGGATGCTGATGGATACGAGTCTTACTCCAACCCTCAGCCAGGGTAACAGTCGACCGCATACGCAAAATGGCCATGGGCGACAGCACTCCCACGGGCACGTGAATGCGCAGTTCATGCCGATGGCAGGTCCCCATGGGAGTGTGAGTCCCTTTGGAACGTCGCCTATGCCGGGGCAGAATGGGTTTTACTAGTGCAATACGGGTTCTTCTTTCTCTCTTCTTCTATTTTTGGTGTTGATAGAGGTTTCTTGATTGGATTGACGGTTTGATACCCTTGCCTACACACATACGTTCCTGAGAGTTCTGCTTGGCGAGGCGTTTGACATTTCTGAAAGGCTTGGTGGGGGTGTCTTGTTTTCTGTTTTTATGATTCTTTCTGGTTGGTGGTCACGAGTTTATGACATGAATTGGATGTTTTCCTTCAATCGTCCTCTGGGTGGCTCTTCCTTCTTTTCCTTGAAACACATCAGCCAAACGACTCATCATAATTACACATGGGAGGTCACTGTTTTTGAACTTCTTGTGGTTTCGAGGGGATGCTTTTAAGCGCGAGCGTAACCTTTCTTTTTGGATATCTTGGATATAGACAAGCCTTTTTATCGTTGCTCATTTGACCATGACCACGACCATGACTATCGGCCTGCGGCTATGAACCATAGGTAGTGACTTGCAGGAACCTGACGCATTTCGTGCTTCGAGTCCTGAGGCGATCTTGCAATCTGACGTGTAACCGCGACAGGGGCACCACAAGGAAACAGGGGCGCGCATAGAGATGCAGGGATGGTTGTGGAATGAGAGCCTTCCGGGTACCAGGGCCAGAAATGATCTCGAGATTTACGGTTATAAACCATAATCAACAGAGAACCAAAGCGACAAGCAGCTGAAAACGATCAAAGACGGGCCAGAAACATTGAGAGGAAGTGAAGACGGAATGCCTGGAGATGATGTTGAAATGGTGAGATCATGTAATCATGGCCGTTCAAGGAAGCCCAGATGACCGGATGCAAGGGCGACTGGTCCGCTGCTTAAGGTTTCGGGACCCGGCAGGTCGCAGACGTCAGTCGCGGCTTGTAGGCATTTTCAGGTCTGTCCTTCTGAATGGCCCCGTGAAGGCCGTTAACGCAGACTTCCTCCTCCATTTGCCAGGCTTGAAGTCGCTTTTGAAATCATCGAGATGACAGAGGGAGATGAGTGAACGGCGGTTAGACTTCACATGGCCATCCAGCATCCATTCCAATCTCAAGCACATTGTCAACGGAGGTACGGCACCTTCTTATCAACATTCTCCCCTCTCCCTCGAAAAGAAAGAACTTCCCAAAATTCCAAAAGAACACCCAAAAGATCGTCAGGGGTCCAGGATCATATCTGACTCCATCAAAGTCAGGCCCCTTGGCCCTCTCTCTTCGGTTAGCGGCTCTCAGTGGACAAGGCGGGGCTTCGGTACCTGGAACGGTGGCGACCCCCTCTTAACCAATCAGATCCCCCAAACGGCAGAGCCGCCCACTCGGACGAGACATCGACCCCTGTCGGCGCTGCTGGGCGCTGCTAAACGTTCTGCTAACGTTTCAGATGCTTGGCTTGTCAGGGGAATCTTAAACTTCGTTCCTCGGTCCTTCCTCCGATGACCCACGAGACCACTTGCCATGTCAGGTCCTGCCAACAATGATTCGACCGGGACCGAGCGACCGCTGAGCCACGCGGGCATGGCGGGCATGGCGGGCATGAATGCGATGAATGGGTAGAGGGCTCCGAAAGGCTCGTATTGTATCTATCTATGGAAGGTATCCATCTATGGAAGAAGACGGACCGACCGACAGCGAGGCGGGGCAGTGAAGGTTCTTTATACGAAGCCGAAAAGTCTTTCGAAAAGGGCCAGAACGGAGGCCTCATCCTATGGAGACGGAGAAGGGCCATCCATCCATGGAAGACGGGAGGCCTTCGATGCCAAGCTCCCAAGGTACGCACTGGACAAGCACAGAGATGAGGATGAGCTGAATAAATGACGGATTGGACGGATCGGGCAGTCCGTTTGTTCTAACTCTTGTCCCTTGCTGCTCCGTCTGGCTTCCATGTCTGTCAGTCTGGGCTGTTGACCCGAGTGGGTGTTTGGCATCTGAAAAGGAAAAAGAAGAAAAACAGATTACACGAGTGGGCGAGGCGTTTTGACCACCATTACGGACTCGGCACTCGTTCGCTGAGAGGCCGTCGTTCGGTTCGGTTGATTTGTTCCATTCGTTCGCTTGATTCGTTCCGAGAGATTCGATTCGAGAATTTCGATTTCGAATAGGGGACGGAAAGGTGTGAGGTGTGGGAGGCAACTCGCCTCAAGGAGGCCCGGAGTGTCATGTCGTCTTGTCTGAAGTACACCATCAAACCTCAAACTCCCACTCCCACGCGCTAGTGTATTCAAAGCTGGGAGCATATCGTCACTTGGGAAAAAGCTTGAAAGGTTGTTTCACATACCCGCTGGGGTGAACCCTTCTTTTCTTGCCGCGTTCCGTCTTGTCTTCCGTCTGGTCGCCCGGTCTTGTCGAGAGATCATCGGGAATCTGCGACTTTCCCTTTTTCACCACTTCTCCACCACTTCTCATCATCTCCAATCTTTTTTCACGCCTCTTTTTCAACTTTTCAAACATCCAGCTGGCCTGTGCATTTTCTTTTCCGAAGCAGCACAGCGCAGGTCGCTTTCCCTTCTTCTTTTTCGATTCACTCCCTAACAGAAGTTTTATCCATGACGACTTTGACAACATCCTGAAAAAGACAACGTCGATCATCATATGACTTGGATAGATCCGATTTCTTGGCTGCTGGAGACCTGGACCGTGAGCACCTGGATGACCTGGACGCTGGACAAGGACAATAATACCTGTTGTTCTCATTCTTCGCGCCCATCCTTCTCTCACTTCTGTGCTCTGCTCGCTCTCCTTCTTTGAGCACACAGGGGCCTCCCCTTTGAGGATCCTTTTGTTCTTTCACTTCTCCTTCCAGGTTGATCCTCGGCTTTTCATTGTTTGGTCTTTACATCACGTCAATCGTCGTCGCTTAGGGGTTCAACAACAAGAACTTTGCCTTTGTTTGTCAATCGCTCACTTCAACCAATCACCACTCAACATACACCATTCATTGTTCAACTACCGCGACATCTGATCGATACATCGACAAATCGAAAATCATTATCCAACTTTCCGAGAACCGGCTTCGAGGATACCACGCACAGAACAGCAATCTTTCGACGGCACATCTTTCGACGGCACACATGAACTAAGAGGTTTCGAAACGATACCACAATAGAAACAACTTTCGACCATTTCGCAGCACATATTTCTTATCTACAACATCATTGACGACACAGAATAGAAGGAGAGAAGGAAGAAGGAATTTACATACGAGTGGGGAGACTGAAGGAACTGAACTGGACATTATTATTCGAACCGGACATAACGACCATTCATTCATCATCAACACATACAACAAACACCATGATCCGCAGGAAGCGGACCGCCCTTGGGGCCCTCTTCGCCGGGCTCATCATGGCACAGGGAGTGATGGGCGACGACATCCTCAAGACGGTCGGCTTCGACACATGCGAGCAGGACGCCCAGGTTTCGGTACAAAGGGCTGATGTCACCTACAACAACGCCGACAAGACGGTTACTTTCGACGTGGCGGGAACGAGCAATCAAGTACAGAATGTCACGGCTCATCTATCAGTGACGGCATACGGCGCGAATATCTATGAGAACACGTTCAACCCTTGCGATGCGGGTACTTTTGTGAAGCAGCTATGCCCTGGTATGTGCAAGTTCTGGATCAAGGGTTATTGTAGGTGACATGCTGACCATCGATAGTCCCCGCGGGTACCTTTTCCGCCAAAGGAACCCAGCAAATTCCTGCAGAGGTTGCCAACATGATACCGTCGATAGCGTTCCAGATCCCCGATATTGCCGCCTTCGCCAAGCTCGAGCTGCTATCGAAAGACTCTGGAAAAAACGTCGCCTGCATCCAGTCCGAAGTAACAAACGGCAAGACCGCCAGCGTCCCCGCCGTCTCCTATATCGCCGCCGGTGTGGCCGGTGTCGCCCTGATCTTGACCGGTATCTCGGCCGCTGGAGCTGCCGTTGCCGGAGGTAGTGCTGCCGCAGGCTCAGCAGGAGGAGCTGCCAGCAGTGCCGGCGTGGGCACCATCAGCCCCAGCTTCACCGAAGTCTTTGGCCATTTCCAGGGTATGGCCATGAACGGCATGCTATCCGTCAACTACCCTCCTGTCTACCGCAACTTCGCCAAGAACTTTGGCTTCTCTACGGGAATCATTCCTTGGGCGGCCATGCAGACCTCCATCGACGACTTCCGCGGCAAGACGGGCGGAAACCTCACCCAGAACAGCTTCACCTTTCTCCGGGAGAACGCCACGCTTGTCTTTCCCGACAACACCACCACCACGCTCCACGAGAACAAGGGTCTCATGCCCGTCAAGCGCGCCATCACCGAGTTCATCCGCCTCGCCGCTCGCGAGATCGAGACCAGTGTTAATCTCACTGATCCCAGCGCAGCTAGCGAGTCCGGAAACGCAACCACGCCCGTCGACAACCCCGACAGCTTCCGCGTCGCCGTCAAGGGCATCCAAGGCTATATCCAACAACTCTCCATCCCCTCCGCCAACATGTTCATGACGATCCTGCTCATCGTAGCCATCATCATCGCCGCCATCGTCGTCGGCATCCTGCTGGTGAAAGTCGCCCTCGAGTTCTGGGCACTCTTCGGCTCCTTCCCCGCCAAGCTCGCCGGTTTTCGCAAGCACTACTGGATCTCCATCGCGCGCGCCGTCACCTCGCTCATCATGCTTTTGTACGGCGTCTGGGTTTTGTACTGCGTCTTCCAGTTCACGCAGGGCGACTCCTGGGCGGCCAAGACCCTCGCTGGACTTACCTTGGCGTTGTTCACCGGTGTTTTGGCCTTCTTCAGCTGGAAGATTTGGAGTACCGCGCGGATGCTCAAGAAACGCGAGGGCGATGTGGGAGGGCTCTACAATGATAAGACCATCTGGGTCCGGTACTCGCTTTTCTACGAGAGTTATAGGAAGGATTACTGGTGGATTTTCGTGCCGACCATTCTTTACATGTTCAGCAAGTCGGTGGTTCTCGCCGCGGCGGACGGGTCAGGTATGGTTCAGACGATCGCTCAGCTCTCTATCGAAGGACTGATGCTCATGTTGCTGATCTGGAGCCGGCCGTACGAGAGGAGGAGTGGAAACGTGATCAATATCATGATTCAGACGGTCAGGGTCCTGTCGGTGGTGTGCATCTTGGTGTTTGTCGAGGAGTTTGGCATTGCGCAGACGACGCAGACGGTTACGGGCGTCGTGCTCATTGCGGTGCAGAGCTCGCTGACGGGCATTCTGGCGATTTTGATTGTCTGGAATGCGGTTAATGCTTGTTGCAAGGCGAATCCGCATCGGAAGAAGAGGAAGGAGATGGGTATGTTTCCCCTTTATCCCCCTTATTTGAATACTTGAATACTAACAGCAACAGAAAAACTCCAATCCCGCGACACCCTCACCCCCCTCGACGCCCGCAACTCCCTCCTCCTCAGCCATACCAAGACCACCGACACAACCTCCACCTTCTCGACCCTCGACAAGCCCATCCACGACGAAGAAAAAGCCATCCTCGCCTCCCGCGACTCGATCCCTCCTCTTCCCGACCTCAGCCTCGTTCCCGGCCCCAACCAACGCACCTCCACCGCTACCACCACTGCCGGCCCTGGACCCGACCTCGGCGGTCCTAACGGTAGCAAGCTCGGCAGAATCCAATCCGGCTACACCATGTCCGTCTACTCCGATTACCAACGCACTACCACGCCTTTTCAGTACGACGCTGCCGCCGCGCCGCCGATGCCTCAGCAACCTGCTCAAGCTCAGCAGTTGCACGGCAGGAAGGGAAGCCGCGAGCAACTCACCGCTAGCCCCGCGCCCATGGGTGTTATGAACCCGCCTATGAACCCGATGACTAGACAGCCAACGATGCCCAACGTTGGAGCAGCTGGTGCTGGATATCGCGGCATGCCCGCCACGGGTCAGGGTCAGGGTCCGAGGTCTGCTAGGTCCGGCTCAGCTCCTGGTCCTGCGCCGGGACAGGGAGGTGGATATCAAATGCGTTTCCAACCGCAACGGCCACCGAGGTATGGAGCTGGTAGTCAGAGTGCCGGAAGTGCGGTGGGCGGTTATAGCCAGCAGCAGCAGCAGCAGCAGCAGCAGCAGCAGAGGCAGCAGAGGCAGGGGAGTTTGAGTAGCCAAGGCGGTTACTACGGTCAACAACAACAACAGCAGCAGGGAGGACCGGTTTATAGACCTCAGGGGCAGCAGAGAGGTCCCGGACCGCAGTATAGGCCGCAGTGGTGGACTGGTTCAGAGCTTCAGCAGCAGCAGCAGCAGGGGTAGTTCCGGTAGTAGTAGACCCGGGGAGTAAGGAGAGATTGAGGGGATGAGGAGAGAAAGAGTGTAGGATAAGAAAGAGGGAAGATTGAAGATTTAATGATGATGGAAAGCGGCATAGGAAATTTCTGTTAAATTGTGTTCAGCATTCAGATTCAGATACCACGTACCTTAAACTAAAGCAAGGAATTTGTACTTTGTGTGAATACTTGGCTAACTTTATTCAGATATTTTGAACACATATGATAAATGTTAGTATTAAAGGCAAAGCTCTAGAATGGTACTTGACTTCCCTTCTCCTTTGGGAGAAGAATAATGCTGAGACAACTAACCTTCAAATCTGTGCTATTTACACCCCTATCATTTTCCATGCTCAAATATCTTCTTCTTAGGATCCTTTTCCATCTCCTTAACTGACACGTCAATATCCTTAAACCCCTCCTCCCCCTTCTTCATCTCCTCCGACATCTGTTCCACCCCGACCTTATCCTCCGTCAGCTCCTTCACCTTTTGCTCCTTCTCATAAATCTCCTTCTCCTTCTCCTTATACTCGGCGCTGTCCTTGGCTATATCACCAAGCTGCTGCTTCATACCCTGCACCACCGAGTCCATTGCGTCCGCCGCCTGCGTAAGCGCCTTCACCTTATTCTCCAGCGTCACCGGCGTCGGCACCGCAATCTTCATGGTCTCGTACACAGTCAAAGACGTAATCTTTTCCACGTACGCCTGCGGCGCCAACAGCGGCAAGCAAATCGTCTCCCGTGCCGCGCTCAGCACCGCCTTCTCAAGCAGCAGATCGGGAATATCGCTCCACTGTGCGTCCGACTTCAGAACGTCCCGCACCTGGGCTTCCAAGTCTGGCGTGACCTCTGTGAGCAGGTAGTCGTCGACTACGCTCGTCCAGGCCGTGTCCCGGCGCATGTTCTCAATCATCTTCGCGCTACTCGCTGGCCTCTGCTCCAACAGCGTCGTGAGTATGGGTCTGTTGATGTGCTCCGTCACGTCTTCGCGGATCTTGGCCACCATAGTGCTGTCCATGAGCTGTTCAGCGGGATTCCGCGCCGCGTTGAGGGCCGCGGACCCGAGAGCGGGCGGCACGGAGATAGCACCGAAGTGCATTAGCAGGAACGGGTCTGCGGGGGCTCGGTGCACGAAGAAGCCCTGTGGTTGTTTCTCGACCCTGAGGTTCATTTCGCTGAAGACGGATTCTGGGGTATCCGGCTTGAGGCTCAGCAGCTTGTCGGCCACCGGGCCGTCTGCCCTTGCGTCAAGGATGATGCAGTGAGTTCGCTCAATGTTCAGGTTTGTTCCTAGGTGCTTGCGGATCGTCGCCGGGATAAATGCTACGCCGTCCATTCCCGCGAAGACATATCTGCTGCGGGCAATCTTGCTGACACGGGGGTCTCCCGCAGCGTGTCGATCGGCAATATATTTCTCGAGCGGGATGCCTGCTGCTTCCGCCTCGATGGAGAGCTGGACGGTCTTCCATGTGGTCGTCATTAGCCGCTTGCCGAGAACATTGTTTGCCCAGTCCATGATGAAGGTAAGCTTATGCTTTCCGAGCAACGTGTTGGAAAAGATGACGACATCAGGGTGGGCGGGGTCGTACGCGGCTTCCCACAGGTTGACGCCGTCAAGCGCATGCTGGTCGGTCGTGGCCACCACCATCGTGTACACTTTTCGGCCGTGGATCTCTCGCGCCACCACACCCTGTATCCTCACCGCGTTGGTTGCCCCTAACAGGGCGCCGCACTTGGCCAGACTGCCGCCTTCAGCGAAGTACTTGTCGGTGGCGGCTTTGATCTCGGCTTCCTTGCCGATGATGAACTTGTGCTTCTCATCCTCCTGCATAACTTTGTCCATCCATTGCGGCTCGATAACTAGAGCACCTTGCGGGAAGGACTGGAGCATGTGTCGCAATATGGCTTCGGACTCGAAGAACTTGGCCGCTCCGGGAACCGAGACTTGTCCGGCGAAGAAGCCTCGATGGCCGTCTATCGGACCTGAGCTGCTGTATTCAAAAACATACTGGACGCGGAACTCAAGTGGTGTCTCATCATACTGGCCAAACTTCCTCTCCCAGAAGTCATCCAAGGCGGCATTGACTGCCTCTCCCGTGGGCTCATCGTTGATCTTTTGTGCAATCGTCTTGGCATCAGTTCCGAGGCTATTGAAGGCGTCTTGCCAGTGCCATCTTGGATCCAGTGCCCCTAGCTTCGGGATAAGGGGAGGAAGAAGAGAGTCCGCTTTGTCCAAGGCATGTTCGTAATCAAGCTTCTGAATGAGTGGCAATGTAGCGGGGCGATCTGGCGCGGCGTCTAGGATAACGCGGATGCCAATCTTGGCGAGCTTATCTGGCTTGGACATGGTGAAGGGAGTAGCAGAAGCTGAGGACGTGTTTGTAAGTGCTGTATCGACTTCTGAAGTTGACTTTGATAATGGGCTTGGTCTTCAATGTCTGTTACCGGCACAACCGCGCGTTGGATTCAGTTACTCCTACTTATGTAGCAGACATCCTATCTTCCCTTTGGCGGCCTCCGCCATGAAATGAACAGACCGCTCTGATGATGTGGATGATGGAGCATTCCGCTTTCCTTCGGTTTGCTGTCAGGAAACATCCAAAGGTCGTGTGTGTGTGGGAGAATTTGAGACTATTGGATCTATCCACTCGATAATGGTCAGAACTCTCGTCTTGGTTTAGCTTAGTAACATAATATCAGCTGGGCTGTAAGATAGGACATACCGCTGTGACGACTTCGCCCATTTTTACTGCAACATCATCAAACGATATGCTCCAGCCCCGGGGACGTCCTCGATAGTATCGTATAGACCGAGTTCCAGACCCAAGCTATGCAGCACCGGAGTTGACCGGCGCTACGGTTCAGCTTGCGACCTGGCTTGGTGGCGTCCGATTCAGTCATGCGCTAAGTGATGGTATTGATACCTGTATATACCTGTAATCGTTGCCAGATAGGCGAAAGGTACAAGCCCATACGTATAGGCTTGTAAATACTACAAGAAGTATCGATAGACCGGATGCCGAATTGGGTTTGGATGGCCTATCACAAATATCACATACCTAGAGATAGAGCTACCTTTAGCTCGGACGCCTTGAGGTAGTTACCTGGCACATCCACGATGTTGACTTGTCACGTACAAGCCTCCAAGTTAGTTCACTTTGGTGTTACTCTCAAAATGGATTGAGAAAGTCCGGAACAGTGAAGGAGCACGGGTTCCGAACAAGGCCGTTCATGTGTTGCTCGCTTGCCGTGTAAGTGGAAACGGAGCCGTTGTTGCGGAGCATCTGGTGCTATTAAGATCAACCGTGCCGGCTTTGATATAATCATCTCGGTTGTTCTCATATATGTACTCTCTCAAGACTTTTGCTCGAGAGCGCTTCAGTACCTTTAGCTTACCTATCCAAGACATTCACCAAGTCTTTCTTGCGGAACAACAATGGCGGGCGACAAGAAAACAGATCTCGACATATCCGACACGTCGCTCTACCGCTGCGTCGTCGACAAAGCGACCGACACAACTCGCATTTTGGTCGCTTACCGGTCTATCACCTTGCTTCCCTCCCACCTTTCCGGTGCTGGCATAATCCCACCGGAGGGCTCAGTACGTCTGCCGCTCCCGGTCAGCGGCACATACGCAACCAAACACATCCGTCTCCATGTCGAGAACCTCTACCTCGTGGCAGGGAGCACCTTCGAGTTCCCTGGAAAGACAGTCATCATCACCGCCAACCGGGTGGTACTGTTTTCGTCAACCGGTGTGACGCAGGGCGGCGACAGTGTTGTTTTTGACTGCACGGGCGCCAGCGGAGTGACTGTTACGGCCGTTGGTACTCCTGGCAACAATGGAGAAAATGGCAAAGAAACCCACAGGTATGAGATGACGTCCATCATGTCGGGCGAAACGGAAACGATCTTTAGACCTAGCGCAGCACCCACGGACGGCGGCAACGGGAACAGCGGCGGCGACTGTGGGAGCAGTGGCCAGCCCGCAGGGACACTTGTTCTCAACGCTAGGTCCATCACACAACTCCCGGACGACAAGGATCCCAATCGCCGCTTGGACATCGTGATCAAGTGTGCTGGAGGGTCTGGCGGGCGAGGTGGTAATGGAGGGGCCGGCGGAAACGGCGGCAACGGAGCTGTAGTTCCGTCGGAGGAAGCCTTGAAGCATTATGGTTCAGGTGTAAGTGCGGAAAAAGGCGAAAGTGTTAACGGCGCCAAGGGCGGTAATGGAGCAACCGGCGGGAAAGGAGCAGATGGTGGCGCTGGAGGTCTCATTCTCAGCCTCGTTGGACCATCGCGAGGACAACTGGAGGATGCTAATTCCGGAGCCTCACTTGTCAAAAAGGATACCAGTGGGGGTAAAGGAGGTGAGGGCGGTAACGGGGGCGCAAGAGGAAGTGGTGGAAGTGGCGGCAAAGTCAGAAACAAGGAAGACGGCACCAGAGGCAATGATGGCCAGGAAGGCCAGCACGGAGCCAACGGGAAGCCAGGGGCGGACGGGCATGTTATCGGTCAGGTCGCCGGTGACAAAGGCGCTGAGCTCCTTCAGTACGAAAAGGCCTTGGCTGAAGAGTGCCGGGCCGAAACCATGGACGTGGTCCAACTGACCATGGCGATGGAGCGCCTCATGTTCGAGTACTCTATTCTCCTCAGTGGGTATGCCGTCACTCCCGACAACCCCGAAGACACCGCATCGCTGGAACCGTTGAAGAAGGCATTTCAAGAGACCTTTGACTGGTTGATGTGCTGCTTCGATGATATTCTCAGCCTATCGAACCAGGGCTCTTCATATTCATTGCCTGACCCCCATGGATCAGCGCCATACGCATCCAGTACGGCATATCAGGACCTCCTAGCTTACCAGAAAAAGGGCTGGCAAAACTCCACGGATGTCCGATCCGGATTCCTGCAAGTCTTTGTGGCCTTTTGTTCTCGTTGCTCGACTCCTCAAGAGCGGGATCTCTATGGCCAGGACGTCAAGTTCATCTCGCGACCAAACATCCACCTCACCACGGTGGACGAGGCACTCAAAGCCCTCGAATCCATTGAGGGATCTTACCAGCAGTGCCTGAACGAACTTGGGAAAGTGATTGGCGAAAAGGAGGTCAAAAGCCGATCAGAAGCCCAACTCAACAATGCCGTGAGCGATGCTGAGAAGAATATCGGCGCCCTTCAGAAGTCCACAGCCAGCGGATACGAAGCCGTTAAATCCACCCGCGATGCCGTCCAGGAAGCTCGCAAGGCTCTGCAACAGTCCATTGAGAAGCTGTGGGATGCACACAAATGGGACATTCCATCTGACCTGAGCTCTGTATTGGAAGCCCTCGGCACGGTCTGCCTCTTCGCTCACCCAGGCGTCGGGACCGCTTTCAAGGTCGGCGGTGCCCTAACCATCGGTCTTGGTCTGCACAAACTGGGTTCCAGCGTATCTACATCGCAAGGAACTGTTTCCAAGGATGCGTTGCACGGCAAAGTGTTGGCGGTAGAGAACACCCTTGTCTCAACAGCCCTCAAGGAAGACATTACCCAGAAGACCGCATCGTTGCAGCAGCTCTCCGGCATTGATAAAGAGTACGTCAACTCGGTCATGGTAAATCGCAAGAACTTTGAGGAGCTGGTCAACACCTACTTCGTGGACGCTTCTCAGCATGGTGTCACACCGGAGGAGGTGAAACAAGCCCGCAAAGACTTTGACGCCTACGTCGAAGCGGTGCAGCAATTCCACGCAGCCGTCACGTCGTATAACGACACATTCACCTCGCTCGCGCAGGCAGCAGCCACCAAAGCACAAGCCGAGCATGGGAAAGCGAAGCTGCAAGTCACCAACTTCTCTGACGACATTCCCGCGCTCGATCTCTTGACCACACTGTACAGCTCTCTCCATCACGCTGCCAAGCTCGAGACTCTGCGCATTCTTTTCGACGCCTCCAGGGCAGCAAGCTGCGTTTTCTTGCGCCGATGCGATCTCCTCCGCCAGCTGCTCCCTCTCGGAAGCTGGTCCAACGTCAGTGCCCGCCTCTTGCGTGACGTAACCGTCCCGGCCTTGTACCGCCAAGTGGCAGACTACAAGAGTTCCTTCAACTCCAAGCCACCTGTGCACATTGACGGCAAAACCATTTCAATCACCATCTCGGGTCCGCACAAAAACCTCGTCGAGCGATTCCGTGACAGCAGGCGTCTGAGCTTGTTTCTGGACGACGCCTCCGCCACCGGCGCCTATGACTTCGACATCAACTGGTACGATATCCGCCTAGAAGACCTCCAGGTGTACTTCCACGGAGCAAAAAACACCCGGGCACAACCGAACGTAGACACCCGGATTATCGACGTGGAGGTGCAGCTCGGCGGAGTCTTCTTCGTGCACGATGAGAAATTCCGGCAATACACATTTGAAGTGCCGTCAACGGACGTAACGTTCGAGTACAAGTATGGCGATGAGGCGGGCAGGGAGAAGCTGGAGCCCAAGTCGAAGGGCGGCATCAACAGCGCGTTGACCCAGTTCAGCTTTGCGCTGGGGCAGGTCCATGACGTGAGTTTGGATTTTGCGACGCCGGTGAGAAGTCCGTATATGCATTATGTGTTCACCGTCGGGGACCATGTCGAGGTCAAGGACGTGGATGAGATCGAGATCAAGATGAACTTGAGGGTGAGGACGGGTCAGAGGCCGAAGGGATTCAAGGTTGGGTCGGTGGTTGTCACGCCGTCGGCGTTTTCTGTGCTTGGTTGACCATCGCGTTTGGATTTTGAATAGGCGAATGGTCGTAAGAATAAACCGAACACGGACAGTCCAATATCCCTCGTTGTGGTGGGGAAACGCCGTTATAAAACTATAATAGGGATCACAGAAGTTTAGAAACACATAGGCCGGAGTCTATCAGGGGTTCTTCCATCCAGGAATGCCTCGAGGTTGGGTTCAAAGGAATAGTAAAGACGTTTGGATACGTATACCCAAGGTGTGATAATCGTCGATGTTTACAGTTGAGGTTGGCCGCTGCCCCAGTGACAGTAACAATTCAAGTCCCCACCAACTGCCAAGCGACCGTCAGCCAGCTGCAAGCTGACCCGTCGGGACCCACCCTTCACTTCCATCACACATTTCATCCAATCACATCCCGCCAGCCGTTTTTCTTTTGCACGCCCATACATCTCCCAGCGACCAACATATCCACCCCGGTCCTCTCACTCAACCTTCCCAACTTTCACCACACTCACACCTCATCATCCAAGCGCCGCCTCAACCCGCCAAGATGTCACGCAAAAGAAAGGCCGAAAACGGCGGCGAAGTCCTCAAAATCGGCAACAAAACCATCTCCCTCGAAGGCTACCTCACCAAGAAACCAAAAACCACCAGCACCCCTTCAACTTCCACATCCGACAACAACACACCACAACCAAGCGACAATGTCAACAACAACTCTTCAGACCCCTCAACCTTCCAACCCTCCCGCCCCCTCACCGGAGACCCTTCTCTTTTCCCCACCCGCCGCGCCCTCCCGCTCTACCTCTACCAAGACCGTATCCGCTCCATTCTCTCGAAGAAGGACGTCCTGGTGCTAGTAGGTGAGACCGGTTCGGGTAAATCCACCCAGGTCCCGCAGTTTTTGTACCAGGAGCGATGGTGTCAGCGACGGAGGGTCAAGGTCAAGACGAAGGTGTTGGATAAGGATGGAAATGAGGTTCTTGAGGAGGGGGGCAAAGTAAAGACGAGGGAGGAAACTGTTAATGTCGGTGGAGTAATCGCCATTACCCAGCCGAGAAGGGTGGCTGCTACGACGCTGGCGGGACGTGTGGCGAGGGAGTGTGGGACGCCGTTGGATACGAGTGGAAACGGTGGGAGGTTTAAGGGACGGGGGCCGAAAGGGAAGGATGGGAAGGGGCCAAAGGGTGGGAAGGAGGGAGAAGAGTGGGATGAGGAGAAGGATGTCGTTGAGGAGATGGGGAAGAATGGGGGTGATGAGGAGGTGATTGAGGAGAATGGGAACGAAAGAAAGGACAAGAAAGACCAGGAGAAGGGCTTGGTTGGTTACTCGGTCCGTTTCGATCATCGGGTGCCGCCGGGGACGAAGATCAAGTACGTTACGGAGGGTATGTTGCTGCAGGAATTGCTGAGGGACCCGCATCTACGACAATATTCCGCCATCATCGTGGACGAAATCCACGAGCGCAGTGTGGATGTCGATTTGCTTTCGGGCTTCCTCAAGCAGATTGTTACGGGCGACAAGGCCGGCCGTGGAGGAATCCCGCTCAAGGTGGTGGTCATGAGTGCTACAGCACAGGTGGAGAGGATCAAGAAGTTCTTTTCTAGTGACGACAGTCTTAAGAAGGGGACATCAGGGGAGGAGGTGGAATACCTTCAGATCGAGGGTAGACAGTTTCCTGTCGAAGTCGTTCACGAACCGAAGCCCGTGCCCGACATCCAAGAAGCACTCGTCAAAACCGTCTTCAAGATTCACACACAGGAACCGCTTTCCGACAAACACGGCAAAAAGGACATCTTGTGCTTTTTGACAGGCCAGGAGGAAATCGAGGCTGCCCAGAGACTCATCGAAGAATTCGCCGAAACCCTCGACCCCAAGGTACCCAAAGTTAAAGTCTTCCCCCTTTTCGGCCAGCTCTCCATGGAAGCCCAACACGAAGCCTTCCAGCCCATAAAGCACCCCTTCACGCGCAAAATCGTGCTCGCCACCAACATCGCCGAAACCTCCGTCACCGTCCCCGGAGTGCGCTACGTCGTCGACTGCGGCAAAGCCAAAGTCAAACAATACCGTCCCCGCCTCGGCATGGAATCCCTCCTAGCCAAACCCATCTCCAAATCCTCCGCCATCCAGCGAACCGGTCGTGCCGGCCGTGAAGGGCCTGGTAAATGCTTCCGCCTCTACACAGCCGAGACGTTCAACACCCTGCAGAAGACGGACCTCCCCGAGATTTTGCGGACGGACGTCCTAGGCGCAGTCCTGACGATGAAAGCCCGCGGCATTGACGACGTCCTCTCCTTCCCTTTGATGGACCGTCCCGAAATCGAAGCAGTCGAGAACGCCCTCGTGCACTTGCACGTCCTAGGCGCGCTAGGTGACGACGGACGCATCACAGAAATGGGCCGCAAGATGGTTCTTTTCCCCGTCACCGCGCCCTACGCTCGCGTGCTTTTGGCGGCTGCCGACCCCCGCTATGACTGCCTGCTCGAAGCGATCGACATCATCTCATGCATCACCGCAGGCGACGACATCTTCATGCAAGTCCGCTCAGAAGAAGACAAAGAATCCGTCGACGTCTACCGCAAGGAACTCCAGCGTCGCGAGGGAGATCTAATCACCTACCTCAACACCATGCAACGCTTCGTCTCCACGCCCTCCTCCGACCGCGCAACATTCTGCAAGCAGAGGCGCATCAACGTGCGGAATATGCGGCAGGCACTGAATATCCGGAAACAACTCCGTTCTTTGAGCGTCAAGACCAAGATGCTTGAGGAACCTCCGGCGCCAGATTCGGAGGTTACTTACCAACCTGTCTCCCCCGAGACAGCAGAGAGGATATTGAAGGCCTTTCTAAAGGGGTTTGCGATGAAGACGGCTGTCTTGGCGCCCGATTCGAGTTATGTCACGGCCCATGGGAAACATGTGGTGGCTATTCATCCGAGTAGTAGTCTGCATGGCGTCAAGAGGGAGGCGATCATGTTTTTGGAGCATGTGTATACGCAGAAGAATTATGCGAAGAAGGTGTCGGCGATTCAGGCGGGGTGGATTGCTGAGGCTTTGGCTGCTTGAGTTGGGTCCAGGGGAGGGAAACGAAGGGTGATGGTTGTGCATTGGTAGAGAAGAGAAAGGTGTAGGGAGATATAGAATACGGATACCCTAGACTAGGTGTTTAATGAGTGGCTTCAAGTTTCAACAATCTGCCCGGCTCTGTTGTCGGTTTTCTGAACGTGAGGTTTGTTTACATCGTGATATCAGCATTGGTGTTGTAGCTGTTCCCTCCAGGGGCTTCAGGGCTCAGGCCTTCAGCGGCAGAGTCGAAAAGTGGGTCAAGACCCACCAACCTCCGGCCTTGGCACTTGTCATCAACTGCCTTCCAACCGGCAAATCCGGCATTGCCGCAATTGCCATCCCGGAACCACTCTCTCGGCAACCCGTTTCGCCCGTTGTATCAGCGCATCATCAACTCCCGGCTGCGTTTCGTCGTTACGCCTCCCTGTAATACCACAATCACCGTCTCACCCAGACACCTTTTCATTCTCCCCCCCCTCTATCCTTCCATTTCACTCTCATTTCCAGCTCTCGCCCCGGCCGCTCCATCAGTCGTCGTCAAGATGAACGCCGCCCTCCGCCCAACCCGTCGCCTGCTAGCAGCGGCCCTCAACCCCTCCAAAGACCACGGCATGACACCCGGCCCCATGGCCCTCCTGCCGCCTGTCTATTTGTACAGGCGACTGCTCCGCGCGCACAGGAAGTACCTCCCGCAGGAGATGAGGTTGTTGGGGGATGAGTATATCAAGGCGGAGTTTAGGGCGCATCAGAGCGTGGATAACCCGGCGCATTTGGTGAGTTTTTCGAGTTTCGTTTTTCTTTTGAGGTTTTCTTCTTTTTGGTGGTTGGATCGATGAGAAGTGGGGAGGAGGCCATGAGGAGGGGTGAAAGGGTGAGATGCAGGAGGTATGGGGGATTGAAAGATGGGAGAAATAGTGGGAGAGGGGAAGAGGCGAAGAGGCGAAAGGAGGAAGATGGAGAGGGAGAGAGAGAGAGAGGAATGAGGGCAGGGAAGAAGCAAGAGAAAGAGCAGATGGGAACACAACAAGGGGGGCGGCGGCGCACCAGAGGCTTGGCAAGGGAGGATAGGAGCGATATGGGCTAGCCGGCCATGCGGTTGGGGAGGAAAGGAGGTGAGGATGGGGGTGGAAATAGGAATGAGGAGGGAAGAGGAGGGAAGAAAACTGCAAAGCGTTCCGCCGGGATGTGATGGTTTGAGGCGCGTAACGGAGAGGAAGCCCAGGTATGGATGAGGCAAAGTGACAAAGGGAGGCCCTGCAAGAGTGGCAGAGGGTATGAACACAGGCTGTAAAAAGGCTGTCCTACGAACGCTGAAGGTCGCGTGAGGAAACAGGATGTGGGGAGAAGTTGGGCATTGAGAGGACTGGTTTGGTTGGTGAAATAACCGAGAACCGACAACGGGAGATGTGCGATGGCGAAGGCTGCGATTTCGGGTGAAGAGGATGAGGGAAAATCGAAACGGAAGTCAGGGGGAAGGAGACATCGGATTGCTCAACTGCTGGAATTCTAAAACGTCACGGCAAGACACCGGCTAACGAATGTCACCACCACAGATCGGCTTCCTAACAGAGTGGCAACTCTACGCTCAAAAGATCGAAGGAAACTCGTGGGTAGGCGAGAAGTTGGATAAGGGCAAGGTTGAGAAGATGAGCGGTGCGTATTCCTCCCCTTTTCTCCCCTCCTGTGATGCTCAATCACTAACATGAAGATCACAGACGAGCAAATCGGCCAACTATACGAACTCATGCAAGCCATCCAAAAGCGCGGAACAGAAGGGGATCTTGAGGACGGTGACGGTGGAGAGTCTGGGCAGAAGTCACAATGATCATTCTGTTGCTTTTTGCTAGGTTTTGTTTCGATAAGTGTATTTGTTTGTGTCAACAATTGTACAATCATTATTCTCTCATAACGCTTGTGAGAGTCCAGGTGACTTTAGGCTGCAACCCCCTGTGCCCCAAACCCTCTCCCTCCATCTCCTCATCACAAACACAACAATAAGAAACAACTTCCTATAAAAAAGAAACCAAGTATTAGCCTACCCCCATCCTTCCAATTCAGACTTTCTAGAATCAGTCCATAACTTGCATCATCATCACCACCTCTTCCCTCCCCATCGGCTCCCCCATCGGCTCCCTTCCTCCCCTCCTCCCCCTTCTTGCCCCACCCCGTTACTGTTCATGACGCGGGATCTGACCTTGAGCAACGACCCACAGGAATCAGTTGAGAGACGACTCTTGGCCGTTCATACGGTGATGTAGGATACGGACAATTGCTATAATCTTTGGTACGTCCTTCTTCTCGTGCCTATTGACGACATCCTCACAGATTGCGTCGACAAAGAGAACCGAGAGACCGTGCCTGTTCCGGATCATGGCCCCCCGCCCAACTTTGGCGAATATCAGAACCAAGGAAGGTCCTGCAGAGCCTCCAACTATCCAAGCCGTGCGTGCTCGCGGCGCTTTGAGGGTGTTTCTTATCCTCGTTCGGGTACGTTCGACGGTATCTTGAACTTTCCCGTCGGAGGCCTCGAAGGAGAGAGCCTTAGAGCTTGGCTCAAGTCTCTGAGCCAAGATCAAATGAGTACAGGCTGTGCTGGATCACGGGAGATCCGGGCTCCGGCAAAAGCGTTCTGGCGAAGCACTTCGTGTCGCAATTCCGGACGGAGGCGCTATTGCTTCTGGGTCTCGAAGCCTGGGAACAATACCACTCCCACTAATTCGGTCCTCTGGATAACATATCTTGTTCAGTTAATATGATCAAAGAGACACTGCCATTTAGATGCACATAGACTGGTTAGTATGGACAGACATCCCATTTGCCAAAAAGTGCGAAGTGTGTGACAAGAGGAGTCAAAGAACGAGGGTGTCTTTTGAACTCCCCTACATTCAACCAATGGTCTTTGGAGCTTTCTTGAAGAGCTCTTTCCGATATGGGCTTTCATTCCACAAACCGTCGTTTTGGTACGTTGATATCAATATGAGAAGCGGTGCTCACCGTCCAACGTTCGAAGGAACTACTGCGAGAGCATATGTAGCGGTCTCAATCGACACACAGACTTGCACCAGCGGTTGACTGGAACACGGGCCGCCATGTTGGCTGATGAACGCTTCCATACCATTATCGAAACGACAGGAGGCAGTACCTCTAGCATTGCTTCTTGTGTTCGGGCCTTTGGTTGCAAATTAAGAAAACCCAAGGACGATTGTCTGTAATTCCTTCATCATGAACAACTCGACAACCCTTAAACGTCTCCAAATCTCTTACTAAAATCATCAACCAAGCCCATCTCCGTCTACCTCTAAACATCCCTCCTTGTCTCCTTATCAAATCCAACTTATTATCCACTTCCCTAAATCCCCTCTCCTTAGAGACCTCTTCATCATTACAAACATCTTGCAACGGATCCGCTCTGTACGCTATTCGAGTCAAGTCATTCTGAGGATGAGAACTCGTTCTAATTGCTCTCAGTTTTTGAAATATGAAACCTATGTCTTGCTCTATCCTACTTCACCCAAGAACGCATTTTGTCCGTCATAAACGGTGCTATGTCATATCTATATGACCAACGGTCCTCAGGGATGAAATGTTTTGTCATGATGAGAACGGCTCCAAAAACATCCCCAAATGCCCTGTCCTTACACTTCCCCGGCTGCTGGCAAACATCACCATCATCGGCCATCTCGGAGCGCATCAGGGCCTCGTCATATCTCTCAGACTTTTCTTCATATGTTTCATCTCCGACTTCAGCTCTCATCTCTTCCTCAGTTCTGCCGGCCTTCCACTCTTGATATTGGTTGATCTCTTTCTGAAGATTGAGCTTGAGATCCTCGTTGAACTGATACTCCTCTTTGAGTCCCTCGCATGCCTCCGCTAAGGCCTTCGTATGGGGATGATCAGGACCTAGGTTGTCGATCTGGAGGTTGAATATCGCCTCTGCTGCTTGGTGTCCCATGGGATCTTTCACCGCATTGTATGCGGCCATGAGTTCATTCAGTCGTTCAAATGTTTCGACTGAGGTGGCGCCGTATCTCTCAACACAGCGGATATATGCGACATCCATTACCCGAACTGCACATGACAAGTGCTTCGTCTGAGTCAGATGTTTTGCGATGGTACTCAGCACCTGGATAGTTTGGGTCGAATCATTGCCTGTAGCCAAGGCAGTGCCGCGGTAGCGTTGCCAGAGTAGGGCAAGTACGGCATCAGCGTCGTTGTTCATGATGGAGCTGCTTGTGGGAGTTGGGAGCTGGGAGCTGCCTGTGGGAGTTGTTGGGAGCTGCTTGTGGGAGTTGGGAGCTGCTTGTGGGAGTTGTTGGGAGCTGCTTGTGGGAGCTGGGAGCTGGCTGTGGGAGTTGGGAGCTGGCTGTGGGAGGGAGCAGATCAAGAGATGAAGCTGAGAGGATGATGAAAAACCTGGAGCGGATGAAGAGGATGGTGAAAAGAAGACTGCTCCAAAGGCCTGGGGACCCTGGGTTTATATGCACATCCTGTTGTCCCCAACCGGGCTCCCAATTAGCCATCGGCTTAACGTTTGGGAATGACGTCCTTCCTCAGAACGTCATGCTCCTTCTGTTACCAGCTTCCGAAGACTCTACCCAAGTTGAGCAGCTTCCAGCCAGAGGCTTCCTCACCGTGGCACACCTTCCTCGTACTGTGACATTATGAGAGTAGGGCGGGTGGTAGGAACGACGGCCCCTTGACTGCTCTCTCCATGTTTGAAGGCTCGGGCAGAGCGAGTAATCTCCGCCTGGAGTGCATTGCTCGGGCTGATTCTGGAAGAAGGCCTGCCCTGGTAGGGAGCAGCATCCGCTCTTCTGGCAAGAGTCGCTCCATGGGCTGTCAACGCGAAGAACAGCTGCCACCTCCAGCACTTTCCCACTACGGCATGTAGAGGGAAGCCATCACAACGATGGGCGGACTCTGTGTACCCGTGACTGGCTTCTCGGGCACCACCACCGACTGGAAGGCACAAGCTCTTCAACCCATCCGAGTCATCTGCAGTGGTGGGAGACCACTTGGGCCGAGACCTGGACTTGGAATGAAATTGCCAAAGTTCAAACACCCGCCCTGATCCTGCAAGTATTAGCATTCGGCTATATCACAGGAAAGAACTCTCGAGATGGAAAGGGTTGCGGGCGGTGAAGGTGTTGAGGTGGAAGGAGTTGAGGGGGTGGAAGGAGCTGTGTGTCTTGAAATTCCTGGTGGAGCAGGCTTGTTTGCCGGGTGAATGACGTATTTGTCAGTCCATGGCAGTCGGGTTGGCGGGTTGATAGGTAGTCTGGTGAATGACATCGCGACTTCCGTTTAGTGTTGTGTTGCAATGGAAGGCAGTGGTGGTGATGAACTTGGAGTGGCGGTCGGAGTGAGCGATTGCCTTTGTTGTTGATGCGAGATGGAAAGTCGTGATGGGGAAGGTGGTGTTTGCACCTTTCCCCGACATGCCCTGCAATCGCAAAGAGATGCGCGATTGTGATATCGCATTCGGCAGAAAGTGCAAAGTGTCTGAAAAGAGGAAAGAGAAACAATGAAGGGGACGAGAGGAGAAGAAGAGTTCTCGCATGGAGAAGCCCGGGGGATCTAGGGAACCGAACGGCTATCATTCATGAATCATTCATCATCGGAACAGCTCAACACCCCTCAGCTCCGCCGTCCATGAGCAATCCTCTCCCTTGGGTTCCTATTTCTAACTAAAATCATCAACCAACCCCATCTCCATCTCAGCATCCTTAGAAGCACTTATCCCCAACCTACCATCCACCTCCCCAAACCCCCTCTCTTTACATCCCCCCCTAGCCTTACAAACATCCCCCACCTGGACCGCCGCGTATACTACAACCGCGTTTACATAATCCCTACCCCTCTGCTCATACCCCTCATCCCCGATTTCAACCCTCAACACCGCCTCCGGCCTTCCCCTCACCCAATCCTCATGCTTCATCATGATCGACATGGCGCTCTCCATCCCCCACTCCCTTTTTCTTTTATTTTCCCTCAGCTTCTCCAGCGTCTCCATCGCCTGCTGTGTAATCGCATGCTCAGGACCTAATGTTTTCGTGAAAAGACTAACCAGCTCCTCCTGAAGATCATAAGCGCGGAAGACCTCGCCTAGAAGTATCTGCGCCTTGATGACACTACCGAAATGTGAGCTGGTAGTGAGCGCGGAGGGGCCGTTGCGTGCGAGACAGCGCTTGTAGGCCTCCTCGGCGACGCGGAGCGAGCAGGAGAGGTGCTTGTGGGTAAGCATATGTTCGAAAATGCGGTCGAGGAGGGTGAGGGATTCGGGCGAGGAAGGGCCGAGGGTGGAGGCGTATTCGGAGTATTGAGCCCAGAGGTCGGCTTGTTCTGAGCGGTAGGTAGGGTCGTCCGGGTCCATGTCATTGTTGTTGTGTGTGGGTTGCTTTGGGTTTGTGTTGGCTTGGGACACTGGATGTGTTGTGGGAGATTCGGCGGTTTCCCCCTGCTTCAGCTTGGGGTTTATTTCATCCAGCGTGAGTTTGTCGACGGTCACACCTGATGTGGTGCCGTTGGTGAGGACGTCGACGATTCTGTCGATTACACCTCTTATGGCACTTGTGCCTAGCCACCGCTCTGTTTCGCTCTTTACCGCGGGAATCTCGTGGGATTTATTAGCTTCGACTTTGTCGGCCATGTCATAGACATTGAGCCGAAAGTATGTGTCTGGGACATTAGCGAAACGCCTCCTCATATCGTTATCGGTCTTTTCGGTGTGTCGTTTTTTGCCATCTTTTGTCGGTTCGTAGCGGTTGTGTATGTCTTTGGTGCCTGCCCCAAGGCTCAAAACACAACCAACCTTGGCTGTGTTCTCCAGGACTTCTGTTGCCTCCTCAAGCACTTCTCTTATTGGGTTCTTGTAGTCTTTGGTATCATCAGCGAAATACCGGTCCCCGGAGGACTCTATGCTCGCTGCAGTTGCCCTTGCAGCTTCATAGATGGTGAGGTTCTGTTGATTCTGCCCGTGACGGTAGGCACGTATTCGGCGTAAGGAACCATCCGATCGTCGAGCAACCACAAACGACTTCCCGGTGGAACGTTCCCCCTTTTCGTCTCTCATTAGATTGCCGTCTTTGCGGTCTTTCATGACCTTCTTCATCCCCTTCTCGACCTTTTCCTCTCTGAAATCGATGGAGAACTCAAGCCTCCTCTTTCGGGTACTGAAAATCTCACTGGCAATGTTCTCATACCCCGTAAGAGCCTCGGTAGTCGTCATGCGTAGCCTTCCGAAAAGTATGGCAGCGATTCTGGATGCCGGAGTAAGCGTTATGTCTAACGTGGTGATGGTGATCCGAGACCACTCACCCTCCAGTGCCAATACCTCCGATCAAGTGGAAGTAATCGCACGGTTTCGGAATCTCCGTGAGGCCGTTCTTCTCTTGGATCCTTTTCATGATCCTATCAAGCATCATGACTTCTGACAAGGCACGGACTCCTCCGCCATCTGGTTAACAAACAGTTGACGTTAGCCAGGTGAGTTGATGAAAAGAGCAGTCAAGGAGCTTCTTACCCAGCGAAAGGATGTTGACGATCTCATCATCAGAAGGCATCATATCCGGGCTTGTGTCTCAAGATGAAGAAGGATGTCACAATGAAGGGGATTCCATAGACACAGCATCTTCAGACCGGAGCTCCCAAGTTTTTGGGGTACCATAGATAGATATGTCCATGTCTAAGTCCCAACGCAGGGGAGGAGGACGGAGAGGAACGCCATCCGGCCGATTTCCCTCCATTATGGGGTTCTGTTGTTAGCCGCAAGCCAACAGCCTAATAGACCATACAATACCTTCGTTACAATTTTTTAAGCGGCCGTTCAGGCCCATCATTTCGGGCGCGCGTACCTCCTTGGGAGCTTGAGAAATGTTCTAGTGGACGACTGGTGACGAAACAAGATGAAGCACCTCATGTGTGGGATCGATGCAGCCCAGGTTGGCGCTTCTGTCACGACAGGCTTTCAGTGGGGTTTCGCGGGTAGGTATACAGTAGGCACAGTAAGGTACACAGTGGGCTTCTTCGGGCAGACGACAGCGGCTCGTCCCGCTGAAGATTAGCGGATGAAAGAGCGCCCTCCGACAACGGACAACTTCCACTTCCATCTCCATTGGGCACATCCCGTCATCATCACGACAACAACAAAACACTCCAGTCCACATCTTCGCACAACCCCAGAGCGAATAAAACCTGGAGTTCGACGATATTTCGAAAACACGCGTCCCCGAAAGCATCCTTTCCCGAATTCCTCGACCCGGTGTCGGTAACCCGTTCGCCCACTGTGCCAACCGCGGTACCATGGGGCGCCCCCTCCCTACCGCTCCTCCTGTAATGTAACGCTGCGGCTATGCCCAGTGGCTTTGGACGTCTTAAGCGCTGGCGGTTTCGATTCGACGACCACCGTGAGACTCGGGCGGGTTACAACATGGATCTGCAGTCGGATACCCTCGAACGGGTGGTACACTAAGGTAGAGGAGTCAGGCTGAACGCCAACGGATACAGGGGTAGGGGGAGGAGGGAGGGGTCGGGTGGGCGATTTGGGCGATGTGGGCGGCCGTTGTTCGAGTCCAACCTTGGGAACAAGAAGAAGCAATGCCACTGTGACGGTGGGATGGTTAAGGTATATGAAGATGGTGGTGGCGCTTTTCCCACCCTTCGGGCTTCATCCGTTGCGATGGCCTGGTCATTGGCATGACTTGATGGTTGACTGATATCGTTGTTGTTCACGATTTACCTACTGACTGTTTACTTCCTGTGATACCCCTTTTCGTCGAGTTTTTTGGACACTACTGGTTTTGCTGGAAGAAAGAGTGGAAAGAAAAGAAGGGCAAGATGGTTTATCAAGGGAAAAGGCACCAGAGAATCGATGGCCCGGTCAACTTGCTGTCCCTGGGTATGTATAAGTCCATGTTCCTCATACGACAAAGCTAACGACGGGAAACACTAGACGGTGGAGGAGTTCGTGGGTTATCGGAGGTGGTGATGCTTCACAAGATCATGAAGAGGGTGCAGGAAATTGAAGGCTTCAAGGAATTGCCAAAGCCATGCGAGTACTTCCACATTATGGGCGGCACCAGTACTGGAGGGTAAGTTTTTGTTTCTGTTTTGTTTGCCAGATTGTCTTTCCAAGACTGACATGCCTCTTTCCACAGACTGGTGGCAATCTTGCTCGGTAGGTTACGCATGACCACCGAAGAAGCTCTGGAAAAGTATTACGACCTGGGCAAAGTCATCTTCCACAAGAGCAACAAAAAGAAGGTCGAAATCAGCGCGAAGTACGGACCAGAGGCACTCGAAACAGCAGTTAAAAAGCTCGTCCAAGAGCGAAACAGTAGCGAGCTCATGTACGACCCGACTGACGAGCCGACTACCGGCAAAGCGTTCGTTTGCGCCGTAACGTCCGCAAAGATTGGTGCTCCGCAACGGTTCCGCACTTACGCTTCCAAGGACAAGAAATACAGCAACTGCAAGATCTGGGAAGCAGCACGAGCGACCTCGGCGGCGCCAACATTCTTCGCTCCGATGACCATCAGCCACGATGACGTACCGGAAGAATTCCTCGATGGTGCGATAGGGTATAACAACCCCATAACCGAAGTGTTGAACGAGGCGGGCATATCTTTGGATCCAACCCTCAAGCTGGGATGTATTCTGAGCCTTGGCTGCGGCACCAAGGCGGACAAGACCCTCAGGAGATCTGGTCGGTGGTTCGGCCAGGGTCTTAGTTGGGGCTGGCGAATGGGTAAAGTGATGAAGGACAGTTTGACGGACCCTGATCCCAAGCACATCGATGTTGCCAGATTCCTCGACGGGTGGAACGAAACATACTTTCGCTTCAGCGTTCCTGGTGCGGCCGATGCGGTCAAACTACCAGAGTACAAGAAGATGAAGATGTTGGAGAAGATGACGGAAAAGTATATGGATATCCCTGAAGTCGCAGATCAGATCGAAAAGGTTGCTCGGATACTTGCAGAAAGGAAATCAGAAGGGGCGTGGATTGGTTTGGTCTGTAAGCGCACCATTCCACTTTCCAGTGACTCTTGTCGTTCTGAGACTTACTTTGCACAGGTCAGCTGGAAAAGAGTGCGGTGGCCATGTCGCTACAAGCTCGTCCTATGGGATTGTCTAGCAACTTCTTCACTGGAAGGGTTGACATTCTCAGGAATATGGCGAAAGTGCTGCTTTCAGACCCAGATGGGCGTAGCCAGCGGCGCCGGGAATATCTTCTCTGGGGCATGGGCGGTATTGGAAAGACCCAAATCGCCCTGAGGTTTGCCGAGATTTACGGAGACAGGTAACATGCATTGAACATTGACACCTTTCTAGACTCTCACTAATTCTGAAGCAGGTTTGAACACGTCTTCTGGCTTGATGCCACCAACAAACACACAGTACAGCAAAGCTACCACAATATTGCGCTAAAACTTGGGATACAAACAGACAAAATCGAAGAATCTCAGGCGGTGGTCCTGAACTGGATGAATGCCTCCAATGGCAGATGGCTCCTCATCTTCGACAATTACGCACACAAGGGCGACGAGTACGGGCAGTACAACAACATTGTCCCTAACAGAGGTAATTTGCTGTACTCTAGCAGAGCCAACACACTCCTTCAAAGGCTAGGTCCAGAGGCTGTCTCGGAAGTCCGGGAGATGGACGAGAAAGAAGCCACCACCTTCTTTGTCAAAACTCTCCACCGCACGATTGTGGATCCGGAAGAGCAACAGCAGTGTACGGCTCTAGTCAAGGAGTTGGGATGCCTGCCATTGGCAATTGACCAAGCCGGTGCCAACATCCACATGACAGAGCGCAACATTGAAGACTACCTTACGGAGTTCCGAAAGAGGCGGGACAAATTGCTGAGGGAGAGACAGGGGTCAACGACAGGCACTGACATGGAAGGTGATCCGGCTGTATATGTCACCTTTGACTTGTCGTATCTCGCCCTCCGCAGACAATCCCGAAGGATTAACGAAGATCAACACGCACGCGACTACGAAACAGCCATGAAGATCCTCAACATCATTTGTTTCTACCACTACGATAACATACCCGAAGAGATGATCATGAGAGCGGCCAACTGGCGAGGCGAGCAGCTCGAGGGGAATGAAATGCCCATGGATGAGCAACTCGGGGGTGACACCGAGCGGAACGCCAATATTCTCATTGAACTCGACGAGGACGGAAGGTGGGATCCGACCTGGTTCCGCCGCGGTGCAAACATCCTCAAACAGTTTTCTCTCGTGAGGATAGACCGACATCGGTCGCTATCCATGCACGTGCTAGTTCACTCCTGGGCCAGAGACAGACTGGACACCTCAGCCAAAGACCAATATGGATTCACCGAGAAGGAATCCTACGCGCTCTCCGCTCGATGCATTCTCTTTGAATCTATACCCGAAAGATCTCGCCCGGAAGAGTTCAGCTACCGGACCAAACTGATCCCGCACGGCCTCGCACTAAACGAACACGCACCTCCGACAGCTGTCGGCGATATGTACCGTGAAGCTTATTACGACAAGCTCTGGGCCCGCGCCAATGAAGACGTTGGCAACTGGGAAGAAGCAGAGAAGTTTTTAATCTCCTCTATCGAACGATACAAGCAGGTGGGCTGGCTGGACGAAGGACGAGCCCTCGGAGCCATAGACCAACTAGGCGACTTCTACGTCAAGCGTCAAGACTGGCACAAGGCCCACATGATGCGCGTTGAGGCCTACGAGCGATACAGATACATTTGCCTCAAAAAGAACAAGGTCTCTTACGTTCGCGACGATGGGAAGGTCCTCGAGACTGATTCCGAAGAATACATTACACCCAAAGAAGCGGGAGATTACTGCGAGCCCGTGATTCTCGCCCTCCGCCGTCTAGCCGATCTCTTTAAGGAAGTCGGATACCCCGAAGGTCGACTCGAAGCCCTCAAAAAAGCCGACGAGATGACCTGGGAAAGCGGCATCAAGTCTGACCATGAATATTTCCAGCCCTGTGGCGACCAAATAATCGAAACAGAGTACTGGATAAAGAGGGCCCAAAACCCCAAGGCCGCCGCGAACATGACCTGGGAAGAACAAGATAAACAGTTCAATGAGATTGAGAAGAAGAAGGCGGATTACCGCAAGAAACACAACCTCGTCGAGGAAAAAACGGACATTGACAGACAGGAAGCCTACCGCAAGGAGGTCCTCTCTTCCACCACGCTCTCCTTCCAGGAGAGGACTGACCTCTTATGGGCCCATTACGACGAAATCAAAAACATCTACGGCGACGACGACGTCATGACACTAATCGCCTCGGAATCCTTAGCCAAACTTGGTTTCGAGTTCCAAGTATCCTCATCCTCATCCCCATCATCCCCTTCCTATACCAAACCGCAACTACAACCGCCACCTCTCCTCCTTCCCTGCCCCCTCCTCGTACACCGCCACGCCCTCTCCCTCGCATCCAAAAAGTACGGCAAAACCCACTCCCACACGCTCGTCTCCCTCGAACGCCACGGCCTCACCCTCTTCAAACTGAACCGTCTCCGCGAAGCCTTGGAACTCTCCATCGTCTTCAAGGACCTGGTCACCGCCAACCACAGCGCCAACCACGACTACTCTGTCATCGCCGCCCAGCGCGTCAAAACCATTCTCCAAGTTGGCGATCCGCGGTTTGATGATCACCGGATCAAGGGCGTGGGCGGGTGTTTCGCGGGGTGCACGGCGCAAAGCCACCGGGAGACCGCAACGAAACTGGGAGTGAGGGATTGGCTGGATGCAAAAGGGGAAGTGGTGGAAGTTGTGGGCGAGCTGGAAAGGGGGTATATAGAGATGATGAGGGAGACGAGGCAGAATAGGGAGGATTTGGAGTTGGCGGAGGGGGTGTGGGGGAAGAAGGAGGAGGAGGGGAGGAGAGGGGTGGCGATGGGGGAGGAAGAGGTGGTGATGATGATGCAAGCTATGAATTGATTTAGTCTGGATTGTAAGGATGATGGTGGGCTAATACGTCGGTGTTCTTTGTAGGAAGTTGGTTCTTATTATTGTGTTGGTGATGAGGAGATGGAGGGAGAGGGTTTGGGGGAGAGGGGGTTGATACTACCTCTAGGTAGAGGTAGGTTCACTACCTAAACCGTTCAAATCGCACTGGCGCTGCTACAGTGAAACTTGTTGCTACTGGTCAAGAGAATTATCAAATATATGACTGGAAACGATATTGATGCCATGATTTCTCTGCTACCAGTCACGAAACTGCTGGCTTTTATTCCGTGTCCGTTCGTTCTTTTTGCATGTTGTTCGGGACATATTTGAAGGATTCCATGTGCAGTTTCATCTTGGAACCATGAGTTCAGTTTGAGTCTGGTACCTACATACCTGGGCCCGGATCATGTTCTGTAAGGCGGATAACAAGAGATCGGGTATTGAAGTAGGTGGTTGAGTATGATATGGATGTCTGGCTTTGTAGTGTCGATATGAAGTTGGTAAGAAGAGGAGAGGAGTTGAGAGAAGGCAGACTACGGAGCATTTGGTGGTGGCCGAAAGGTTGGAGAGAGAGGGGGGGAGGGGAAGAAAGGGGTGATGATGTCAGTGATGAACCAGGTCCTGGTAGTAAAATAATAATTTAGAACGGCTGATCGGATGTTTTTGGTATGCGTGAAAGCAGGATATCATCATTCTATTGAAGAAAAAAGGACGTAGAGAGTTGGAGGGAGGCGAGGATGGTACCATTGTTCACGAATGTACTTTCCGATATACCTCGTGCTTGTCTCATTCACAAGTCAGCGTTTAACCTAGGATGGGAGTCAGAAGTCAACGGACACTTCACCACCTAAGGACACCGACAGTACATGACTTAGTCTATTAGTAGATATTTACCGAATCATTGCAACGGCCTGCCTTCTGACATATTTCCCGAACCGAACCCATCATCGAGGAAGGACCCTACACCAGACTCACCGCAGAAACATTTTTGAATGATAAAACGTTCCGTATACCCACAGTATCAACATAAACGCTGAAGAAAGTGTGTACGGCATGTTCGCAGCAAAAGTTAATATCAACAAACTCCGGCCATTCCAAACCATCCGACCGAACCAACAACATCCCAAATCATCCTGTTTAGAACCTTTCGAGCGCCATCTTGTTTCTGCGAACCTCGATGTTGAGTCTATCGGTCTGTTGCAACTGTTAGCGCCTTGCTCTTCCCAGCATCCTCTCCCAGAAAACAAAACACTTACGTTCTCAGTCATGGTCTCAATATACCTATTACTGAGATCCAGACCCGCGCCAATATCCAGCGCACCCTCCTTGAGCTCACCCGCAACCTGCTCCATCAGCGCAATCTTCGTGTTGATGGCGTTCTCGTTCTGGTCCATCTCCTCATCATCCTCCAGCGCGTACTTCTTCTTGTTGTCAGCGCCGCCGCCAAGACCCAGCTTCTTAGGCTTCATGCCGGCCATCTGCGCCTGTGCACGGTTCTTGTAGAGCTCGCGGGCGTTCTGCTCGCGGATTTCCTTCTCCTCCAGTTCGGCTTGCAGGCGGTCCCTGTCCATCCTGTCGAGCGTCTTCTTGCTGTGGCCGACAGGTAGGAACATGGAGCGATTGACTCGTTCGAGTTCCTTTACCCTTTCCTTGGCCTGACGGGCTTGGGCGGCTGTAGTAGGGTGTTAGCTTCATGTCATTCACTACTTCGTATTTACTATACATGGCAAAAACTAACCTCCGTGATCAATGTTTCCCTTGGCATACAGCAGCCTCTCGTTTTGCTCCCTCAGCTGTTGTCGTGCATTGCGCATGTTCGCCAGGGCAGCATAACTCGTCTCCATGGTCCGATCCAGAGTGTCGATGGTGGCATTTTGCTCGTTCACGATCTCGTTTCTGACATCGGTGAACTCCACGTCCTCCTTCTGCTCCTCCGTGAGCTCCTCCTGTGGCACACCATACTTGTTGCCATAGAGTTCCTGGGGAGACGGCTCATACCCATCAGGAGGAATCTGGCCTGGCTGCTTGTTGTCGCCATATGTAACAGGGTATTGCTGCTTGGAGTCGTTGGAGGGCTGGTAGCGGTTCTGGTTGCTGCTGGAAGGGGTATCGTATCGGTTATCACCATATTTATCCGTGGTGCCGAATCTCTCGTTGGTGTATCTTCCCGCAGCAGGCGGCTGCTGAACCGGACCTCCGGCGGAGTAAGGAGGAGGAGCTTGTTGGTTCTGGTACGGGGACGGACCGGAAGGCAGACCACCGGGACGGGGGCCACTGCTAGTGGTGCTCGATAGAGTAGCCTGAGACTGAGCAGGGCTCGCGTGCTGGTTCGCATACGGATCGGCCGCTGGTTGCTGGGCATAGGGGTTCTCGGCGGCGGCACCCTCCTTGTTCTTCTTTCGTCCGAATGACCAGCCCATTTTGGGAAACTGTGATGATTACAATACTTAGTACACTTAAAAGGTTTATTGGAACGATGGATATGTCAGAAAGATGGGAACGGATGTGTTGTGATTGACAAGATGCGGTGGAACTGGAACGAGAGGAAGGAGAAAAGGAGTAAAATGGATGGAGGGTTTGTTTTAGGGAGAATAAAACATGGGTGTGGTGCTTATGAGGGAAACAGGGGATACAAGCAGTGCCCTCTGGAGAACACTCCAAATGTCTTGACTGGTGTCTGGAGCGTGTTCCAGGTTTCTGTGCTTCCTCCTGTGGCCCTTCCATGGCCCGCCCGACGCCCGGTGGACTGCTGTAATGATTGGGGAAGGCCCGTAATACAAGCGTCGTAACCAGGGCATGTCGGCAGGGAGTCCCATGCTCACGTGTAGACGAGTTGCAGGAAGCAGCAGCAGGGGCGATTTGGAGACGCCCGCATCGAGAGGGAAAGTGCTGACGGATCTCGCGGGTCTCTGGCCTATAAGCAGCCATGTTTAGGTGTCTCTGTTACGCTAATGGCGGCGTATCACACGTTGACCACTAACACCGACTGGTGGTCTGGTCTGCTTCAGCTGCGTCCGCGTCTCGCCCATCCTGAGATTCCCCTTTTGGTCCTCTTCTTGTGAGACTGTCCGTGGGCTGTTGAGGCTGTGTTGACATTCCTGGCTCTCTTGGCCGTGGACGTGCCGGCATTCATCGCCACCCCATGTACCAAGTCAAGACGTCTTGTCTGATGTTTCCTCGAGGGCTCAGGGTCCAGTCGAAAGTCGAAACATGGGTGGTGTTGATGGGCCTCCTTTTTCCGCTGGTTCCTCGTTCCTGAGTGGTGGAGGAGACGCTGAAATGCAGAGAAAAGGGCAGTGGAGATGGGCGATCCAGGGGAAAGCGGGCTTGAACATGTCGCAGGCTAGGGCTGGGTGGTGTAGGGGTGTTCCATAAATGCTTACCTTCATCCCACACGCCAAAGACCGCCATACTGATGGCTTCTTCTTGGTCTTCTCCTCCTCTGTTTGTATCTGAGCCTCGAATTCGGGGTCGACTTCATCGCTGGCCCATGTGTTCGTTGTCGTGGTTCCCCAAGTGCTGTATCTCCGGGCGGGTTCGGGCTTTTCCCAGATATTGGCCTCTCGCCAGGCGGGGTTCGTGTCTTTTCGACCCATTTTGGCGATATCGAACTGCTAGTGCTCGCTGCTGCAGTTCGGTGATGGATGACTGAGATGAGAGGACGATGGGCTACATTCAAATAGAGTTGCCGGGTGACGTTCTTTTTGCAGGAAATGCTCCCGGTCAGTTATTGCCTTTCGCCTCCGCCTCCGCCTCACTTGATCAATGAAGTGAGTTCCTGCTGAATTTGGTTTTGGAAGTTCCAACAAAGAGACGGCATCGAAGCCTGAGAGTTCGGTCAGTTTGCGGCAGCTGCTGTTAAGGAGAAACCAGCTGGTCGGCATTTGACTGCGGGAAATTGGCGGTTGGGTGGCAGTTGCGCAAGTACCGGATATCTTGGCAGTGGCCTTATTGCCGTGGTCGGTGTTAGTGCTCTGGAAGGAGCGGCAGAAGCCGATGCAGCAGGATGGTGGGGGAGGAGAAATACGTACACTCCAACCCATGGAACATCAGTTTGGACGGGACTTCACTGCGCACTCTGCACAACTCAAAACGCCACTCTACCAAGCTTCATGCAAAAGGCTGGTATATGTCTGAAACTATTCAAGAAGTTTCTCGAGCCTATCCGATTTTCTGCTTTAAGTGTAGTCGTCCCGTCAATTTTCTGGGTTGTTTGAAGCTCCACGTCACAAGAAACGTGCTAACGGAGTACCGTATTGAACTGAATGTACTTGTACATGCAATACGAGATACTGACATTGGCCAGCAAATACCAAGGCAACTGCTGGCATCTTTCTAGAGTCAAGTACTTACATTGAAATTCATGACCATGGAATGACGTTATTTTCATCCCTTTACATCCATTCAACATATCTGATACTTACCATTACGGTATTCACGACATGCACGGACTGCCATAAGCATTTAGCATCTGGTGTTGGTCAGTTGGCCCGTGGGAGCCAGACCTCTGGACGAAAGAGGAAGGCACTGATGCGTCACTCACCGACCAAACACTTTTCATCTTTAGTTTGATTCCTCCTTAACCTCACTCTTAACTTGAGGAAACCCCCTCCTGCATTCCCCATATTGTATCTCAAACACAAGTAAACAGCGGAAACCGTCACCACGATGTTCTCCAGAGTCAATTAATCAGACCAGTGGTCTTGCCACAAGCACCCAGTTAGGACCCTCTTCACGGACCTCACTCAACCACCCGCTATCATCATCATCACCAGACACCGAGCAACTTGCTCTATAGCATCCAAAATGATCACCCGAATATACACATTGTCCTCCTATAACACATCCCTTCGTCGTGCAATACTACTCCACTATCTCCGATATCACCACCACGGGACTTGCTGATATTTGTTATTGCTTGTCAAACCCTCTTATCCGATATCACCTACGTGTACACTGACCACTTGAGGTCACATCACCAGCGAACACCCCAGCGAGCCCAGACACACGAACACAAATATGTCCGTCTTCACCTTCGATCCCAACCCCCCGCGAGTCTCCTCCCCGTGGCTCAAACCCTCCGAAGGCCCCAGCCGGCGTTCCACTCCGGAGGTCCGCTCATCAACCCCTACCACCACCGGAACCATCCAACCCGACCTCCTCTCCGATTATAACGGCATCACCCGTCTCGAAGCCGAGCCCCAAGAGGGCCCGACAGAATACAAGCTGCACCTCCTCCTCCGCCCCCGGCGCAAGTACGAACACAGCAGCACTTCAACGGCCAAGATTTGCGGCTCTACGCAAAGCAGACCACTGCCTTATGACCCTACTTCTAATTCGTTAAGGGGCACTCCAGTCTCTGTTGGAGGGTCTTCAGGCGCCACGACAACGAGACAGGATCGCTTTGAGCACTTGACTACGCAGCTGCTATGGAGGCTGCAGCAATCTTGTCCTTACCACGCTAGTTCCGCGGCTGTTGATCTGGTAATCCCAAAACTGCCGGACCCGGATGAGTTGGCGCGGGATGGGAAGGTTAAGTTGGGCAAGTTGCTCCCTGGCTTGGAAGCGTCGAGAGGCGCGCTGTATGAGATTGGTGTGGCTGATGATGGCACCCTCGTGGGCCTGACGAGAGACGAGCTGGATGAAAGTTTGGCAAACTTGAGGGTCATGGGAGCGAGTTTGGGGTGCAACATGAATGTGTTGAGGATGGTGATTGTGGGCGAGTGCGAGTGGAATGAGTCTTCGGATGAGCCTGGGGATTCGTTATTCGGAGAACCTCAGGAGATTCGACGCAAGGACAAGTTATGGGTGGCGGAAGCTCTGATCATGCCGGACTTGACTGCTCAAGCTAGCGGTGCTGTGTCTTCGGCTTTGCCGACCATGAAACAGGGTCCGTTAACCGCGAACCAGTTGCGCGTTACGCTTACAGGGCCGACTACGTCTGGAAAGTCCACGCTTCTGGGCATTTTGTCTCAAGGAACTCTGGACAATGGCCGTGGAAAAAGCCGGCTCAATTTGCTCAAGCATCCCCACGAAGTAGCTTCTGGCGTCACTTCCTCCGTGGCTCAAGCACTGGTCGGCTACAACGAAGACGAAATCATCAACGATGCTCACAGCGGAGTTGAATCTTGGATCGACGTCCACGACTTCACCAAGGACGGTCGGCTAGTCTACCTGGTCGACTCAGCCGGAGCTCCAAGATATCGTAGGACTATCCTCCGCGGTATCGTCGGTTGGGCGCCGCATTGGACATTACTCTGCATAGCAGCCGATGGCAGCGATGCTTCGCCCTCCGTTGACGCCCCAGCTCCGGGAACCACCCCAACGGGTGGCAGCAACGGCATCGACCTAGCCTCAGCCCACCTCGAGCTCTGCCTGAGACTCAAGTTGCCTCTAGCAATCATCATCACCAAACTCGATCTCGCATCCAAGCCATCCATCCTCTCCACCCTTACCAAAGCCCTCACAGGCATCAAGCGAGCCGGCAGAGCTCCAGCCATTCTCAAAGCAGACGCTACCAACCCTTACGAGTTTACCCATGTCTCGCCAACCGAGGAGGCAGCCGTCGCTAAAATCGCCGACCAACTTGCTTCCAACGGTGACCTCTTATCAGTCGTCCCGATAGTCCTCACCTCCGCCGTCGACGGTCGCGGACTGGGTATGCTGCACGCCTTACTTCAGGGCTTGCCTTTACCTCCCACCCCAACCGCACATGACTTTACCGGCCCGGCTCTAAACCCCGAGCAACCGGCTTCGCTCTTTCACATCGAAGACCAGTACAACCTCGCCGCCTCGTCATCACTAGCAACAGGCGACTCAGACGAGGAAACAGACCTCGGCACCGTAGTAGCAGGCTACCTCCGCTTTGGAAGTCTGTCAATAGGTGACACGGTAGTAGTCGGTCCCTTCCCTTCTTCCTCCTCCTCCGACGAGACCAGCGACACCCTCAGCCCAGCCACCCCTTCTCTGGCAGCAATAGCAGCCATAGCCAGCGACAACCACCTCCGCCCGACCCTCTCCGATTTCGAAGCAAACCCTTCATCAGCTGAACTCAACCGCCTTAACTCGTCGACCAAGGCCAATCCATCTGCTTCTGCTTCCTCGGCAAAGGGGGAGTGGCACACCGCCAAGGTGGTCTCCATCAGAAACCTCCAGCTTCCTGTTCAGACACTAGCAGCAGGGCAGGTTGGGTCGATAGGCATGGTTTTTGATCATGCAGCAACTGCAGAGGTGGGTAATGGGAATGGCACAGGGGGAAAGAGGGCAGCGAGGATAAGAAAGGGGATGGTCCTCGCTGTTCCTGGGAGGCATATGTCGTCGACTACATTGCAGGCTGCCAGTGGGCTTACGGCGGTTTTTGAGGATGGGGATCATGCTGCTGGTGCTGGTGCTGCTTCTGGTGCTGGTGCTGGTGGTGATGCCGGCGACGAAGACGGAGGGGTAGCCGGTGCGTTGACGGTGGGAAGTTTGGTGAATGTTTACGTGGCTAGTGTTAGGGCGTCTGCAAGGGTGGTGACGGTCACTCGTCTCACTCCTACTTCCCCTTTCACATCCCCTTCCGCGAATGGGCCAAAAGAAGAGGACGATGTGTTTAGCTTCGGCGAGGGTGAAGATACCCCTGAGGACCATCTCCACGCCGGCAACGGCAACGGTGATGGCTTGGGTGGTGATGAGACAAGAAAGAAGGGATGTGAAGTCCAACTCGAACTCTTATCCAACCGCGAGTGGATCGAGCTAGGTTCGAGGATCTTGATATTGGGTGATAATGGGAGTCGGGATCGGTCGTCGCGGTTGGAGGGGTATGTGGGGAGGGTTGTTGAGATTGTTGAGTGATTCATGTTTTTGTTTCTGTCGTTTGAGTACCGACATGAGCGAGTGCATTTTTGGCTTACATTATTTTGGATCAGTGAACCTTGTTGGCTTTTGTTGTTGTTGTCACAGCGTTGTTGATTCTGTCATGATGTTGGAAACTTGTTTGATGGCATAGTAGCTGTAATCGTGGTAGATTTCGCCGGTATGAGTAGTCGTTTGTTTAGCCTGAATAAATTACATTTTTGTATGAAGACCTAGGTGGTCTCGTCGTCGAATAGACACTTTTCTGTCGTCTAACCAACACATGACACACAGCCAGCATGTCTTGCTCTACCCATTACTCTCGAAGCTTATGCGCGCAGCCACACAGAAGGAGCAGAGACAATATACCCAACATTCAACTGGTTTATCTCTCGCTGTCTTCCTCTCTTTTCCCTTTGACCTCCTCCGAGTCCAATCCACACCCCCTCTACTACACTACATTTCCCACTTCCCACCCCCTCCCCCTCCCAGATCCAGTCCCGTTACCCCTTCCCTTCCCTTCCCTTCTTTATTCACATTCCCCAAACCACCCACACTAAGCCCTAACCAACCCATAAAACAACGTCCAAGTCAACACAAACCCCGCAAACCCATTCATGATCCCGCCCGCCCAAAACTCAAACCCACCCCTAAAGTACTTGGTCACTCCTCCCACCCCGCTCCCCAAGCCGTTCCCCGTTCCTTTGTTGTCTTTGTATTCTTTCGGGGATGACGAGGAGAGAGGAGCGACGCGGACGAGGTATACCAGGAAGGAGGTGAGCAGGGAGAAGAAGATGTAGAAGAGGAAGCCTGAGTAGGATTCGAGACCTAGGATGCCGGCGCTGATGCCGAAGAGGGAGGCGGAGAGGGATTGGAGGTTTTGGAGGGACTGGATAAACATGGGGGGTTAGTGGCTGTTGGGGGAGGGGAGCTGTGGGAGCCGGACGAAGGGGGAGCTTTATGGAGGGGGAGGGGGAAGAGGGGGAAATGCTGGAAAGGTAAAACAAACAAAACAAACCTTGGAGTTATGCATCACACTCTCCTGCACAATCGGCGAAATCTGGTAGTCTCGTTCGGACAACATCTTGGCTTGGCCTTGATTATCTCTTTGTAAGGGGGGTATGGATATGGGTATGGGTATGGGTATAATTTGATTGCGCGTATGGTGGTCGTGTATCCCGTCCCGCGTGTATCTCGTCTATCTGGCGCCAGGCCTAGGTATGCGACAAGAGCTGCCTGGTAGATACTGACTGCTGTCGATATTGTGGCCTGTGGGAGTTTGATGCGCAACAGCCAATTTACCCCGGATCTTCGTCTTCTTTTCGTCCCTTCGTTTCGTTTCGCCTGTTTCGTATGTCTCGTTTCACGTCGTGGGTCGTTGAGATGGTGATGCACTTGGTGGTGTCGTTGATCGCGTGGAGCCGCAACTGTCAATTGACCCAGCTTGTCCAGGTGCCAGCGTCAGGGAAACGGAGCTGAGCTCAGCGATGCCTGCCCCGACTGCCGCGGCGTCATGCAGTGCCAGGTGAGCTGAGCTGGGGCAGGCAGCAGGGCACGTGGCAGGGGTTCAGCTGGTACACTAAGAACCTCTACGGCTTCATTGCCGGGTCCCGTCGGGTGGAAGCTTTGGCCCGTCGATCCGTCGTAATCTTATCGTATCTTACCGTTTTGAATCGGCCAGTCGGCGTCAGCGACGGTGACACGGCGACTGGCGTGAATTGGGGTAATTTCCAGGGTTGGAGAAGAGGACCCGCCGGTCATGACAGGGTTCAAGGTGCAGTAGCGTAACGGTCCAACCTCCTGATCGTTGTCACATCGGGCTGGATCTCCCAGCCTGTCTTTTTTTTTTTTATATTGGGGCTCCTTCTTCACCGATACAAAGGCTGAGCTCTATGGATCACTCCTGGGAGTGACATAACTGTGCGACGTTGGACCTGTTTATCCTTCAGCTTTCACTTTGCTGGCATTTGGTAACTGGAGACAGCAGATAACAAGACGGTAAGATACGAACCCCCTGGTTCGCGAGTTGCAGACGAGTGGCGTCAAATTTAACGTCATCTGCCAGGGTTCCGTGACCTTTAATGAGCATCCCCAGGACCAGAAAGCTGTTATTTTCGGACTCAACTGTGGAGAGATTCACTTGTTGAGAAAAGGAAGGCTTCCATAATCATTCCACTAGTATTGGCGGCACTTATCACAATCCACAATTTCCCTCTTGGGGGGACGTCAGTCGCTCGTTCGTTGTCTCGGAGGTCCGGTTCTACTCCGTTTCGTCGACGTCCACTCGGTCATTCTCCATCCGTCATCAATAGTTCACTTACACCAATTTCCAACCTCGACACTCCTTTTCAACATCGACAACATACAACCACCCAGACCACGATAGACCACGATCGATCGAATCTCGACAGCGTTACGGAACAACAAAGACGAAAGGGCATATGCACCGATAGCCGACAGCGCTAGTACCTTGACTACACTACTCGAACACATCACCTTGCGCCGCACTCTCCATTCGCACGTCTCGACCACCTCGCATAGCATAAGCGACACCAAGAAAACCCACCGATTCTCAGTTCACAGCCACATTTCACCACGCGCATCTTTGCAGAACAACGGACATTTGGGGGAACCGGGACTTGAAACAAGGAAACTGCGTGGTGCCGCCGGCCTTGTGTCTGTCCTCCGTTGGTGAACAAGGGGACAAACACATCTCTCTTGCCTCTTCCTTGTTTAGTGCCGCCTGGCGCCAGATGGAGAGCTAGCACCACACATCGTCTGCACGTTTCTTTGTTGGATGTTCCTCCGTTCACCTGTCCGAGTCCCGTCGTTGTCCGAGTTCGTCCGGTTGTGGTGGCATCCATGGAGACCGTAATTCAGGATTGCGAGCCTCTTGCCAATTATATCAAGGGTTCGCTTATTTACCTCACACTCATTGTCCATCTTTTAAGCCACAACATCCTCTGACCGGTTACTTGCCATGACAGATCAAGGCGAAGAAACAAGCAACAATAACTGGCCAACACCGCCGGCCTCCGCCTCCGACTCCGACCACAATGGCCACTTCCACGATGCCCACGATGACCGCGTCTCCGAGCACAGCATCTCACCCCCCTCTTCCCCCAACTTCGCTCCCGTAGGCCGCCCCATGGTCCGCAAGCGGTTTCGAAAGAATGCTCCCGAACCAATACACCTCGAGATCCCTCACCGCATGAAGCGATACAGCTCGCTCGGCTCGTTACATGACTCCTACTCTGTAAGGTTCTACGCTCAAATAATAGGGGCCATGTGGGTTGAACTAATAACGTACGTTCGTGGTGAAAAGAAAGCCGTAACAGCGAGGATAGACCGCGCCGACAACCAGAAATTCATCGAGCAGTTCCGGTACACGATCGTCGCTTCGCAGTTGTTGAGTGGACATTCGGTTGCTGGACTTAATCACTTCTACCGAAACCAGGACGCCGATGCTTCGAAAGGGCAGAGTAACGATGTCGTACTACCGAATTCGACGGGGTTGATAGCGACGGCTGCGGGAGCGTTGGTGGTAGCGTTGGGGATCCGGTGGTTGTGCTTGGGAGGTTATACCCGCTTGACGAAGAGGGGGGTTTTGATCACCGTGGTGGTGGCGGTGGCGGTGGGAATGATGGCGCACTTTTATATCCGAAAACAGTGGTTAAGATATGTGAGGAATAAGGCACTGGCTGAGGTTGCTACTTTCGTGGCCAAGAGTCAGGATTGGGATAGTGCTACTAGTGCGGCGCTGTCGTTGATTCAGGAGGTTGAGCTTGTGTCGAGGGGTTATAGGCTGTGAGTATCTCCCGAAAACTTCCGGAAGAAACAGTGTGAGTATCCGTGGCTAACAGACATGTAGGAGCGCACCACTACCGCCTATCAGCAGAATTGAGGACCGAAGCCAAACGAGACGATGCGGACGCCTGCGCAAGGCTCTTAAGCAGCGGTTTGCTGATATGATCAAGAGTTATATCCAAGTGACGACAGCGGTGAAGGGGCTTTCGGAACAGTTGGATCTGGAAAAGTACTACGACGTTTACGACATTACCGACTTTGACATTTCCGATGCGATGCAAGGGTTTCCGGAGGATGCGACGGAGGAGGCCGAGTCATTACGGGTGCTCAAGATTGCCGCTGCTCGGTTTCACACTATCCGCAAGTTGCTTCTCTGCGCTTTGCTTGCGTTCGAGGCAACGGGAGATAACAGCGATTTTGTGCGGTGGTCAACGGCGGCTCAGTGTCTCAACCAGCTGAGCAGTCTGACAGGCGATTGCTACGAGAGGCTTCGTCTCCTCTTGAGTGATGAAGAGAGTATGTTATCCCATCCTTTTTCTCCCGCAACCATGAAATCTAACAAAAACAGGCTTCCCCGCCATCCCCGAAACCAAGTTCCCTCTTTCCCCCAACCGCGAAAAGCGACGAACGCAATTCCGCAAGCTCAACTCTCTATCGACGGGCATCCGCGGTCTCCAAGCCAAGCTGGCACTGTTGCGTGAAGAGTCCGAGAAAGCACTCAACGAAGCCGACGATATCTCTGAAGTTGGTTTCGACCTCATGTCGCAATACGAGTCTATCGGCCAAGACCTCAAGATGCTGCAACAAGCCTGGGAGGACGGCAAGGCTGCCCTAGCATCAGGAATCGACCGCAATGAGAAACGGATTTCGTCTATGAGCATGCTGTACTCGCCTTCTACCTCTTTGAGCGGGTTAACCACCGTCGGCGAAGAGAACGAAACCGGTGGCGGAGCGGAGGATGCGCTGAAAGCGCTAAACGGGGAGACTTCTCCCACACGAAACTCTTCGCCAGGTTCCAACGAGCCCGATGTGTTCGAGGCGGTTGCGCTACCAACTAGGCCAAGGAGTATGCTGACCAGGGACGAGAGGAGGGTGAAAGTGAAGGAGGAGAGGGATATGAGAGCGATGCAGAGGGAGAAGCAAGAAGCGAGTAGGGGCATGTTGAAGGAGTTGGAAATGGTGATTAATTTGCGGCCGAAGAGGCATACTACCGCGGGCCCAGCAGGTGGAAACGGGGGGAGTGCGGCGCCGACGAGGATCTCTTTATGACGACATTTCACTTGCGACATCTTTTTTTCCGGTTTTCCTTTCTTCGATCATAATCTTGCATGGCATTGCGCGCAGACAAAAGAGAGGGGCGAACAACAACAAGAAGGCCAGCTTGCCAGTTTTCTTACAACAACAACTTTGGGTAGAATGGCATTTTGACGGATACACACCATGGAATCATTGAAAGCTGGGGCGCGCAAGCGAGCGATGGGATACAGAATTTAACGGCGTTTACTTTTATACAGACGATCTTGGGCTGGCATTCTGTGACAAATTCTTGAGTTGAGAGAGGGTGTAAGATAGGTGATAATGTAATAAGCAAAATATTGAAGAATGGAGGTAAATCATATCGGAGCAAACATGCCTTCAACCTCGCCGGCGAGAGACACGATCCAAACAAAAGATTCAGGGGTTCATCAGGAGCTTGCAGGAAGGAGGCACCCACTGAAAACGCGAAGATTGCGCCTGAAAGGAGACTAAAAGCGCTGAGAACGGGACCGTGCACCGGGAGCTAGCCCGAAGCGGTAAATCAATTAAGCCTAACCCCGGTTCAGCGCGTTTAGCAACGATTAGCAGGCGCGTCAAGTCGCGAAGTGGGTGTTCCACCACCTGTATGGTTCTTTCTTTTATCATTGCCTGCCTGTTGCAGCTTTTTGAACAAAACCATCCCGTTCACGCCAACTCTTCCCAATTCCAATCTTTTCTCTTCTTCTTTCTTCGTCAAACCACGAGCGCCTCCCTCTCCCGAAGTGATACCCAGCGCGCGCATCGCCTGTTATACCCTCAAGTTTTTTTCTTCCCTCTTTTCTTTTTTTTTCACGAGTTCAGTAATTCACATCCATCAGTATGTCGTCTCTGTCCACGAGCGTGAAGCTTCCTCGCTGCCTGCCTGGCACTAGGAGGGAAGGATGGAACAAAAAGTGATGGGTTGCTGACTGGAGGTCTACAACAACAACAGAAATGCTTGAAGCACGGTTGGAGCAGGCGTCGATCCTGAAGAAGGTATGTCATGTCCTCTTCCTGTCAAGAGCTTGAGGGAAGAAGACGCCCACTAACTTTGTAATGATGTGATGTCCAGGTCGTCGACGCCATCAAGGACCTCGTGCAGGACTGCAACTTCGACTGCAACGACTCGGGCATCGCCCTGCAAGCCATGGACAACTCGCACGTCGCGCTCGTGTCCATGATGCTCAAGACGGAGACCTTCTCGCCCTTCCGGTGCGACCGCAACATCGCGCTCGGCGTCAACCTGACGTCGCTGACCAAGGTGCTCCGCGCCGCGCAGAACGAGGACATCCTGACGCTCAAGGCCGAGGACGCGCCCGACGTGCTCAACCTCGTCTTTGAGTCTTCCGAAAACGACCGCATCTCCGAGTACGACCTCAAGCTCATGGACATTGACCAGGAGCACCTGGGTATTCCTGATACCGAGTACGCGGCCACCATCAGCATGCCGTCGGCCGAGTTCAAGCGGATTACTACTGATCTCATGGCCATGAGCGAGAGCGTCAACATCGAGGCGAGCAAGGACGGCGTCAAGTTTAGCTGCCAGGGCGATATCGGCAACGGCAGCATTACCCTCCGCCAGCACACCAATGTCGACAAGCCGAGCGAGAATATCGAGATTGAGTTGAGCGAGCCGGTTTCCCTCACATTCTCGCTCAAGTACCTGGTCAACTTTTGCAAGGCGAGCGCGCTGTCGAGCACGGTCAAGATCTGCCTCTCCAACGAGGTGCCGCTTTTGGTCGAGTACAACATTTCGGCTAGCAGCTATTTGAGGTTCTATCTTGCGCCCAAGGTATGTCTTTGTCGTCTTGGTGGTTGTTCTCGTATGTGTGATGCTAACTGGGGGTGTTTTACAGATTGGCGACGAGGAGTAAACGCCCCATGTATCTCCAACCGAACCACATGTTTGTTACAAACGACAACAACCACGAACTACGCCGTCTTTGCATGTACGCGATGCTGGGAATCTACACCCTTCATGGATACCTCGAGTTGTTATAAAAGTCTCTTGGGGAGGAATGCAGTCATGTAGAAGATAAGGGTTGATGATGAGAAGAAAATGGGCTATGAAGAAAAGAAATTTGTGTTTTGAAAGAGTCTGGCATTAGTACACACAAAGTTTTAGAGGGCGTTTTGTTCTTTCTGTTGCGAAGATGAGTGCTTAGGGAAGAAGATGCCGTGCTGTAGGCGGATGAGGTGTCAATGAATATCACGATGGCATCTAACATCTTCATCTCTTTTACAAGTAAGAGACACTATGCTTGTGGAAGGGTCGTCATTGTCTTCTTCTACGATGTCTTGCGCTAACATTGGGAAACTGTTCGTCTTCTAGTTGACCATCACTACTTGGGATTTCAGCTGAGTCCGGTTTTGGCATCCGAAAATCAAATCATCACTCCTGACATCACAGCTTCATGTTAAACACCTTTCAACGTTTTTCGTCCGATGAAGTTGATGTTCACCACAAGCATCTTCCCCACAATGTTCGTTCAATGTTACCCACCTGCGTGACGTCCCGCAGGGCGGGCACCAGCGGGTTAGGGGCCATGAGGGGCCCTTAAGGCGGGGTCTTCTTGGTCCGATAGTCGCGCCCTGCAGGAAACTTTTGGCGGGGCAAACCACCTGGAATTGGTTCCTGGAAAGAGTCATTGACGCGGCCCTGTGCGATGACCTCGACCGTTAACGGCGAATTTTTGGACCCTTCTTCGAGGACGATGACCTGAGGTTGGATGACGATGCTTGACTCGGGAATCGGGGTGACACAGGAGGGCGATATCGCTGATGTTTTCTACAATTGCTTCCTATCATTTCATAGAATCTAATTGAGATCAAAATTTTTGTTGGTCAGCTACGTCTTTTGTTCAAGTTGTCATTGCGATCCATACCGCTGACAGACCAGGGTCTGGGATCGTATGTGTCATGGTACGGAATCTTTTCGGAATCTTCTTGACCCGGTGATCATCTTTGCTTGGACTTGAGACAGACTTTCTCTTGACAACAAATATTCCTACATCTTTGGGTTCTGAACCAATTCTCAACATCTCCTCGAGATCTCAAGCAGCCGATTATATAGAGACGATCTACATCACCGAATCTACAGACCGTTGAGTCTTTGCGTACCTCTTCTACCAACGATCGAGATCCTTTGCGCCGCCATTCTACGCCGCAGTACATTTACCGAACATAACCGGTTCGAATAACGACTCCAGAGTCCCATCTTTCCTCTACACCATCCAGAAGCCGAATTAGGTCACAATGAGCGACGGAGAGCCTCCAGTCCCTGACACCCGCGTGCTGGCGGTCGCCAGTCATGTAAGTCTAGTCCTCGTCCTTCTACCCAAGTCTGGTTGTATCAATTGCTAACCGGGAGTGTTTAGGTTGTCTCCGGGTGAGTTATCCTGCCCTCAATCCCAGTTGCGCCCGACCTTCGCGGACACAATCAAAGCGAGAGGAGAGAGAGGAGTTGGAAGACCGAACAAGACCAGACGAGTCAAGACCGGACGGATTACAAGAGAAGGAAAAGTGACAAGAAGCTAACCGCTCCCACCCGCCCTCCAGATACGTAGGCAACAAAATCGCCGTCTTCTCCATGCAATCCCTCGGCTGCGACGTCGCCGCCCTCAACACCGTGCAATTCAGCAACCACACCGGCTACCGCCAATTCACCGGCACGCGCGTGTCCGCTTCGGAAATCACCGACCTCTACCGGGGTTTGAAGCAGTCCTACCTCGACGACTTCGACATGATGCTCAGTGGATATGTCCCCGGTGCTCCGGCGCTGGAAGCAGTGGGCGAGATAGCGAAAGAACTTAAGGGCAAAGCTCAGGCCCGCGGGAAGCCGGGAAGTTTCTTTTGGGTGCTGGACCCCGTGATGGGCGATAATGGGAGTCTGTATGTCGCGCAGGATGTGGTGCCGGTGTATAAGGGGTTAGTGAAGTATGCGGATTTGATACTGCCGAATCAATTTGAGGCTGAGTGAGTTACTTTTTTTTTCCCTTCCCTTCCTCCACTGCCTGCCTGGGTTAAGCTAACAAACAAGAAAGACTACTATCAGAAGTCAAAATAGTAGACATGCCCTCCCTAACCCGCGCCATCTCCGTCCTCCACGAGCGGTACGCCATCCCGCACATAATCATCACCTCCGTTTCTCTCCCCGATAGCTCTTCTCCCTCTTTTACGGCACCCAACTCGTCCGCCCCGACCCCAACACCACAAGAAGAGGGCCAGTCGCAACCCCCCCGCACCAAAACCCTCAGCGTAGTCGGCTCAACAATGACCTCCACCCGCCAACCGCGCGCCTTCCAGATTAGCTTCCCAGCAATCGACTGCTACTTTTCGGGGACCGGGGATATGTTTTCCGCTTTGATACTTGTGCGCATGCGGGAAGCTGTATACAATACTGAAGGAGGCTTGACGGAGCGGGAGTCATGGCTGTCAGATGATGCAGTGGATGCGCTGGACTTGCCATTGGCAAAGGCGGCGGAGAAGGTGCTGGGCAGTATGCATGAGGTGCTGACGAAGACGGCGGAGGGGATGAAAGGGAGGGTGGAGAGGGCTAGGGGGTTTGTGGAGGAGCAGCTAAAGAGGGAGGAGCAACGGGCGAGTGGGGTTAATGGGTGTGCGAATGGGAATGGGAATGGGGATGGGCACGTCGATAAGAAGGCTAAGCTTGAGCCAGAGACCAATGGCAATGGGGTATCAGGGGAAGAAAAGACGGAAGAAGAAAGGATAAAAGAAGAGGAAGATGAACGGAGGAAACAAGTGGAAGAACAGGAAAAGGAAGAAGCGGAGGCGAGGAAGAGGTTACACTTGATGAAGAGCAAGGCGGCGGAGTTGAGGCTGGTGAGGCATCTGGATAGTTTGAGACATCCCGAGGTGGAGTTTAGGGCTAGGAGGATAGAGTGCTCTTAGTCCTTTTACTCTGCTTGGGTGTGAGACTATCCTACCTACGCTGGCGAGAGGAACGGGAGCATATAGAGCGAGAAGGAAGGAATGAGGTGGGACAAACGCCATTGGATAGAAGGAGTTACTCTGTCTGTCTGCTGTTGATGAGCGAGGCGCTAGAAGTTGAACTTAAGCATAGCATGGCGAGACTTTTGGGTACGAACACCCCGAAGCTAAGAGTATATATCACACCACACTTATATATATCAAGGAAGACAACGAACGACGGGTGTCTTGGGTCCCTCGAGCTCAATGCGCTGGATGGAGCTGAAACTTCATCTCTCCATTTATGATCCTAAATCCCGTCCCGGACCAATATACCATACATACCACATTCATTTTTACCCTCTAACCCCAACCAACGCCTTCCAAATTTTCTTGTGCGCAACCTTGAAGTCCCATCCCAGTTCAACAATCTTCAATTGTTTATTCCTTTCCCATTTTTAAACCATGTTTAGTTCTTAACCTCCCCAACACTGACACCGGTACTCCCAAACCCGCCCGCACCTCTCACGCTCTCCTCCAGCTGTTCCACCTCGACAACCTCGGGTGTATAAATCCTCTCCAGAACCAGCTGCGCCACGCGATCGCCCTCCTTGACTGCAAAGTCCACGTCCGAGTGGTTGAACAGGAGAACCTTGACCTGCCCGCGGTAGTCGGCGTCGATCACGCCCGCGCCGACGTCGATGAAGGACTTGGCTGCTAGGCCGGAGCGGGGGGCTATGCGGCCGTCTGTTTATGTCACTCTACTTGTTAGCACCATCCTTGGGTAGAAGAAACGAGCGGAGCGAGGACACCCCCGGAGGGCCTCCACGGAGTGGCCACCGGAGGTAAGGTAAGGTAAATCTGATCTGATCGCTATCCAAAGGGAACAAAACTAAAGAAAATAAAGAAAGAAAGAAAAGGAGGTAGAGAGAGAGAGAGAGAGAAATAAATGAAATGACTTACAAGTCCCAGCGGGAACAGCCATGCTAATATCCGTGTCCACCACTCCCTTCCCGCGCGCAGGGATCGTAGTCTCCTTGGAAGCGTAGATGTCGTAGCCAGCAGCGAAGGCGGAGCCGCGAGTGGGCAGACGGGCTTTGTCGGATAGCTTCTTGATGAGGAGGGGAGGGGCCTGGTCGAGCTTGGTCACGGCGGGGGTGGTTTGCACGTCGGAGGCGGTCATGGTGGCGGCGGTGGTGGTTTCGGCGGTGGTGGTTTGGGAGGAGGAATCGGTGGCGGAGGAGGTCTTGATGCGCTTGGCGGGAGGGGAGGTAGGTTCGGTGGTGGTGCCGGCTGTCATTGGTGTTGTGGTTGTGAAGTGTTTGAATGTGGGTATTTTGGGGACAATTGAAAGAGAAGAACGAGAGAAAAGACGACGGACAACAAACATTGATTTGCTGCGCGAGGGAGGGAGGAAACGCAGCTGTTTCAATGGTGGGGAGGCGGGCGCAAAAGCAAAAGCAAAAGCTCAAACAGAGCTGTAAGCGCGTTGGACGCGTCGGACGCGTTAATTGATTTCAGGGGTCCAAATCTCTTGGCCAGTGCGTTGCCTGCCGGGAGAATGGCTGGAGAGGGAAGGGGATGAAGGTGATGCTATATTGGCCCTCCAACACCGCTTTTGAGGATGTTGGACTGCCTGCTCCTGATCTCAGCGGCTTTCAAGACATCAAGACATCCTCCATGAGCGAGCGTGACCGTGTTTTTTCCCACTGACCGGGGTGAATACCCTAATCATCCAACTCCCTCCCAAAGTCCACCAACCTCAACCTCGTAGCATCCCTCGGGTGAAAAACAGCCAACTTACTCCTGACCAAAAACCTCGCCGCCGCCGTCTCCCTCTCAATCCTCACATATGCCGCCGAGCTATCCCCTCCGGCATCCATGCTCTTATTCAGCAACTTCTCAATCAAACTCCTCATCTCCGCACCCGCCGCGCTCGCTTCATCCCTCTCCTCCCTCTTTCTTTTCCCTTGCCTCCCGTCTTGCTGGTTGTCCACACTTCCCCAAATGTCATCGATCCTCCTCTGCCTTCCTCCGTCCCCCTCTTCTTCATCCGTCTTCTTCGCCCTAGCCTTCTTCAACTTCCCCTTCGCATTAAACCCCGCCTCCAGATCTTCCACTTCCAAATCCATCATGTCCCCCACCACCGGCCCGCCCATCTCCTCCGCCGCCAGCAACGGGCCAAGGTACTCCTCAATGAACCAGTTCAGCTCTCTGACGAGCTTCTTCGTCTCCTCGTCGTACTGTTTCCTTTCCCCTTGCATCTTTTCCAGTTCCTCTTTCGCTAGCTCTTCGGGCGTCATCTCCTTCCTCGCTTCCATTCCCTTTCTCAGCGCCTCTACACGCGCCTGTAAGGCCTGCTGGAGCTCATTCTGCTCGCGGACTTCGGTTTTCAAGTCTTCGAGATGCCGCTTTTGCTGGTCGAGAAGGGAGGAGGAAGAGGAGAGGTGGGCGGTGGTTTGGGTGATGGTTTGGCTGGTTTTGCGGAGAGCGAGTAAGGCCGGGAGGACGGAGTCTGGGAAGGGGAGGAGGGGCGTAGGGTCGGACTCGGAGAGGGAAGTGTAGGCGCGGGTTAGGAGGTGCATGGAGGATAGGGGGCTGAGGGGGGGTGGTGGTGCTCCATTTTGGGTGATGCTTGTTTTTAGCTGTGAAGTGGTGGTTAGTGAGTGAGGCGTGTGGGTGAGGTGGGTAGGCGAGTGAATGAAAAGGGGGGTTTGTTGACATGGACGGACATGGGGCTCTCACCTCGTTCAAAGTCGCCTCGGCTTCTGCCGTCATTCGCTTGAGTTCGCGAATTGTTCGCTCCAAGTTCGCTTCATGCACGGGGTCCTTGACGCGACCACCACTGCCGGTTGTGCCTGTGGTTGTGGATCCTTCGATGATGCCTTCCATGGTGTTGTTTTGACTCAGGGGGTGGCAAGTGTGGAATTGGGGGCACGGTATCACAGCGTGGAGTGAGAGTGAATGTAAGAGTGAGAAGTGTTGCACTTGCAAGCAGGTATCGGTTTATTGGTGTACGACGTTTAGTGCCACGTTCATGGAATGTGTGTTTCCACCCGGCTATGTCCAGCAGCCGGGATGATGAAGCTCAAAACACGGCTTCCCGTATACGAATCCCGATGAGGATTTTAGTCAACAGCCAACCACGAAGCTCTCACCAACGCCTGCACCTGTAAATTTGCCCGCTTGAATACGCGCCCGTTTGTTTTCGTCGTCGGCGTTCAAGACGATAACCTGACTGGGATGAAACCAACACGACAACAACAACCACAACAACAACGTGATGGTCACTGGTTGTTTCTCTCGTCGGATGTGTCTCGATGGTATTGTTACGCCGTAACGCCGTGTTACTGTATTACAACAGCAATGGTGTTGCAGGCAGCAGGCATTGATGCGTGAACGTGATGAACTGTGAAGCGGGAAGTGCTGAAATCCAGATCGGATCGCAGTTTCTCTCGGGCGTTGTTGATGGCCTGGACCCACTGTTTGAGATAACCTCACAGCAGGCACAGGTCGGATCATGCCTTGGCAACTGGGCGTTGGGCATTGGAGGGAGCTGGGGTTGCATGCTGGGCTGCGCCGTTCAGGGGATGCACCAACTCGCTGCCAGCCTGCCAGCTCCAGGGCAGCTTCTCTCCAAGGCCGGCAGGGCGGCTGCGCAGGTGGCAATGGGGTGCACACAGTTGGCGGCAAACAGATCGGCAGCTGACAGTTGACCATGCCAGCTCCGTCAGATCTGCACCGGGCCGTCACCTGAGGCTGTGAGTTGGCCTGTGGTCTGTGCCTGTGGTCGCCACAATTCCAAACCTCTTTCGAGACATTCCACTTCCACTTCCACTTTCTCCCCCAACAGCCACTCACCACCTGGCAACCCTTTCTTTCCTCGACCACACCCCTCGTCGTCGTCGTCGTCTCCTCTTCTTCTCTTCCTTCATCTTGTTGACTTGAGCCATCCCATCACTTTTCTTGAAGACGACCACGCGCAGCATCACCACGTCGTCCAAGAAGCCGACCGCCCACCGCACTCCTCCATCTGCCCCCATCACAGGTCCCGGTCCCTCCTCAACCACCACCCGGATCGAAACCTTACAACCGGGGGTCAAATCCACGATTTGCTATCGGTAGCTGCAGCCGGATCTCGGATACCCCCGAATAGGCGTGTTTAGTCTCCAGTGCTTGACAAGCGAAAGAAGGTTTGAGATACCAGAAGTGCTTCTCTCTCTTCCGTACCAAACAAAACACTACCTACTCTACTACCTCACTCACCTTCTTCCTTGCTCAACCTCTACTACCTACTCTTTTGCGTTCGCCCTTGCCGCATAACATCACCACCACTCCCCGGACAAGGCATCACCAACACTGCAAATCAAGCAATCCAGCGATAGGCCTCCTTCCTCCCATACTACGAGCACCAGCACCAGCACCGGTCTCCGTCATCCCATCGATCCTCAGAGCGCAGTCCCGACCCCTTCAACCGCACCTCCACTACACCAGCACGTTTTCCTTCGAAAACCCCCAAGGTGTAGATAAAACAAGTTCGATAATTCAAACAAGAATATTCATCTCGCGCGACCACGACTTCATCGAGACGTGATTATTACCTGACTTCTAGCTCGCAACCATGTCCGCCTCGCCACAGCCCACCCAGTCCGCTAAGCGGCCCCTGGAGGAGTCCTCTTCGCCCTCTCGCAACGACCAGCCCGAGGCCAAGAGGCTCGCTCTCGACAAGGTCGTTAAGGACGCCCAAGAGGAGGTTGAGGCTCCCGCTCCCCAAGACAGCCACAACGCCGACGAGACTGCCGGCTCCGCTACTCCCACCCCCGCCCCCGAGTCCAACGGCACCAAGGTGAAGGGAGACAAGTCCGAGGCTCAGGATGCCCAGGGCGACACAGTTGTCCCTGATGCCCCCGAGAGCAAGGCAGCCAAGGACCACGGCCCCCGCAGCCGCGCTCAACCCCCAGTCTCTGCTCAACCTCACGACGAGACTGCTTGGATCCATGTTAGATCCGTTATTTCCAGCCCGGAAGCCGCTACCATCATTGGAAAGGGCGGCGAGAATGTTTCCAAGATCAGAGAGATGTCCAACGCCAAGTGCACCGTCAGCGATTACCAGAAGGGCGCCGTTGAACGTATTCTCACTGTCAGTGGTGTTGTTGATGCGGTCGCAAAGGTATGTCGTCCCTCTGTTCCCCTCGGCAGTTCACTGGCTAACAATCTTAGGCATTCGGTTTGATTATTCGTACGCTGAACAATGAGCCTCTTGCTGAGCCTTCCAACACCCACTCCAAGACCTATCCCCTGCGTCTTTTGATTCCCCACGTCTTGATCGGCTCCATCATTGGTAAGGGCGGTGCGCGCATCAAGGAGATCCAGGAGGCTTCCGGAGCTCGTCTCAATGCTTCCGACTCCTGCCTGCCCCTTTCCACTGAACGGTCATTGGTCGTTATGGGCGTTGCCGATGCTGTTCACATTGCTACTTACTACGTTGGTAGCACTCTTCTCGAGCAGCTCAACGAGCGCTTCGGTGGTCCCGCCGCCTCGGCTTATGCCACCCGTAGCGGAGGCCCCGCTGCTTCTGTTCCCGGTGGACTGCAGGTCGTCCCCTACGTTCCTCAGCCCGCTGGCGGCAACTTTGGCAACCGCGATTACTACCAGCGCAACCGCCCCGACCCCAGGTCCCACCACGGCATGCCGCCCAGCCAGTACCCTGCGCCTTATGGTGCACCTCATCCGGCCCAGCCCAACCCTGCCGTCCCGATGCACTACGGTGCCCACGCCGCCGGTGGTTACGGTGCCGCCGCCCCTCACGTTGCGCCCCATGTCGGTCACGCCGGCCCGGCTCCCCATGCTGCTGGCCCTCACGGCGCCCCTGTTGCCGGCGCTGCCCTCACTCAGCAGATCTACATCCCCAACGACATGGTCGGTGCCATTATTGGCAAGGGTGGACAGAAGATCAACGAGATCAGACAGATCTCTGGCAGTGTGATCAAGATTAATGAGCCACAGGATAATAGCAATGAACGACTTGTTACTATCACCGGTACAGAGGAGTGCAACCGCATGGCGCTCTACCTACTCTACCAGCGTCTGGGTGAGCTTCAGAACAACAGCCGTGACTCTCAACAACCCAAACACTAATCAGATATTCTCACTTCAACAGAAAGCGAAAAGCACCGGTCGTAGGATCGATCTCGGACGATAGCCTAATTCACCCAATAGAATTCACCTCGGAATTTCGTTTCTTAGGACTCTTAAATCGATTTTATAAAATACCGGGTGCTGGGAACGTGGCGTTAAGCGGATAGTTCGTCGTCTTTGGTTTTGGGATTAAGTGTGTGTGTGAACCTGGGAGATACAGCGACTTGAAACAAAAACGGTAATTTGCAGTTTTAATTCTACCCGCGTTTTGGTCTCACTCATGAACAATGGAATCTTCCCGGAACATGGTTTGTGGCCATCGGTCACTAGCATATTCATTTGTCGTCTTTGCACTAGCCTTCATAATGATGCTGTTTACTTTTTATCTCCTGAACACTCACCTTCCTAGTGTGCTCTGCTTGACCATTTCTAACTCATAGCTTTCCTTTCTTTCACTCGTCCCATCGTCCTATGTTTGTCATTTTCATCCCGCCAACTCACCAGCCTCATCGTCAAACATATGCAGCTACCCGTTCGCCTTCCCGACATCTCACAGACGTGTACACGCCCCGATAGGTTGTCGGAACTGCTGACAGGGTTGTCTCTACTTCTAGATTTTCATCGACCGACCATTTTCACTTGCTTCGACAACCATTTAGGGCCATGCTGGTTGCTTTTGCGTTGGTATCCGGATTTGCTGGTGAGTTTTCTTCATGAGTTTGTTTGCGTCTAACGGTGAGGACTACATATGCACAGTTCAAGGGAGTCGTTTGCGATCTGGCTCGTGAGGTGACTGTCCTCGGAAGTTTCGCCGAGGAGTTATATGATGGTTCAGTGAAGTCAAAGCAAGAGCAGCGGTTTTTTTTGAGAGGTCAGTCATAGAATACTGATATGTAGAGCGGTGTCGTTCTCGGTACATCTCAGTTTCGAGGAACACATATAAAGAGAACAGATAGAACATGACCTTTTCAATTACGTCGCTTCCTTCGAGGACCGTGACTTTCCAGCACTGGATGTCGATGTGAAATGGGTGGGCTTATTAACGATCAGGCTAGTTGTACGGATGGATACTGCTCGCTGTCTGTGAAGGGCAAAACCGTAACTGCCGACATACCGGAACACTTCGTTCAAGTTCTGTGCTTGATTATCCCAAGTGGGATGCAAGTAAAGGTAGTTCTTTCCTAGTCCGTTATACTCAACGTCCTTACCTTCCTAACCGAATGCCAAACAAAAAAGGAGGAAAGAAAAGGAAAGAGCAAAAAGACATACAACACCAGCTTATTCACCAGTCGTCACCGATCCGATTACTAGGCTGGCGGTCACCGGCTTATCTAGGGGAGAGCGGACGGGATCCCGAGTTTTTGCCCTGGTGCCTATGGTCGTATGTGTTTATTGTTGTTGGGATCCTGGGTCGATGTGGGAGGAGATGATGGTGTGGCGGGCTATATACCCGCACTGGAGGGAGACACTAACCTGACACATCAGATGGTTTGTTATTTGACTGAATAAGCCTCAGCCAACGAGATCACATTACAACATATCACGAAATGGGTCAAAAAAGGCAAGAGCAAAACCCCTGATATTTTCTGTTCAAAGCAAAACTAACACGCACACTCTCAAACAGTCATTACACTTCTCCCTTTCCGGGCACCAGTACGACACCATCTCCTCCACAGAAGCATCGACAAAAACAAAACTTATTGCCAGATTAGAGAAAGGAAAAAAGACAAAAACATTTTCTCCTCCAATGCGACCAACATCCCCAGCAGAGAGGCAGCGAAAGTACCAAGGACCACCACATGCAACTCCCGGCTCATCTCAACCCGCGGGTCGACAACAAAGCCTTGCCTTCAAGAGAAGTTCTCAGACCCCTCCTCTACTGAGCAGCAGCAGTGGCACCGAGACCCCCAGTGAGGCCAGCAGTCACACCAAGAGCACCGGGGAGAAGAGAGTTAACCAGATCCATCACAGCCGACACCAACGACTCGACGACGCTCAACGGCGAGCCAGCAGCGCCGCCAGTAGCGCCGCCAGTAAGGCCGCCAGTAAGGCCGCCAGTAAGGCCGCCAGTAGCGCCGCCAGTAAGGCCGCCAGTAAGGCCGCCAGTAAGGCCGCCAGTAAGGCCGCCAGTAACGCCACCAAGCAGCTGGTTCAGGAGATCCGGGCTCAAGACACCAGTGAGGTTGCTCAAGTCGCCAAGCGGCAGGCTACCAAGCGGCAGACCACCGGCGGCACCACCGGTCAGGCCGCCGCCGAGCTGGAGGAGGGCGCTGAGGTTGGCCAAGTTCGTCAGAGAGCCCAGGTCCAAGCCACCAATAGGGGAACCGGTACCAGTGGTGCCGCTGCCGGTAGCACCACCACCGAGCTGCAAAAGGTTACCAAGCAGACCAGTAACAGTGTTCAACAAGCTGCTGGTCAACCCGGTGACACCGGTCAAGCCAGCGAGACCGTTAGTAACGCCCATCAAAGGGCCCAGTCCACCAAGTCCGCCGAGAGGGAGACCACCGGTGAGTCCGCCGAGATCAACAGGAAGACCACCAAGTCCACCAAGTGCACCAAGGGGAAGAGCACCGCCAGCAACGCCCCACCCGGTTGGCAGAATGGCCTTCTGGTTCGCCTTGATGCGGCGAGTCCCCTGCTGCACCGTCTGCGTGACGTTACCGAGCAGCTGCTGCAGAATGCCGACAACGCCCTGGGGGTCCTTGATGTCGATCTTCTTGAGGTCGTCCTGCGCGTTCTTGACGATGACGCCAACGCTGGAAACGACGCGGTCGAGATCGGTCAGCGTGACCGAGGGGATGGAGCCGGCGGGGAGAGATTGTGGGGGGGGCGGTGGAGGGTTGGGTTTGGCGCTTGTTGTTCATGTGGGTGTTGGCCTCTGCCATGGTGTTGGCCTTGGCCATCTCCAGGTTGTTCTTGAGCGCTTCGGCGTCGATGTGAGCGACTGCGTGGCCTTGGGACGTTTGCATCATGGGCACGGCGAGGGTGGAGCCGGCCATGGCGAGGGAGAGGGCGGTGGTGAGGGCGATGGACTTCATCTTGAATAAGGAGTGAAGTGAAATGTGGTAGTGAGTGAATGTGGCTCTGTTGTAAAGAGTGTGTTGTGTTTTGTTTTGTTTAATGCGAAGAGAAAGTGAAGTCCTGATGATGCAGACCGGTGGAGGAGATGAAGGCTGGTGAGGAAGGAAAAGAATTAGCTCTCAGTCTGGTCAGATCTGGGGATACTTATAGGTGAGTTTCTTATGTTGTTATTGTTGTTATTGTTGTTGTTGCCGCCATCTTCTATGTTTTGCCGTTGACCGGATGTCAACTTCCCGGCCACCGCTTGGTTGTCGCTGCTATGCCACGACACGGCAACTGGAATCCCATGCCTCGTGGTGGGAGATTGTGATGAACATGGTTTGTGGTAGGAGAAGGCATGCGTTTCTGTGTGTGCCAGCAAAAAAAACTTGGTGGTGGGTTGTGGTTAGGAATGGAGGTGACGGCCATGTCTTAGGCCTCTCCCTCCGGTGTCCTCCGGCAACCTCCGGCACATATCTCCAACGATGGGTGAGGGAAGGTGCTAATGTAAGTGTCGCAGCTTATTTTTCGTTACAAAAAGGATCTCTCGATGTGATGAGGGCTTGTTCAATTGCCCAAAGTTGGAATGCCATCAGCTGCGACCGAGTGTCCTAGTTGTGCCGATGACCTCGTGAAGTCCTCGATCTTGGTGGTGGTGAAACACCAGTGCCTCATTCCTCCGGCGGTTTGCCTAGACAGAGTCAATGCAGACCATCCATCTGTCGAGTAGAAATGAGTCTTCACCTTTCTATCTTTCTCATATCCTAATCGCAGCATCCGAGGGTATCCATAACGTCTCGAGGCAAATCTTGGACGCTACCTAACCTTTTTCCCTTTCCGTGGCCAAACAAATTGTGTTCATTTTCGCCGTAGACAAGCGTCTTTGGTTTCATCGATTGTCCAAACTCAAAAACTCCAAACATTTCGCTCCATCTATTCAAGAAACAAGCCAAAAACCTTCTCCTACTCCACGTTCAACATACCCATAGTTACCTGGATAAAGATATATAAACCCGCACACCACTCTCACTTTCACATTCCCGGGTCTCCAACTGTACTAGCAACAATCACATACGACCATAGGCACCAGGGCAAAAACTCGGGATCCCGTCCGCTCTCCCTTAGATAAGCCGGTGACCGCCAGATCAGTAGTCGGATCGGTGACGACCGGTGAATAACCTGGTGTTGTATGTCTTTTTGACTTTTTTGTTTAGTTATGATTGAACTAGGGGAAGGTGCGAGTGGTGATGTGCAAAGGTTAGGTTGGGAAGGACTTCCAAGGTGGGAAAGAGTGAAACGGGGTTTGGAAGCGAGTTTTCATGCACTACCTCTCGTGTCTATTGTCCTGTCATCTGTTTTTATCGGTGCTTCGACATTGATTGTCCTGTCAAGGATCCATGATGGAAGGGATTTGTGGTGGTCGGTAGGTATCTTACCAACATGCTCCCATATCCATCATGATATCTTGAGCCTTCTTCATATGGGACTTCATTTCTGTCAGCGCCGGTCCGAAGACATATATATAACCTCCCAAGTCTAGAGGCATCCGTATATTTCCTAGCTCCCCGAGTCACAAGGGAACATGTAGGTCAATTGGTTTGGTTAACCACACACAAATCGAGCAATGAAGTTGAAGTGGTGCCATATACAATCTTTTAGCATGTATTTACTGCTATTAGTCGTTACATCGTTATAAACACGAAAAAGACCATAATTGAAACATGTCATAATTAACCACCATCCATACTCCTGAAATGGCAAACAGAGTGACAAAAGAGATGTGTGAAAAGACTGGTAAGTAACAACTTGCAACCACCGCACATCCGTTCAAGCCTTCATTCCCAATCATTAATGCCAATTACATCCATCCCCTCCATCGTGCCTGCCCTTATACAATTGCGACTGTATCCAATATCTTCCGATGAGTTGTTTCATACAATTTGATATCCACCATATTGATATTTCTTAGTTTTGATAACAAAAAGACATGCTGGCGAGACGGAAAGATGCAAGTCGTTTAGATGTCAGGGGGGGCGCCGCGTACCCAGCTATAGTCACAATCACCAACGAGTTAGCATCAACAAAGTAGTAAACAAAGGATAACAGGGGAAAGTTATAGGGAGAGTTGAACATACTTATCCCACATCTTAGCAATGAACCCACCACCCGACGGCCTCTGCTCACTCAAACTCTGCCGTCTCGCAACACTAGCCGGGTCGTTCCTTCTCTTCTGGTCAATCAAGCCCTCGAAGAGTCCATGGTGGGATGCCTGTGTTTTGTTTTCCAGCAGCTGTTAGCACATGTCCATCCAATCCAATGCGGTCCATCCTTCCCCCTTTACCGCCAACCACAACCACCCCTTTTCACTTTTCACTTGAGCACCAAACTAAACACACAAAAAAAAAAAAAAACATACCCGTCTAGCATGCGGAAACTCAGTAACCGTGCTCGCCGACCCCATCAACCGATCACTCCCACTGACAGTGCTACTAGTCGAACTAGTACTCGCGCTCCTCTCACTCCTAAACATGTTCTGTGCCTCTCCTTCACCACTACTCATGGTCCCGCCGACCGAGGGAAAGAGCTTGGTGCTGTCGTCAATCAGCTTGCTATCGCTCGTATCCCTTGCTCCGGTGCCCATCTTTGACATAGACTGGGCCGGATCAGTGCCCGTCTTGCCGGTAGACTCGGAGGCGGGAGCGGCGGCGGTGGAGGTGCGGGCGCCGCCGGAGACGGGGGCGACGGGGGTGCGGGTCGACTCAGAGGCGGGAGGGGCGGTGTCGGAGGAGGGAGGGTTGCGAGGGGCGGTGGTGGGTGGGAGGGGACCGACGTTGGTGTTGGTGCCGGTGGTGGTGTTTGTGTCGTCCATTGTGGTGGATCGATGGGGGTGAGGGTGGGGGAAGAGGGGGGTGGCGTTGTTATGCGTTGGGAAAGGTGTTGTTGTGGTTACGATGAGGGTGGTTGTTTGTTGTTGTTGGCGAGTTGTGTGAAGTCAAGTCTTGAATAGTGTTGACTTGACTTGAGCTGTGTAGTTGTATATTGTTGTGGACTTGTCACTTGTGTAAGTGTAGTGTAGATGAAGTGAACTTCCAAGTAGAGTTCAAATGAAGTTTCAATAGCAACAGTGAGAAGAAGAATCGTTAGATGTAAAGGAGGAGTAGCATAGGACCACAAGCGGATGAAGAGGGCGGGGTTGCCGGAGGTTTATACCTTTTTGCGTATCACAGATGCTCGAGTGTGCTTGAGGGGAGTACCTTATGCACCATGCAGTGAGAGCTATGGGCAGCAAGGCCAAGGAGTTCTCCGTCTTCCACTCTCTCTTCCAAACCAAGATCCGTAAGGCAAACTGGTGAGATCAGTCGACTGGAGATCCAAACCGAAAGGTAGATGTACCTCATCATGCCGTCACATGCAAAGGAGGGGACGGGGCCGTCCGCCGTTTTCAAGAGAAAGCACGTCCCGCAGGAAGAGCAGAGCTTGTCCAAGGTGAGCTCACTTGACTGAGATTCCTGGCCGTGGTGTTGAGGTACATGCACGTATGTCGGCGAATAGTGTTTAGAAGGTACTTGGCTCGTATGTCCGAGTGGGTATAGGCTCCTGGAAGTTGATGAGATGTTGAAGTAGATCTCTATCGTCGAACGCTTTGACCCCGCAAAGAATAGACCTTAGCCAAGTTGTGTGATCTGGATGGTTCTCATTTCGGGACCTTCCAGAACGTTTACCCCTCCCGTGTCGCCTTACGATCGCTTCATGAAACGAGGGGAACTGAGATCTGAATGGAAGGTTCCATTCAGCCTTGTGCTGATGTATGAGTGGCCAACCATATGGTGACATGTTGGGGGTTTTAAAAGAGGGGGTTTGTGTTCCCATCTCGAGTTACGTGCCGGTAGATGGTCAACCGGTGTCGTTGTTTTAAGCTTCACTCTTTGGCTGCCGGGCGTGTCTCCGGACTTGGTGTGCTGACGGCAGCGGAAGCGGCAGTTTGACAGGTGGACGTCGGAATCGGTCACTGTCATGCTGTCAGCTGAACATGCAGGAAACCCGAACCAGCCAGGTGCGAGCCGAGTTTCTATGCAGACAAGTGCATAAGAAGTGATTTCCATTAGGAACTCGGTTCCAAGCCACACGATCCAACACCTCAACTCGTTTGACTTGTAGCCAATCTTGGACTCACGGACCGTATTCCGGCAGACGGGAGTGACGTTGAAATGACGATGCCGTAGACTAGGCACTGGCCTTGAAATGTTGGTGTTGCGGTCATGGTCACTTGTGGAGACCAAGGCTCGTTGCTAGGGGACGCTATCTCTTATGGGTCGTTCGTTCTTGGACTTTGGACAGTCGGGTCGATGATGAAATGGGTGGTCTAAAGAATGATGGTAGACTCTTGATATCGATTCGGCGTTGACTCCGGCCAATGGCGATGATCCCAGTGCTCTTATTAAAGGTGAAATATTGGTGTAGATATCAATATCATGGAATGGGGATTGCCTCGTTGCGGATAGAGCTCATATGTAATACTGTCGAGTGTCATGGTGATGGTGGATGATTCATACGTATGCTTTTGGTAAACAATCAAGATCACTATATCTTGATGTGAATATATCTCTTCGAGACACCCACTTCCCACTCGAGAAGTTCTTCTCTGCCACGATCATGGCCGATCAGCTTTTGAGGAAGAGTGTCGTTGCTCCTGAATGGCATCACCATCCTTTCTGGACTCTGACATGTTGGGCAACTTTGACCTCGTCATCTTGCACCTGCTGAAACAGGTTCTTTAGCTTTATCCCCAAGACGAAGCCGCTCCCTCCACCCATTGAATTCTCGAATATGGGTTCTGATCATATCGGTAAACTGGGATTCGATAGTCCGGGTGTTGTTGTGGCATCGAGGTTGTCGACGAGATGATGTAACCTCAAGTGGTGAGAAGTGTCGTGGAAATTGTTAGTGCAAAGTAAGCAAGAGGCGTTGACTCGTCAATGCCCAGGCTCAGCCCCTGAGCCCCCCGCCTTGCCGTGGGTCCCCTGCGGCCATCGTTGTGGATTCCCCCGGAATGGTTCCACCACAGGGGGCGGCAGGCAGTGGCCCCAGTGAGCCGCGGCGCCGGAGGGGTTCCAATGCCATGGCCTGGGGAAACTGAAGTGTCCAGTCTCTCTCTTTGACTATCACGAGCCTCGTTTGATCCAATCACTATCCTTCCCCTGTCAAGCCTGTCTCTGTTTCTGCTGACCCTCTATCAACACATCCTCGGTCGCGCGGATCTAATCTTCTCTCTTGGGAGACATTGTCCCGTCACACGCATCGAGGCCATCTACCTGACAACGGCAACCATCCCAGGCTGAGGGAGGCGATATACCGAGTAACCATACAGAGTCAGTCTGACCGAGCATGATACTTGGTGATTATTGCGCCTAATTGCGCCTAGATCCGAGTTCCCCCTTTGCGACAACTACTACTACTCCAGAAAGCTATACCAACAGCTTAAATTCGTCCCAATTCCCGCGCAAACTTCCAACATGACACAAGACTCGCCCTCTCCCCAAGACTTGCGCGTCGGCAACGGTGTCTCTTCAGCTTCGTCTACCACCTTTAGTTCAACTGCGCCCTTTCCCACTTCAGAGACCACTTACACAACAACAACATCAGACATGACTACCGCCTCGGTCTCCAAGATCGTCAGCCAACCCCGCAGCCTTGCCGAGGTATGCGCCGCTTTGCGCGCAAAACTCCTTGCCTTTCTGGCTCTCCAATCCGACGATGAGACGGTACAGGGTACTCAACGACGGGCTCGCGATGCTATGGAGGTGATAGAGGAAGCCTTGGGTCGGTATAGGTAACGTTGGCCCTTTCAATCCCGTCACCATCACAGCAAGCTAACACCTTTCAACAAACAGACCCCAAGAAATCTCCCTCTCCTACAACGGCGGCAAAGACTGTCTCGTCCTCCTAATCCTCATCCTCGCCTGCTGGCCCGCAAAAGTCCAACCAAAAGAAACCCTCCCCCGTCTCCAATGCATCTACATCGCCCCGCCAGACCCGTTCCAACAAGTCGAGGACTTCGTCGCAACCACCACAGAAGAATACCACCTCGACCTAGCACGATACGCCCTGCCCATGCGCCAGGCGCTCGATGTGTATCTGGACGAGAAGCCACACGTGAAAGCCGTGTTCATGGGCACGCGGCGGACCGATCCGCACAGCGAGTTCCTGACCAGTTTCACGCCGACGGACAAGGGCTGGCCGCAATTTATGCGGATAAATCCCGTGCTGGATTGGCACTATGTTGAGATATGGACTGTGAGTTTTGTTTTGTCTCTACACAAACAAAATACCCTACCCCCAAAAACGCCACAAACGTCACGTCAGATCAGACGAAAATGGCGCCAAGCCGGGACCCTTCTTGCTGACACTAAAAAAAAACAGTTTATCCGCCAACTCGACATCCCCTTCTGCTCCCTCTACTCGCAGGGCTTCTCCTCCCTCGGCGGAACAAAAGACACGCGGCCCAACCCTGCGCTGGCCCTCGACGGCCCCGAGGGCAACAAGTTCCGGCCGGCGTACGAATTGACGCGCGATGACGAGGAACGGCTAGGTCGCGATCGAAAATAGTCAATTTATCCCCCACCCCACCAAGTTTTCCAACACCGCACGCCCGTTTTTGCGAATTCATTATTATTACCGAGAGCAAGAGCATATATATATATACCTAGAACATGCCTCTTCGGAGGGAGGGAGGTACTTTTTTGGCATACATAGGCCACACAGCGTATTTAGGTTTGTGGATTTTTTGAGAGGAAGAGGAAGAGGAACCACAGGCCGAGCGAAGCGGAGAGGACAGAATAGGGCAGGAGGGCTCTGGTCCGAAAGACGAACATACTACAACTACTATCTACATAGACAGCGTAGAGAAGCATGGCGGCGTTTAGAGCGTTTTTTTGGATACAATCAAGTTTAGTTCCTTGCTTAGAGACAGTCTTTGCTAATCCGTATCCGTGATTCTAGTGCTCAAAGTCTACGGGTTGGGAAAACATGGCTTGACAAGTTTGGGAATGAAACGGCACAGAGTTCTCGCAGTTTTGCGAGGTCGGGTACAATCAAACAGCAGCGCAGTTTGCCTTTTGTGGAACTTCCCCTGTGAAACGTGATGGTAAGTTGGCAGCCGGTGGTAAGGTTACAGAGGTGTGTTGTGCGCAACACCTTTCGGGTATAAAGCCTCTATCCTCCTCCTACCTCTCGCTCTCCTTTTTCTTTCCCCTGATGAGCAACATGATCTGGTAATCAGAACCCAGCTAACTCATGACAAAGACAGACAAGTGGAGCACTCCGGCTCGGAACCAGATGGGAGGGAGCCTATGTGGACGTCTGACTTGGTAAAGTTGAGGCATCGGATTATCACGACGAGTGGACTTAACTTGATCACTCGATCACGACTCGGTCAACGGTACTTAGCAACACGCAAGATACTATCAGCATTCGCAAACCATCCATTAACTTCAAGGCAACGCTATGCTACGCCTGGGTATTCCAACTATCCAATCGATTATTCCAACTCCGAAAGCCATCTGTCATGTCCAAGAACCATTCCATCGATTTTCCAGCGACGAAGTCTATCAAGATATCCCAACTTCTTGCGGTTCCCCTCCCAACTTCGCCCATCGAACGCTTGCCTAGGTTGTATTTCCGTTTGTTTCCGATCCGGTTTGCTTCCCTTTCTGCCTCCCCAGTTCCTTGGTTCTACCTACTCGGTCATGTTGCCCCGTTACTTTGAGGCTAGGTACATGATGGGTCCGAGTAGTTCCATGTAGAACCACAACCGGGGAGTGATAGGGCGGATCGGATATGTTGTTTCCCGTCTCAGGGGTATCTTGTGGTTGCAAGCGTCGTGATGATGGGTCATAGTTGATAGCCCAATGGGTAGACCTCCTCTTTCCTTTCCCACCTTTCCTCTCCTCCATCTCCCAGGAAAACCTGTCGATGACCAGGTCGAGGATAACCTACCAAGGCATCCTACCTCTGGTTAAAGTATCGAGGATGAACCGAAGGTCATCAGGGTCGATGTCGTCGTCGCTGTCCCACTCAATGGGGAGGGTGGGGAAGTCCTCGGGGACGTGGTCGAGAACGTCGTGGTGGTCGCCGCCATGGAAGAAGTCATCATCCTCGGGGAAGCGGTCGAGGATGTGGTCGTCATAGCGGTGGTGGCGGTGACGGTGGTGACGACGGTGGTGGTCCTGGTCGTGGTGGTGCTGGTGATGTTGGTGATCACCGCCATGGAAGAAGTCATCTTCCTCGCCTTCAGGCACATGGTCCGGAATACCAGCTGCCTGTCTCTCCCGGATCCGCCTCTCTGGCTCGTGAAGCTCAAAGATGGGGCAGGCGCACAGTGGCCCATCATCATGCCCGTTTGGGTGAATGGTTAGGCAGTGGTAGCAAAAGTATGTATCGCACCTGATACACCTGTAAGACTGTCAATAACTTTTTTCCTCTAGTTTTCAAACAGGAGGGGGTTCTCACTTCACCAGGTTACAGCCACCGTCTCTCTCGACGGTCCAGTCACAGGTCGGACAGGTCCTCCAGTTCTCCTCCTGCCTCAACTGTCTGAACTGTCGATCGGCCCGCGCCTCCGCCTGCTGCTGGTCCTCTGTCCTTCTTCTCGGACCAGGACACCGTTCTTGGTACCTGGCACGGTGCGCCCTGCCCTCACAGATGGTGCAGGTCACCTGTCGACAGTGGTGGCAGACGACCTCGGTCTCCCTGCGACCTTCGACGCCCGTGAACCGCTCAGGGACTAGCCAGCCACAATCCCCGTTCGAGCACCGGGTGCCCGTATTCTCCCTCTCCAGCCGTAACTGCTCAGTACGAGCAATGTACTGTCCGACCATGTCAACACCGAGCAGCCGGTGGAAGCGCTCGTTGCGCGCTCGAACTTCCCAAGAAGGGTTCTCGTTGCCAGGCTCGTTGGCGTGAATGTAGAAGCGGTTGCCGCAGCAAGTAGGGGGGAAGGTGTCGGCGTTGCGCCAGACGTTGCCGTCCATGGCGTTTCTGAAAAACGACTGGAGGCATTGGCCGCAGTAGTGGTGCGGATCTGGGGCGCAGGAGGTCGTGAGGACCTGGGAGCGTGTAAACTCCTCGGTGCAGACCGCACAGGGGACGAGGTCGCCGTCGTCGACGCTGGGCTCTGGGACCGGTGCCGTGGCGGCGTTGACTGTGGTGACTGCGGTGACTGGCGCTGCCGGTACTGGTGCCGGTACCTGGGGACCTGGAGGCCTGTTGACGGGCGCTGGGCGCGCTTCGACGGGATTGGCCCTGGCGGCTGGTACGTTACCGCCGTGCTGGCGGTTTCGTTCGCCTATACAGTCTAGCAGTTAGCTTCACGTTCTTTTTGAGTTCCAAGTTTGGATTCATACCTCTCCTAGCCACCTGCCTTAGGTGCTCCTCCCGTCTCCTCTCGGCCTCCATCTCCTGCCTCCTCTCCTGCTCATGCCTCTCCCGTCGAGCCTCCTCCTCCTGTCTGTGCTGCCGAGCACGCTGGGCTCGACGCTCGGCTTGACGGGCCTCCAACCGGTCTAGTGCGATCTCGCGGTCGATGCGATCGAGGAAGTGGCGGTTCAGGCCGAGGAGCTCCTGGGCGCGGGCCCAGAGCCCTCCCCTTCTTTGAGGGGGAACTGGCGGGAGAGGTCTCGGGGGAGGAAATCGGAGAGGAGGCACCCGTGGCCTCCTCTCTTCCCTCTCGAAGTGTGGAGGAGGACCGTCGACTGGCTCGTCGCGGATGACGACGGTGATGCGGGGAGGGCGGCGAGGGGTGTTCTCCCGGCGGCTGCTGCCCTCTCCGTTGTTGGTGTGGCGTCGGTACATCTTGGTAGATGTTGGCTGGTTCTCGTTTTGAAAGCTTTGGTGCTCGTTCTAAAGCAGTGGTCGTAGGCGTGGTCGTAATCTGTTGTTCGGAATGAGGAGGAGAAAAAACAGGACGTTGGGCCTGGACCTCCCTGGGCACTTATAGAAACTGGGTGCCCATCTTTTCGGAATATTTTCATCCATCCTGTGCAACGGGCTCGTTAGTCAGAGGAGCAGGTTCAGGCGAATAAGAAGAGTGTGCTGGCTTACATCGTCATGATGGTCGTACCGATGGAAAATGTCCGAGAGACAGGAGAGTGATGAAGGATGAAAATCGAGGTGGAATGGATCAAGGGGTTCCATCTTCGCCGATTGTGGGTGAAGTCTAAGAACTCTGAGAAGTAAGTGAAGAGACGGCTTAGCCATATCAGCACATCAACAGCTTGCTCGGGTCGTTGGCTGATACACGTCCGGGCCTTTGCTGATGAAGCGCGAGATAGGTTGATCCGCTGATGATGACACATCCATCCCGAACGACCCCTTGCAAGACTCCCACGCACATCTTTCGTCTTGCGTCGGTCGCAACTCGGAGCATGTAACGACATGCCAAAACATGTTGACTATCTCCGGAGACTGACTGATGGACGGCCTCGCTGGCTGACAAGACGGGCGTTGATAGAGTCAACGTCTCCTTCATGGGGGTGATGAACTGTCATCCACTCGCGGGAAGAGTACGGAAGCCACTGTCAGCGGCATGATTGAGTCCAGAACTGGAGACTTGGTGAACAAACGCAGAGTGTCGAGAGTGCTTGTTCCGAGTGTGATGAAGGATGAGGGTTGAAGCGGAGATGAACCAGCACAAGTGGAAAATTGTTGAGCTGGACCACCGCCACGGTAGGAAAGCACGGCCTACGATGGAGTTCATGCCTCTTCACCCGGCCTTGGTCCCGAACTCTCTCTGCTCTTCGTTCCTTCCTCGTCTCATCGCTTATCCACTGACGTCCGATCAATGCATCATTACAGATGGCAGGGCCAGCCAAGGGAAGCAAGGTCGAGTGAACGGAACTGAATCATTCGAGGATTACCCCCATAAGTATGTGGCTATCTAAGGAGGTTCCGAAATAGTTGTCAGTAACTGTCCCAAGTCATAAGGATCGTACCGAGAGGAAAGAAATAGACTGGCGTTTCAAGGCTTACTTACACCATGTTTGATCGCACCACAACGCGTTCTTCATGTCATAGCAAGAATGCCCGTGACGGGTACGGTGGGATTCCCATCAGCAAGCCGAAAGAGATTACGTGGTTGTATATTTCCTATAGAGATGGGCACTGTCAAGAAGAGCGGAATTTCCTATTCCCTTGGAACCCAACACATGGGACATATCCAGTGTCCATCTTTCCCTCCAAGTCGTTCGTAAAAATTCATAACCAAAATGTCTCCAATCCGTCTCTTCACAAAGGGTATCATCCAACTTTCCAATCCTCCCCCACCCCGGGTACATCACCCCCTTTAGGACCCTTCTATGTGTCGTCCCCTGTATATAGTACAAGTAATCTTCTCAACGCCTCTCCATGTAACAGCGCCACTGCTATGGTAAAATGATATTGCTGTGCCCCAAACGTGCAACTTGTTTCCAATCTCTTGTTGCTGATTTCGTGTATATGGTCGGGACATACTTCTCGACGTTTTCCCTCGATTTGACTTTCTTCTCCCGTGGGGCAGTGACAAGCTGGGGCATCATTTGTCGGTACTTGTGGTGAAGGGGCTGGCATCGGTAATTTCTCGACCAGGAGGGGAAGCCACGTATTTTCCTCCCCTCCTCGGCTACCGTATCAACCAGCGTCCCACTCCCCATCGTATTCGTATTCCCGGAAGCCCACTTAAAGGGACCACCTACCAGCGGTGGTCCCTCTCAGGTTTCTTCTCGCTTTGATCTTCACATTCCCACTTTTCGGTGTATCCCCTCTTATCGATGACTATTCACTCAGGAACAACAGGAATACTCTTTGTCGGATTAGTCATCTGGCTCAGCAACTCAATATGCCGATAATAGTTGTGTTCCCCCTGGCTCTCCAGCGCCTGTTCCTCCGCGTACCAATCTGCTCCCCACACCTCGGGTGGTATCGTCGAGCTGCCGTCCGGCGTCTCGTATAGCGCGATCCGCATCGCCCACTCGAGGTGCGGCCACCACTTACTATACGCTTCGGGACCAAAGAAGTCGCTGTTGAAGAGGGATACTACACCAAGGACTTCCCGGCGGGCCATGCCGTGCAGCCACCATATCGAGTCGAGAGATTTCAGAAGGGCGAAGAAACATGCGAGAATGGCGAGAGCCCGTGGGCGGCGCTCTTCGAGCGTTTCTATGAAGCGCTTGGATACAGTTGCTGGAAATGCGAGTGGGGCCCCTTTGTGAGGGATTTTATGCGCCCAATTGAGCACGGCGACGGCGTGCTGGTATGCTTGGCGGGTTCTGGTTACCAGTTCTGGGGAGGCAGGTGCTCGGCGCTGTTGGAAGGGTTGCCCGGGTGAATCGGTGTGTAATGGTGCTGGTCGTGAGGGGTTGGCCATTTCTTCCAATTCCTCGTCCAGCCCGTCTAGAAGATGACCGAAGAAAGTTTGGCGGTTGGGCCCAAAGTCGAGTTGCAAAACAGCTTGGGAGTTGATTACTTCTGTTACTACGGGACTGTTCCGAAGCCATTGCCAGGAGGCGGCCGTGACTGCTTTGACGCCTTGGAAGGAATGGAACCATGAGAAGGGGATAGAGTAGCATCCAGCTGCTGTGTATCGGCCCTGCTTGTTGAAATCCTCGGGGTAGTTCCCGGTTGCTTGAGCGAGGCTCAGTTCGTCTTTCATAAAGACACGGGTGGCTGTTGATTGGAAGGCGATGAGGGAGGCGGTTAGGAAGAGGGATTCGGCATTGGAGCTATCGATGCCCTTGGTAAGTGTTGCGCTGTATTCGGCTAGGGAAGCCGCCATGTATGCGTGTGAAGCGCGGACTAGGTTTTTGTCGTTTGGTGATTGACTTCGCAAGTGCAGTGCGGCGACGGCGAGGATGGCATCTGTGAGGTGTTGAGAACCCGAGAAAGCCATGCCTGGCACGGTAATCTTCCATATGTCCTCCGTCGTGGGGGCGGTGAAGGTAAATGTCTTGCATGTCATGGCGGTGTACTGATGCATCAATCTCAACTCGAGCATTCGGTGGGCGGCCGGAGTGGTTGTCGAGAGAGCTTGTGAGGGTGGTGAGCGGCATAGGGGCGGTGCTCGTTGGAGGCGCGAGGTTGATGCATTCGATACGGACTCGGCACCGGGGGAGTACGCAGGAGTATAGGGGGTTCCTGCGGTCGATGGACTGGATGCTGAAGCAGCTTGAGCAGCTTGAAGCTCGGCGATGATTTCGGGATGTTCGAAGTCGCAAGGGACGCCGTGCTTGACGCAGTTACCGCATCGAGGATGTACTTCATCGCACTGGGGGTGGAAGGGTCAGGTATGTTTGTGTCTGGTTGTTCTGTTCTGTGATACATACCTTGATCTTTCTCGACTTGCAACGGCGGCAACCCGCCCTTGACTTTTTGTGGGAACGACGCGGAGGCATCTTGGTGTTTGTGTAATGATGTAGCAACAGGGTAAGGTAGGTATCGATATGGTCGTGTGTTACGGCCTTCGGTGGCGGTTTATATATCACCGGGGTTCCATATTACGGGGGACGGAAAGCTGAACTACAATGGTCGGGCTGGAATTGAACTGATAGAGAGACGACGGTGAAGCTGACGAGAGAATCGAGAGACAAGAGTCGACTTTGGGAGGATGTTGTTGGGATTTGAAGGTAGAGGTAACGACTGACGGTGACGACGCTCAAGTCCCCGTCAATTCCCCCGTCGCTACCCCGTTGTTGTTCGTCCAGTGCTCTGGTCGAGCCAATCAAGTGACGCCATTCCCAACTGAACCGGATCCGAGTGGGCCGTTCCTTGTGAAGCGCAGGGAGGACTGCATCCGGTTGTTCACAATCCAATGGTGCTGACTTCTGGGTGGGGCCAAAGAACCTGGGGAAAGGTGCAAAGAGCCAGAATGTCAAGAGGATCGACACATGTCTGGCTGCTGTGAGCCTGTGAATAGCGTCAATTATTTCCAATGTTTCCACTGCCAGTTCGTATTGTCATAGTTTCCCGGGACTCTCCAGTCTCCACCCATGACTGCCCTGTGCTTGCTTTTTAACGGGCAGTGACAGCAAGAGGGTCCGGGAATAGGGGCTTGAATGGTCGAGTTCCCTTGACAAGAGAGTCGTATCTTGGGTGAGATTACCGAAAAAGCAACGAGATATCTTTTAGTATAGGCTTTGTTTCCGTGGACTTGAGGCTGTCTGAAGCTGTCTGAATTGTTCTTCTCAAAGTGTGATGACGCACGGATAGACTTCCTGCAATCACCCTAAAATAGAAGCATCGGATGAGACACACGTGCTGTCCCTAGCTGTGCCTCTGTGAGGTTATTCAACGGAGCCTCTTGGCCTCTCAGAGCCCCGTCCACCTTTTGGCTAAAAAGGGTGATGAGGGTGTGAGTATTAGGAACATATCTTCTTGGCCGACGAGATATCATTCAAGGTGAGATACAAATATTGACTCGACAATCCCCTTGCCTTGTTTCTCGACAGCTACAAGAACCCGGCGGGAACGCAGATTGCAGATCTTGGGATTCGCTATGATCCCATCCTTGCCCCCCTAGGATCTGATCTGACCTTTTTTTACCCCACGTCCACGCTGCCGGGTCCTGTTCAACGGTTCCTCGTGGATGATGGAGTGATCTCCCAATATGGCGACCGAGACGTTGGATGCCATTGAAACTCGGGATACAGACTTCCCCCAGGCCTCCGATTGATGCTCATGGCCGAGACGGGAGACGTTGACATCGGGATCTTGATAGAGTCATAGAACCTTCCGAGGATCTCTACCAACCACAGAGACATATGTCAGCAACGTCACACCTCGGACTCGTCAGTTGCGATAGACTTTGCGCCAAGAAATATTGAACATTGAAACACATGGACATGGGATAAAAGTCATCCATCATCGGATCAAAGTCCAAGGTATTACAGATTACACAACAGTGCCGCTTCGTGTCACACGCCATACATCCATTGTCCGACCGATTTCCATGGCTTCCAGTGGCTCTTTATTGTTGTCCGCACTGCCATGTGCGCCCCGAAAAAAGATCACGGTGGACTTTCACTTTCGGTCAAGATCTTTTAGCCAGCCAGAAGCCGACAATACAACCAGATAAGGTAACAGAAATAGGCTTAGGACGAGGTTGAGAAGCGCCCTTTACCTAAACCATGAAAGCGCATCTTGTTGTTACCGCTCGGAAAAGCCATTCCGCGCGGCCAGTATCGGCTTGATGGGTATTAGTTGATTATTCGACAGTGTGTGGTTACCGATGGTTGCTGATGGTCGTCGATGGTGCCAATGGTGCTGATGATCACCCAATCCTGCTGAGCAATCACGACAACAATGTTGTCAGAGTCATCGTCCATGTCGAAATGGGAAGGACGATTGTCGATATAAAAGACAAAATGTCAGCATCACAGTCGCAGCTTCCACTTCCATTGCAGTTCAATTGTTGAGTCCTGTAACAGAAAGAGCCAAGCCTCTCCCTCATAAAGCAACAGTGTGTGGGTGGATCCGCGGCAAAAACTCGAATTGCGCCATCGCCAAACTCTATCGCACAATTGAGCCGGCCCGCAAAAAAAAGGCACAACCCATAAGAAGTCCGACATTCTCTCCATCTTCAGCCCCGAAACCGCAACCACCACGCCGACCTTCGACCGACCGATCACCAATTGGCGCCATCTCCGTCACATCTCCGCAAACTACCGACACCAGCTACGCAGCTAGACGGTAACTAGTCGCCCTACCCGCGCAAACGGACCCTCTCACAGCCCTACGGAATCGCGCCAATTGAGCAAGATCGCCAAATCAAACCCGACATCAAAATGACGGCCTCCAGCGACCACCCCATCACCACTCCCCCCCGCGCTCCTTCGCCCGTCCATGCGTTCGGTACGCTCGCCGTCCATGCGGGATCCCCGCACGACCCCGCCACCGGCGCCGTGATCGAGGCCATCTCGCTCTCCACCACCTTCGCCCAGACGGCCGTTGGCAAGCCCGTCGGCGAGTTCGAGTACTCCCGCAGCAGCAACCCCAACCGCGCCAACTTTGAGAAGATGGTTGCTGCTCTCGAGCACGCCAAGTACGCCCTCGCCTACTCGTCCGGCAGCGCCACCACCGCCAACATCCTCCAGTCGCTGGCCGCTGGCTCCCACGTTATCTCCGTCTCCGACGTCTACGGCGGCACCCACAGATACTTCACCCAGGTCGCCAAGGCCCACGGCGTCAAGGTCACCTTCACTCCCGAGATCGAGGTGGACATCCGCGACCACATCACCGATGCCACCAAGCTCGTGTGGATCGAGACCCCCAGCAACCCGACCCTGCGCCTTGTGGATATCCGCGCGGTTGCGACTGCCGCCCACGAGCGTGGCATCCTGGTCGTGGTCGACAACACCTTCCTGAGCCCCTACGTCCAGAACCCGCTCGACCATGGTGCCGATATCGTTGTCCACAGTGTGACCAAGTACATCAACGGCCACTCCGACGTTGTCATGGGCGTTGCCGCCTTCAACAGCGACGAGCTCTATGCCCGTCTGTCCTTCCTTCAGAACGCCATCGGCGCTGTCCCCTCCGCCTTCGACTCGTGGCTCGCCCACCGTGGAGCCAAGACCCTCCACCTCCGCGCCCGTGAGGCTACCACCAACGCGACCGCCATCGCCCACGCCCTTGAGGCTTCCCCTCTTGTCATCTCGGTCAACTACCCCGGCCTCGACTCTCACCCCCACCGCGCCATTGCTCTCAAGCAGCACCGCAACGGTATGGGTGGTGGTATGTTGAGCTTCCGTATCCAGGGCGGCCACGCTGCTGCTGAAAAGTTCTGCCAGTACACCAAGATCTTCACTCTTGCCGAGTCCCTTGGTGGTGTTGAGTCCCTCTGCGAGATCCCCTCCAGCATGACCCACGCTGGTATCCCCAAGGCTCAGCGCGAGGCCGTCGGCGTCTTCGATGACCTCGTCCGCATCTCTTGCGGTGTTGAGGATGCTGAGGACCTCAAGGCCGATGTCCTCCAGGCTTTGGAGCGCGCTGTTGCGGATGCTGCCAACGGTGTTTCCAACGGTGTCAACGGCACTCACTAAGTGTTTGTCTACGGGTAACAAAATGGGCGTACGAAAAAGCAATTCAGCGGGTTTCACTTCTATAGACGGGGTTCGGGCGTTATCTCATCATCGTCTCTTATGGGCATGATCATACCCTGGGTTTTTTTTGGTTTCTAAGATGCTAAAGGAGGCTTTTGATGATCAAGGGTATATACCTCGTGGTTGTTGTTGGGGTGGATTTTACCGCAAACGTGGAAAGCGTCGGGGTTCACTTTTATAAACATGGTCATATAGAGGATACCAAAGCGTTTCTTGTTTATCATTCACATTATCTCTGGGCCATGACTGTTTCTTGACTGTATTTTGTCAGAGAATTCGTGCTTCGAGGATGGGGAATGGCACTGTTCTCATCTTCAGTCTGGACACTTACACTGCACATCTCCTACCACCAGATGACCACAACTTCAGCTCACGGCCACCATCGACATTCTCCTTTGTCAAAGATTCGACTCGACTCTCACCAATACTTCTCCTCTCTGTCACGAATTTGATAACAGCAACTCAACTGACTGGATGGTTCATCCTCACCGACGTTGTGCCCTCTACTTGGCCAAAACCGTGGCGCAGATTCTGGCTTTGCGTATCCGACTTGGAAAACAGTACGTACCACACCCCCAGTCACCTCCTCCCATCCAGAAAAAAATATCGTAAATATTCATATAACATAAAATTTGTTAGCCGTGCACGCCAAAACCAGATGCACTACCAGAACATGCGCGCGGTTCACGACACAATATAACTGTACCACCATTCTTTCGTGCACTTTCGTACAACTTTGGCAATGAATAGAGGGTATTCAGACAATACGATTCCCGTTGTCTGCGACGAAATTGCTAGTATTTTAAGAAAGTTACCGGTATTATACGAAATCTAGTATATTACGGTAGTAAACGGGCACCAATCTTACCGCTAGTACGGTCACCTCCCAGAAAAATAAATAAAATAATCTATATACTAGTATTTCTCCCTACCCATATCTCTCTTATTTACTTTCTTATTTCTCCCTATATAATTATCTTCTACTAATTACGTTAATACTACTACTACTACCCTTCTTTAAAGTTCGCCATCGTCGTTATAAATTAATAAAAATTTTAAGAACTTTTTAAATACAAACCCGAATAGGATATTAACGATCCCTAATAGTTTTGCGATCTTAATATTAATAAATTGCTATTCAACTAATTTATACCTGGCGTGCTTCCTTAAGCCGTAAAAGCAAACGAGGAGGATTTATTCGCGCCCAGTAATAATACTATCTTCGAGAACGCATTAGAAGGTAGTAAATACTATACGAATCATCCTTATATAAATTACTATAATTAACGTTCTTTTATAACTAATAATTATTACTCCCGTTCTAAACGCGCTGCCCGTATAAAAAGTATAAGAAAATAAGCCCGCTATCGCTACCGCTGCCGACCCCGCTGCCGACCGCGCCCCTATTACCAATTAAATTATATATATACTACTAGAAAATTTATTTCGGTACTAATAAACGCTCTTTAAATTAAAGAATAAAATTAAATTTACAGTAAACGAATATTCCTTTTATTAACTATTTCATAATAATATATATTGTTAAATTAATTAGTATAAATTTACCAATTAGTACCCTAATTGTAGGAAGCTATATTTATATTATTAATTATAGGAAAAAAAACGATATATACTATGGGTAAAGAACCTTAAGATTTACGTAATAAGACTTCGTATAACTCTTAATACTATCTATCGAAAGGGGTTATAATCTTTCGGTATAACCGCTGTATTACTTATATTAACGATGTAGCAATATATAAATTAATTAACGTAATTGTAAAGACGACCATTAGCGAGCTTTATAATTATAATATAGATTTACTAGATTAAATTAAGCGAACTTTTAGCCTTAAAGAATCAATTTCCAATAATGTTATCTGAAAGTTCTTAGTGGTTACTATCTATCGTACCCTTTATAGTAACAATAGCCGATTAGAAGCCGCTAAATTTATATTTTATAATTTCGGGGGTCGTTAATTTAATAGGTACGACGTATTCAATTAGGGTAGGGCATTCCGGCTCGCTCATCTAGATCCACGTTACGTAGGTAAGGACTTCGTCCCCCAATTATAAATCGATTAGGTTTTATAGTACCTATCTACCTAAATAATAATAAATAAGAATATTAGTAACTTTAAATCGTTTAACAAGGTTATTAAAGCTACGCGATTAGATAGCGAGATCTCTCGTGGGGTAATCTAATCGATTGCTAGTATATCCTTTTTTATTATTTTTAAGATTTTTAAGATTTTCATTATTTCTATCATTTTTATTATTTTCATTATTTTCATTTATTTATATACGTATAATTAAGGCGTTCTTCCCTTCTAAATTAATTTAATATACTACAATAGCGAAGGTATTTCATTTTTATAAATACTATATATAATACGAACTAACTTGGCTAATTATTTTATACCTTTTTTATTTGTAATAAATATAGCTATTAATTTCTTTATAATTACTTCTTTATAGAAAAGGCCGATAATAATATTGTAAGGGTGGTTCTATTAATAGTATAGGGGTAGGTAATAAATCATAGCGGTCAATTATAGCTATTTCGTTATTTCCTTATAGACGATTCTATTATCGAATAATACGCTATAAACTTAGCCTTCCCTAATATCGAAGTTAACTACTTCCTCTATTATGTCTACGTAAAACGGACCCTCAAGCGGAAGTTTGCTAATAATAGCTATAAAGAGTGCTTAAGATATATAGTCGATACTATTCGATAGAGACGTATTAAATAAGGTTGTACTACTGTATTTAATTTACTTTCAATTATTTAAATTAAAACAACCCTATACCAGGGTATATTAAAAAGAATTAGAGGGATACAAAATTGCAGTAGGGCAACTACGTTCGTAAGCACTCGCTTCTATTATTATAAGTATAAACCTCTTCTTCAATCCTCCTAAGAATTTAGAATAAATAAAATATAATTCGATTTCTTTTTAAACCTGTAAAATATTGTAGGAGACCTGGAGAATATCGGAGGAGACTTAGAGAATATTAGAAGAAACCTAGGAATTGTCAGCGCCTATTTTTCTTAATTAATTATACTTTTCTTTAATAAGTATTTACAACCAACCCTCTTAAAGGTTACCATTCTAGCTTGAAATTTTAAAATAAAAGTATTATATAACAATTCTCTTTATTTAGTTTTATTAAATACGTACTATATGCAAATACTCAATACTTTAACCATATTGCCAAAGTTAAGACCATATTTTGTACTAGATTTTTACGAGAATTATTCGATTACTTTAGATTTAACCGATTCCTAATACCAGTATAAAAACTAGTTCTACTAAAAGCGAAGGAGGGGAAGCGTTTCTACGATACTAACGAATATTTCAATATATGTTTAATCCACTTTATTAGTATTAACTGCTATAAAGGGGAGTTTGACTAGTAGTCTGTTACCTATAAGTATCGGTTTTACAAACGTTAATAATTGCTATGTCAGTATCTTTAGTAATATTATTTCCTCAACGACTATTATACCCTATTAGCCGGCTGTCTAGCTAACTAGTTAGAGCTATAGTAAAATAGAGGATATTAACTTAGGGTGGTATGCCTTATGATTTTTACGCTGATTTCTTTTCACGATTTTTCTGCAATGCATTTCGTTCAGGAGCATAGTTACAAGATTGAAAGAAACTAGTTAACTAATATTAATTAGGGATTATAAGAAAGATTAGGAGATTGATAGATAGCTAATTATGTAGATTAGTTAGATAGCTGATTATTTATTTATAATTAATAAATAAGATTAGATAAATTATCGATAGAAAAAGAAAATTAATAGAAGAAGAATAGAAGGATAGGAGGATAATAAAAAAGAAAGGGGATTAATACGAAAAAAAGAATTATAAAGAAGGAGGATAATAAGGAAGTAATAATATTCTTTTTAAATATAATCTAATATATTTTAATTAAGAGAAACTCTATCTGTACGGCTATGTTTCTCTATCTGTACCGTACCCCACCCGCACCGACCAATCAAAAGTGTCGCATTCTCCCCTCCCCGCTTTTTTAGCACATTCGCATTCCCCGCATTCCCGACAGGGCATTCGTAGCTCCCAACAGCGCATTCGCAACCCCGAACAGCGCATTCGCAACCCCGACAGGGCATTCCGACCTTATATAGGGTACTCCATGCCCGATAAGGCATTTCTTCTTCGAAAGCGATTGAAATGACGGAAAAAATTGATATGCGATAGAAATTGACATGCGACAGCGACTGCAATTGATTTGCGACATAAATATTATGCGAATATTGTATCGGAAGCTGCGAATACTCTATTTGGTGGTGCGAATGCTTTGTCGGGAATGCGAATGCGCTGGAATTTGAAGCGGGGTCAACGCGGCTGCAGGGTTAGGGTTAGAAGTGAGAGAAAAAAGTGAGGATGGTACAAATAGAGAAACATGGCCGTACAGATAGAGTTTCTCTTAATTAAATACTTTGAATCGTCTTTTATTATTTCTTTGCATAAATTATTTAATTAATTATCTTATTAATAATTAAGTGCTTTCCTAATCTTTTACTTCTTTATTAAGGAGAAGGTTACCTTTATTTATTAATTATCGAGTAGCGAGCTTTATGTTTATTTATTTTTTAGATTCTAAAGCTATTTACGACCTATTCGTTTACTCTTTTTGACCCTCCTCTCTCTAAACTTTAAATTTTAACCTTTTTATCTACAATTAGCGCTAATTACCTCGTCTATTTGAATTATAACTTGTAATATTATAACCCTAATCAGCTATCTATAGCAAGTTTTTGTTATAGTATGTGGTTGGTTTTATATTATATTGTTGTATTGTTTTGGCCTATTTCAATATAAGTAGTTTGAGATTCGAATTATATAGAGAGTACCCTCTTAAGAGGATCGATATAGCTTTGGTTAATGGTAGGCGGTACAAGAGTAGTTAGAGCTTAATAATCTTTGGGTTTTATAGTTTCTAGTAGTTAGCGTATTGCGAGTATAGCTTTAACTCTATAGACGTAGAGCGTGTTTATATTTGGTATATCACGAGAGCTTAGCGGCTTAAAAGAGAATTTAAAGATTTTATAAATAATTTGCAAGTGTAGAGGGCTCGACCTTAGGACGTAGAGGGGGGTTAGATACTAAATTGAAGTTTTTTAATATACGTCTAATAATATTACGAAATATTTGATAGCGTAGAGTACTCGTAACTAGATTTATTACGGTTATAGATATTAAGTTAGTTAATTGACTAGTACTTTAAACGACGATTTATACAACTTATATATTAATATATAGATAAATCCAATCTTTTAATAAGCAGTATAGCTAATTATACGTAAAAAGCACTAGAAATATAGCCAGTTATACACAGCGTTTTATATAATATATACGATTTATATATAAAAGGCACTAGAAATACCAGCATACTATATATCATATATAGAAATTTATATAATATATATAATTTATACACAAATAAATCCAGTTATTATAGCAATTACATAAATCTAGTATTGGTCACATACTCTAATTAGTATTTATCTGGTATAATCAAAGGTGGTAAGAGCAAGCTAGTACTACAGTCATAGAAGTGAAATTCAACATAGATATTTCGATTTGTATTAAATGCATTAAAACCACTTTTTAATATAGTATTTGTACACTACTATGAATCCTTCTAATATATATATTAATCGATTGCTAGCAATCAAAATATTCTATATAGTAAGTTTAGTATTATTAGAATCAATATTGTAATTATGGTGTTAAAAATGCAATTAATATACATATTAGCTAACCTTTGTTTACTTTGCAATTGTCATCACTAACACGCACAGCAGTTGCTCAATATAGAGTTTATCGAACCGATCTATCTATACTAAAGTAACTTCCTATACAAAAGATAGCTAAAAAGACTTTACTATAGAAATTAGACTTCGCTAATAGTTTAGGGAGACCAGTACCAAGTATTATCAATAATATTTACGTTACAACTTTTACGATTTTACCAAGTCAATACAACGGCCGTATACGACTCTTACGTATAAAGAGCTGACTCAGCTGGCTTCAACTCCATACATACTACCTAAAGAGGCAAATACTATACGATTACGAGACTTAAGAAGCTATACCGTTCTGAGCAGTAGATGTGCGGGGGCTGGAGGTAACTAGGGGTGCGGTACGTATTGTTTTCCAAGTCCGTTACGCAACACCCAGATTCTCCCAAGCAGGAATCCAGCGGTGAAACTTGACGAGGAAGAAGCCGTCCGAATCAGGAAAGAGCAAGAAAGAACCAGTGTAAGTTGGGTGTAAGTGAGGGTATCCGCAAATCTCATTGGTGGGCGGGCAAGTGCCTGGATCGTTGTAAGTTGCGGTGCGGAAAGTGAAAAGTTGGGCTTGGTCGGCTGTCGGGGCGGCTATCGGTCTCAAGACGTTAACCACTGCTTTGTCGTCGCTTTCGACCTGGAAATCAAGTTTGCGAACGGAAAAAAAGAGACAGAAGGAAGCCCGTCAGGAAAGGTCATGATGAGTGGGCAAGAGATTTTTTATATCAAAATCAACATCCACGTCGGGTCCTCCGGAAAGAAAGTCGACGGGGGAGCCCCTCCGGCAACAAAGTGGACCCCGTTCCGACTCCGGAACACGGGCGGGGATCCCCGCACCGAGTACCGTTTACCGCGACAGTGGAGAATGCCGATATCCGGCCCACTTTTGCCGGTAGCAGTGGAGCCCGATGCACGTTAAGCGCGGGAGTCGGTGCCGGCCCACTTCCCGTCGAACATCACCTCCCCACAATCGCTTCCACAAGGACCACATTCCACTTCCAGACGTGTTCCAGTCGTCGATCCGTCCCGTTCCCGAACCCAAAAGTCTCTGGAAGTCTGGACACCAGGAGACGCTAATGAAGTCATTCCACTGAATGGCACGTGGACGTTCTGGATTCTGGGCCGTTGAATAGTACGTACTACGTATGTACACCGGTTCAATTCGATGTGATGCAGCTTGACGACTGGAGCCGGTCTTTTCTCTACGTTACCTATGGAAGATGTAAACCAGAAGCCGGAAAGGGGCTGGCTAGAGATATGAGAACCGGATGCGAAGCCATTGTTTCTCACCGGTTGCGTATCGAAGAAGATTGAAAGGGTGACATGGCATGACATGATAGGTAGGTAGGTATTGCCTGGTTCCTATCTAGACTTTTGATACCGAACCGTTCGGTCTACCTACTACATACCTACCCAGATACCGGACGGACACTCTTCTTTATCTCCTCACTATTAGCTCCGCGCGTTAGACAGTCTACTAATCTATACTATCACCAGCTATCACTGCGTTATCGTAAATTCGACATCTGTGGTTGATAAAAGGTGTTCAATATCAGGAAGTCCCGGTGAAAATCTCAAACACGACTACGGGTGTCGGTCGAACCCCTACGGGATGCGTTCATCCCGGCCGTTTGGTAAGGGTGTTTGCCACCACCCGTCCAGTCAACACGCTTTCCGGGACGGGGGAGCAACAAGGGGATAGATACAATGAGGATCGGAACAAGGAAAAATCTCTGTTCTTGTCTCTTGTCGGTTCGGGGACCATGAATTAGGAGGATGGAGGAGAAAGAAGCGGTGAAATACTTGATAACCATGGATGGCTAGGGCTAGGTAGGAAGGAAAGAAGACTTGTTTGTGTCGGTGTCGAGTGATACCATCCAATGTCTTTCTATATCTTCACAACTCTCTGTCGTTGACATTCATTCCTTCGCTTGTTGAGCATTGTTATTTCCATAAAGAGTGTGTGTATACCTATCCTCCCTGCAAAGCAGTACTCTACTCGAGTCAACTACTGGATCTGTCACAAGGGAATCCTTTCTGTCTGTAGTCACTCGAACATTAATCACTTCGCCGTTTCTTTCTATCAGTTTCGTCAACACCAACAAAACATTAGAGCCGAGTTGTCGACTATGACGGCATCGCCAGAAGAAAAGACCGACCAGGTCGTCAACTCGAGTGACGAAAGCACTCACACTCAGTTCCCTTGTCCGAAATATTCATGCTCTCAGCCAATAGAGCTATCACCACAGTCTTTTGCTTCGAGGGCTTGGGCATACCTGAATGAAGATGTCCGTCCGTCACACTTTGCTGAGCTACAGCTTGTCTTGTTGACGTTTTGTATTGGACTTCAAGGTACGTTTCTTTCATTCCTCCCCCCTTCTCTTTTATCCGCCTCTTCACCCTCATTCCCTTCCATTTTCCCTTTTTCTCTTTTATCCTTCCTTTCATTTGCCCTCTTTCCCCTGTGTTTCTCTCGACTTCACCAATCGTCCCTCATGTCACCATCACCATCCACCATCACCATCACCATCCACCATGACCATCCATCCTCCCATACCTACACTAGGTACCTCAGTCTGTTCCCCCATCCCATGCTAACTCCATAACAACAACAAAACAGACGCAGTCTCCTTCCCCGACTTCCACGCCTTCGCCTCCAACCAAACCGGCAACACCGTCTTCCTAATGCTCGCCATCGCCCTGCCCGAATTCAACCCCTCCATGTTCATCACCGCCAACATCGGCTGCTCGCTCGGCTTCTTTTTGGGGAGTGCCTGGCTCACCGGCCAACTCGGCCACATCATCGGCCCTCGTCGTCGATTATGGCTGTTAGTTACCAACGCCATCCAAACTTGTTTGGTGTTCATCGCTGCTGGGTTGCAGTTCTCGTCAAAGCATACCAACACGCCCGGCAAGGATTTGTTTGCTAGTGGGAGTTTTGAGGAAGGGGAGTGGGATGCGGTTACTGGTCCCCGCACACTCATCTGCATTGCCCTGCTGGCCAGTGCGGCGGGGAGTCAGGTGGTTTTGAGCAGGAGTCTGAACATGACGGAGATCACGACGGCGATGGCGACGGCGGCGTGGTTGGATTTGGTTATTGATAGGAACCTGTTTAGGGGACCGCTCAAGAAAAATACGGGGCGGAATAGACGGGTGGCGTTCCTGGCTGCGTTGGCGGTGGGGAGTCTTTGTGGTGCGTATATTTATAGGGAGGTGGGGAGCGCGGTGGCGGTTACCATCTCGGGGGGAGGGAAGGCGGTGGTGCTGGGGATGTTTTTGGTTGCGCCGGGGGACAAGGGGAAGAAGGAGGAGAGGGATGTGGAGAGGGGGGATGTTAATGAAAAGGAGGGTGCTGTTAAGGGGGATGAAGGGAGTGGGAGTGGGAGTGATGAGGAGGTGGAAAGGGGACGGGGGGTGGAGGCGGTTTAGGGGGCTGTTGAGAGAGTGGCTTGTCTTTGCTTTGGATCATGAGCGTTTGCATGTAGATGGATGATTGCGTGGAGTTTTGGCGTTGGGTTGGATACCTAGTTTCTTCACTTGAACTTGATCGATACCTGGCATTAATGAAAACGAGCTGTTAGCGAGTGGTGTTTTGCTAACTGCTACCATGCAGTGATCATATGTCAACAGAAACGAAAAGGCATACCTAGAATGTAAAATCACCGCCTGATGAACACCGACTCTGATACTAGGCTGACTGGTCGCTCCAATATCACCCAAATTGACGCTTCTGTCCGAGAAAAGTGAAGAGAATCACGGCAGTGTGAGCGTCACTACCCCGGCTGGTTCCTCCTGACTTGTTCTGATCTGACTTTGATTCATCTCCCAGTAGCAAATGATATATGACATAAGTAACAAACTCCCATAAACGCCTTGTCTTGGTGGATGATCGCAACAATTGTGAAAAGATTACACCTCCCTTCTTCATCCCCTCAACCCCTCATTCCCTACTCTCTCCTCACTTAAAACTCAACAGCATCCCTCGCCCTCTTCTTCCTCGGCCCCACGACCCTGTCACTGACAACCTTGACGCCCTCCAGCGGCACATCCGCATCATCAAAGTCCTCATCCACCACATCCCTGCTCCTCTTGAGACCCTTCATCTTCCTCGTCTGCAACTCGCTGAGATCCAGCTTGCCCATATGGATTCTACCAATCTTGTCACCGATGCTATCCATGCTGATATTCTTCTTGGTGCGCTCCTCGGTGGTCTTGGGCTTGCGCATCGCCTCCTTGAGCATGTCGGCGTCGGGCTGCTGGAGACGACCAAGACGGAAGTCCATGCGGGGACCGTGCTCTTCGACTTCGACTCTGGGGAGCTTCTGGCCGGAACGCTTGGTGCGGATCAGGTAGGCGCGCAGGTGGAGGGTGGGTTTTGTTGAGGGGTCCGACGGGTCGGCGGAGGAAGTGGGCTCGTCGGCGGAAACGACGATGCAGTACTGAAGACCCTCGACGTCGATCTTGTCGGAGGGATCGCCGCGGAAGAAGTCGATGAGCATGGATTTGGCGGTGGTGAAGGCGTTGGCGACGGGGGATTCGCTGGGGAGATTGTTAGCTAACATTCACTCCTCCTTTTGTCATGAAACCGGGGACATACAAAGCAGTACCGGCGAACACCATCAAAGGCTTGGTGCCAACGGGAACCTTCTTGGTCTTGAACTGGGCGATGCTGCGGAAGGTCTCGGGGTCGAGGTAGAACTCGAGCATGTCGAGCATCTTGTAGTCGAAGGTGCGGCAGAAGGTGATGGTGTGGGGGCGCTTCTTGCTGCTGGAGCCGAAGAGAATGAGCGAGGTGTCGTTCTTCTCGGAGAAGAAGGTCAGGGAGCTGGCGTCCTCGAACGGGTGGACGGGGTTCTTCTTGTGGAAGCGCTTGGCGTGGGTTTGGCGCAGGGAGTAGAGATCTTGCATGGCATCTTGGGTCTGCAGACTGTGTTAGAGGCTATTGTGTATAGGAGGGTATGGAGACGACATACGACTTGGCTGCAGGTGGTGCCGCGAAGGAAGAGGGCGGTCTTGGGGTTCTCTTGGACCTTGGGGGCACGCTTCTCGAGCGCCCTCTTGGAACGGGCTGTCCGCGGCTTGCTGTGATGGGGGGAGGACTGTCAGCTATCATTCTGCGTATTGTGATGATCGATTGACGTACACTTGGCGGAGCATTTTGGAGGTATGATTATGCGATAACGGTAGTGGGTGAATTGGGTAGGTATCGCAAGGTGGTGATGGACAATGGAGGGAGTGGTGTGGACTGGGGACTGTTCGCGGGCGGATTCTCTCCTTCACCTGCAAACCGTCGTGATAGTCGAGCAAAGAAATTCCAGAACGGCGCTTATCGATAAGGGAGCTTGAGGTCAAAATTTTGTGGGGCGGGTGGGGTCAAGGTTGTCCACTCTAGTCCGCTCGTCCACTGGGTGCTGGCTTTCCCCTGCCTGTCGTTCAGGGGTTCCGTTCACTGTTTCCATTTACCAGAAACATTTCCTGTCATCTCATCACAGTTGGTCATGGAGCCAACCTCGAGCTGCTTTCCATGAGTATCAATAGTTGAGACGGTCTGAGCTGGCAAAGAGACATCACATCCCCGCCCGACTGCCGAGTCGACAACATTACAAAACTCTGGCATCACATTCACAATATCTCAAACCTTGGGAATACTCGGAATACACCAAGCCGACATCTTAGAGGACAAGTTATTCACACTACTTGTATGGTTGGTCTTGTTCTGCTCTAGTTCGAAACAACATTTCTCGAGTATAGCTTCCGGCGAATATCATCAATGCTTTCCTCATCCTACCACACTGGTTCTGTCTTTATCTGACACCGAGCAGAGCGGCTCCCAGCTGAGTTATACAGTCCAATACTGGTTTGTTTGTTGGCTCGAGACCTCTGGTCAACCTTCCTAGGCGTTTATATGTCTAATTGATCTTTGGGACAATTCGGGATAGATCTCGTCCAGTATACCAGGAGTACCAAGCTAACAAACAAACCAGCATTAGATTGTATGAAGCAGTAGAGACAACCTTACCTTAAAGGCCCAATACTAGCCCTGCCGTACTTGTATGTTCTACTATTATTTTCTCCCAGCGTTATCAGTTTTGGCTTAACCATGTGGTGGTCTTCACCCTCCCGTCTCAACAACTAACCCCGAATCCTCTGCATCTCGTCCAACCTATTGAGCAGCCCCCTTTTTTATTTACATAAAAACTGCCCCTACCCATACGACCTCCGAACCGCACATTCTTGTGCTCCTCCCTCCTGCCAGGCTGAAACCGTTGTACATGGTCGAGCTTTGGCACCTCTCGGCTCCGCCAAAGCCATCGGGAAGCTGCTTTCAACGGTTTGAAGAGGGCGATTGCATTCTCGTCAAGCCATTGTGCAGCAAGCTGTCCGAGGCCGATGATCGTTCGAGTGTTTGGAGAGTTCGGAAACTCGGGCATAAGGACAAGGCAAAAGTTCTCTTCGATAAAAGTTCCACGCAGCTTCCCGCGACCGAGAAGGCATTGGGATGCAAGGCGCAAACTGCTGTAACTCGTGAACTTCCTCCGGATCTGCGTAGGCGTAAGCATGCTCCCGTGAGGTATGGTGGGAGAGGGAGGTTTGGACCGGGTTGTTCCGTGCAGGCGCTCGGGGACAGACTGGATGGTGAGTGGCTAGTTAGAGTAAACTGATAATCAGTTGTGAGGTTGATGGGAAGGAGTCATGAGGAAGGGAGGTTATCGATGATCATGCCATCATGATACCGTCCTAAAAAGGTTTTGGTGGCCCACTGTTGTGGTTTTTGTTTTTTTCAAATGGTGTCAAGAAAGTGATGGCAAAAGCATTTTGGTCGCTTGGCGATGGGGCTTTGTTCATGGACAAAAACATCAACTCTCGGGATTGAGTGTTTGCCCAGCAATAATGCCAGAGACCTGTCACGCCTATCCCTTCACCCAACACAACACCATGACATTTCTCTACAGATTGAACCTTCGAAAAGAAAAAAGTTCATCATCGGTGTTATGAAAAGAAACACAAAAAGTGACAAAACGCAGAAAGTCAAAAAGAGAATTTGATCTCCCTCGGTAAGGATCGAACTTACAGCCTCCAGATTAACAGTCTGACGCGCTAGCCAATTGCGCCACGAGGGATATCCAGATGTTGTTGTAAGTGCGTCCAAATCTTTAGCTTATATACACAACTCAAAGAGTGTGCACCTTTTTAACATTTTGCGCCTCCTCCTTTTTTGGAGGATCATTCTTTTTGTGCCTCATGTCTTTCTTCTCGATGTGTTCATTGGGATAGTGGATGTCATGTCATGATTGATGAAGATGTATTGCACTTCAGAGGGTTAGGGTCCTTCTTCCACTTCTTGTACCACTCGTTCCCCCCTCCCCAATACCTACCTCCGTCCTCCTTGTGCATCAGTGGTGCCAGTTCGTGCCAGTGTACGGAATCCCGAATGCTGTGACATCCAACTTTGTCTCACCTCTCGTTCCATTTTCCTCGGAAGAAATTTTTTTTTTTTTCCTCTTGCGCTCCTGCTCGTGCTTTGACCCTGTTGGACGATGATTGGGTTTAGCTATCTTGCTCTTTCTTTGTCTTCCACTTAACTGGGTGCCAACCGAGTTGCTGACACTGACTGGTCTCACCACTTTGCTTCTCTCTTGTCTCTCTCTGTGAGCTGTGAGCCTGTGAGCCTGTGCCGTGGGCGGCCGCGTATCTCACCAAAGGAAAGAGGATTTTGGTTGGGAAGACATACATGTTCAGCTCCATTCGAAAGAAGCACTGCATAGCGGTGCTAGTATAAATGTGCTGAGAAGCAACTCGATGCTGCTATCACCGAACTACTCATGTATGTCCCGTTGACTATTCAGGGAGACGTATAGAATCCACGGGTATGTGTAAACCCGGTATGGACTACATGTTGGCATTGGCACACCGGAAAAGCCATCTTTACCACGTTCTCGCTGATAGACGTGGGGGTTACATCCCAACCTCTTCTCCAACAGCATTCTCACTGGTCACAGTCTTTGAAAATCCGATACCGAGTGGAAGATCTTTCATCGTAAGTTTTCTCCCCACGTTTTTGGACGTATCTGTTTGGTTTCTTGCTATCCGGCACTAGTGTAGCAATAATGGACTTCCCGAATGTCTCGGGTTCCAAGCTGCATCGCGCTGCCCGTGTCGTTAGTCGTCACATACAACTCACATGTGTGTGTGTGTGTGTGTGGCATCCCTGGACATTGGCCGTACATATCCTGGTTTTGGCCGTATAAAAACAGCCTTGAGAGTGAGGAGACAGATCTGTGGACGCAATCGCGCGGCTCGTTGTAAATGTCTGCTGAACTCTCTAGTCAAGAACCAACGGGAAACAAGCTGAAGACGGCATTGAACCAACCGACCGACCGATGATCTCAACAAGAGGCCATCAAGCCGCATTTCCTTCCTGCACGCTTTTTGCATTTTCTGCCGTGCTCTCAGAACTTCAGCTAACAGTTCCGGTTGTACGACAGCTGAGACTGCCAGACCGCTGAGGCCGAGTAGTAGTGACTACTTTAGGCCAGACCGCGTGGCCTGGAGATGGCCTGGTTGTAAGTATCCCCAAGTAGGTACCTATCCCCAAGTTACAATGAGGCGGCATTGCCTTCGGGTGAAGAAGATGTGTGGCGCTGTGATTGTGCAGTTTGTAAGTCCTAGGCTCAATCTCTGCCGCAGAAAGTGGCTTGCATGGAAATTGAAAAGACGCCTTCGAGGAGGCTACCCGGTCAGGTCGGCACATTGTATGTGATGGAAGGCTACAGCGAATAATCAAGTGGAAGGCGTATCGCGGTCTTCGGCATGAGGCACTTCCCAAATTCCCAAGACCCAAGTGCCGGCCGACCTCCAAGGAGACCTTTTTCAAGCGCATAACCTGACCGCTTTTCCCAAGTTTAAAGCAGTGGATATGTTTCAGACGAGTTAGACAACACAGCACGGGCGAGCGGCGACTGCTTCGGCAAGCGAAGGGGTAGCCTGTGAATATCCTTTTTTTCTCTTGGATATCGGAGTTTTGTGGTCCTTTGGATTCCTGGAAAAGAGAAGTTCGAGTACACGTGGTTTATCGTCGCACCTAGACTCGCTCGAGTGGTGCCGGATCACCGTTACCCGGGCTTTAGGAGGTTTCCGGTCGGTTACCCTTTACTGCTTTTTCCCTGTGTTGTGTTGTGTTACGGATCCCTCTCTCGTGTTAGGTTGTGCACCACAGACCTAGGGAACCCATGAAGAAGCTAGAGAAGCGCTGTTGGTCAGAGATATAGTGAACCCGCTCGACCGACGAAGCGAACCGTTGTGTTTCTGTCAGAAGGTTTTTTTTTTTTTTTTTTGATAGCGCCGTCCCGTAGATTCGTAAGCGAACAGATCATTGCAGCGGTGGTCTGAAGGAGCCTTGGGAGCCAACTAGGGATGAGGGAAAGGGCCCGTGCTGTCGGAATCGGAAATCGTTAGTTTGGTGTTGTTGAGGCCAAGTGAAAAGAGCGGGTCTCTTGAGTCCTTCTGTGTCTGTTCATCCTCCTTTTGATGAAGAACTGTGACTTTGTAGGGATTTGTTGCCAGCCTGCCCCCTGACCGGTGTTGATGACGTAGTTGATAATTTTAGCGGTTACTAGCGGGGCGCATCATATCATATCATCCGTGATCCTTCTGGAAGACTTTGCATCGATCCAGGACAGCGTTTCGATAGTCGACAAGCAAAGAGGGTTTTATCGTTGGCGGATGGGGTGAAGATGGGCAGATGGGAAAGAGCCAGAGATGTATATTCCCCATATCAGGATGTGCATTTCCATTGTCGATTCCTATCCAAGGGGAGCCTCGGTTGTCCTGGGGTGTGGTGCCCGTGGTGGGTGTGTTCTCTTCCAGATCGACGATCGAGAGTCGTTGACTTCGTTCCACTTTGACAGAAAAGTTACAAAGCTCGCTGTTTCCAGGAACCCGTTTTGAAGCCGATAAATGCAACTCAAGACCGGACTGTTCGCTCCGTATCGCACTTCACCCACTTCGGAGGAACGCGCTAGATCCGGACAGCCCTTTTTCATGTAGGCAACATCAAAAGAAAGAAAAAGAATTGGAAGAGAAAAATCTGTCCATCAACACATTGACAGCGCCCGGTGTTCTTGATCCGAAAGTTGGCTCTTCAGGTAATATCCACGCCTTGGCGGCCACCCCCAAAGTAGATTAGACCCCCGAGCCCCCAAGAGCGGCCCATCGCCTCCGGTGTCCATCTTGAAGCGGTCTTAGCACATGATGGGATCCACGCTTCAGCATGCTTTTACGGGTATTTTTACGCTGAGGAGATGCAAGAAAAAGCGAGGTGCAGCCCACTGTAGCCTCACCTCACATCTCGTGGGTTGTGGTGGTGTCTCTTCACATTGACTTCAGCTGGCGTGGTCAAAATGATGGTGTCGCTAAAATGTCGCCGAGAGTGGCGAACCCATGTCCAAAATGGGGACTCCGTACTATGTATAAGTACGCGGTAGTTTATATTTACCTGGTGCTTGGAAAATCATTGCTCATCTCGACAGTTTTGGGATAGGGGAGGTCTGGGCAGATGAACCATTGATCCTGCATCTGCACAGAGCCCGATGAGAGGACCCGACACTTTGATAGTTCGTCCGAATATCGCATTCCCGGCGTCATAGCAACGGTCAGACTCAACTCTTTGAAGGCATCAAGTTGGCCGTGCCTGCCTGTTGTCAAGCTGTGCAGTTGGATGACAGGGAAAGCGCCGCCAAATTGTACTTGTAGACGAATGCAGTCCCCACTGCGGGAGCGCGAGTCGTGTTGATTGGGCCCGCCGAGCTTGTTGAATTGGAGAATGGGCAAGAATGGGGCTCGTAAAAGAGACCTGAATTGGGAAGAGCGAGTGGACGGGAAGTGCAAGAGTCCGCTGCTGTTGCCGGCTCCTCCTCCTTCCTCTCCATGCCTCTGCTCCAGTCTCAATCTCGATTCGTTGTGTGTTTTCTCTTCGTCTTCGTTTCGTTCTTGCCTCACTGACAGTCGCAGACAGACAGTTGAAGCTGACGGAGAGTGTTTGACTTTTTTCTCTTCATTTCCCTAATTCTCTTCTTGTACATACACCCGACTTTCGTTGTTAGCACTCTCAGCTCCTGATCACCTCATTTCGGGAGATTATCGCATTGCCCTGTCACTCCGTTATACAGATCGCTACCAACTGCTGTTATAGAACAAGGAGAGAGAGACGACCCCACCTCTCACTTCGACACAGACACTCTCTCTCACAAGAGAAGCTACCAAAGAGTGAACAGTCGATAGGTACAACGGTACCTCCGGAAAATCAAGTCTCAGGTCCCCGCCCACCCACTATACAACCTGGTACCTTCTCTGCCCCTGGATTACTGTGGTACACCATCCACTGCCAATCATCAGCCATACCGCCCACACCTCTTACAACCACTATACTCTCTGCCGGCCAGAGACAGCTTCTCAAAACCCGAACCCGACCGTTACTATAACGAACCATATCGCCTTGTGATAATACAATGTTCTAAGAAAACAAGGCTGCCAGCATAGCTGCAGTTCAGACGGGCCTTTTCCCTGATTGCTCGACTGCGACTACTATAGCTGCCAGGTTCCGGCAGAGGCGGCACCCAGTTCTCTAAAGGAAGACACTCTAACCATCCCCCTGTTACCTCTACCTACCTGGTCCAAGTTCCAATCTCGAGGTCCCCCGTCTCGTCTGGCTGCTGGCTCTGTGCTGCTTCCAAGGTTGCTGCTTGCTGCATTTTACATCCGTCAGTTCACAGCGCCACCGCAGATTACCTATCCTCATCAATATCACCATCAAGTATACGGTACCCACGCCGCCGGCCCGTATGGATATCGCGAGAACGGTACAAGGCAGCAGGGCCACCAAGTCGCCCACTAGTCCAACAGATACCCATACCCACAGGCTGTCCACCCTCTTTACCTCCGGCCGCTGCAACTCTCTTCCCAGTCGCATCGATTTTCTCAACTCTCCCACCAGTCCCACCAGTCCCATCTCCCCCACGAGCGTTCCCCCGACCCTCCCCGACCTCAATGTTCCTCTTACACTAGACCTTGCTGCAGAGCTTGGACGGTCTTTTAGCATTGGCTCCAAGATTGAGCCCTTGCGTGGTGTGGCCCCGAAGGAAACAGTCGTTACAATCAAGGACACAGAGCCAGAGACACCGTCCGCTATTGCGCCCGTTGCGAGCACAACCGAGCCGACCACAGCGAAGACGACCACGACCACGACCACGACCACGACCACGACCACAACCTCGACGACCCCAATCATCCCCCCCAAGTCGCCAGCGCGAGAACCTCTTCCTCGGAGGAAATCAATGATTCATCGTCCGCGCTCATGGATGCCTGGTTCGGCCACGACTGTGATCTATGACGCCAAGGAGACCGCCGAGGACCGTCGCACCAGAAAATTGTCGAAACCGAATCATGCTGGCGGGGCGCAGGAGGCTGCGCAGGAGTCAACAAAGGAATTGCAGAGACCCAAGACGGCCAATGTAGAATCCTCTGCCGATTATGCGAAGCGCTCGTGGATTTCGACTTCGAGGTCTCCGGAACCACCCACAAAAAAGCTCGAAAAACAATCGCCGGCGGAGGGACACAGTGAAGGCCGGGGACGCAGGACGTCCAGAGGATTGCTCGGGCTTCCACTTGGCAGTAAGAGGGATAAGTCTGCCGGGGGTGTTAGTGGGAGCGCCACAGGGGCAGGTGGTGACGCAGATGCCAACCGGCCACAAGAAAGTAGCCGGAGCCGAGCTCTACAGCGGGCAAGCACCATTGTGGCTCGGATGAAACCGCGACCCCAAAGTGTCTTTTTCAAAAGCTCGTCATCCACCTCGGCATCAGCTTCATCTGTCAACAGCTCCAAATCAAGTGACATTGACAGCAACGCGTCCTCCGGCATTGACACCACTGCCTCTACCACCACAAAATTGTTGCAAGCAAAGGATGTCAAACACAATGTTTTCAGCAGCAACAGCGACGCCCCATCAACAACCAGGAATTCGTCTTTGGACACTATTATTACAGCAGCTACCTCCGAAAACGCATCCCAGTCAACCGCAGACACGAGCATCACCATGCCACACCCTTCGTCGGGCGACCCGCTATGGTCGACCTTCCGAACGCTCGACAGCGAGTTTTCAAAATTCGTGGCCAAGAATTCGACCCCCATGCGAATGAATGTAATACGAACGACGCTTGTACCTTTCCTCCGCAGCACGTCACACCACCCATCCAACTCGAACACAAAGCAGCTCTCCCCTGAAGACTTTGACCGCCGAGCAACAATATTGAACAAATGGTGGAACGGCCTTTTGGACATGTTGGATGCTGGGCAGTCCAGGCTGGAAAGAAATGCTTTCGCCGTGTCCATGGGCACCGGCTCCGCGATGCCCCCTCCTCCCTCGTTGGGCACTAACCTACAACCCGTGGCAGGTGTTGACAGGCCGATGTTACTCGAAACCATCACCATTATCATGATGCGCCCAGAGTGGAGGTCATGCACCAGCTCTTTCCAGCCGCTATCACAACGTTCGCCAGAGGAGCGTGTTCGCGCCCGATCGTCGACACAGTCCACCGCAGACGAAACCGAGTTGGCCGCCATTGACTTTGTCGCCCAATCCGCTGAGCATAATGTCCGGACCATGTTCGTCAACAGCCTTACCAGGCAGATGGCTCTCGTGGTAGACAAGATGTCACTACGACATGCGCCTCTTAGCTTGGTCAACTGGAGCGGCAAGGCATGCGCCTATGCCTTTTTCTTCGTTCCTGGGATAGCGGACGTTCTCGTGCGTCTTTGGCAATTGAATAGCGATCTTCTGCGCCGGACCTCTGACGAGCTTGGGCTTCCAAGGAGGAGTAAAGGCGAGAGTGAGGATATTGTGGCGCTCTTCCCACCACATCTTGGGAAGTTGGGTTGGACTTCGATCAAGACATTGGGCAACAAGTTGCGCCTGGCAGCGAAGCTACCCCTAAACCAAGCCAAGATTGCCTGGCACGGTCCCTGGGTCTCCAGATGGCGAGGAGGCGATACCGACTTGTTCTACGTTTTCTGCAAGTACTATCACATCCTTTCTGCCGACTTCATGCCGGAAGGCCTTCCTCTAGTTGAGAAGGCACGTGCCCCAGCGTTTGTCCTGGTGCATGCTCAGCTTCTCTCGACTTTGGATGGCGCGATTCACCGTCAGGCCTCTATGGACGCATTGCTAGGACCACCGATCGCTGATAGTCTCCACGGCACCGACGCCACCATGACCGGCGCTACTGGACTCTCGCTACCTAGCAATGTCTTGAAGGGGATGGACGAGAACAGACTTGTTGCCTTGCTGAAGGACATGTTATCAGAGAAGTCTGTGGTCGGATCCGAGATCAGGCATAATTTTGCCGAGTCATTCATGGCCGTTATGGTCGCCGCGACCAAGAGGACTTCAAGATATGAGCATGCCGCTTGCTTCATGCTCTGCGACTTCCTCCAGGAGGCGCTTACGGCGCTTAGCACATACCAGGACAACCAGAACAACAGCGTCGCCACCTCGCCTATCCAGGAGTCGATGCCCATCTCCGCCTTCGATACCCCTAGTTCGCTCGTTAACTACATTGACTGGCCCTTCTGGTTCGAGGTCGGCAAGATGATCATGGATTCCAACAATACTATGTCCGAGATTCGCATCATCTCATTCATCTACTCAGTGTGGGATGCTATCGTTGCTGATCCGGCACGTAAGGAAAGGCTATGCTGTGAGTGGTTGTTGACGGAGGAGACGTTTGAGAGGTTCTTCAATCATTGGTGTCCCATGGTTCGCGCCTACTACATGCGTCTGCTGTGTTGGCGTATCTGTAGGGACACTGGAAGTGTTAATGAGTTGGATAAGTGAGTTTCCCCGCCTCCCCTTTCGTGACTGTCTTTGTACTAGTCTGCTAACCATCGCATAGCAAAATCTTCCTGCTTGTTGCACAGCGATTGAGAACTGTCTGGTCGCATTACCTCTGGATGTGGCAGACTGCTGAAGCTGAGGGTCGTATGCCCCCTTCAACAGCGCCGTGTCTTCCAACGCCCGGCAAGCGATTCTTGATCATCCGAAGCGAAGTTCAGCCGGCGCAAACGCCCTTGTACCTTGGTTTCGACTCCTTCACCAGCTCCTTCCCAGGAATGGATGGCGTCTCCGACTACCAGTTCACCAATAATGATAACAGGTCGAGCATGAGGGTCGAAGAGACTTCCAAGAAGAGATGGTCTCTCCTGGGCAAGGTTCTCTCCTTTACCGCTTCGCAGGCCCACCTACCTAATGGCGCCACAAACGGTAAGCGGACATGGGATGAAGAACTCGAGCAAGCTAGGCGCGAAACGGCTGCGGCCGCTGCAGCTCGGGCTGGCCCTCCTCCGCCTCCGAAGCAGAACTCCTCAATGAACGCCAAGCCGTCATCCGACTCGGCTTCATCAACCGGATCCGCCCCTGTCTATGATGCGGCCACCTTTGTGTTCCGGTTCGCTCTCACATGGCAGGGCACCGTCGGTCCCCAGCGCGACATGATCCTGTACCGACCTCGCCTTCCAGCTCCCGCTCAGTCCAGGGTTCTCACCCGCGCCATCGTCTCCTCCGATGGATCTCCCAACCGCGAGATCTACAGCAGCCCCGGCTCGCACCTCATCAAGCCCGGTCTCCCACCCGTCACCCGTACCTACAGCGGACAATCAGAAACAGGCCTAATCAACCACGTCCGCAACGCTCGTCCTCTCTCCATCGAAGCCTCCCCACCTCCCCCAGAAAGAAACCCAAACCGCCGCCGCTCAACAAGCATCAACCTCGCAATCCACAACGGTGTTGGCGAGTCTGATGATGAAGGCCCGCTAGTCAAGACTCGCTCTGCTGCAAGCATGCAAGACGGCAGTCCTTTTGCACGCGCACGTTCTCCTCCTCCTACTGGGTTCGACAGCGAAGTCAACCGTTTGAACCTCGCCGTCCGCGCTCAGAAGCCCGTAGGGATCTATGCCTCGGGCGCGGTGTATTCTGGCAGAGCGCTGGCGGAGTGGAGTCTGGTGGTGAGCGAGTGCAATAGCTTTGTGGATCGGAGGAGGGATGAGGGTGTTTTGGGGCTGAGGGATGTGGAGGTGCCGAACTTGGGGGTAGAGGGGATGGGGTTGAAGAGAGGGGGGTAAGAAGCCCCCGACACAGACGCCGTAATGGCTGTAGCGAGCATGCGGTGGAAAAGCTGGCTGGAAGGAAGCCGGAATGACTTTGGAATGACATTTCTCTCTGGATTTTGGATTTGTCGGTTGTTGAGATACCCTCCCCTTTTATCCCTTTTAACGTTCATTTTCAACAATGGCGGCACACCTCTTTGGACGAGCATTGCCTGGCATGGCATGGGGTTTGCCTGCATCATCATCATCATTATCACCATCATCTATTACCATCATATACCCACCCACCCTGTCTGTCACTACAACGTCAACATATTTCCTTATCACCCAACAAGCAACAAAACTGGCGTTTACGGTCGAGTTACATATCTCCTTGATCACCTAATTCGCTTCATCATCATACTTGGACGCTTGCTTCGATCTTCTTTCATCTTGCTGCATAGATCACACAAAAACTTCACCCATCTTTACATACTTGTTCATATACACACGGCTGGGTTTCACGCCACACCGTCCGGGATTTTTTGCGATATATACAAACACATAACACATATCTCGTAGCTTCTCATTCTGTTCATAGTTCTCGCACGGCGCAGGGCTGGCTCCTTTTGCTTTTGGCTTCTCGGTTGAAACTTGGCAAGTTTGTGGGTTTTTGTTCATCCTGTTCTTAGAGAGGGGTTGAGATCGGCTACGTCCGTCCATAGCTTGATGCGCTTCCGAGGAAGCAGCAGTATTGTTTATTGGTGATCACCAAGTTTGGGGATTAATTGAACATGTTTCACACTTCAAATCAATAGTAGGGTAGTAAGGGCGGCATGGTGATAACTTTGGTTCTGGGAGAAGGTGCTTGGTAGTATGGCATTGTGATGCCCCTGGATTGGGTGCGGTGATCATAGGTGGTCATGGAAGGAAAAGTAATGGTGGTAATATACTTGTTGAACACATTTGAGCGTCAACTCAGCGAAGAGATTTGTGTGTGCTATATAATTATATGCCGTGGTATTTATATAGGACGAAAGTTTCTATGGTTACACAAGATCTTGTACAATTAACGGCTATCTTGTATAGTTATCGGCCTCGTCTAATTCTTACCGGCAAATATACTTGGATTCTCACACCTCTACTTTCAACTTCCTCCTTTTCCCATCTTTCCATTCCATTCATTTTCCTCCACCATACCACCTTCACCAAACTTATTTCTACAAGGAATCCTCATTCAATATATTACCGATATACTTGCAAGTACGCATGCCTAAATCGCAATATCTTCATTGCCTCCATTCGCTGCCCCAACTCTCAGACCGGAGATATTTACATTACCACAATCTAATTTCCCCATCCTTCCTTTATTTTCCGCAAATCCCCATCCTCCATCCTTTTATCCCAATGAATTCTCAAAATGACTCCTCCCTCAATCCCGCCTTTTCGCCGCCAGTTACGCGTGGGCCAAATATCGGATTGCATTGCGTTACGAGCGGAGACGGTGAGCGCCTGCGGAGGGGCGAGGGTCCGTTCCGCGGTCGGATAGTCAGGTCTGGATCACCTCCGAGCCGGGAATGAAGGGGAGGTGAGAGATGGGTGATGGAGGAGACGTGGAGGGGGAGCTAATTGAAGGTGAGATTGGTTCTATGCTTTCACAACTTCACCATCTTGGGAGAAACCTTGTTTTGGCGAGACCTTCTTCGGCGACGAGTACCTGTATACTGCGGATATATTCACTCGGCGACTTCAAACTGACCTGGGCGGGACGAGGTATGTGATATACGGGGGAGTCAGTACTTTCATTAGCAGCAGCGACCTAGCTGCCGAAGACTAATAGGCAGACAAGACACAGCAAGCAAGAGAACAACCTCGACCACCGAGAATATTAACATGTTGGCAACCGAGCTCACGATCTAAAAAACCTACCATCTTTTTCGACAGCAACGATTGGCAGGCTTGGTTCCGTCTGACTTTGTTCTTCGTTTGGAGAGAAACCTTGCCCTGGCCTTGATATCATCGGTCACCAGCACAACGCAGGCCCCTGCGAATTCAAACGACCTGGAGACGGGAGCTTTGCGACTAGGTAAGTTTGAGATATCTTTTACTTTGCGACTTCTCGACGGTAATAGCAACAGCGGCAACAGCCAGAGCAGCAACAGCAACAGCCAAGGCAGCAGCAACAACAGAAGTAGCAGCCGTAACAACATTCACCCATATCCTGCCCAATTCTTCGATAAACCCAAGTCCAAATCGAAGCCGCTCAGCCCACCGAAACATCAATCTTTCCTCCCAATCCATCAGCCGCGCGCAAGCTGCTTCAAGGCGAGGCATCTGCTGTGTAATCCCTTCTTGACGCGAACTTCCGCGTCCGCGACCATTCCCAGTCCAAGTCCACATCAAAGTCCTGGTGCCCTGGAGAGCTTTGCGACCACGAACAACGACGGACAGGGACAACATTGGCAAAAGTAAAAGCAAAGCTCTGATAGAGCCATCGTTCCCAAGGTCTCCAAGGCCAACGAAAGCCAGCTCAAGCGCTGTTGTCAACAGCCCAGTCCCTCAACGGGTGAAGGACGAATCGACTGCGGATGGACGATATTGGTCAAGGCGCAGCTGCTTGGAGATCGAAATCGTTCCACCTCTTCGCCATCTCCTACAAGACGACAAGAGAAGCAGAGAGAAAGAAATAGTTTCTTTGATCTCGACGTGTTGTTGCAATCGCCAATTATCAAATTCACTTGCTTTACCACTGCACTAACACTTACACGCAGCAAGTTAAGTGCGTCACTAACAGTGGGTAGGTGCTTTGGCATATGCAGATAAGAGTTTCCCTGCCGAAACCTGCACTAACCTAGACAGCGCAAGCACCTGACGGCGCGTTTCGTGTGGGGGGTGTGTGTTTTTGTCGCGCCATGGCGGAACGGGAAGGAAGCTCCTGTACGAGTTCGAATACCCCACCGCCGCAGCAGAACACGTCTGACACGCGATCCAATCAGTTGTCGTCGTCGTTGACGTCCTCTGGAAGTAGCAGTAGCAGTAGCTCCCGGTCGTTGTTGACCTCCACGTCCACTTCTGCGACTTCCTCGGCCCAAGCCCCAGTGCCTTCCACTTTTAGTTCGTCGCTGTCGTCGTGGGTGCCGCAATCCTTGAAAGTTCTTTACCATTTCACTGCCGGCTCAGTTGCTGCCTCGGTCGCGAGCGGTGGTGAACCTACAGTGCTAAATCCCAATGCGTCCGGCGGCGTGCTCGGCCGGTTGCTTACAAGTTCGACAGCGCAATCCACGCTCATGACGCGCAACAATTTGGGGGAGCAAGTTTCTTGGTTAAAGAGATCGGGAAATACTATTGCCATTCCTCAGGGGCCTGTATATCCTGCTGCGACGAGTGCCACAACAACCGCGATCGAGGACGATTTGTTATATCCCACTCCGGCTGTCACCAACCCAAGTCTTGGAGGAGGAGGAGGAAGAGGAGGAGGAGGACCTTCACAGCAAAGAACCTTTGCGCCAGTGTCAGTCCAACAACCACTGGGACCACCACCACCACCACAACAACAACAACCAACTCCAAACCCAACCTTAACCTCAACTCATGCGACTTCGAGATACACGAACTCCACACTTGGAACAAACACATCCTCGACAAATGACGCCCGACCCGCTACACGCCAACAGATTGCCCCGGAGGTAGCATCGACGGATCAGGATACAGTTGGAGTTGGAGGAATGGCGAAGCTCTCGGTCAAGAATAACCTGCCACGGCCGCACTTGGTCTCCTTGTCGTCGACGGGGTCAGGGTCGGGATCTAGGTCAGCTTCCGCTAAGCATGGAAGTACCAGTTCCAGTACCTTTGATCAACAACAACAGAAGCGCCAGCGGTCGCAATCAGAAGCACAACAACAACAGCAGCAGCAACAGCAGCAGCAACAGCAACAACAACACCAACAAGCACGGCAACATGTACATACTACATATGCACAAAGACCCCAACCAACACCCCAACAACGGCCACCCCAAAACCTACTCACACCTGCTTCAACCACCGGCGCCAGCGTCGGCCCGCTCCAACGCGCATACTCGGCTTCGTTAGCTTCTCGACAGTCCCCCTCGACCAATTTGATCCGTCCAAAGGCCGACTCTCCAGCTCCCCATGCTCTACATCTCAAGAACAAGAAAAACCTCCGGCATCCCGCGCCCACGCCCGACAGTCCTCTCGTGGACGACGACATATTCTCCGACGCCGTTGATCTTACCGAAGAACTCGATCATGACGACAGCAGGTATGACCACGATCGCAACGACAAAGACAAAGACCAGCACACCGACAACGGCAACACAGTCGCTTCGAGTTCGCTAATAGGGTTTGGCGATGACAAGTTACTATGGCGCGAGGACTTTGCTGAAAGAGCGGATCCCGTGGATGAAAGAGATGGGAGCAGGCCTCGCCAGGTCAAAAAGCGGAAGATATCAAATGACTATAACATGAAGGATGAGGATGTCTCGCTCTTTGACGACGATGATGAGGAGGATGAGTTTATGGATATTAATAAATTGGTTGAGGGCGATCGGGAAAGTACGCCAAGGCCGAAGGCTACATCGCGGTCTGTGTCGACAAGGCTGCCGCCAACGGTAGCGCTGCAAAGGGGTCGGTCTCCTAAGAGGAGGGAGGCTTCGTTTGAGAAGCGCACGACCACCAAAAACCAGCAGGCTGAAAGGGATGACGAGCCGTCGTTTCTCTCGAGTCCGGATGTCGACAACTCCCGCAAGCGAAAGTCATCTGGATCTCCGAAAGGTCTGAGGACGCCAAGACCGCAGCCGAAGCAGACGGAAGAAGTCCCAGGAACGACCACCGCCAAAAAGCCAAGGCGCAGTGAAGTTATGGACTCGGAGGATGAGGCCTTCACTCCTCTTTCTGCTGGGTCGCTGCCTAGGAGTGCCGAGTCTTTCAAAAGCGGTGGGACCACCACACGTGAATTGGGTTTGGACGAAGACACGGTTATGGACACGCCTAGTCGGCCGCCTGTCGAGTCTACTCTGCCAACTCTAGAGTCTGTGGAAAGTCGACCACCACCGCCGTCCATGGATCTTCCATCACGGAAACCGCTGGAGCCGTTGAACACGCCGCGCAATCAGTTGCTTGAGTCGGTGGAAAGGCCAACACAGCAGCCGTCGGTTGGACCAAGTTTCACTGCGCCGAGTACTATCGGACAGAGTTTTGCGCAAAGCAGTACACTCGCTGAAAGCTCTCTGCCGCCATCAATGCCGCCACCAAGTGAAGACCCCCTCAACACAAGGGAGAACAGCAACTTTGAGGAGTTTGATTACAAGCTTCACAAACCCCTTCTGAAACTTTTCGTTGACAGGCCCACCATCTTGGAAAGAGAACTGAGCGCCGTTAACAACGAGCTTCAGGAGAACATGGTCAAGCTGCGGGACTGCCTGCGACTGCCCAGGGAAGAAAGAGACAGGGCACGCGAAGAGGTGAAGAAGGAGAAGGAAATGCTCAAGCGACGAGATATCGCGCTCAAAGCCCTTCAAGAAGAGCACAAGTCGTACGTCAAGAAAAGACAAGAGCAAGAATCCATCAACGATGAAATTGTTCGCGCTTATGCGGAAGAAGACGAGGCTTACGAAGAGCAGCTGATGGCCCAGGTGGACAAGTTGAATGATGAGGTTGAGGCTATCGAGAGGAGTCTGACGAGGAATATCGTTGCGGCTGGGATTACGGAGAGGAGTTTTAACCTCAAGGAGGAGGAGGAGGAGAGGAAGCCGATCATCATCGCGACTCCGACGCCTTCGAGGAGAACTGAGGCCCCGGTTCTGCCGACGACGGAATACCATAATTCTCAGCAGGTCATATTGCAGACTCAACATCCTGCAGTGCAGCAGGCTGCTCACCGGATGCCACCACCTCCGACGCCGAGTTTTCAAACAGCGCGCCAGACACCGGCCTCGTATCAGAGCAGACCGACTAATACCTCCTTTCCTGATATCTCGGCGGAAGAAGCAATGATGTTCGACGAAGAAGACCCCTTCATGGAACAGCATGCCCCACCTTCTGCTCCCTTCCAGGCAACCCTTCCTCAGCGCAACAGCCCGTTCAAAACTGCACCATCCAAGCCCGTCCACGGCCACGATTACTTCGACGACGAGGACGACGACGCCGACCTCCTGGCAGCAGTGGACAGCGTCGAGACTTATACTTCCACGGCCACCACCAACAATCAGTTACGATCACGCTCGGTGATGTCGACATCCACGGCGACCACGATCAAACCGAGGAAACGGAACGAAAATGCCAATGCCAAGAAGGCCAAGTCGCTGCAGGCAAAGCTGTCGATGCCGCCCGAAAAGATGAAGTATGCATGGTCCAATGATGTGCGGAAGGCGTTGAAGGATAGGTTTCGGATGTCGGGGTTCAGGGAGAATCAGTTGGAGGCTATTAATGCTACTTTGGGGGGGAAGGTGAGTTTTCTCTGCCCCATGTCTCGTCGAATTGGAAAAAGAATTGCCTTGGGAAGGAGGGAAGGAGAGAATATCGCTGACTAGAAACAGGACGCCTTTGTGTTGATGCCGACTGGCGGTGGCAAGTCTCTGTGCTATCAGTTGCCGGCTGTAGTCAAGAGTGGGAGGACTCGCGGTATCACTGTCGTGATCTCCCCCCTGCTAAGTCTGATGCTGGATCAAGTCAACCATTTGGCAAATTTGATGATCCAAGCTTACGCCTTCAACGGAGACATGAATTTAGAAAAGCGCCGAATGGTGTTTCAAAAGCTCGATGCTGAGCATCCTGAGCATGAAATCCAACTGCTTTATGTCACCCCGGAAATGGTAAGCAAGAACCAGCAGTTCGTCAACAAGATGAGGGACCTCTACCAGAGGAACAAACTGGCCAGAATCGTTATCGACGAGGCTCACTGCGTCAGTCAATGGGGCCATGACTTCCGACCTGACTACAAAGCTATAGGAGAGTTTCGTAAAAGGTTTCCCGGAGTCCCGGTCATGGCATTGACGGCTACGGCAACACAAAACGTGATCTTGGATGTCAAGCATAACCTGGCAATGGAGAACTGCCAGACTTTCTCCCAGAGCTTTAATCGCCCGAACCTTTACTATGAGGTCAGGGTGAAGGAGCAGAATCTGATTGGTCGAATTGCCGAGTTGATTCGGGAGAAGTATGACGGCCAAACGGGTATCATCTACACTTTATCAAGAAAGAGTGCGGAGAACATCGCCAAAAACCTCCAGGAGAAACACCGCATCAAAGCCAAGCACTACCATGCCTCCATCACCACCGACGAAAAGATTAAGGTCCAACACGAATGGCAAAGCGGCGAAGTCAAAGTCGTTGTAGCCACCATCGCCTTCGGCATGGGCATCGACAAGCCCGACGTCCGCTTCGTCATCCACCAGCACATCCCCAAGTCTCTCGAAGGCTACTACCAAGAAACCGGCCGCGCCGGCCGCGACGGCAAGCCATCCGACTGCTACCTCTACTTCGCCTACGGCGACATTCAATCTCTTCGCCGCATGATCGCCGACGGCGAGGGCGACTATGCCCAAAAGGAGCGTCAGCTAGAGATGCTTAACCGCGTGGTCAACTACTGCGAATCGCAGCACACGTGCCGGCGCGTCGAAGTGCTCCAGTACTTCGGCGAGCCGTTTGACCGCCGTGATTGCAAAGAAGGATGCGACAATTGCCGGTTGGGGCGCATCTCGAAGTCGACGGAGATGAGGGATTTTACGGAAATCGCCTTCGCTGCGATCGAGGTGGTGAAGAGCCAGCAGCCCATCACGCTGGGTAAGTTGTGCGATATCCTGATGGGCAAGAAGAAGAACGAGCATGGTGGCGTGTGCCACTTTGGTATCGCCAAGGGGAGCACGCAGAGGGAGCTGCAGAGGATCGTGCTGCAGCTGAATTTCCACAAGGCTCTGGGCGAGGATAATATTATGAATGGGGCGGGGATGCCTATTACTTACTATGTTGTGAGTCCTGCCCGGGTTGCCGCTTTCTTACTTACATCTTTGCTTTGCTAACACTGCGTGCTGCTTGCAGGCCGGCCCTGAAGCTGGTGCTTACCTTTACAACGGCAAGCGGTTGAAACTGCCAGTTCCCTCGAACAAGTCCGTCGAACCACCGTCTCGGCTTAAGCAGCGGAGCCGTCGTGTCGACAAGGACATGGATGAGCCTGAACTTCCTACCTTCCAACGACCGCCAACATCAACAAATGTCTCTTCACCCGTTCGAGCCACCAAGAAACGGAATTCCGGAAAGGTTTTACCGACCCTCATCGCCGACTACGAAGAGCCCAGCTCCGACGGTCCACACGGTCCTCTCCACGCCAACGGCTACGAGCGTGACAACTTCGTCGTATCCGATAACGTTGAACCTGACGAGGAAGAAGAAGCCTTTGAGCCCGTCCGCCCTTCCCGACGTGGTCCAGCCTCCCGAGCTACCCGCCCCCAACACCGCCAAACCACCCTTTACGACACCCTCTCCCACACCCAACAATCCCAAACCCTCTCCCAACACCTCGCCACCTTGGGTCCCCCCATCGACGCCCGAACGATGCAAAACCCCCGCTTCGCTCAGCTGGACGAAGTCCACCAATATATTGTCGATGCCTTCGTGGAAGAAGCCAAGATCTTCGAGGAGGACTTCCGCAACAAGAATCACATGCGCAAGCCCATCTTCACTGAGATCCAGTATAGAGAAATGGCGATCCGATGGACGCGCACGCTGGACCAGATGCGTGCGATTCCAGATATCAATCAGGATAAGGTGGATCGGTACGGGGCCAAGTTCATCCCGCTTGTGGAGCGGTTTTGGGGGAATTATCGGGATATGATGGGGGGCGGGTATGATAATCCTTGTGTGGCTGATGGTGCCGAAGATCAGGGGACAGGGAGGGGGAAGACAAGTGGGAAAGGGGGGAATAAAAAGGGAGGAGGAAAAGAGGTGGTGGATTTGATTAGTAGTGATGAGGATGAACCTCAACCTCGTGCACCACCACCATCACGGAATCCGGGGCGGGGAGGAGCCACAGGACGGGGACAAGCAGCGGCCGCCCAAACTGCACGAGGACAACAAACCCAAGATAAAGGAAGAGCAGTAAACCGCCGCGGCGAACCCATCGAAGAACCAGCAGAAGAAGAAGATTACGGCCTAAGCGACCTCGACGACGCCGTCGATCCCGACGCCACCACCGCCTCCGAAAACTCTGACGATGACGAAGAAGATGATGACGAAGACTTGGAATCCTCCCGCTACTTCTCCGGCTCAACAGGTCCTCCAGTCTCCAAAGCCGTGCAAGACGCTAGGCTGAGGGAGCAGTTATCTATGTACACCTCCGGCGGCAGCTCCTCTAAAGGTAGCTACGGCTCAGGTCGTGCATCGGGATCAAGTTCGAAAGCGTCGGGGTCGGGGTGGAAAGGGGGAGCAGGTGGTGGGAAGAAATACTATAGGAAAAAGAGGGCGAGTTCTTCGGTTGCTGGTGCGGGGGGTGGGGTGACGAAGAGGAAGGCTAGTGGAAGTGGGACGAAGACGACGAGGAAGAGAGGTGCGTCGACTGCACCGAAGACAACGAGAGGGGGAGGAGCTGGGTCTAGGGGAGGTGGTGCTGGAGGAGGAGGAGGAGGAGCAGGGAAAAGGGGAGGAGGTGCTGGAGGAGGGGGAGGAGGAGGAGGAGGAGGAGGAGGAGGAGGAGGAGGGTTTGGTGGGATGGGAGGGATAAGTGTTATGCCTCATTAGCATTTATCGCATTTATCGACGGTATGTTATGGGGAAGGCATCAGCAGCATTGAGTTTTATCATTCGTGGAGTTTTTTCGTCGTGGAGTTTAGGTCTGGACAGTTAAAAGGAGAAGTCGAAAGGAGAAGTCGAAAGGATACGGCAGTCAAGCAGTCGGTGGACTTGCGAAAAGAAGGCATGTAATACCCACTACAATTCCTCCGGTCGTCCCTCCGCTGGCCAGAGAGGCTACGGCAATTCCAGCATTCGTGCCGCCGACGCAGGCGAGAACGAGGATGAGGGCGAAGAGTACCACGACGCCGACAGCGGCGCCAACCAGGGAAATGCCTAAAATCTGTAGATAGTCTCCTGCAGAGGCAAAGAAGGTACACACAGGGGAGGTTTCGGGAGTCCCACGAGAATCTAGAGACGATTGTCATCAACTCGCTAGATAGTCTTATAGATCGTCTCCACCGCCCAATCTGCCGTTCAAAACGTCCAACACCCTGACCACGCGCTCTCCACCCTTCGCCTGCCTGCCCGCCTCCCAGGCCGAGCTGGCCAACTACGGTGCGTCCCTACACAGCGCCAAGGGCCAGATCTGGGTTCGATCCAAGCACAACGCCAAGAAAGAAATCTACTGCCTGCTCAAGAAGCCCGCGTTGGAATACCAAAGGTTTTTACCAGCCATTATTATTTTGGTATTTTGGCTTGTGGCTAGGTGACTAGGTGCTTTCTCAAGTCGTGGACTTTGGGGTAGCTCTTTCGTGATGGTTATGGTGATGGTGTCAGTGGTGGTGGTGGTTGTGGTTGTGGTTTGTTTACTTGGAAAAGGGGTTAACCCGCGTCTAGCTTCGCTGGTGAGGTTTCTGCGTTGAGACGCTGGAGGTGGACCAGAAGTGCCGGAAAAAGTAGCATTATAAACGCCATCCTCAACGACACGGAGCGAGGTCACGGGCCTAGCCTAGAGTTATGAAGAAGAAGAGTGGTTCAAGCAAAAGGCGGAATAGGTTAGTTAGTTTACTATACACTACACTTGGTTCGCGTGGGACTGGGACGGGAAGTGAGAGAGCACCAAGTTACGTTACGTAAGCATTATAGACTTCAGGGTTTACGGGCGGTAATAGCATTGAGGCAGCCAAGCCGTTGATTGCTCAGTTTGAGGCATGCTTCTAGTATCTTTTCTCTTCATCTACACTCATACCAGCTTCTAGACTAAGCTACCTTACCTTTCCGTTCCGTTCCATTCCGAAGCTCTCTCTCATCTCTCCTCGTGTTCGCAAAGGTAATCAGATACTAGTTCTACCCTTCCTCCTTCTTCCACTCAAACCAAGTCCCATAAACCGTTTCCATAACCAAGAATAGGTAAGTAAAATGACTTTGAATGCAAAATCGCCAGTGTGTGTAAGAATGGGAAAATGATGCTAAATGCTGTCTTTCATGTCCTTCCTCCATGAGTTGTAATCCAGTAACCACCAGTTGTGCCAGTTGTGCCAATGTGGTATATGTAAAAAATGCCATATGCATGAAATGTGTTGTGTGTGTGTGTGTCTCATCCTCCTTCCCACTCAAGTCTCAGCCTCCGTGTCTCATGTTCAGGCTTCTCTCATATATATAGTGTTCCTCCCTCTTCATTCCTTTCGCCTCCTCTTTCCCTCATTCCTTATCCCCCATCCCCTCATCCTCCTCCTATTGCTTAACATCCCCCCTCAACTCCCCCTCCACCTCCTGCCTCACCCCTCTACACCACCTCACCACCGCCTCCTCAAACTCCACCCACATCCTTCCCCCCTCCTCGGGATTCTCCAGCTTTCCGTCTTTAGCATACTGCAACCCCAGCGCGTCGCACTTGATCATCACCTCCCACCTCAGCTCCGCCGCCTTCATCCAGTACCTTAGATTATCCGCCGCCCGATAAGGTTTCTGCGTGTCTGCGTGGAAACTGGGGATAGCACCAAATCTCCTCCTACTCTTCCTCACCGCGCAATTATGCAAATGCACCAACCTAATCCCATTGCTCAACTCCCTCAAAAACGGCGTCGGTTCCGGATTAGCTGACGAGCGATCAATGGGCGTCCACCTCGGCAACGGCGGGAGACTAGACAGCGGCGGAGGCAGGGGTAGACAGGCGAGCATGGAGTGAATGAACGCTTCCTCACGCTCGATCTGGTTCCCGTTCTCGTCGGTCGGCCAGTTCTCCGGTTTTAGCCAGGTCCAGGACTCGCGCTCCTTTTGCTCGGCGGCCTCCATTTCGTCTTCTTTGGAAAGCATGTCGCGCAGGGATTTGATCCATTGGTTCATTGTTTGGAACTCGTCGTCGCGCATGCCGCCGATGAACCCACGCGTGGCCATTCTCTTTAGGATGTCCATTACTGAGAGCAGGTCGGAGCGGACGTTTTTTTCGGATTTGATGGCGTCTAATCGGTCCGGGCGCTCGTGGGAGGTGTAGTAGATCTTGGCGGCGCGGATGGCTAGGGTCATGACGTCGAGGATGTGCATCCCTTGGATCTCGTACCAGCCGGTGGGGTTGAGAGGGACGGTTGGGGTGACGGGGGTGGAGGATTCTTGTTCGGAGTTGCGTTTTGATGTGTCGGATAGGAGGATGGCAGGTGGCACGACGACTCGGTCGGAGGTGGGTGAAGACTCGCCCGCGGGCGCGGTGGCTTCTTTGGCTTCTTTTAGGGATCGCTCGGCGGCGTCGAGAGCGGAGGTCAAGTCTGATCGCAGCTCCTCCATGGATGGAGGCTTGGGTATCGGCTTTTCGCGGTGGTTGTACGTCGAGACCGTCGGCGGGAGCATATGTTGTGTGTCTGTTTCCTCATCATAATCCGATGCGTACTCCTCCTCGGGCGGCTGGAACTCCATGTTATGCTCGTCTCCTGTGGGCGACCTGATCTCGGACTCGAGCCCTGGGGTATTTGGACTGCTGCCCATGGAGGCATAGCTCGAATCGTTTTCAAAGCTCAACACCCTAGGTATCTCGTAATCGCCGCCCTCGAGCATGGACAGATCGAGTGTTTGCGCCTTTTGCTGGCGTTTTCGAGCAAACTGGGCGCCCTTGCCGTCCAGGAGACCCGTCCGGGCAAAGTAGTACTGCAGGTGGGCGATGCTTCCGAGACTCAGGACGGATTCGCGCTGGCGGGCGCTCTGGGCAAAGTCGGTTCCTTGAGGGCGCATGTAGCCCCGTCGCTTGCTGCTGCTTCCTGACGAGATGGAGGAGTTAGCCGTCAACGAGTCCAAGCTTCCGGTAGAGTCCCGTATCCACGATTTATCGCGGGATCGGAGGAAAAAGTGGCCAAGCGTACTGATCTCGGAGCGGCGCGAGGATATTGGGAAGGTTCCGGACGAGGAGCGCGAAAAGGCCGAGCCGGCGTCGCTTGCGAGGGAGTCGCGCGAGTGTTCCGTGGTTCCTGATCCGTGGGAGATGGCCGAGGTGGCAGAGACACAGCGCATGAACTTGTGAGCGGGAGCACCAACGGCCGGCGAGGGCAGAGCCTCGGGCGACTCGCACCGGGCGACGGGGACGTTCTCTGGTGAAGCGCTCATCCTGGCGGTCCGGTATATGTTCGGGCGCGGGTGGCTTGAGGTATGTCTCGAATGTCTCTCGACGATGGGTTACACCCGTGTATATATCCGTTGGCAGGTCTCGGGTGTCTGCTGGCCTCGTCGTGGGCGGTCGTGGGCGGTCGAGCTTCAAGGTAGAAGGGGAAGTCTCGAGTTGGGCGCTGACGTATAGCGAGGGTGACGATCGTTATTGTCTTCTTGACATGCCCAAGGCGGAGAAGAGGCAGTAGCAGTGATCAGAGGTCGACCGTAGGCTGTGGCGTATGTAGGTGGGTAGGTGGACAGTTAAAGCTGGATGACCAAATAACTCTGGAAAAGAGATTGTCAAATAAGGTAAGTTTGAAGCCTTGTCCGGGAACTGTCTGTGCCCCAAAGAGATCCACAGCGGAAGGAAGCGATGTGTGGAAGAAACAAGATTGGAGAATGGAAGAAACAGAGGAAGGTGTCAGGCTTCGATGACTGAGTCAGGGGTTCGCCTCTGCTGTGTACATGGGCAGGCAGGCACAGGAAATGAGGAAGGGGTTTCTTGGTGATTTGTCGTGTGGTGACGGAAAGTGCAGTGGACGACGGTGACGGAGAGAGCAAAGAAGCAAATGTTGGAGTGTCGGAAGCCCATCCAGATTGGGTGACGGTGTGGTGTGCTGTCGTTAGGCTGCTAGCACCTAAACATGTTACCTAAACACCCGACCCACCCCGCTCATTGCCTCTGCTGCAGGTCCTGCCCTTGCAGTTGCAGCCAAGTGGAAGCGGAGCAACACGCGTGCACCCAGCAGGCAGTTGCAGGCCTGTCGCTGTTAGTGGACGCATGCAACGGTCCGGCCATTTCAACTGACACTGCCGTGACTGCACTAGCGCCGCCTAACAGCCAAAGGCCTGACATTCTGGGGAAGTGGAAGGACAGACCTAGACAGTGGCACTGACAGGGGCTACACTAATAGTCGTCACAGGCCACATTTCCGGAGGATCTTCCTTTCATCGCTCCTATCGCCATCTCCGCCCCTCGGGGATATCTGATTTGTTGGAGGAGACAGTATAGTTGAAGCGAGCAAACAGACCAGTACGAGGGCGTTGACGTGAGACGAATCTCCCTTATCATATGTGTCCTTTCAGGTGGTCGATTTAGTTTGTTGACATTCGACGGATGACGTTCAGGGGTTGGCTGGCAACTCTTCCGTGGCCTCCCTTGTGATAGCACTAACAACCTGTCTAAGGTAGTCTAACTAGGGAATCCCCTCTACCTTGACCTTGAACCTCGACTATCAACGAGCGGCCCGTCAGACCAGTCCAAAGTCAACGTTCCCGTATATTCCGAACAAGCTCCGTGGTCCCGTTGCGTAGTGTATGCAAGCACGGAAGAAGAGCGGGTGCTGCCGAGTCACTGCAATTTCCGTATCTACTATGTAGCAATTCCCTCATCCCGTCCCGGCCGGTGAAATCCTGTTTCAGAGTTTCAGATGTTGACAGCTTGCAAAGTCTGTGGTCAGCAACCTCGGTCAACACATTACACGCCTAAAGTCACAAGTCACAACGTTGTGAAAGGCTACGTACGCTTGGCCAGGAGCCAAACAGAAGACCAAGAAACACACAGAGCTCTTTTGTGAAACAGAAGCTCACAAGAGGGAACAAGAACCCTTGTCCTTCCCAAGAAACGTCCAAGAAACAATTCTGTCATCCATTCAGACGGAAGACTGCCAACCCCACAGGGCCACTACTGCGTAACTAACGGTCCACTTGCCGTTGAGAGCGTGCAATATCAGGTACGAAGCCGTGAGGTGCGATGTGAGGTGAGCGTGAAGTTCAGGCACGTACCTGACTGACTGGATGTGCTTGCATTCGAACGGGAGTGTGCAGCTGTTGGTGATGCCGTGATGCTATGCGATGTCGGCTTTTTTTTTTTTTTTTTTTTTTTTTTTTTTTTTTTTTAACAGCTTCTTTGATATGAGTCTCGATGGGATGAGTGAGAGGCTTGCTTCCCTTGACTTCTTCAACGATCCAACACCTACCCTACCGTACCCGTTGGAACGCAAATCTTCAGATATGTCTCTCCCGTTGGAACTCGTTACCTCTGCGCATTCTTCACGTGCTGTCTCAGTACGCCCTGCCTTTCCACTTCACTGAGACTTGTTGCCGAGAAACCCGCGATAACCTTTGTCATGTCTCAGTGCAAAGAGGCATTCCTCACTTGCCTGCCTCTGAGCTGACTACCACATCCGGTTTAGCGTCAGCCCCGATGAAGGCTGTTGTTGTGTGCAGGGGTACCCTTATTTTCTGGGTGGACAAGACCCCTGAAGTGCGAACCGCCGTAGTGGGAGTGGTAATTGTAATGAGGTGAGGGAGGATAGCCGATATCAATGTCGCTTCTTTGAGTTGCGACCTTGTCATTTGCTGAAGACGAAGGAGACGATGGAGAGGGAAGATGTCCCAGATGGTGATGGCCGTGATGTGATGGACTGGTCGAGATGTCAGGATGCAGAGCAGCAGAGGATATCACGTATGGAGAATGCGGGGAGCGGCAATTATTTATGTTGTTGACCATGTTATCATGGTGGGAACTCATCTCACTTATCGAGGGAGAAGATACAGAATGCAAGTGAAACCGTTCTAATATCTGTCTCCAGTCACTACTCGGAGCTTCCTGATGGAGCTCTCTTCCATGACTTGTGGTGACATGTTTCAAAGCCGGGTGTTTGACTCTTGCACGTCTTGTCAAAGGCTCAACGTGATTGGCTGTTGCCACAGTGGATGATGTGCTGAAACCCATCACAAGTTGTAAGGTATTGTCAAGAATGGCGCAAATTCCCCAAATTACCTCGACGACTACGGGTTTCCAGAAATAAGCAAATAAGCCCCTTTCACTTTTCCTGCTTTCTTCCCATCTCTCACCTAACCATACATCTTGGGACTAAAAGGCTAGGCCCTTCTTTTTTGGTTGTTGTTGTTGTTGTTGTTATCCAAGAGGTAACCTAACGGAAAGACTCCAGTTCTCCAATTGGTGACGGCATCCAATCCTCACTCAGTTCACACTCAAGACCAACTTTTGCCAAGCCCGGCGTCACACTCTTACCAATTTCACTCATCTGTTACAGAACACTTCCCAACCAGACAATCTCATCCTCGGCATTTCTCTCTGTCTTCAATCTCAACTAGCTTACTCGACTGTGCCACCTTTCGCAAGCTATTCGAGGCTTGTCGCATCCCTTTTGCTTGCTCCGAAACACAACTCCCCTCGCCGGTATTAACGGGACCCCTCAAACATATCTTGTCATACCCGGCGGACTCTGACCAACCTCCAATCGCGACAACCGCCAGCCGTCCATCCCGATCGCCGGGATACTTGGAGACCTGACCTCATAGCCTCAACCCATTACCGCATTCGCCGATCAGAAAAGGAAAAACACCCTTCACACAGCAAGGTGACGAGACTACATTCTACACTACGCTAGCATCACACAGTTAGGGGCAGCTGCTGCATGCACGCCCACGCCCACTGCTCCCTCGCCTGAAGGAGTGAAAAGAGGTTGCCTGCTGCAAGTTGCTGCGACCAGGACAGCTGCAGCATCGCAACATCGTCTAGCCTATCTGAGCCTGTCAGAGGTCTAGCACCTATCTCAGCGCCATCCATTGGCGTCGATTGGCCTCTCTTCGGCTCTAGAGCCAGTCACCGTCTCGAATCCGGGTCACGAGCTGGACCAATAATCACCACCAAGACACCAGCAAGAAAAAATAATCCTCAACAAATGACCACCAGTGTGTCGCCTAGGTCTCCAGCTGCTGGCCCTCCTCCAGCCAGTGCAAGTGGTGACTGTGGTTTTACCATCCGACTGGTAAATGACGACGGCGACTCTGATCTGGATATCGATGCCCAAGAACAGCAACAGCGTCAGGATAGCGCCGTCGAACTGTCCTTTTCAGAGATCCCTACAGAGCTGCTACAATTCACCTTTGCCAACGATACCTCTAGTGACAGGCCTGATACTAGCTCCAGCGCTTCCACTAACAATAATACAAATCACACCTCAACACCGCGACAATCCCACTTCTCGACAGACGTCCTCCTCACTCCCGATCCGACCCCTCCCGGTCTTCGCGCCACTCGAAAACCCTCTCCGGGTCTTGCTGCGAGATTGAAGGCTCTCGGTTTCGGCGGCCAGCGCAAGCCTACATCCCCGCCCCAACACCGGGAACTCGAGATCGGCAAACTCCCCGAGGAGACACTGAAGAAACTCGACGAGCACCACTTGTCGCTTTCTCAAGCCCTCGTTATCGAGCGACGCGGTCGTCCTTGGAAAGGTCGCATTCCATCATCGTCGAGCCTGAAGGCATCCAAGCTGTTCCATCATCACCACAAATCAGAGGAAGCCCAGGAGGCCGCCCATGAACAACACGCCACCATCGGTGGTGACGTACTAGCTCAACAACAAGAACATCACGATAACGACGACAGCGCTTCCACTTCACCAGACAGCAACACAGAAATGGACACCAACAAATACCGACTGCCCGATCATGTCAACGGCAATGGCGTCAAGGCACAACGAGACACGCGATACGAGCATATAGCCCGCGATTCACGCCGAAGTTCATCACAGTCTTCCGACGATGTGCCGCCCCCGCCTCCACCAAAGGACACATACCCCTCGCAATCACACCAGCGCGGCACCTCCAACAACTCCTCCAACAATGGTGACTATTTCAACCCCGACGACATCTCCTTCAACCCTCTCGGCCTTTCACGCCCTCAATCCGTCTACACCTTATCTCGCGCCTCCTTCGCTGACCAGCTGGCCCAACTAACCTCCATCACCCTTCCCGATGCCGAGCTCCTCTCCAACAAGATCGCCGCCATCCCGACCGCCCAGGTAGCTACTCGGGCGCTTATCGGTGCAGCCGAGCAGATTCGCGGGTGGATCTACAAAGCGTCCGAAGTGATCGGCGGCCTCGAAGCCGACGATGACGTGGAGTGGGCGGCCGCGGGCGGGCGCGAAGGAGTAGATGAAGTCGAAAAGGCCATCGTCAGGTTCGAAGAGCTGATCAACATTTACGTCGGAGCCATCGAGGAGCTGCAGGAGCGAGAAGACGTAAACGAGGTGTCGACGGACGATTTGCGGCGCGCGGTGGCGCAGATGGAGAGCATCTTGGGCGAGTGGGCGCGGATCAGAGAGACGCTGAGAGCCGTCAAGTCGCAGGAGGAGCTGGCGATGGAGTGGGAGGAGCTGTGGAACGTGGTGTTGGGCGATATCCAGATGGAGGTGGATGACTTGAGCAAGTTGGTGTTTGAGATGGAGGAGAGGAGGCATAAGACGGCCATGTTGGCGGGGGATGGGGTGGATATCGGGGATTTGGAAACCATCGTCGAGGAGGCGCCAACGTCCATTGTGAGCAGGCTGCAGGCGGCTAATGCGCATGGTAACGGGAGGTTTAGTCTCCCTGGCTTTCCGAATAGCCCGACGTCACCGCTGCCGACTCCGTCAACGGGCATCTCTATGGATGATTCGAGCTTGTTGGCGCTATTTGCAAGGATGCAGCCGCTTAGGGCTTCGTTGGATTTTCTGCCCATGAGGCTGGCGGGCTTCCAGTCAAGGGCGGAGGATATCTTCCCTACTGCTTCCGATGAGTTGGAGATGCGGAGGCACAGTCTCGAAGCTACGTACAGGAAGCTGGAGAAGGATGCCGAGGCTCTGAGGAAGGAACTGGGCGAGGATCGGTGGGTGTTGGTGTTCAGGGGCGCAGGCAGACAGGCGCAAAAGATGTATGAGTCGGTACAAAGGAGCTTGGAGAGGGTGAAGGAGGCATTCGACACGGGAATGCACTTGACGAACCAACCCATGATGAGCAAGAAGCTGGAAAGTTACGAGGCTAAGAAGACTCATTACGGGCCTGCCATCGAGAGGGTTCTGTCGATTATCGAGAAGGGTGTCAAGGATCGGTTGACGGTCAACGGAGAGATTCTGCGTCTGCATACTGAGATGCAGGCCAAGTGGAAGGATCTGAAGGAGGAGATGGTTGATGTGGATGCGGTGGTGGAAGAGCTCTACTCGAAGGGACAACAGTTACGGGATTCTGTTTCCAGCATCTTGTCCAACGACAGGTCTCCATTCGGTAGCGGCCATGAGACTCCCCAGAGCTCACCACCTTCGTCCGTCATTATGACCGGCCGGAACGCTCCCCCCACTGCTCGGTCCAAGTCTCGGCAGGCGGGTACTCCTGGTAGCCAACTCCCGAAACCCCCTGCCTCTCGCCGGCAGTCAACCGTTCCAGCTTCGGCCTTAACCGTCACCCGCAAAGCCGCACCATCCAATCCCCGCATGTCCACCATCTTTGCCACTACCCCGGTAAAGACGGACTACCGCGAAAGACCAGGCACAACTACTCCTTCCACCTCCCGCTCCGCCCAACCCCCTCGCCCATCCTCCAAACTCGACAACCGTCCTCGTTGGAACGCTACCTTTAGCCCCTCCGACGTCGACACAGGTCATAACTTCAAGCCTCTGAGCCTAACCACCCCTTCGCCCTATGCCAGGTCTACTTCCTCCTTGGGCCAGTCCTCCACTTCCAAGTTACCGCAAACCCGCTCTCCTTTGAACCGCGCTACCACCGCTTCTCCTTCTGTCGACGGCTCGGACTTACAGAGTCCCACCATCAAAAGAGCGAACGCCACGGCATCAAAAATGTCCTTCCGCGACCGCATATCCTCTCCCGGTCCTTACTCTCAACAAACCCTCTCCAAGAGCGTTGGCCCCAGCGTTGCCAGACCAACCGCCACACCACGCCAGTCCAAGACTTCACACTCTTACTACCCCCCCTCATCCTCCAACACCAGCCTTCACTCCTCCGGTGGCCGCGAACGCGTCGAACCCCCCACCGGCTCCGGCACCTCCAACATGCGCAGCAACCCCAAGCGCCAATCCCTCCAACCACCCCGCATGAGCGAACCCAGTCTCGCGGTAAGACCAGCTAGTTCCATGGCTACCTCGCGCAGACAGAGCATGCTTCCACAGCCGACTTCTCGCATGGGAAGGGCTACTACCCCTGGATTGACGGGAAGGGAAAGCCCGCAGGCGGTGGCGGGAGCGAGACATGCGATGGGTATGGGGACGAGCACTAATACGGTTGCGGCGGGGAGGAGGAGTGGAAGTAGTTTGGGGCTGGCGAGTAGGAGCGGGAGCTCGTTGGGGATGAATGCGGTGGGGAAGGATGGGAGGCCTAGGTGGAGGAACCCCTAAGTCTGGAGTGGAAGGGTGATGACGGGGATGAGGTGTGAGGAGGGAGGAAATAGGAGGAGAGGAGAGAGAGAACAAGGGAAGAAGAGGGGGTCCGATGTCTGCGTTGTTTTTTCTCATTGTTTTTGATCCCGTGCTCTTCGCTGCTCTTCACACATACCCAAAGCACTTTGCCATATGAAAACTAGCATTGCATAGCTATGGCGTTTTTGTTTTTGTTTTTGTTTTCTGATTCGATAACTAGCACTGATGTATAATTTGGCATAAAGACGGGAGGGATGGAGGGATGGAGGGATCTGGCGGGATCTGGAGGGAGGATGATGGAGACGGGACTCGGAGGCGTTACTACCTACAGTACCTAGCTTTACGTTGCTTTACTATATAGGCTTCATTATATTCATTGCATCTGTGTTTCTGTGCCCGCTTCCGGATTTCAGTACTGTCAACTTAATGTGTTTTGAGAGACGGGACCCAGAGCGCCGAGTTCAGTTGCTCTCCATATCTCTCCGCACCGCCCAGCACTGCAGCTTCCTAGTATGGGGTGTAAGGTAAGGTAAGCACCTTAGTATTTACTGCTAATATCGTCTTCGGGATAGTCTGGGAAGGCACGTTCGGTCGGGACTCAGATGAGCTGCCAGGTGGTTGGTGACGAGCTAGATCCCGTCTTCTCCTGTTCACATCCCGATCCGAAAACATCTGTCTTTTCTGAGTCACCGATATCATCTGGCGGCTCTCGCATTCCGTCGAGACGTTTTCTTCTCTTCTTTACTGTGTTTTGCTCGATACCGTCCCCTTCTGCTCAAGTATCGATGCTCAGGACGGGAACTCAACAGGGCACCCATCTTTCTCTGACTTGACATGTTCTCTGCGTTCGGCGTTGTTCATGCATCGATCTTCTTCTTCTGGTATGGCCAATCTTGTCTGTTAGTGCGTTAGTGCGTTAGTGCAGTCCTCGCCCTTTTCTTTGGTGAAGTAGTACGTGTGCTAACAGACTGATAGTGCAGCAGCTGTTTTTACGCCCAATTAAGATGTTAGCGCAACACTCCGGGTGGTCATTCCTGTTAGCGTAGATATCCCTCGAGTCCCTCCACGCAAGCAATCCGCGGTCCAAAAAGTCTAAACATTCCGATTTCCATCCGCTTCACAACATCACAACATCTCAACATCATCTCCAATATCAAGTGAACGACTCCATCGCACACGTCGGACACCATGACGCTGTAAATATGGTCACTGTCTTTGACAACTGGCTATCTAGGAGTCGAAGTCATACTCGGTGGCTGAGCGCTTTGGATGCCATCGTTGCTATTGGCCCTTTTCTCGTCGGTCCCGTCCTTACAAAAACCTGGCTAAAATTGGGAGCATGACCGTTGGGCTGTATGGTTGCGTCTCTCTTCCGCTACATCTTCCTCCAGGTCAACAGTTTGCTTCCATTTAGACTTGATACTACAACTGGATTTCATCATCTCTCGAACGAGCCCTCGTTTCACGACGAATATGGATTGCGAAACAGATGGGGTGGTCTCCAACCGCCTGTGCAGGAACTGTGCCCGGATTGTTGGCAAGTCCGAAATCATTCGGTTTGTTATCGCCGCCCACTTCGACCAGTTTTTTAGCCTGAGCGGCAGGACACGTCCGCCAGAGAAAGAAATCTTCTTTCACAGCCCAACGGTCGAGACTATCATGTCGTCAATTGCCTCTGGTTGTCATCTTTGCTCCATCATTTCCTGGAACGGGGACAAGTATTTCTGGCACAAGGACCAGAGCGGGACTGCCTCAGCGCTTGAGCACTCGAGTGGTATCATTCAAGTATCCGTGACCGAAGGATGGACAAGCTTCGGGGAGACGACCATGAGCTTCGACATCCTGACGGACATGCAGACATCCGCAAGTCAAATGGAAAATACCGATCAGATGGACTCTGTTCTCAATGACCGATTCCGTGGATTGCAAGGATGGGAGCGCTGGAAAGACGGAAGATCTCTAGGTGTGATCTCCTTGCGAAACGACTATGGTACACCCATGACGCCCCATTATGCGGTACTGCTGAGATGTTTCCGGCTCAGTCTTACCGTAAGCGGTGGCTAACAACGCGGTGCAGGCCTTATGTTTCCACCGTCGACATCGGGCTCTGGTCCCCAGCTCCCTATCTCGACCGGCTCGCCAGAGTCGGTTGCGACACTTCGATATTGGTTAAACGAATGCCTACAAAACCATCCCGAATGTCAATCTCTTTTCAACGCCGCTGGATCAGGGAAACTTCCAACGCGGCTCATTGATGTCGGGGAAGCCGAAGGACCACTCACGCCGCGGCTTGTGGAAACCAGGGATTTCCGCACCCTGGACAAGAAAGGCTACCTCACATTAAAAGCCATTGCTGGGGAAACCTGAATATGGACGTAAAGTTGACGAAACAGAGCTACATAACTTTCCTGGAAGACGGTATTCCAGTCGAATCCCTTCGAAGGACACTTCGGGATGCCATGAACATCACCCGCCAAATAGGATGCCGTTACATATGGATCGACTCCCTCTGCATTATCCAAGATTCACCGGAAGATTGGGCAGTAGAGGCACTTACCATGAAAGATGTCTACGGTAATACCTCCTGCAACATTGCTGCTTTGGGAGACCCCGGAGACGGTTGCTTTGTGAAAAGGAATCCTTTGCACTTTTTCCCTTGCTACATCGGTAGGAAGCATCCGAACGGCAACAGTACCTACGCCTTCAGATACCACAACCCCGTTGTGGACTCAAGGGAAGACGATAACGGAGGTCCACCTCTTCTTCGCTGTGGCTGGGTTGTTCAAGAGAAGCTGTTGTCAACCCGCGTGATTTACATGGGTAACCCTCAAATATACTGGGAGTGCACTCGGTATAGGCGTTCAGAAGGACTACCGGTCATGGAGAAATCCGCCCCGGTCGTGCCATTCTACAACCAACTTGTGTGCGCAAAATCAGATTTTCGGGCACTTTGTGGCCAGACACCTGAATCCGGTGGCGACAAGCTGCAACATGAAGCTCAGAACATGATCGATCTCCTCAAATGCTGGATGAGAATGGTCAGTGACTATAGCAAGATGAATTTCACCAAGAAAGAGGACAGATTCATTGCATTCGCGGGAGTGGCAGAGGCTATTGCAGCCGGGAGGGGGTGGACCTACGTGGCCGGGACATGGAAAGAACTCTGGCCTTTCGACTTGTTGTGGGCTCGGACTGAGCCTGACCCAAAACCCATAGATCTTCGCTGGCGCGAGGATAGATTCAAGCCCATGATTCCTTCGTGGTCCTGGGCTTTCAAAATTTCTGACTCCATGTCTAAGGCAAACCCCGCGGTGCACTTCCTTCCTTTGCGATATCAGCAGCTCTTCGACCCCGTCACTCGCAGACTTACCACAACTTCCCTGGCCACAGTCGTCGACTTCTCCTGTCCGAATTTCATGACGCAACACTCCTTAGCCGGAGGAAAGTACTGTGATATAAAGCTCAGTTTGAGAGGTCAGGTCTTGCGAGGAGGTGTTAATACGCTTATTCCATTACTTGGCACAAGCACATGCAATGTTCACGTCCACTGGGACGTGAAACACCCTCCGCAGAACGAGCTCCTTTTCTTATTGCTGATGCGGTGGACGGAGTTCGGCGACGAGCAGCAGGCCGGACTCGTTCTTATGAAGCAGATGGCTCCTGTGTCGAGGGTCAAGCATCAGATGTACTTCCGCGTTGGCGTATGGGAGGACTACAGCTCTCAACCTCGTCGTGGACGACGCCTTCTGTTCGCTGACTCTGTGACGGAAGAGGTCGTTCACTTGTGCTGAGGGCCGGGCCGGTACCTAAGTTGGTTGAGGATGAAGCTGAAGTTGAAACTACTGCTCGGTTAGATCTCACATGTCGATCTGGTCGGCGACCTTGTTCGTATTTGTCAAATCTCCAGTCAGCATTTCCTGAGAGCCTGGACTCATCATCTCATCCATCAACGCTATGCACCGGCTTAGCCCATTTTTCAACATATACTGTGGTTCCGAGCAAAAGAAAAACCCCCCTGCCAGGTATCCGGCACGGACTACCACGGCCAAGATTTTGGGGTTGTCGAGGTGGGCGTAAAAATAAACCGAATATAGACAGTCCAATACGGCTCGCTTTGGCTAGGAAAGGCCGTTACAAAACTGTGATAGGGATTATAATAATTTGAAAATACATCGGCCAGAGTCACTTAGGCATTCTTCCCTTCAAAAACTGCCTAGAATTTACGTTCAAAGGTATATTAAATACGCTGGGATGTGTAATGTACTTACCGTGCGTGATATGTTCGGTTTATTCTTACGACTATTCGGTTGTGTAAGGTTCGGTACTTACCCCGCCTGTTGAACTTACCCATCATACCAAGTACACTGCGTGCATTATCGTCAAGGCGCTTCGATCCATGCGAGACCTTGTGTTATTTGCGGCATAAACCGAGAGAGATACGAGAGATAAGAGAGATGAATCAGATGGGACCTGGAGGAAAGGACGGGAACTGAAAGGCAAAAAAGGTGTCAAGGAAGGCACGTTCGTGTGCTGCGTGACCTTTCGGTGACACGGTCGGGGACGAGCATGGCGGGGACAAAACAGAGGAGTTTCTGGCGCGAGTTGAAATGGTGCAATCTTTTCTCCCACTCCTTTCTTCCTTCCAAGCAGCCGATACTCCGACTTGCTGCTACCGTCATCATCTTCCACGCAGGCGGTCAGTGGCCTCCTTTCATCATCATCTCTCCGGCTCCAGATTCGTCGTACTTCGTTGCTGCCATCATCATACATCACAGAAAACGCCCTTGCGCTGTCGAATATCGCAGATAATTCTCGACGTAATCATTCAGTTACCAATCCGCTACATCTCCCAGTCAAAATATTCTCTTTTGTCTCCAGGAGGGGGATAGTATTGTTCCACAAGTGATTTATCTGATGCTGGGTGGTTCAGCGCTGTGTCACGGCTCGAAGTCGGGCGTGCATGGCTGGGCTTTGCTATGGGTAGTGTTGTCATTTTCTGTTAGGCTTTTACTTCATCTCCCCTCTTTCTTATCCCCCTCTTCCTTACTCCCCTCTCTTCATTTTACCCTTCTGGTTCTCCTTCCTGGCATCGCCGTCGCCTTTGACTCGCTGTTTCATTCACTCCATCAGAGAGGCGTCTTGAAGTGGCAGGCTAGGTGCTTCTCGTCCGACCGGAGTGACTCCAAGTTGAAGATGAAGCTGTACCCCATTAAAGCCTTTTGTTCCCAGCTAATCTGAAAGTGGTCCCGGAACACATTCTTTCTCCGTCGTTCAAACAGCAATTATCCTATGACCATGTAGGTTCACTTGTTCACTCCTTCAAACATCCGGTCACTTTTGATGAGGCGTGTAGCACAAACTAGGCTGACAGTGTGGCTGAGCGGAAATCTGAGGCTCGCAAGTACATGACTACTTGAGGCCAGGTCCGTTGGGCTCCGATCCCATTCCTGCCATGTTTTGTCTATCCTCGACACATCATCCTCTTCATCAGTTTCAGCGACCTTGATCTACAGCTCAACCAACATGTCTACCAGATCACCGGAAACGCCCAACCCCGAACCACCTCCTCCGCCGAACACAGTCGTCCCACACGTGTTGTGTCATTGCTGTTCTCGTATCGTCAAGAAGTCCAACATTATTCAGGCACTCGCAGCCGACAGGCTTCATGAGTATGTGGACACCATTGAATCAAATTTAAAGAAAGAGATCTTCCTCCACAATCCCAATCCCAGCTATATATTTGAGTCAAGCGCCGCTGGGTGCCATCTTTGTTCCTTGGCTATTCCAAAGGATGTCGATCACTCCTGTGGCGACAGCGACTATCGGCCTTGTGTTTCTGTCTATATCCAAGGCGACGATGACGACATAAAAATATACTTTAAGTTTGGGTTCCTGCACATTGATATTGCAGAGGAGCTACTAAACGATTTTGACCGTATGGATTCGGACGCTGAACGCATTTATATGCACGAGGCGAGACGATTCCTTTATCCTGAGATTTATGTTCTTGAAGGCTTGAGGAACTCGCGTTGACGGTGTTGACTAGTAAAGGTATGGTATGCCGCTTCCGTTCAGACATTTGAACGAAAAGATTCTGAGTAAAAGTGCCTGGTCAACTGGAAGCCTACTGACTGAAAGCAGGAACACACGACCATGATGCAACATCAGTCTCTGGTCCTCATCGTTTCTCTACCTCGACCAATTCCCCAGAGGCAGTGTCTGTCGCACGGTTGTGGATAGATCAGTGTATCCGGAATCACCCCAGATGCAACCGAAACCCGTTCAAAACGGAAAGCAAGGAGCATGAGCGGCTTCCAACAAGGCTAATCGACGTTGGAAAAGCCGATGAAGAAGCAGCACCACGATTGATTCTCACATCAACCTCCGTAACTTCCTCAATCAAATACCTGACATTGAGTCATTCATGGTCTATAACTTCAACTGAGTGGACTCTGAAACTGACGAGTGGAAATATACAACACCTTCAAAAGCAAATACCCGTCAAAGACGTCCCGCAAACGTTCCAGGAATCCATGGATTTAACACGACGACTTGGATATCAATATATCTGGATTGATTCGTTATGCATCATGCAAGATTCGGAAAGTGACTGGCATAGGGAGGCCCTTACCATGAGTCATACCTACGGCAACTCAACATGCAACATTGCCGCTTTGGGAGTCAACGAAGCCGACGCTTGCTTTGTGCAAAGGAACCCGCTTCGGTTTACCGTATAATTCTGGGAAAGTCGGTTTCCAGGTCAGGCATAATCGTGCGGATCCGGTAGGGTTAAAGGACTGCCAGTTGCGTTTGGCTGTATGTACGTGGCTGTAGAAGCAAATAGCAGAGCTATAACCCTGCGTTGCCAGCCCGTCCTGGAAACCGACTTTCCCAGGATTATACGGTATTCCATGCCGGATTACACCACAAACGAATGGGAGTAGCGTCTATGCCGATCGGCATCCAACTTGGGAACCGTACCTCTTTAGGCGAGGCTGGGTAATGCAAGAAAGACTTCTATCTCCACGCGTTATTTACACCGGAGCCGAACAACTGTGCTGGGAATGCTGTTCGCGGACGACTCCGGAGGCTTTACCAAGTTGACCGGCGAAGAGCGTCTACAAACAAAACTAATCAGTAGCTGGGCCTCGTTTCTCAAATTGGTATACTGCGCAAAGTCCGATTTTGAGTTGCTCTGTGGTCATGAGCCCCATGAAGCTGAATTGCAGACAGTGTCCCAAACTTTCCCATGCGGAAAAAAGGACCCCAAAGTCGCATTTGCCCGAGCCTGGCTAAGGATAGTCAAAGATTATGGTCGCACCGAATTCACCTACGAATCAGACAGGCTCATCGCTCTTTCTGGAGTGGCGAAGGCTATCGAACATAGCAAAGGATTCACTTACGTGGCCGGAACATGGAAGGAGCTCTGGCCCATGGACTTATTGTGGTACAGGCTGTACCTGAATCGTGACCGCAAGGGGACACCCAAGAAGGAACTAGCGAACCGTTCGCGATCGAAAGCCCCTTCGTGGTCCTGGGCTGCCGTGAAACGGGACAGGGACGGGGTGTTTCGCTTCATATGTTACGATTCCCCCCACAATACCGACCACATCACCTACTTGGCACAGGCCATTGATTTCACCAGCCCCACATCTACAGCTCGATATACTGGTACGGGGGCGAATGAAGACAGAATAACACTCACCATAAAGGGTGGAGTTAAGAGAGGGGTGGTGAGTTTATACAGGGGCACCTCTGCATTAAAGCCCTCGTTTGAACGCGGAGATTTTAGTGTGCAATTCAGCGACGGATCCGATCACCCTGGTTATCGTCCTTCTTGGGACCAAATTCCAAAGGTGGGCGACTCAGTGCTCCTTTTATACTTAATGAAAGGGAAATATAGCACCCCGACCGAACACCTCTGCCAGTGGGGACTGGTCCTGATGCTGGAGGAGGGCGCACAGAATCAAGACGGGCAGCTTTGTTACAGACGCGTGGGCTTGTTCCGTGAACTTGATTGGGAGGACGGTAACAACTGGGAGGAGGAAACTGTTTGTCTCTGTTAATGGCTCAAAGAGATAGGCACAGGGCAGAGAATTGTGCAGGCCAAGGGGGTAGTCTAGTGAGTGCGAGACTGTGTCGTGGCTTGGATCATTGATGGGACTTGCTCTCGATGGATGTTAGAACCTTGATGGCTTCTTTTCTTTGATGTTAAGTTGTGATAGGGCATGATAAGATTTTGGTAGAAATACTGTGGGCTTCCTAACTGATACTAGCGCATCACTATCGTTGATGCCGTGGGCTTACCGGCCTCATTTGCGCTCTTCCTATAGTAAATCCGCCTTATCCGTAGACAAAAAAAGCCATATTCGTGATTATCTACTTTTCTTTCTCCTTGTTCTCTCGTTTTCCTCACAGACATCGCGTCCATATCGTCGTCAAGTGTCGTTCCTCTCAAGCGCACTGCGCCTACCGCAACCAATGATTGGTCGCCTGCGCCTATAGCTATAGGTCCCATAAAGTGGGTCCGGGTCAGGTCCAGCGCAACGACATCATCCGGTCGAGGGGACGTGCTTGACGTCCACCTGCGGCGTCCTACGCGGCCAGGTCCAGTGTTCAGGTCCCGGTCCCCATCGCCATCACCTCTCCAACCAAATAACAACAACGAGACATCCCAACGACGACGACAAGATAACACTTACCCAGCTGTCGCATTGGATTCTGACGCACAAACAACAAGACACTTTCGAGCAAAACGATTAGAATACCGTCAAGATGAAGCCTGTTGTGGGAGCCATGCAGGCTTGGAGCTGGTAAGCAATCCGGATCCTGTTCCGTTCCATTCATCACTCTACACGAGTTACACTTCCCATTTCCATCTCCCGTCGCAATCGCAACAGAGACGACGCAGCGGGGTTAGATGCGCAGTTCTCGGTCACCATGCCATACCTTACCACACCAGAACATCATCTATAACCTCTACAAGCAATGACAAAGCGCTAACCATGCCCCGAAAACAGCACCGTCATCTCCGCCTTCGCCATGCTCATCCTCGGCATCCTGTGCATCCTCTTCAACAAGAACCATCCGGAGCTCGTGGGCGGGACGGAGGATCCGGAGGACGGGAAGGAGGTGGCGGCGACGGCTGGGATGGCTATTGCTATTTATGCTGTGAGTCTACCTACAATGCTTGGGAAATTTACAGGTGACGGGCGACATATGAAAAGGGAAACGGTGGCTGACAATGTGAACGATACAATAGGCATTCTTCATCTTCTGCGGTCTCCAAGGGTTGTTGCATTTGCGAGAGGGTAGGAGGGGGGCTATTGCGCTATGAGGTGCTTCAACAAGACGACAACGAATAGCATACACGGCAACGACACGACCACAAAACCGCAGCAGGACGGCAGAAGAATGGAGGTCGACAGCAATACAAGTACACTGCAGCAAGCAAGCACTACTAGACTTTGCAACGCGACGCTTTAGAAGAGGAGGTTTATGGGACAGCACACAACGATACGGCGTTATTTTGGGGTTTTGTTTTCTTTTAACGAGAAGGGTGGATGAAGGAAGAAAGGGAGATAGTGTACGGAAGCATGGTAGATGGTTACGGCAATCATACTATCAGCGCTGGTGCGGGACAGGACAACATCTCGATCGGACTCCCAGCGAGCATCCGCCACCGTTATTATCGCGCCAGCAAATAATCGATCGGTTGCTGGACTGTCAGAATTGTCTCCACGATGGAGTGAGCCTCGTCGTCCACCAAAGTTATTGGTTAGAGGAGGATAGTTGAGCTGGTTTTTACCCGTTCCACGGCGTCTTAGGGATCAAGAATTCATGTTTAATCATCTGCAGCTTGGTTGCTGCTTCTTGTCATTCCTTGCCTGTTTTGATGCCGCATTTCGAGGAGGCTCGCGATACTATGTTAAGGGTCCTGAACGGCTACCTGGCGCGACTGATCAACAAGACACAACAGACCGGTGAGAAAATCAGCTTTACCCTGTTTCGTCATAATCGACATGTTTGATCAGTTGCAGGAGAAATGTCAAGATGCTGTATGTGTTTCCCGCTGAATAAATGTGCATATCCATTACAATGCCTGCCGGCGGATATGCGGTTACACACGTACGGGACGGCTTAGATGAATTAGGCAGCAGAAGTGGGTCCGCCGCGATAGCTTCAACCAATGTCGATGAGTTCCCCGCAAAGGGTTCTCGTTTTGAGATTGAAGCCATTGAAGACTCCAGGCAACTCCAGGCATCACATCCACAATGACACGCCCTGCTCCTCCTTCTCCAGGCTGTTTACACGAGTTCACATGATGTCGCGCCAGATTCGCGAGATCCGCAATGGGTGCGCGCTATGTCCTAGGTTGTTGACGTGGGTTGTCCAGGCAGCACACCCCCCTGGCGACTTCCTTCTTGGGACGACCTGATGGAAGTGGAACTGAAGCTAACAATCAAGTCGGTGGGAAAGCGCCATCGTCGTGAGGCGTGAGGGGCGAGGATGCGTCCAAAGAAGCTGGAAGGAAAGTGTTGTGCGGTCGATGGTCAAGTCGACGGTTAGAGACATGCCGAAGGTACCTGCCTTATAAAATGAAGATCACTCGCTCTTCTTCTTCCGTTCTCTATCATCCCATCAGATCTTCATCGTCCTTATTTCTTCACTGTCTTTGATACAGTCAAGTCATAGTCTCTTCACCTCTCTCTGTCCAAGATCAACACCAAGTCAAGTCTTTTCCCAGACAGTTCAACATGGCGACATCAACCTTTCCCCAGCCGCCAGTCCCCCACAGTGACTTGGTCAAGCATATCGCCAACCACCCAGAGACCCCCATGGTCGAACTCCTCCAGCCTTACCGTGAATATGAGGCTCGTCTTCGTCAGGCCTACGCTCAAGAGCCGGACTCCGAGCTGCTCAAGGACCCCTACGTCAACGTCCTGCCTCTCTTCACAGACAACACCTCCGACATCAAGATCCGGGCCCGCAACATTGAGACGGAGTCCGAAGAGGAGAGGGCGCGATACATCATGCCCCTTCCCAAAAACATGCGTCGTCCAGACCAGTCTCCCGCTGTCGTTCAGTCCCACAAGGAGTTCCAGAGAAACTTCAACATCTTCTCCGAGTCTTCTCTTGTCGAGTTGAACTGGGACAATGTCGTTGCGGCCGGCTCCTCCGTTGTCAACTGCATCTTGCCTGTTCCCAAGAAGTACAGCGGCTCCAAGAGGCTGATGCGCGAGTTCTATCATGAGAAGTTCTCTCCTGCTTCTGATGTCGATCTGTTCTTGTATGGTCTTACCGAGGAGCAGGCGATTGAGAAGATCAAGGAGATTGAGAGCCAGGTGAGGGATGCGCTGCTTTGCGAGACTACGACGGTCAGGACCAAGCATGCTGTTACTATCTGTGAGTCTTTTCCTTTGCTCCTCTTGTGGATCTAGAAACTTACACCAGTCCAGGTAGCCAGTACCCCACCAGACACATTCAGATCGTTCTTCGCATCTACAAGTCGGTGTCCGAAATTCTTACCGGCTTCGACATCGACTGCTCCGGCGCTGCGTATGATGGCAAGCAAGTCTATTGCACCCCTCGCGCTCTGCAGTCCTACATGACTCAGACCAACCACATCGACCTCACTCGCCGTAGCCCCTCCTACGAGAACCGTCTTTCCAAATACAGCCGCAGAGGGTTCGAGGTTTACTGGCCTGAGCTCGACCGTTCTCGCATCGACCCTACAATCTTCGAGCGGAGTTTTATGAGAACTCTTGGTCTCGCAAGACTTCTCGTGCTGGAGAGACTGCCAACTGCCAAGGCTAGAGACAACTATGTCGACCAGCGTCGCCAGGAAAGAGGTCGCCCTGCTCTTAACCGATTCATGCGCAAGAACTTCCGGGCCATGGGTGGAAACATCAAGGACGACTATGACGACGAGATCGCGGATTGGGTCAACGAGGAGGAAGTGTCCAACTACCACACATTTACCATCCCCTATGGTCCCAAGTTCCACGCCAAGAAGATCGAGAAGCTTTGCTACACCAGGGATCTCTTGCTCAATGCCGAGTGGAACCAGCGCGATGATCGGACCGTGTACTTGCACCGCCATCCTGCCTTTGTAAGTCTTTCCGAATGGATACTCTTGATGTTCTTCGCTCACAATTTCTTAGTTTGGCCGCTTCAAGGACGTTGTTGAAGACTGCTGCGGACACTGCCCGGTTCCCCAGACCGATGAAGAGAAAGATATCGCCGAAGAGGAGGCTAAGATCTACGTCTCTGGCAGAATCTCCTTCATCAAGGACGACCCCGGAAGACAGCAGATTGGCTCCTTCAATCCTTTGACGGATGACGACTGGACTGAAATGGCCTATATCGGCAACACTGCCAGGCTGTGCCAGGCCATTGTCGATGAGGACGTTGAGCACGTCCAAGACTGGCTTGCTCAGGAGGGCGCCGATCCCAACACTAGGGATCACACTGGCAGGACTCCCCTTCACCTTGCTGTCATGTCCTCTTCGCCAGAAGTGGTTCGTGCCCTCGTTGAGGCCGGTGCCCGCCTTACTGCGCGTCTCGCGGACGGAAGAACCGCACTCCACCTCGCCGCTTCTCGTGGAGATGTGGAGATTATCAAGATCCTCATGAACAAGAGCAACACCAACGAGGAAGAGTTTGAGGAACTGGAAGATCAACGTCGCAAGGCCAGGGCTGCACTTCGAGAGCAAAAGACGGAGAAGATGGATGTCGACGATGAGAAGGAGGACGACTCGGAAGACATCGAAATGATCGAAGCTGACGATACCGAGTCTGATGCCGGTGGCGATAAGATGAGCATCGCGACAGGCTCGTTTGTCAAGGTCGACAAGACTCCTGAGACACCAGCACCTGATGGCACACTCCCAGCCGAAAATGAGGAAGGCCCCGACTTCTACGAAGTGAATCAAGTTGCATGGGATATTCCGTGCTCGGCATTGCACTTTGCCATTCTGGAGGGACACGATGAAGTTGTCAAGCTTTTGTGCCAAGAATACGGAGCCGATGTCTTATTGCCCGTCAAGTTCCTTCAGGATAAAAATAAGGCCCTCTTGACGCTTGTTCTTGTCATGGCCCTTCCCATCGAAAAGGCAAAGTCCATGGCTCAGACGCTTCTCAGCCTTGGTGCCACGGTTGCCCAGGCGGACCTGAACAGTTGCACTGTGTTCGCCCACTACGTGGAGCGGAATGCCAGGACGCTCCTGGACCTGGCCAATGAGCTCGACAAGGCAGGCTACAAGACGGCAATCAACCACGTCTTGTGCGAGCAATGGTCCCGAAGCGATACACCATTGCTAACCGCAATCAGGGATGGCAACCTGGGCATGGTTGTGAAGCTCCTTGAGACGGGCGCTGTGCCGGAGATTGACTTTGAGACCTGGCTCAAGAGCGCCAGACAATCGGCCATGGAGAGCCGACTCAGCGACTTTGAGAGCAACAAGGAATTGTTTCGAGAAAATCTTGATCGCCCACTGATTGCTGCCTTACAGTCCAAGGAGCCTAGCGTTGCGCTTGAACTTTTGGAACGGGGGTGCGACCCGAATACTCTCCACCCTGATTCAGCACGGGCATTGCACAACACTTACAGCTCTCGATGGAAGGGGAAAACTGCCCTTGACATGGTGCGGTCGCAGCTAAAGGCCCTTCGAAAATACAAAGGAGAAACTACAAAACTCGAGGAGCCCAAGCCGCGCCTAGGACTGGACACCTATCTTCAACGATTCAAGGAAGGCACTTACCAACACTGGGCGGTATCCGGCGGAGTCAAGCTTGAGAAAATTGGGGAGCAGACGGAGTGGAAGGAGTATGAGAAAGGTCTCAAATGTCTTGCCAGCACGAAGGGCATTTCTGAGAAGGAGCAGGCTATCCGGGACGCCATTGCGACGCTGGAGAAAATCGAACAGAGCATCATCTCCAAGGGTGGCAAGACATTCAAAGAGCTCTATCCAGACCGCAAGGAGGACGGTAATGATGACTCCAGCAGCAGTCGTCATGGGTACTATCTCGGTTATACTTCTGACAGAGCCTCCTCCACAAAAGAGCCATATCAGTATAACTTCGTGTTCACCGGTGTTCAGGACATGACTGAGACAAAGCAGGCTGCTTATGTGGAGCTTTTTGAGGCCGTGTGGAATGGTGATCTCGACAAGGTCAAGAAGTTCACCCTAACCTCTTGGGACGACGCCAAGCAGCAGCCGCCACTTAAGATTGCTGTCGAGGGTCATAACGGACACAATCCCTTCACTCTGGCATTGCAGCGTGGTCACTACGACCTCGCCAAGGCGGTGCTCGAGATTGCCCAGGCGCAATATTCGCCTCCGGAGAAGGCCAAGACCCGTTACACGATGAACAAGAGCGGCGAGGTCGACGAGGAAGATGATGATGACAGTTCCTCGGACGAGTCTGCACCCAGAATTGTGGGCGAGACTGTCGATGATCAGTTTACCATTGACACCATCGGTCAGGTGTCCATGCAGGTGAAGAGTCACACCTTACCAGTGAATCTGCTCAAGGGCAGGACGGCCACCAGCGTTTGGGGCGGCGGCAGATGGGGCAATCGCCAGGTTCTCATTAACGGCGAGGACACGTGGGATCCGCTGACGTATGCCGTCACGAACAACGACTTGAAGCTCCTTAAGTTTGTGCTCGATATGGGCGAGCACTTTGGATCCCTGCAGCTTGACCCGGCCACAGAGCCTCCCAAGTTCTTCTCGGTGCCGGATGGAGTCTTTGCCTACGCCATTGGGGAGGGACGCATTGAGGTCATGGCTGAGCTGATTAGACGTACTGGTGCGGGCTTGCCGTTGGAGCACCTGGTGGAAGGATCCGGTCTTGAGCTTAAGGAGCAGCCGCGCTACTACCAGGGCTTGTCGGTGTATGGAAAGAAGAGAAAGGATTGGGCGAACGCCGGCCGGGAAGTGGCTCAACAACCACGCGACGAGAATTCCACGACGTCGCCTTTGCTGAGAGCTGCAGAAGATCGCTGCATTGAGAGTATCCAGTGGTTCCTGAGCGATGCTCCGTTGAGACATTACCTCGAGTTTGCCAAGTCCAAGGCTGCTCGGGAAGACCCTAGGATGCAACACTTGGGACGGGCCCCCGGAGGTGTGGAGGGTGCGATCGCTAGATGGCTTGATGACCAGGGTAAGTTACCCGTTGCCATCCGCGTTATAGAGGAAAAAGCTAACAAGCATACAGGCGAGTTGATCATCCACGTCGTCATTGTCAAGTCTGGCCAACTTGACGTTAGTGATCTGGTCTCGTATCTCATCAAGGCTTGCCCCGAAGCCTTGGAGGCCAAGTCACACAACAACTTGACGCCGCTGATGCAGGCCGTTTACATGGGTCGTATCGAACTCGTTAAGATCTTGCTGGAAGCCGGTGCAGACCCGAACGTCAAGACTAGCGCGTGGAACAATATCCTGCACGCCGCATTGCTCCATACGCCACCAGTTGACAAGCTTAAGGAACTGCTAAGCCTCTTCGACCGCGAGGCCGTCATCCGCATGATCACTGAGCGTTCCAGCCTGGCCATTGATGGCCGCACCCCACTCCACCAATGGCTCAACTCCATCGGGGGGAACGAAGACCACGACAAGTCCATCGCCGTCTTCAACCTCCTCGTTGAGATGTCGTCTGAGGCGGTGACCACCGCGCTCAACATGCTCAACGCTTCCGGCGACACCCCTCTGCACGACATGCTAAAATCAAACCACCACACCTCCAAGCTGATCCGAGCCGTGCTGGACTTCCAACCCAGCCTGCTCTTCCGCGAGAACGCCGTGGGCCGGACCCCCGTCGAAGTGGTCCACGACGAGCTCATTTCCAGCCGGGTAACGTCGGACGGCGGACAGCAGAGGCATCACCGGTTATACCGGTATGGAAACGACGGCTATCGCTACTTGCTGGCAGAGAAGCCGCACGTGTTTCTCAGCAACAACAAATCTGATCAAGAAAAGTGGAGCCGCGAGCATGATTGGCATCATGGTAACGACCACAACACCCGAAGGTGGGCTTTATGCCAGGAGTATCTGGCCAAACTGTCCAGCACTCCTCCGCCATCTCGTTCCGCTTCGCCTCCCACCGAAGGCCAAACCCAAGCTCATGCCCGGGACCAGTCCCCTCCCAAACGCCGCAAGCTCACCACGGAAACCGAAGGCCGTCTCAACGCGCACATCATCGCCACCAACAAGCTGAAAGAGAAGCGCACGCTCGTCTCCCTCCCCGAAGCCAACGACGTAGCCAAGCGTCTGGGCGAAATGAAGATGGGATCCAAGTACAATTACCAACTTGCCCCCGAAGAGGAAGATCAAGAAGAAGAGGTGAAACGGTTCGCGGACGACGAGACCCCCTTCGCTTCCAAGCCCGACCGTCGCACGTGGGGCGACGGTGTCCGTTTTGGAAAGTGGAGGAAGGGAAGGGGAGAGAAGGAGACGCCGAGGAAGAGTTATTATGCACTGGGGAATTCGGCCTGGAAGGATGTGAGGAAGAGTGGGGAGAAGGCTGAGGAGAAGGAGGAATGGGGAAAGTGTATGTATTGCCAGCAGTACCATACGATGTCTGGGGAGCAGTATGATCGGTACAACTGAGGAGGGGATGAGAAGGGTCGGGATTGGGATGATGTTGGATGGTTGGTGCTTTTACAGGCTGCGGGCGGGCAAGATTGAGTTACATGTGTGAAGTTGAATGGTCATGGTAGACGAGCTGATGTTGGGAAATTTCGTTGCTTTTTGTCTGATTTTCCTTTGATGATTTACTGTAACCTGTTAGAGTAATTTGCGAGTTGATATTTATAGAGTTCAAGCTAGTTGGCGATGTTCAATCAATTCACTCTCTTCAAGTGATGGCTTGACAGGTACTGACTGCAATGTTGACCTCCAACACAGCTCATAGTCTCATACAACCACTTAGACTTAGTACCCAAAACAATCTATGGTTACGCACCCAAGTGCATACCTACATAGCCCATCAGTATCATCTACAAAACCCTCGCCGAATACATCACTCATCCTTCAGGGCCATTTTCTGGTAGGATTTACTTCATTTCTCTTGCCATTCTTTCACTCTCTTCTTATCTCGGTATACTAACCCTAGTACTAATCAATGCAGCTTCATGAAACTCCTTATACTCCCCAGCCATCAGCCATCCGCCCTCCACCAACAACTGACACTGACACTGACATGGACATGAACAACCAGACAGCGGAATAATCCAACAGAGTCAGTCATTCAATCAACCAACCAGCTCAATCATCATCACCCAGCCTCTCCACCCTCGGTCCCTGCTTCTCCAACGCCTTCCTCAACAGCGCCAGTTTACCCTTCCTCCTCGCCTCCCTCGCCCTGATCTCCTTCCTCTCCTCTTCCGTAAACATAGATACCTTCTTCCTCGGGCTTGGGCTAGGGACGGCACTAGTTCCCGGCGTCATGGTGCTGCTCCTGCTCCTGACCGACGCGGAGAAAGCGCCAGGTGATTGTGAGTGTGACGACACGCTCCTGACCGAGTCTCTAGGTGTAAACGTCGTCGAGCTTCTCAAGCTTGCTGTTGTGCTGGCCTTGAGTGGGTTGGGCGTGGGAGTTCCCTCCCTGCTTTCTGATGACGCCTCGCGGGATTGGGATTGAGAGAGTTTGTGTCGCTGGATCTGCAGCTCCAACAAATCCACGTCGCCGCTCCTCTTCTCGGCCATGGTCGTCATTTTTTGGATGGTTCGCATGACGGCTTCTACCGTCGGTACCTTTGCGGTTCCGCCGGCTAGAGAAACTGCTCCCTTTTCTGCGGCCCTGGCGGCGATTTTGGTCCTTAACAAGACCAGGGCCTCCTCCGCTTCTGCTAGTTGCTTCGCAAACTGGGCATACGCTCGGCGCAACTCCGTCTGCTGCACGCTCTGCTCCCTGCTGAGCGGCTGCGCCTTGATGGTGGCGATCTGTTCTGGGTCTGTTTGGGCAGCGAAAAGCTTGCGCATGTCCTCCTCCTTGGCACGCATGGTCCTCAACTCGCGAGACACCTTATCCAGCGTCGCTTGCGTCTCTGCCACATCCTTGATCCTGCCTTCTTCCAACTCCCGAGCCAGTTGACCGTCGATGAGCTTGGTCAGCTCTGAAGCTTCGACGAGGACCCAGTCCTCGGGGGTTTCAAGGTCTTCTTTGGTGCGGCCGCCTTCCTTGGCGAATTTGGTGTGACCAAGAATGAATGACGCCAAAGAGCGCGAGTTGAGGCCTAGGCGGTCGGCCATGCGGTTGATGTCCCGCCATAGAGTCTCGACCGCGGCGGGGACTTCGGAGGAGGGTTTGGACGAGGGGGCACGATGGGTCTCGAGCTTGGAGTCGACGACGAGGAACTCGTTCATGGTCAGGGTAGGCTCAACATCTGCAGCAAGCAGTTGTTGGATGCCTTCGTCTTCGGGGTCGACGAGCGCTTGGGCTTCGGCCTCCTTCTTGGCGGCGAACTTGCGCTGGGCGGCCATGTTGGGGTCGACTGGTGGGGGGCCCTTGGGGGTGGTGCTGGCGCCCAAGAGCTGATTCTTGTTGAAGACGGGGGTACTGGTAGTTCGGGGTCCCTCTTGTGGCCTGAGAAGGCTGGGCTGGGCAACTTGTGTGCTGCGAACAGGACTGGGAGAGTCGAAAGGCCCTGAAGTCTTGGAGAACAAGGGGGGCGCGAACTTGGTCGCCTCGCCAAAGATGGAACGACTCTGTGGCTCTGCCTCGGAGCGAGAAATCGTAGAGAATGTGCTCGCCCCCATGTTGTTCTTGCTGTTTCCGAAAATGTTCCGGTTCTGGTAGCGTGGGCTTCCGTTTTCGAAGTGGACAGAGGTAGTCGTCTGGTCGAGTTCCTTAGAGACATCGACACCGCTACCCTCACTGGCCACCTCCGAGCCCTCATCATCCTCATCGCTGTGTTCCTCCTCCTCCTCGTCGCTCCGCTCCTCATCTTCCTCACTGCCATGCTCCTCCTCTTCGTCCTCCTCATCCTCATAATCCTCCTCATTCTCATCATGCTCCTCTTCCTCTTCATCTTCCTCAACATCACCCTCCTCCAAATCGCTCTCCTCCTCCTCCTTGCTCGGGCTCCAAGGGACATGAGGCAACTTGGGAAGATCCTGGGTCTTGACCGGGGTATCAGGAGGCAGTGGCGCATCCTCCGCCTTCTTACCAGCAGGCTTAGCCTTGCTCGACAAGAAATCTGGCGGCAGAGGAGCATCATCGCTCTTAACCTTGGGAGCTGTTTCTAGTGTGTCAGTTATTGAAGATGCTGATGATTCACCTGGAAGGAAGTCCGTCTTACTAGTAGTCTCGGGGGGTAGGGGTGCCTCCGGGATATTGGCCAGGTTCTCCTTGTCTTCTGTGTCTTCCTCCTTGACCTTGGGGGGTGTCGCCAACTTAAGAGCCTCCGCGAACGATTTGGGCTGCATCTCCGACTTAAGGGGCGCCGCGAACGGGTTGGGCTTCGTCTCAGACTTAAGAGGCGCGGCAAACGGATTAGGCTTGGCCGCACTTTCCTCGGTCTTGGGCTTTCCAAACAGATCGGTAAGCGGCTTGGGCTTGGACTCCTCGGTCTTGGGCGCTCCGAACACATTGGAGAAGCCACTGCCAGGGGGCTTGGGAGCACCAAAGATGTTGTTGGGGGCAGGGGTACCGGCGGGTGTCGTGGACTCTACGTTGAAGATCGACTTGGGCTTCTCGGTAACAGGCGTAGGAGCCGCGCTCTCCATGGTCTCATCCTTAGTTTCCGCAGCGGCGGGCTCGTTCAGTGACAGACCGAATCCACTGCCGAACAGAGATCCACCCTTCTTCTCCGAAGGCTCCTCGTTGTCGTTGGCAGTCTTGGGGTCAGCCTTGAAAGTAGTTCCAAGCACAAAGGGCGATGATCCAAAGGTGGAACCTCCCGCCGGTTTCGCAGCAGGAGGAGGGAACGCTGTGTCAGAATCCATCGAAACTTCAATGCTCTTCGATTCAGCGGGCTTTGACCCAAAAATGCTTCCACCGGAATTGTTACCGGCGAGGGAACCGAATGCGCTGCCTTCCGACTTCCCTGCAAAACTCGTAAAGGGAGTAGGCGTACTCGCAAAGCTGGCAAACCCACCGGATGATGAGGCAGCACCGCCGCCAAAGACCTTACCTGAAGTTCCCGCAGATCCAGTGCTGGTACCACCAGAGGCCCATGGAGACGCCTTGACTCCCATTCCGATCATGGACGACTGGCCAAAAGCAGGAGCCACCGCTGGGCCCCCAAGCGCGCTTGGGGCGCCGAAAGCCGGAGCAGCAGCAGCCGGAGCACTTCCAAAGCTGCTGGAGCCGAATGCCGGGGCTGCCGCACCGCCGCCGCCCCAAGAGGACGTCTTGGCCCCGAGAGATGGGGCAACACCGAACGCTGAAGAGCCAAACGCCGGTGCAGCCGTAGTGGAAGAGCCAAAGGCCGGCGCAGTCGTAGTAGAAGCGCCAAACGCAGATTGAGGTTGCGCTTGCTGCGCTTGCTGCGCAGGCTGCGCAGGCTTGTTGCTATCCATGACAGCAAGACCAGGGTACGTCGTTCCGTTACGGATAGACTCGTTGTAAACCACCCACCAAGCCGAGAGGACACCGTCGTTATTTAGTACCCAGAGGCCGGGCAGAGGACCTGGGGACTCGTTGATTTCGTCCGTGGGGATGGGCTTATATACCTTGTCTTTGGCAGATAGGTCCAGGGAAGTACCAACAGGGAAGGTTTCCGTCATATCCTCACTCATAGGGAGAAGCGCACGTTTGGTGTCATCAGCGAATTCCGTTGTGGTAAAAGCATTGACGACCGGTTTGTCGCTTGCCAAAGGAGTCTTTGAGCGGGTAAGGAGGCCAATGCTCTCGGTGGCGGTGGAAGACACCAGCAGAAGATCGGTAAGATTCGGAGGGAAGTCTTTCAACCGTAGTACTGTATGGTGGGGAGCCTTCTCCGCCCCAAATGGTTCGACAGGGTCTGTCATCTTGTTGTAGGTAAAGGTGGCTTGCGCGTTAGGCTGCTGCTGGCGTGTGATAATGTGGTATACAGACGGATCCTGGCCGCTTGTAGGGTTATGAATTACCAGGAACACATGATTCTCGAGCCACACCAGCGAAGACACATAGTAGTCTCCCAGACTGGGGGGCTTGGGAATATGCGCCTTCTCAGCACCATCCGGAGTCATCTGAATAATGGAGCCGTCCGCCATGCCTGCCACCAGCTGCTTGCCTCGGGTACTCCATGACGCACAGCTGACCTGGGACCGTAACGTTGGGCCGTTGGCTCCCGAAACAAGTTGACGCTCGTTCAAGTTGGCCATGTATAGGTTGCCATTGGTGGTGATCACTGCACAGAAGTGAGCGAACTCGGGTGCCGGGTTGGGTATAAGGGAACGAAGCGCTTCGCCGTTGGTGCTTATCTCAAAGGCGGACTGAGTGGTGCCGTTGCTAAGGGCATCGACATCATAGACTGCCAGGCCGCCACCCTCCTCGGCGGACAAAACAAGGTATTTCTCATCGGCAGTAAAGGAAAGCTGCGAGACGCGAAGGGGCATAGGGATGGTGGCCTGGGGTGTGAAGGGTCGGATGTCGCCATCGGCGGGCTGTTCCGCCTCGAAGCCCTTTCGTACAGATTCGGTAGTGGAGATTATAAAGGCATCAGGACCTGCTGCGGCTACGAGTCCCTTGTGCGAAGCAACGCTTAGGAGGGATGCCGTCGGGGCAGGAGCAGGATTCCATTTCGTGGTCAGTTGGACTTTGGCCTCGCCGTTAATCGCAAGGAAGCCGAGGCCCTGTTGGAACAGTGAGTTAGCATAACACTAGGGAGGAGAGTGTCGCAAACATACCTCTGTCTGGATAACCTCGAGAGCAGGACCCTCTGTAGCTCCGCCAGCCGCGCCGGACTGGTTTCCAAAGGCGAAGGCCATGGTAGCTAGAGGTACCTCTACCACTGATTGCTGTTGTTGTCTCGGTGTAATATGCCTGCTACACCCTTAGGGGAGGATCTTTGGGTTTATATCACCGGAAGTCGGATCACATTGGGCCAAGGGCCTGGTGTATAGGAGAGGGGACCGAGGATGCGGGAGGCCCAAGCCGATCGAGAATTTGGTGGTGAAGGTGGAGATGGAGTCGTAGTGACGAATGCGCGGCGGGGAAAAGAAGCGCGTCGCTGGATGTGACTGTCACTGCTTGTGACTTGGACGACGAAGGACGGCGATGCGGTAACTATCGTGGGTCGCGGGTATACTCTATACTCCTAGTACTACAAGGTACCTCGAGTGTTGGTGGAAGTGGATGGTACGTGGGAGTGGATTGGGTGATTTGTTTGGATTAGATAGTGTCGGCTGGATGGTCGTCGATGGTCTGTTGACTTTGGGAACCGGCCAGCTCGGTTTGGTGGTTGATACTCCCCGTGTGGGATGTGGTTGACGACAAAAGATGAAAGGAAAGATAGATGGTAACAAACAAAAATCCCTCGACTACAAAAAGTCTGGCGATGTGGTAATCTCGATGCCCGAACTTTGACTTTCAGTTGGAGACTGACGCAGTGGACGCCGGACCGGACAAGAACAAGACGCGACCCACGATTTTTCTGAGAGGCCGTCTTTGCCTGCCGTGTGCCCGTGTCCAGGTGAGCCAAGCATCATCCAACCCCTGCAGTAACAGCACTGGAAGTATGTTAGTCTAGCCTGATTCGGTTAGATACTATCACGTGTGTGGGGAGCTTGGGCCCATTACCACAGCTAACCCTGAGTGATGTTACTACTAACCCTGGCAGCCCTGTTTAGCGCGCAACTTGCTCTTGCTCGGCCGGCAGCAAGCTCTCAGTGGACAGCCCAGGAGTGGGCAGCTTCAGCGGGGGAGGACCTGGAGGCGGGCAGCCAGCAAGCAACCAAGCAACAACCGCCTGGAGAAGGCAGCTTCTTAGCCTCGTCATCAGCTATCAACTGTACATCAACAACATCACAACTTGCCCCATTCACTTTCCGTCATCCATCAACGCCAACGACGACGACCTTGCGGCAAACAGCTCCGCCTCTTTCTCCCACGCCAACAACAGCAAGTCGACGATTTCACGATACCCTCACGATATACTACTAGTCAACTCCAACTCTACCGCCACCACCAACTAATACCCAAGCCGAAACCATGCCCGGCTTCGACTTTTCCAACTACAACCGCAATGCGGCGCTACACGCCCGCGGCGTCCCGCTGCCCAAGGCTACCAGCACAGGAACAACCATTGTGGGATGCATTTACGACGGTGGTGTAGTGGTGAGTACAGTCTCATTCCTCCTGAAGGATAACCTTGGCCTCCCTCCCCTCTCCCATCCCCGCTATAGCTACCAACCCGTTTACCATCGCCATCACCGTCCCCCTCCAAGAACCAACCCCCACTAACGTTTTGCCCCCTCCCAGATCGCCGCTGATACCCGCGCCACATCCGGTCCCATCGTCGCCGACAAGAACTGCGAAAAGCTGCACTTCATCTCCCCCAACATCTGGTGCGCCGGCGCCGGCACCGCCGCCGACACGGAATTCACCACGGCCCTGATCTCCTCCCAGCTGGAGCTGCACTCGCTGTCCACGGGCCGCAAGCCGCGCGTCGTGACGTGCATGACCCTTCTCAAGCAGCACCTCTTCCGGTACCAAGGTCACATCGGCGCGTACCTGGTGGTCGCAGGCGTCGACCCGACCGGCACCCACCTGTTTACCGTGCACGCGCACGGTTCCACCGACAAGCTCCCCTACGTGACCATGGGCTCCGGCTCGCTGGCGGCCATGTCGGTCTTTGAGACGCAGTGGAAGCCGCAGCTGAACAAGGAGGAGGCGATGAAGCTCTGCTCGCAGGCGATCGAGGCGGGCATCTGGAATGATTTGGGCTCGGGAAGTAATGTCGATTTGGCGGTGATCACGGCGGAGAAGACGACGCTGCACAGAGGCTTCGTCAAGCCGAACGAGAGGACCCAGAAGCTCAAGAGTTATCAGTTTAGGAGGGGTACGACGGCGGTGCTTAATGAGAAGGTGATCAAGAAGGAGGAGATTGGGAATTATGTTAGTGTGGTGGAGCTGGCGGAGGAGTCGAGCGGTGACAAGATGGAGGTTGATACATAGAGTGCGACGGCCGAGTGGTATGGCGTTGTCTATGCTGGGACGCTCCGGGCCACGACGAGGAGCGAGGCTGGATGGACGATCAGGACGGATGAGATTAGCGATCTGGAGCTTGAGCCATGACGTTGCTACGGGCATACCAAATGGCGCCTTGGGGCATGATTGCTAGATAGGCAGATCGAAACCCCTAAGATGGGGTAAGAGATAATGACAGCTAGAACATATTTCGTTCCTTCTCCAAACATGGTGATGACGACCAGGACCAATATCAAGTCGGACTTCGTTTCAGCGTCTGTGAAGATGACTAGGTTCGTGCAGGCAACGAAAGAAAAGGAAAGGAGCAGAACACAAACCATGTCACCTAGCCCACAGCTAATTTGGGTCCCTCTCCATGCCTTCGGTAAGACTTTCTGGGGAGAAAACCTCGCTTCGCTCGTGATGGATTGGGAATGGTGTTTGCTGTAGGAAAGCTTTCCGCCCTTGTCACAGTGATCTTCGAGGGCTTATTGAATCCCCGTCGGGGCTCTCGTAACAAGGACCAGAGAAAAGCAATTCTCTAACAATTCTCTTATCAATGTCTAGCGTAGTCGTAGTCCATTCGATTATGGGTGTGTTGTGTATACCGATAATTTGGGAAATAAGAAAGGCTACCTAGGGTTTGTTTGGTTGGACGCTGAACATTCAGATCCCGTCACGAGTATGAGCAGCTAGAGGGGAGCCATTGATCGGCACCTCTGAACTTTTTTTTTTTTATCAGGGCTTGCTTGGTTCTACCCGTGATATCAAGGTGTGTTGATATTGATATTGCTGGCCTACGAGCCTCCCTACCTACTAGGTACTCACGTTTCCCTTATGTGTTTTACACCCACTGCTTCCTCGACTGCATGGGTCACCAGCTATAGAGGATTCACATACACATGTGAACAAGACAATAATCACTGCAGCTTTAGATGTGAAATATTTGCTTGGTCTTCTTCCAAATGCTTCCATTCTTCTCTTCTCATCTTCACCCCCTCCCTACTTGGTATATCTGTCTGTCTGATGTGTTTGTACTTTCTCCCCCCTCTCAATTTCTCCTTTACTCTCAAGGGCTTGGCTAGCTCGCTAGGCATAAATCAATGCCACTTGATCCCAAAAAAAATTTGCTTCTCAGAATCGGCGAGCTTCTTGCGCCATATGCCACTCTCTCCCATCATCGGAATGAGGTTGTTGAAGATACACAAGACATTCTCTCTTTTTATGTCTCGTCTAAATGGGGCGGGCTCCTGCTCACAACTCTGCCCCTTATGCTTGCCCCTAAATGGTAAGAAATGAAACTTTTTTCAGACCCTCCCCACCACCGAAAAATGATAAAGAAAGAAGAATGAACATAGAAGAAAAAAGGAGAAAAATGAAAAAAGCGAAGGTATGAAACAAGAACACAAGAAAGGAAAACAAGAAACAAGATCAAACAGGGGAAAAAGACAAGCAAAAAAGCGAATGTTGCTCATAACGTACAAAATGTTGGAAAGAATATGTAAATGTAAATGCACAGAGAAATCAAGCCCTCCCGCTTGAAAAACGCTGCGGGAGGACTCGAACGACAACAACACTGCAACGCCCCGTAGCCATGCACCCAGCGCCTTGTAACTCCTTTTCCGAAGACTCTCAAAACGATGGCCCAAATGGATGGGAATTTTGTATGTTGTATAGGGGGTATGTATGTATAAACGGGTTGGGGTATTTTGAACTTGGGTATTTGGGTATTTGGTGGTTGTTTTTGTGTTCAGTTAGATGGGATGAGATGCATGGTCGTTATCATCAGTTGAAAAGGGTTTCAAAATTGGGTGTTCGAAGTCGAAGAATGAATGCCCTACCGGGCCAGGTGGCGAAGAGAACCTAAACAAAAAGGTGCCGGATATAGTCGAAGATAGCTGGAAACCGTCGTGCTCTTAGATCGCTCAAGAATGAGTGCTCGACTTCCTCCCGAACAGTCCTTTCCTAGTCTTGGACTTGGTACGGGAGTGTTTCGAGTCTTTTGCATCATCGGCGTATTTTGGTTTGTGAATCCTGTTCCTCGTTGTCAGCCCCCTATCACATATCCCCAACTCGAGCGCAGTGAGAACCACGAAAATAGAACTTACCAGCTATTCCCAACCATACTCATCCCCTTCGCCTCCGCCTCCCGATAATACTTGGCGCTCTTCTTCAGATTCTTCTTGCACCCAATACCCTGAGCATAGCAGAACCCAGCTTCCGCTAGGGCGTCGATGTCTCCCCATGCTATATCGTTTCCTTGTCAGCAAATCTACCCCCTCTCGCCAACTCTCACAGAAGAGGCAGAAAACTTACACCCAGCAATCTCAAAACACCTCAACGCCAAAACCTTGTCCTGCTCAATTCCCCACCCATTCATATGAGACACACCCAACTCATAAAGCGCCAACGCAAACTGCGCCTTTCTCGCCTTATGCTCCACCTTATCCACCGACTTTCCTTCTTTCGTCTTGTCGTCATCCTGCTGCAATTCCAAATTGACACTTGCCGCGGCCTTTCTTAGCCATTCTACTCCCTCGCGCTGATTTGGTCTCATACCCCATCCGTGTCGGCAGGCGAGGGCGAAGAGCAGCATACCCGTGGGGTGGCCCTGTTTTGCTGCGTGACTGAGATGCCAAGTGGATTCTTGCAGCGCACCCTTTTCGTGTAGGGCGACGGCTTTGGAGACGTGCTCTTCCGCGGTCATTTCGGCCATGGTGTGATGCCCGGTAGATTGGCCTAGAGAGCGTGTAGCTTTGAGGGTGGCTGCTGTGTCGTTGGTAGCAGCGATGGAGGGTGCTGCTGTCGCCGTTGGGGTGGCCGTCTTGTTTTGATTGCTGTCGGGTGTTGGAGACGTTGATGGTCGGGCGCGCTCGAGGGCGCTGTCTGTTGAGAGGCGACCAATGGCTTCTGGTGACGGTTGCCGTGTTGAGGCTGACCTGGGAACCTCGAGGGTCACGTTGCTGCGCTCGGATGGTATCCGCCTGAGGCGGTCTTCGGATAGACGAGGTCCTACTGAGCTCGATGGCGATGGAGGAGGCTGTCCAGACACGGGAGAACGGGGGTGAAGCTCATTTGAGCTAGGCAATGGAGGCCGCTCATTGGTAGTAACCTGCCTAAGGGGAGTACCAACTTCGGGCCTCTCATCTTCCGCTCGCCGAACAGACTTTCCGCGTGGCAAAGTGAACTGCACATTGTGGAAGGAATGATTACCGTCAGGGTCAGGGAAACCATCGCCGTTCATGCTGACCGGGGTATGCGCCTCATTATCAACCAAGACAAACGACGTATGGCTGTCGGAGGACGGCTGCCGAGCTGGAAACTCGAAGGATGGGGTTTCTGCCCTGCTCATGGGCCTGGAAAAGTTAAAAGATGGCTTTTGTAGTACGGACATGTCCGATGAGATAGAGGGCGACCGTTGACTGCGGCCCAGAGGAGACAAGATGCTGCTGCTGGTAGACATCTTGCGGGAACCCTGAGAGTGCTGAGAGTGAAACGATGTTCCCAACGAACCAAGTCCATCCTCGTCAGTCGATTCTAGGGTCGAAGACATGATGCTCGAAGATCGCTTGGGAAACAGAGGGCGAGGTGGCAGCAGACCACCGTGCTCAAACGAGCCCTGCTTCTGGATGTAATCCGGGGAAGTCATAGCCCGAGTCAAAGTCGGTGCCGGTGGTGGTGAGCGCGCCATGCTCTCTCGTGTTCCCATGGCCGAAGCGGATCGTCGCTCAGCCTCGGGGCTGCGGTCGAGGGGCTGGGGCGACTCCTCCCTACGGGCTCCTATTCCGAGAAAGATCTCTCCTTCTACGCTTTCGTTCGAGTGCTGCCTGTTCAGGGCATCGAAGTTCGGTCGAGCGGTCATCGGAATGGACGACTCGATAGGGGTGGGCGGGATGCGGCTCATGCGCGGGTGCATCGACTTTGGTCGGCTGTCCACGTCCTCGTCGACCTCGTGTCTCAGGCCCAGGCCGACGTTGTGCTGCGGTGTGTAAGCCTCATCGCTTCCAGAGTCTTGGGATAGGGAGCGAAAATATTCGGAACGGCCTTGTACAATTAACGGGCTATCGGTAGTCAGAGGCGGCAAACGGCTCATGCGCCGGCCCTGCCTTGCGCTCTCTTCAAGTTGTTTGGCAAGCAGCCGGCTCTGCATGGCAAAAGCATCCAGAGGCGAGAGCTCCGGAGGCGCCTCACCCGCGACATGGAGTCGAGGGGATCTCAGTGGCCTCGAGACGGACATTGCAGACTTTGACCGTATGTCAAGCTGCTCTGGGCGTCGTGGTGTGGACGACATGATGGATGCTGTGTCGGTCGCTTCAAAAACCATTGGTTGTTTGTCTCGTGAGGAGTCGAGAATGCCGACGGGAAGTTTCCTAGGTCGACAGACGGCGCATCAAGTATGAGGTCGAATCCAAACGAGGGACAGGTAGCGAGCGTGATGTTCGGTCTATGGTTAGACCGTGTTGTTCAACGAGCGTTGTTGCCGTCGTCGAGTCGAAACTGATGACAGACAAGAGCCGGTGGGTATCCGGATAGTATTGCAGATGCAGGGACTTGAGGATCCCTATTCCCCCTAAGAATGGAGGGGTCGCAAGCGAGTGTCGGATGGTGTGCGTCAAAGCAGGTTTTCCTATGTTGGAGAATGGCGCATTCGAGCGGTCGGCCTGACACGGGGTAGCTGTCTTTGCTGTCGTGGTTGGTGAGGTAGGTCGACGATGACGGGACGACAGCGAATCAGTCCTAACAGTGACCCATGGGGTGTGGTGGACTGGAGTCTGATGGGGGAGTCTGGTGGACGGAGAGTCGCAACGATCGACAACGAGTGACTACAATTTAATTCGGACGGGGGTTTTGTCGAGGATGGTCGAGGGTGGTGGTGGGCGAGGAATTGCGATTCGGCTCGGAATTGACTCGCTCGTCTCGTTCGGCTCTCGACTGGAAGCGAATGGATACCGTCCTTGATTCTTCTCCTGGGTAGGAAGAATGGAGGTGATGGATGTATAGAGGAGAAGAGGGGACCTCGAGGGGTGCAAGTGGTGGTAGGGTACCTCTAGGGATGAAAGAATAAACAAGACAATAGGAATCAAACAGGGGGAAACCAGTTGTTTTGCCCGAGGAAAGGGAACAAGTCAAGACATGGAGAGTCAAAAGTGACAAAGTGGACATGGGCGAGTAGAAAGTGGAATTGGGGAATCTCAAAAGTCCATTTGCACGAGCAAAGCGGGCATCTGTCATCCCAACTCTTGCAGGACGAACGGGTCCCTGAGAAAACGGTCTGTTAGGCCACGAGCGGGCCGCCACCACGGAGCCAATTGGGGCACTTTCACCCACTAACACCACTGTAGTCTGATGTACACCTTCAGCACGCTAGCGTCGTCGTCGTTGAGTGGTTCATCTGGGGATATTAAGTGGGCCGTGTGGGCGGGCGAATATTGCGGCTAAGCTGTTCACGGTAAGATCTCTGTAATTGTGTTCCAAAAATGAAGTACGCTAGAGTAGAATGGGAATAGCCTCGTTCATGGATGGGGCGTTCCTGAAAGCCATTGAAAGAAAGAAGGAACTGTGTGTGCTTCCTTCCTGCTGTTGTCATTCGCTCCTCCTTGCATTAGGGTATGAGTGCATATGTGAAAAGTACATCTTGAGAAAATTGATTTTCTCTGCATGATTTCCTTTGTTCCAGGTCCTCACTCTCAACCTCCAGCCTTCCTCATATCCCCTCAGGACAATAAGGACCTCACTAAGATCTCCAAAGAAAGTCGAACATCTGCATCTCAAAACCTGCAACATCCACCGGATTAAACCCCATCTCTCCAAGATCTGCAATGGCATCACCGGTCCCCCTTTTCTCCAGGTCTTTGTCTGTTACATACCTCTTCTCCCTCAAATGCGTTTCGAAATAGGGGCCCTATATTTCAATGCTATGGGAGTAAGCCACCATGTCAGGTACCGACCACACCGAGAACGGCACAACGGCCCTCATCACGATAATGTGGCACAAGACGCATACACGCAGAAAGATTCATCGGATTCAATGCCGTGTCGTCCAGCAAATCCATTGGGTTCTTGCTTCAAGCGGTGCAACATGACCTCAAAACCCTCAAACCTCTCGCATGGCGCCAAGCAACTCTAGATGTGGTCCATCTCTCCTAAACCGCCCCCTGGTCTCCCCATCTGGCATCTCGGCCAGGGGCATTGCCTGCGGCTCACAAGAGAACAGAACCCCTATGGTCAGAAAATGGAGGTCATTGGGGCGCGACCGGAAATTGTTTTGCTGTCAGGTGACCATCTCTCCTGCATGAAGCTTTTCCAACAGTCGGTCTCTCTTGGTATTTGTTGAAAAAGTCGATGCTTCCTTCACATGGCTTTTTACTCTTTGTTGTCACGGTAGCAACTAAAGCTCGAGAGAGGAGATCAACACAACAACCTTCCAGAAAGCCTTCTGGTTATTAGCCTCCTTTTGCCCGGTCAAATCTCTTTCTCTCCTAACAGCCCAGTCAAGTCAGGGCTAATCGTTCGGCGGTCCCGCTCGGGATGATACACGATCGGATTCCCAGATCCTCCGACTAACACTTGACAAGAAAAGAAAAGAAACGACTGCAGTAGAAAAAATCGAGCTAACACATGCAATGTGTTTGTTGCCTCCATCATTGCCTCGTGGCACATGGCACAGGGATAGAACCCTTCAACTCAATCTCATGTGCATGTCGTGACCCCATAGCTGCACTGATTGAGAGCTGGAAATGAGGGACCCCTTCCCGTCCGGTAAACGTGGGACATGGTTGGAGGATCTTGGTTAATGAGCCCTAGGATGAGGTTTTTAAGTAAGGACGCGGTAGGCCACGGTAGGGAGATGAAGCACACCTTATTCCAGAGATGAACACCCACCAATAGCGGGTCTTCTCTAATACTCTTGTTCTCTCGTCCATGATGTCTTCTTGGCTTCTTTCACTAGAGATGATCTCTTCCTCTTGTCAAACGTCCCTCAAGAATGCCGCTGACGCTGTCGTGGTCAACACAAGCATAGCCGCTGCCGCTTCCGCCTGTAGCCACCGAAGCAAACACGGGTTTTACCGCCAGCCAACGTTGCCCTCTAGACGGGGAATGATCAAAGAAACTCAAAGAAACAGAAGCAAGGGAACGACAACGAAAACGGACAGCAACAGTTAACATGACAGGGGTTCTCCACGATTTCCGTCGAACGTTCGGATGGAAAGCGCAATGTCTCCAGTGGGACCTGCATCATTCGCTGCATGCGCAGTGTCATTTTGGGATGCGAGTGTGAACTGAAACGAGATGAACTGGAACAGAACTTCTTTCCATGGCGCTAAACCCTTTTGGGATATCCGTTTTTCTCTTCCTTTTATTTTCTGTTTTCTTTTCTCTTTTAACTTCACCTATACGACAATTCCCTTGGCACACACTACCTTAGGTTCAACTCTGCGGTCATCAATACGGAAGATACGACAAAAGCTGGAAAAAAGGGACTTGTGTGTCTAGACCTCCATTACCGTCGCAACGACCGATTCCCCGATCCTTTTAGATCTCAGCTCAAATTCTAGACCGAGATCTCCAAGTCTAAAGCCTCCGAGTCCTTCCCGAGTACATCGAGCAACAAACTCGTTCCGAATGCGGCAGAGGTCGGGTTTGTCATTTGCTGCACTTCACATTTGAAGGGTTTGGCCAGGCACCAAATGGGTTGTTGTTTCAGCGAAATAGCTGCGTTATTATTACCTATCTTTTGCAGTTTGCTTCTGCTATATCTCGAACTTCCCTCGCCAAAATTGGCTTTACTAGACACTGTGAACTCCTTCGATGAGAAGTATATTGGGATTGAGACATGCCCTGACCGAACAAGCAGCAAGACAAAATTCTATAAGAAAAGCAGTAGAAGGCAAAGTCACCAACTTTGCCGCAAAGCCGAACGCAAAGTAACACCTACCCAAACCAGAACCCTCATCGCGATTTGCCATGTTCACCATAAGGATGACTGACCATGTCTGACCATGTCTGAGGTAACTTTAGAACACAGACATCCATCAGTTACACAAGCACAAGGCAACAAAACATGCCAGAGACACTGGCACACTGGTTGGTACAGACTGCTAAGAGACACAACCAAAAACATACAAATTCGTAGAAGGACCGAAAGGGTAAAATGTGGTCAACACCGAACGGGCTTCTACGGGCCAACAACACCCACAACCATTTCAACCAACACGATCAGATCGTGGCGAATTGTTTCTTTGCTGAGCTTGCTTGCACAGCCCTGTAGGCGGTGGAGTGACGTTTTCAGCTGTTTTTTGTTCCACTCGACTTCCCAACAGAAAATAACTAATCCGAGACTCGGACCCAAAGGCCAACCAACGGCCGGGGCTGAGCTTGCATTTTATTTTATACTGAGCCCGGTTCCGGACCGGGCGCTCCGACCTACTGTGTAGATTAAGGTAGTCAGCTGTTCCCGACCACTCCGACCCCACCCGGCCCCGGCCGCGGGATCCACATCGGCGCTTTTAGTGCAGCGTACACCGTCCGTCCGGGGCCCGGGGAGCCGGATTCGAGCCGGGGTCCGTCTGGATCTTGGTTTCAAGGGGCTACTATGTTAGTTTGAAACTCCCGACTACCCGGAGACATTTTCTCCTTCTAAAGATAGATAGGAATAATGGAGGTTTGACTTCCGCTACTGAATGAAGCGTGGTTTGTCCATACTCCCATACAAATTGACAAGCTATGTTGAACCGTGGAAACCCAACTACCGCTTCGCATATAGCAAGGAAATCAACATGGTGAATCAATTTTGCTCGTTGTTGACTTGGACTGTATGTGCCTAGATTTAGATAACTGTAGTAAAACCTCAAAAAAGAAACATTTGCAACTCCCCGTCTGTAGACACAACCTCTCGGTTCTATACCTGCCTCTTTTTCACCTCCATTGACCAGACGTCTGTCTAATTATCCTTGCTCCTCAACTTCTTCAACCTCACCGTGCCCTCAAACAACCCCCTATCCACCGCCGCCGCCACGGTCAGGGTACCACCCACAACCGCGCAAAGACCAGCCAAGAAACCCAGGAAGGACTTGGCGCGCTCTTCGCGGTTGACGACCTTCATCGGGGAGATGTCCTGTTTTTGTCTTGTTAGCACCATCACGCCACTCAAGTATACCTTCACAACACCCGGGGAAACTTACGTATGAGAAAAACACCCCCGGAATACCCCCCCTACTATGCAACCTCTCACCATGACCCTCCTTCGCATCATCGCCCCCGGCCAAGCTGCGCTTATGGCTCGTAACGCTATACTGATGCGTCTCCATGCTTCCATCGCTTCCATACCCGAATGCGCCAAGGCCAACACTGTGATCCTGCTCCCAATTCGCCCTGTTCTGCGCCGCCTGCTTCTCCCAGCCCAGCGGCAGGTACGAAGTCGGCACGATCTTGACAAAGTACATGAAATTGTAGTTCGGATCGTCCGTCTCCTGCTTGGTGTTGTCCAGGGGATTCAAATGGTGGTTCGTCCAGAGTGTGTTCTTCCCGTTGCCGCCCAGCTTGCGGACTAGGTCGTCAGGCAGCTGGGGACCGAACCGCAGCGAGTGGATGATATGGCTGAATGAGTGGCCGCCGGGGACGGGCGTGCTCCACCACTGCGCCAGGTCGTGGACGTGCATGTTCCCGTTGCTGAAACTACGGCCGGGCGCAATGTGGAAGTTGCCGATCACCTTGTTGACGCGCAGGCCACCTTCGATGCGACATCCTTCGTGACGTTGCTCGGCGAGCCGCTCCGTGTAGTGCTCCCGTTGGCATTGCTCCATGGTGGAGCCGTCGCCGAAGGCCCAGGACGCTTGGGCGTAGGCTTCGCGCACTTCTTCGCAGGTGGAGCAGCAGCCGGGCTTTTTGGCGTTGTAGGGGGCCGGAGCGCCGTAGCAGGGACCGCAGTAGGAGGGGTCGAGGTGGGTGGCGGATTCGTCGGCGGCGTGGCTGTTGAGGGGGTGCGTGTTAGTGGGAATGGGAGAAGAAGAGGGGGATGAGAATGGTGTGGGAGGAAGGGGGGAACATACAGAGAAAGAACCTTGGCGTCAATCTCTCCTCCTCCTTCGCTTTGGGGCCTAAGTCTAATCTTCTTGACGCCGTGCTGGACGCCGTGTTGTTGCTCGCCGGATACGTCCATTACGTCGAGGGTCAAGAGTTCGCAGGGTACCTTGGGGAAGGTGATGTTGAGGTGGATTTCCATTCGTTCGCCTGTTGCAATCCGTCATGGTCAGCTTCTGTCTTCCTATCTGTTTTCTTTGTCCCGCTGTCTTGTTCATGGGCTGTAGAGTATGCGCACCTCGTCCCTTATCAACCACCAACTCGGGGTGTATTACCACCTTCCTGTAGTCTCTCCATTCTCCCCACGAGAGGAACAAGACGACGAGCAGCGAGACGATGGTAACGATGCCTCCGGATGTCGTCCTGATCCTCGCATCTTCGACTGTTTTTGTAAAAGCGTCGAGCTTGGTGAATCTCGATTTCCCGGCCATCTTGGATCGTCGGCGGGTTTGTTGAAGGTGCCTCTAGGGGCGGACGGGTTCGGTGGAATCGGCGACGGCGATGATCAATGTGTCTGGATCTCGGGTAGTCGGTAGGTGTACAGGTGTAATGAACAAGTACCCCTAGGTAGCCAAGGGACGATGGAATGTTCCAAAGGTTCCACGTGGTTGGTGGAGGGGTTCGTTTCGTAGAGGGAGCTTGCGCGTCACCAACGGGAACGGAAGTGGAAGCTGCAGTGTGGAATTGACAAAGCTCCAGGCTGTTAATGTCAAGTCGCTGCAGCCTTGTAGCTCGGGCGGGACGGGACGATCTTTTCAGACTTCAAATTCCAGAAAGGAGGGGCTGCAATCAAACAAACGAACAAGCACTCTCTCGGGTTGACACTTTCGCTACTTCACTGCCATCAGTCAATCAACTCATCCACATCAATTCAGGGACAAGAGACATGTCCCGTATAACTGTTAACGAAACGAAACGATAACGAGGTTGAGGCCACCTTACACGCTTATTCCGTTCTCTGATTGGCCAAAAGGACCCTTGGGGGATCCGCCGCGTGGCATTGGCGGGCATTGAACAGCGGCCATCCATGTCCCATGATCCTAGGGCTGGACTTTCTTGGCGCTGCCAGGGGAAATTGTCTTGCATGAACCCTTTTTCTCTTTCTCGAACCATGATGGCTTTTTCCAGGAGTGGAATGGTGCGCTTGTTCTATCCTCCATTCCGACATCAAATCGAACGAACAGAGAAAAACCGAGGCATGATCGCAAGCTTCAAAAGACTCGAGCGTCGAGGTAGGCTTGACTGACCCTGATCGCATTTCCCGCATGCTCGTGGAAGACGAGTGTCACTGTTCTTTCCTGTCCACTTGCTGTTCCTGTGGTTTCTATATTTCTTCCTTTCTATCCAGATGCTCCGTATTCATGCACCGTTGCGTTCTCGGCATACTATCATCGAGCACAGCAGCAAGTGTTGTGTGGGCTTCACCATCTAACAAAATTGGCGAAAGAAAAATTAAAGAAAAAAAAGAATGGTCCCCCCCAGAATCGAACTGGGACCTCCCCAAGATCGGGCTTTCGCCTTTCTACCACCTCCCAGAGAACTTTTACCCATCGATTTACCCATCGGGGCATGCGACAGTGAGTATACTGCCATATTGCATGTCGTGGTTGGAAGCTCTGGGTAGCGTAGAGGTGTAAGGTAGCGTTGGACTACAATACAAATCTACCGATACGATATCGGCCCTTCCTCTGGACGACTACTGGGCACCGTCAAGGGTAGCGAGCGATGATGAAAAGCAACGCAGCTGTGCCCCTCACAGGATTCGAACTTCAGAGGTCGGGCCGTTCGCACGGGGGACTCGGGGGTATGCTACTCCTTACACCAAAGGACCTTGGTAATGTGTTTGTTGGAAGGGGGTTAGACGGGCGGACCTATAAGGGGCTTAGTGGGCTGGTGGGAGCCTGCGGAGGGCAGCAGGTTCTATGAACTCGTGAGTGAATGGTGGTGTTGAGGATGGGATCGAAGTCTGAGGTTTGGAGTGTTGTGCCGTCGGCAGTTGCGGGCGGCATGGTCGTCTCTACGGGTGAGTTTGGGGAAAGGTCAACACTTTCATGGTAACAACAAGTTGCTACCATTTCTAACCGCTCGGTCACGGGAAAGCGGGAGGTCAGGTGTATTTGCAAGAGGAGATGTGGCTAGAGGTGTTCAGTCTTCCTCTCTGTTGGGAACAGCCGTGTATCAAACGGAAGGAACAAAAGAGTCGGCTCATTTTTGACCGAACTGACTTTGCCATAGTATCACAGGAAAGTCGCAGATGCAATGCTGGTCTTTGCCTTGAGGAAGTGCCGGCCCTCAACATGAGCTCTTGCAGGCAATGCAGTCTGACTAACAGATTATTGCCCCCGCCGTTCCCTTACCAGGAAAAGGTGTAGTCCTAGAAGGGGCAGATGTCTTTGAAGGAAAGCACAATCCGCCCACACTGGTAAATGGCAACAACGACCTCCTCTCCGGCCTAGGTTTGTTCCATCACATCTTGGAGACCAAGTAAGTTAAAAGCCATGACTTCACCCAGTCCACACTCCAGTCACTGTCACCAACCATCATCTTCAACTTGAAGTGTTACCAAAGTCATTTGATCGTACTTCAGCAACTACAACATCTCACGATACTACACAGCTAAACCTTGGTTACTGTCCATCAACAACATACCAAACATTATTGATCACGACTACAACAGACAACCGCAACTCCAGTTTGTTTACCACATCAGTTCCCCAAAACAAACTAGCATAAACAACCAAACCAACCTTCCACACAAATACACACTACACTCAGAATCACCTGGCTAACAACACCAAAATGAGACCCTATTCTTCCGCCAACGAAGACCCCGACGACTCTGAGCGTGGCCGTCAGTTAAAACGCGCGGGCATCGACGCCGAGACCGATACGGACGATACGAACTACAAGCTTTCCCACTCTCCCAGTCCCGACAGCCTTTCTTACAGCGCTCCACCTATTCCACCCCGTCCTCGTCATCGTTCTCCCCCTCCTCTTCCTCATCGTTCTCCTCCTCCTACCGGGCTTCCTTTGGGGCTCTCTCCTGGTATCGCTGAGCTTGTCGCTTCTGCCGCCAGAGCTGCCAATCTGGCCGCTGCTAGCCGTGGTGGCTCACCTAACCCTATCAAAGAGGGTGAGGTTACCGCCCGCTCTTCCAGTGGCTCTTCTCGACCCTCCACCCGTCCCTCTGCCCCCTCACCAGAAAACCGCTCCTCCCCTTCTCCTGACCTTCATCCTTCCCTTTTACCTTTCCCTCCTTTTCCTCCCCCTCCCGCAGTCAAGTCCAACACCGCGCCCTACGGCTCCGAGCTTTCTCCCGAGACCGAAAAAATCCTATCCGACCTCAACCAACGAGCCAAAATGGCGGAACAGCAACGCCTCATCCGCGAAGGACGGGACCCGACAGCTTTAGCAATCTTCGAGGCGCATCGCCGTGAACATGGGTACGTGCTTCGCCCGTTCATGTGCCCGCTGTCAACGACGGATCGCTTTTGGTATGAGATGGGGTTGAAGGCGTTGCCGGGGTGTTTGATTGAAGACAAAGAATGCTGGAGGGCGCTGGATCCGTGGAAGACGGTGGTGAAAAAGGAGCAGAAGGGTAAAAGGAATTGTAAAGAGAATTATGATACGTGGGTGGAGAAGGGTAATAAGAGCGTTGTGCTGTGTGTGGCGGATAAGAGGGATAAGTGTAGGGGGGTCATGGTTCGTTGGAGGATTGATTCGAGGATGGATAAGGAGAAGGAGGCGGACGGGGTGGATCTTCATCTGCATGTCGGGGATGTGAGCAAGAGTGGGAGCGGGAATGGGAACGGGAATGAGGAGGAGGGTCCAGTTTGGAAGGAGGGGGTGCTGGGGTTGAAGGTGATTGATTTTTGGAGACCAGGAGTGGCAGATCGGGAGTTGCAGGCTGCGCTGGGAGATGCGACCCGTAACATTTTCGAACTTGAATTGCTCGATGATGTGAAGGCTGTTCAGATTCACGGTGGCGCTGGGCCGTCAATGAGCGGGAATGTGGAGTATCCGATCGATGCGAGGATGAGAAGGTACTTGGAAATGGAGGAGAATGTTAAAAGACTAGCGATACAGTTGGGGTATGAGCAAGTAGACGAGGAGCAGAAGCCAATGGGTACGCGGTGGGTGTTGGAGTTTCCGCGGGACGCGCTGGACGAGTTAGTCCGGACGATGGCCAAGTTGAAGATGGACAAGACTGATGAAGATGAATTGAAGGAGGAGGAGAGGAAAAACGACTTTGAGAAGGGCGCAGAGGAGGAACACAAAATTGTCAGGGAGGCTGGCTTCGGCGGAGCAAAGTATGTCGAGGACGCGAGGGCGGTTGTGGATCTTATGGACAACCTCATCATTGCTCAGGCGGAACAACGTGGCCTTGGGGCGACCCGGAACAGAGAAGACAGCTACAGACCCATGCCGATGCTTACAGGTAATCTGCCGGTCCGGAACAGGGAGAAACTCTCGTCGCCAGACAGCGAAAAGTTTGACTGGAATCCTTGGGAAGCTAGCCCTGAGTCTGATGGGGAAGCTATCTTGGAATCAATCGAGGCAGACAGCCCGGAGTCTGGGGAGGTGGAGGAAACCCGTCTGGAAGCTATCCCCGAGGAGTCAACCATGCCGGAGCTCAAGGCGGGTACCAGTCCAAAGCCCGATCAGGCGGAGGAAAGCAAGTCGGAAGGCGACAACATGTCCAGCCCGGAAATCGCAACACTCTTCAGGGACGAGGGGAACAAATATCACCTATCTGGGTCTCATACTCCGGAGAACAAGACGGCTATTGTTGAAAGTATCGAGGTCGATGCCGAAAAAGCCGAGAGTTCTCTCGATGGAAAGAAGGATGTCGGGGTTAGTGTGAAGTCTGTGGATCCTTCCGATGAGGATGCTTCTCATGACGAGTCCTCTGATGACGAGATTGTCGACTTGGCGGCTTTTTTCCTTGATGATTCTTCTGGTAACGAAAACGATCTTGACTAGGAAGACAAGACGGATGAGACGGATGAGAACAATCTTCCCCAGGATGACAAGACAGATGAGACCGAGCTTCCCCAGGATGACAAGATGGATGAGGATTGGGGTAATGAAATGGCGCTGGCCCTGCGCGATTTGCTTCGTGTCAACAGAACTGCTTCTCCGGACGACGAGAATGAGACCAAGAACAACGAAGCGGAAGGAAGCTCTTAGATGTTCGGGAGGAGGTTTATGGTATTGGGTATTGGTGTGTCTTAAAACATAACATGGTCGTGCTCGTCAGCGTTTCCTGTATCAATCCTCTGGATATAGCGTAAAAAAACATGTTATCTATTCCATTCTGTCAGCCCTCTAACATGTCGTACATCATCAACTTCTCAAAACACCCCCTAAGACTTGAGCCTCTCGCTCCTCGCCATATCGTCCTGCGCGTCTCTAACCAAGAAACTGTAACAAGTTAGCTTTCCATCTCCCTTTCAACCTCGGACAGCGGGATATACTCACTTGTACCAAATAACCGTCGGCACAATCGTGCCCGCATGCCACAAACTATGCGCATCCACACTCCCCCAAAGCGGCGGGAAATCCAACAACTCCAAACTCATGGCCACCAACACCCACGCCACCACAATACCCGGCCACGCCGCCCACCCCTTCTTCTGCTCCCTATATCTGGTCCAAGAATACCAACTCCACAGCAGATTCTGCACCGCCCCCACCGCCACGTTGGCCGCCATGTTATACGTGTAATCCCACGTCCACATCTTCAGGTACGTGACATGCGCCACATAAAGCAGGATACAAAGCGCCGTCCAAAGCCTCAACAAGCTCTGTCGGCGCGGCGTGTCCTTATCCAGCCTGAAGATTCGCACGGCTGAGTAATATAACCCGTACAAAACGTTGGCGCCCGCCGCGAAGTAATCGAGTTGTTCAGTAACGGGAAAATCTCGCGTGTGGAAAACAGCAGAGAAAAACCACGACGCCATGCCCACGTAGGCGAGCCAGATGTACCATTTGCGAAGCGGGTAGGAAGCCGGGATGGAAGGGAGGATTTTGTTGTAGAGGCCGTCGTAGTGCGCCCAGAGGTTGCCGAGGGAAAAAAGAACGGAGAAGGGTTCTTGCATGCCGAGGAAGCGTGTGAAGGGCCATTTACCGTGGTATTGGACGACTGGGTGGGGAGCCGGTGGGGGGACTTGGGAGAGCCGGGTGGTGGTGATGAGGTGTTGGCAGGTGTAGTCGCATTCGGAGGGGCAGGACCAGAGGAGGAGGCGGCGGTGGAGGGCTGGATGATCATGATCAAAAGGAGGGGGTTAGCGTTAGCTGGGTAGGGTAGGTGGGAGATGGGGGGATGACAAGGGGGGGGAGAACGGGAATGGGGAAGAAGGGGGAAGGGAGGGGAACGTACGGATGGGCGTTTGATGCTCAGCGTCCGGACCGCAGTTTTCGCGTTCGCAGACCTGGTGATGGATTGGTGTTGTCAGCTTCCTCTATATATGTCCTATCGTGTCCAGCTGAGGTTTTGTTTCTTCCCGCCGTCCGTCTCTCCATCGCAACTCAAGCTATCCTTCTCCCCAAGTCCCAGATTGGAAGTCAACCCACCCTAATACACTCCTGAAACTCAGGTAGTCGATCGCCAATGGACGCCGCGACGGGTGTAGCTAGCGCGACGAGGCCGAGGAGAAGCAATTGCTGTATCGACAGGAAGCTGGGAGAGTTGGGAGAGCTGGGAGCTCCGCCCCGTCTGGACGCGACGTTGAACTTCATTGTGTGGGCATTGAATGTCGGAATTGGTATGATGGTGTTTGCGACTTGGCTTCGAGTGCTGGGTGGGAGCTCAGAGGAGCTTGGAGGACGAGAGGGAGACGCGTGTGGTGGTTCGGCGCGGTGCAGGTGAGGTGGTAGCTTGGTGGTTCGATCGCTCGATAGCTCAGGCTCGGGGTCTCTGGGTGTTTCGTCAGACCGAATATCGAGTCTAGCTAGCTAGCGACGGTTGGGAGCTTCGATTGCGCCCAAGGTAAACCGTAGCTGATAACCTGCAGTGCTGAATTGAAGATGTTGAGCTAGAGGTCGCAATTCGGATGCCTCGGTTGGCGTTGGCATTGGCATTCAGCGGGGCACGCTAAAGTGGAAGTCTCCGTTACGGGGGGCGGGCTGGGCGGCAGCGCTAAGTGGAACCCCACTTGCTCTTCGGGAGGCGCCGAACGGGTGTGGGTCCAAGCGTAGCCTTGCAGCACGTCAAACTCCGGAGACCGGGACCGGGGCCGGGGGGTTTTGCCCGGTGGAGACTCCGGGGAGGGTCTTGGGAGGGTCTGGGGAAGAATGTTATTGCGACCTAGTGGTAGGAGATTTGTTGGAGTGTTTGGGTATGTCTTGATCTGGAACTCTTCAAGTTTGATGAGTGTGTATTTTTGGAGGGTTCACATTCCCGGGCTGTTGGTCGCGTGGGTTGGTGGACATTCCAGTTACACTGGGCGATTGAACAACAGCGGAATGCAGAGAACGAGTAGGTTCATGAACTGTGTTTTAAGTAAAGACAAGGGCGAGTTACTAAGCTAATATTGAGTTATATGCGAATAAGCTACCTCACCCATGCCGCTCAGCAGTTTGCACGCCGTTTCAGCCCCCTTACAATAATCGAACACTGTGCGCCATAGAGATGAGTAAGCCCAAGTTTGATGAATGAGATGAGAAACTCCGTGTGAGCAAGTCCAAATCTAAATAGGCTAGCAGAAAGAAAAAAATCATGCTGTGAAGTGAACTTTGCTATCTGCGCCGTTCCAAATGGTAATAAGAAAGAGACAGGTCCAGATCGCCATGTACTGTTTTACCATGTGCGAGTGTACGGAGACAGAAGTCCAAAAAAGAAGTTAAGTAGAGGTAGGTAGGTATGCAAAGAAGAAGTTGCCTCGCGGCATGATGAGCTGGTGAACCAAAAGAAAGCAAAGGAAGGAAGTAGCAAAATGTCCAAAGATACCCATCCGCCTTGAAGGACCATGTGTCCTCAGCCATGCCCTTCATAAACGCCATAAACCCCGACTTTCCGCCGCTCATGCAGAAATCCCCCAAAAAAAAAATCATAACGCCGTCCCCCGTACGCCAATGTAATCATACCTAAAACGGTCCACCCCGAAGGCAACGTGGAGAGAAGTGCAAGAAGAGGCTTAGAGACTCAAAACGGACTCCCAGACCTCCTCCTTCCCCCCTCCCCCCTCCGTCGACTAAACTCCCTCAACCGCTGCCTCAAATCGGCCATCCTTCCGCTTCGCCCCGTTGTCGTCTCACTGCCACTGCCACTTCCATTTCCACTTCCACTGCCACTCCCCCCACTGCTATGCGCCCTACTCGGCTCTGGTCGTGATCCCTGAAGTTCACTCGACTTCCTCGATTCCTGACTCCGCCTCCCACTACGTGTCTGCCCCTGGTTCAACATAGCCTGCTGCATCACAGCAGATGGTCCCCTCCCCAACATGCCCAAATCCACACTCTGGCCGTGTCCCGGTCTTCTGACATGGCTGTGGCGATTAGCAGTGAAGCTGCTCGAGGTAAAGCTCAACGGCGACCCAAGCCTGGCAGGTGGCTGGACGTTCGACTCTTCTAGTTGAGGTTGGGGCTGTGGTTGGGTGACGTGGAGGGGAGTGAAACCGAGGATCGCTGGCATGCTGATTGAGCTTGGGAGTCCGAGAGACTCGGGCTGTTGGGGTGGGGCGACTTCGATAGAGGTACCGGTGGAAGTAGACCGCGGAATAAAAAGCTCGTCGAAGCGGTGGCCTAGGGTTGAACTGAATTCCGTTGATCTCCTGCCCCTGGTAGTGGTAGTGACTCCCTCTTCCGTTTTTGGCATCGAGTCTGCTACAGATGCTACAGACACAGAATCCGGAGCAGGAGCAGGGGCAGGAGCAGTTTTCTTCCTGTGATCTCCACCTTGGGAGTGTGTGTTCCTTCGTTTGCCAGGCGCGCTGGACCGACTGAGTCTTACGGGGCTTTGGAGCCTGCCGGTTGTTGGTCGGCTATGTTGGCCTGGAAGCGAGTGGGAGATTGTCTGCCCTCGTTTGCGGGTGGTGATGGCGCCGATTGCAGCCGCGAGAGAGGCGGAAGAGGAAGGACCGTAGCTTCGCGGTTGGGCTGCTGGTTCTTGGTCGTCTCCTGCTTCTCCACTGGAGATGGGTTGGGGGCCGAATAAGGGGGAGCCGAGACGGCCTCGTTCTGGCTCCTGATCTGCGTCGTTTGGTTGCCGCTGTGGGATCGGGATGGGTTCTAGAGGTGGTGCTAGAGCTTCGAAGATGCTTAGACTTGACCTCGTCAACTGTGCCAACGGCCCCTGGGGCTGCATGTGCTCCGACGTGCTGAGAGTAAGGGACATGGACATGTCCCCCGTCGCAAACGGCCGCTCTGCCCTGGGTGTCTGCACAGATTGCATCGGAGTTACGCTTCGAGAGAGGAAGCGGTGGTTCTTAGCTGCCACTGCCGCCTTTTGACGGCATAACTCCCTTAGCTGTGCCCTCGTCGCTGCTTGCGTGTGCGGCCAGCGCATGAAAGTCCCGACCCCCTCGGCGCTCCCACCGGCAGCGCTCTTTTGGGCTTTCGACCCCCGCCAGGTGCGAATGGCTTCGCGGGCTACCCGCGCGCACACGCCTTCCGGTGGAATGCAATTCTTGCCCATGCGAAACGGGGTAACTTTGGGGTCTTGCAGGTAGAGGGAGTAATAAGACCAGAGGTGGTCATTCATCGATTTGGTCCAAGGGGCTTTCTTTCTTGGTTGATTGGGTTTGAGGTTGGCTTCCTTGGGAGTGGTGGTGGTGGATGATGGTTGTAGGGTCTCTGTTGGCTCGTCAAAGTCAAGAAGATCTGTTGTGCCGAGATAATGTAGAGTGTCCTTGCCGTCGAGGGAGGCACTTTCAAGGCCACATTCGTCAGAGTCATCGTCTTCGGAGAGGTGGGACCATTGGCTCGGGAAGGAGTCGCTGGTCTGGGTGGATTGGGATGTTGATGGCCTGCTTATGTCGTCGTCATCCTCAGGCGTTGACTCGAAGCTGCTGGTTGAACCCACGGTCCAATCCGGATATCGACAGGGTGTTAATGTTGGTAGCGCCATGGTTGTTGGTACCGGTGTCTTTGGTCCTGCGTCTGAATATGCCCTTGCCCGTGGGATTTGCAAAGACAGGGAGTCTTGATAGGGTTCTGGGGAAAAGGGACGCATGGTGAAATCCTCTGGGTCTGATTCTGGCTCTTCGATGCTGGGGATGGCAAGGTCTGCTGCTGCTACTGAGGCCAGGAATTGCTGTGACGCAGCGAGCTGGTTCGAAATAGTGCGTCTCTTGACTTTGAGACGAGGTCTGGGAGGCGAAGGAATTTGGGGAAAGTCGACATCTTCTGGAAGTAGGTTTATGGGCGTCTTGGGTGCTTCGCTGCTGTCGGGGAATTCGAGCGCGACGGCATAGCGAAAGTCGCGTGGCATTGTTACATGGCCGGAGGAATGTTGTTGATCCATTATGTCTTATACAAGCGTCATGCGGTATTGGGTTGGGACAAGAAGAGCAAGGGATGAATAAAACGGGAATAAGTTGAAACAGGCGCGATGTCGGTGACGGGACTCGATCGCGATGTTGTCGCCAAATGAGTGGTGAAAAGGTAAGGGCGACAGGAAGATCCCAAGCCGTCTCTTTGTCGCAAAGGCGGTCGGTCTTTGTTGTTACGCGACGCGACAACCTGACCGTCAAGGTATCGTGCAAAAGAGTTGAGATGGCGGACCAAATTGGGATGGCTGGAGTGCGGCAGGCAGGCAGGCCGAATCGGCGGGATTAAAGGAACCAAGTAGGAAAAAGCAAAGGATGGGTAGAGTAAGTACTGTGCCAATTGTTATGCGGCTTTGTGAAACACGAGCGGTCGTGGTCGTGGTCGTGGTCGTGGTCGTTATCGCGTTCTATTGTCGTTGTCTGTAAGGGAAGAGGGATTGTTGGATGGTTGGGTGAAATTAGGTGTTGTAGTTGTTCTTGGTGGTGATGGTTGTCGTCAATGTTATTTGCAGAAGAGCGAGTGTCGGAGTGAGGGCCAAGTGAGCGTCGGAAGGTCTCAGTCGCAAGTGCGCGCGGGCGTCTTTCAATCCCAACTTGTCTTGAGATGGAAGCGGGTAGATGATGCGACCAAAGTGCCGGGGGTAGTGGGCAATGCGCCAAATGCGCGCGCCTGGTATTGAGCGAGTCGCAAAGAAGTGAAGTCTGAAAAGAGCCGCAAACTTGGAGGGGAGGACAAAGTGGTTGCAGACGGATGGAACTCGTTGGACTCGTTCTGCGATCGATATGCGATAGGTAAGGGTAAGGGTCCGTCAAAAGTGGGAATGGATGTGCTATGTAGGATAATAATGTAGGTACAAGGCAAGGTCGTACAGTAGCTTCATCAGTCTCGGAATCAGATCAGCCAGAGAAAGTAGTGTGGGAGGAACAGGGTCTCTCCCTCTCTCTTCTTGTCTGGGACTCTCGGATATGACATGGAACCTCTTATGACAACCACACCATCAACATGTCAACATGTCAACATATGTATACGGAACAAGATCAGCCAGTGGTAAAGCAACAACCACAACGACAACAACAACATCAACAACAACACCGATCCAATCGTGTACAAAACAACAACTCAAGGGTCCGTTGTCCACCTGTCGCGGCGCGGAATCCGGCTCGCAACTTTGACACTTGAAGCCCGCAGTGGAGTTCGCGCCGGCGTGGAGTTTGTTGTGGAGATTGGAGGCCGCTTCACAAGTGTAACCCAGCTTCGACAACATCACAACATCACAACATCAACAACAATAAGATGGAAAGGTAAACAGGAGATTCACTCTAAGGAAAGCGAGTCAGTAATATGGTCAACAGCAGGACCGGCCGTCCGCGGAATCATCATGGTGTGAAGAACCACTCAGTGATCGGCCTCGGACCGTTTCAACAACTCGAACGCGTCGTGGACGCGATCCCAACGTGTTAGCTAGCGGTGGCTTGTGATTGGCCAACCATATTCCAACCGACCATCCCGGACGCGTCCACTGTTGTCAATGTTGTTCCCAAAATGGCGACACACAGCCAAGACTCGCTCGACTGCCAAAAAGAACCTCAAGGGCCACCACCGTCACCACGGCCAGGACGGTCCAGTGATGCAATCTGCAGCGCTAAAAAGTCCCTACTGTAACCTCATGTGAGCACTGCCGCCGGAGACAGGGTTTCTTTCTTTTCGATGCCGATTTCTGCTGTCGTCGACTTGAACTTTGATTTTCTTCTTTCAGGTCAAGTTATTCAACCGAGAGACGGAGATGAGGACGGAGGTGAAGGGAGGAAGTGTGAGGGCCAATCCGCGAGAGGGAGGGACCGAGGGAGAAGGTGCAGCTGCAGGTCGGCCTTACTAAACCTTGTGCCGTTTGGACGGCCTGTCAAGAGAGATGATGTTTCGCGTTGTGCACCACTGAATGAACTGGAAGTCTGTTGTTCCTGTTCTCTTGACCGGGGCCTTTTCTCAGTCGTGTCTTGATGGCATTTCAGGATCATGAAGAAGGGCGTCGGCGAAGCTCGGGACGTGACGGATTCGGAGTTTATTGCGGTCTTGAAGTTTTAACTGAAGCCATGAAGGCTCAGGCTCTCGTTTGGCATTGGACTCGAGCCATGGTGACGATGACATAGGCTGGCTCGTGCACGGTAATAATTCCAGCTAAAGATCATGCTTATCTGGCTGCGATATGCTCAGTTTCTTAACACAAATGATAGGTGTTTATTGCGGGGTGTAAATCGAAGGTGGGGTCATGATCTTGGGCTTGGAGTTTCCGACTTCTCGTTCGCTCAACCAACTTCAATCTTTTCTCGCGGCACAAACAGTCCATCACTGTACCTTTCTTCGTGCTGCCGGTCAGCAATTGAAGTTCGATCATTGAAAGGATCCTTTTTGCAACAAATCCTGGTTACCCTCTTGATCCAGTTCTCTCGCTTTCGACAATTCTAGAGGGCTAGGTAGTTCAGCTGGGCAGAAACAGCCAGCTGAGTGTAGCTCCTTCCTACTTCTGGGTGAGCTTCACAATCCAGCTTCATTGATTGGCCGGAACAGCAGCGTGGAGCTCGTTTTGCTGGCGGCATTGGGCATCATCAGTTTCAGCCGAGTTCCATGATATTTGAACTTTTCTTCCTTCTCTTCCTTTGGCTTTCGAATTCTTCCTGGAGTGACATCTTCCTTGATTCCTCACCATATTCCAAATCTCCCAAAATGGCATCAACAGCATCAGTCAACGGGGTTACGCTGGACAATCTCGACAAGGTCTGGCCTCGTTGGGATCCCGCCGACTCGAATCATCTCTATGCCTTGGTTGATATGGGCAGGTAAGCTACCATCTTTGCACTTGTCTCCTCATGTTGAGCTCTCCTGACCCCCTTGTTTTTTTCAAAGCAATGGCATCCGGTTTTCCATCTCCGACCTCTCCCCGCCACAGACTCGGTTGCTCAAGTGCCTTTACCAGGAGCGAGCCGCCATCTCCCTGTTCGATGCCCTGAGCGAGTCTTCCTCTGGTGGCCCCCTTCTCTTCCCCAAAGAGACCATCACCCTCGTGTCCGAGACGCTGGCCCGGTTCCATGCCATTGCTGTCAATGACTACGGCGTACCTCCCGATCATGTCACCGTCTTTGCTACAGAGGCCATGCGGAAAGCCGACAATGCTGCTGCAATGCTACAAGCCATCGAGGCCGAGGTCCCTGGACTTGCTGTCAAGATTCTGGACGGCCAAGTCGAGACCCTGTTTGGCTCACTGGGAGCAAGATCTGCCTTTTCTCGTCCCAAGGGTCTCTTTCTTGACCTAGGCGGTGGCAGCGTCCAGATGACATATCTGGACACAACTGGTCAAGATGCCGACTATCACATCCATGCAGCACAAGCCGGCAAGAGTTTGCCTTTTGGCGCTGCTCGTTTGATCAAAATCCTTGAACACAAGGATGCTGACTTCAAGACCAAGGAGGTTTCGAAGCTCGAGGAAGGCATGAAACTGGCTTTTGCCAGGCTTTGCGAGACATATCCTACTCTTGCGACCGAGTCCAAGGACACACAGGGCGTTGATATCTATCTCTGTGGAGGAGGCTTCCGAGGCTACGGCAGCATGCTGATGCACAACGATCCAATCTCCCCATACCCGATCCCTGCGATAGGCTCCTACAAGGTCTCGGGCGAATTCTTTGCCAAGACCAGCCATATGCTCGAGGTCAACACCAACTTCAAGAAAAAGATCTTTGGGATGTCCAAGCGCCGCCGAGCCCAGTTTCCTGCCATCGTTACGGTCGTTGAGGCTCTTATCTCGGCAGTTCCACACATACGATCGGTCACATTCTGTGCCGGTGGAAACAGAGAGGGTGCGCTCATGATCAGGCTGCCCCAGGAGATTCGCGAGAGCGATCCTCTGGATTGTCTCCAACCAGATGTATCACTACAAGGCATCGTTGATATACTGTCATCAGCTCTCCCAGCCGATTACAGCAACCCAAAGACGGTCTTTGGGCTTGGCCTTGGCCGCCTCTTCGCGAGCAAGATTTGGTCCAACACCGGCGATGATGACCTTGCGAATGCCTCTGCCGCTTTGCACAGTGCCATCACGGAACATCCCGATTGTCCTGGTCTATCACACGCGGCCCGGGCTGTTATGGCTCTGACACTTTGTGCGAGATGGGGCGGCAGCGTCACTCCGGCGGATGAACAGCTGTTGAACAACTTGCGGGCATTGGCTGATACCGTCAACCCTGACGCTGTGTTTTGGGCGGGCTACATTGGAGCCGTAGCTGCCGCACTCGCGAAACTGGCACCAACGGTCCAAGATGCTCATCAACTTGGAGACAAGGTTCAGTAAGTTGATTGTTCGACCAAACAGCCGTTTAACAGCGTATTAATAATTTTCGTACCAGGTTTAGATCGACCGTGGAACAGTTCGACGACAGCAAAGGGTTTCGAGTTCGCCTCAACCTCCAGGTCATCGAAACGGCTCTTCGAGGCATCGACACCGGGGACCTGAAATCCCACTTCGAACTCGTTAGCACGCAGAGAGAGCAAGATTCGGGGAAGAAGGTCGTTGTGGACATCACAGCACTTTCCTGATGTAGTAAGTTATTATGGTGCTGTCGACAGCGATGATTACTCTACCTCTATATCCATTATGCCAACATGCCGAACTGGTATCCTTTGCTTTCAACACCTCAACTGCGTTCCATATTTCCTTTGTCATCCAAACGCCAGTACCATCTCACTCTGCAACAATCTGTTAGGTATCATTTCCCCCTATGCGCACTTTCACGCTCCATTATTCGCTTCTGGTGTGCAATATCTTGATCCTTCACAATCGCCGGCCATACTTTTGTCTTTGTATCGCATCAATTCCATTCCTCTTGTTGAAGATGGCTTCTTCACGGGCGATGACACATGTCCTAAGCAGTGTCACTTGCCTGTTCGGGAGTGGATTCCTCTCTATTTCGTTGTCTACCGGGCTGTCAGACCATGTTCTTGAATACTGAATGGTGCGATACTGATGCATAACTTACAGAAATCATTTCGTGAATTCCAGGCATCCTTGAAGGCGCTCAAAGCTACATCACTGTTGCCAAACACTTCAAGATCGTCCATGGCGTCCAGTACTCTCTTGACAATTGCGGATGTACGAAACCGATTCGAGTACATCACCACAACGCCTTCGAACAAGTCCTCTGTCAGGCGTTTGAAACTCCGTCTTTCGGCACTTTCGGTCATTACTGCCTGAAATTAGATGTGCTGTCAATAGCAGGAAGCCTGGGAGGTTAACTTACCATCAGCAGACGATAGTTGGCCTAACACTTCCTGATACACCAGGATCACTTGCCACATGGACAACCAAAGAGCGACGGTGAAAGCCGACCGGGTACCCGAGGTCTCCTGTTTTAGGGTGGTTGGTGGCCCCAGGAAAGCGTCGAGTCCCCCCAGCAGTTCTCGCTCGGTGCTCGATATGGCTTTCCCGGCCCGCAGGTGGAAGTGAAGCTGAACAGGCAGCAGTTGTTGGCTGAACGGCATACCGCCAGTGAAGAACATGTTCCTCACCTCGTAAGCCCATATCTTGACCATACATGTCATGTTGCACACGTTTTCCATTAACCTGTGCAACTGCACAGCCTCTTTCTGCGCTGGAGACGACAATCTTCCTGCGAAAACATTTGAGTTAGACGCCTTTCTGACCTGAACGAACTACATCTCGGCTTACCATTAGAGACATAGGTCTTGTGGAAAACCCTTTTGTAGGACACCAGACACTGCTCGATACGACCCCCGAAAGTCGTTCGGTGCTCGAGGAGAATATCTCGCTCGCTCCAAGCACAGATGGTCTCATTACTAGGGCTTTTGTCCGTAATCGGGAGGTATATGGGGTAACAACTGACCGGCTCCGAGCTTTGGAACATCACCTCGCGACACGTAACCTCCAAAGACTCTCGGTTGAAATTGGGCGAACGACGGATCTCGACCACATGGTCGCTACTGCCAGGTCTGGTGGGCCCTTTAGGAAGCGATTCGTACCACCCACACATATCCTTGGACGCCCAACGTTCTGCTTCGCAGTCAGTCTCAGAGCTTCTCATGAGCGTCTCTTGCGAACGTACCCGATGCACCCCCAAGAATCTCGCTGAGCTTTTTCCTGATACACGGGACAAAAGGACAATGATTCTCTGTGCAGAAGTCCCTGCAGTGCTCGCATTCATCGCCACTATCACACTATCTATGTTGTCAGCAGTCTCGTCTCGCTTGGAAAATGGATGAAGAAGGCCTCCGTACTACGATCCTCTGAATCCGACAGGCGGAGCAAGCGCCCTTCTTTCTTACACGCTTTGTCTTCTCTCGATCTTTCAATTTCCGACTCCGTACGCTAGCGTTGCTAGAGACGTCGGATATCAACTCGTGACCATTCACACTCTGGGTGTCCAGACTCAGCAGGTCATCGTCTAGGTTGGCAGACATATGTGGCTGGGGATCAAGGTCGAGGATGTTCTGCGTCTCGGGAAGCGTGAAAGGCAGGGGCTCATTAATTATTGGAATGGCAGGAGCCACTGTCATTTGGGCGTCTTCGTTGAACCCTGATGCAAAGCTTTGGTTAACTGTTGAGGGGGCAATCGAAGGAACAAGGAAATAATCTTGTTCTGGCACGACAGCCGGTGTCCGGTGCCCTTCATCGAAGTTAGTCTCTGCTAATACTTGAGGAATTCTTGGCAACATACCTGGTTCCGTTCCGGGGTTCCAATTCAATGTCGCGTTGCGGTTTCGACCACCAGAGCGTCTTGTATGTGATGATGGAGGAGCCAGTAGGCCATTGGAGCCACTGGTCGACGGCCTGAATGGGATCTCGGATGACGGCCAGGTGCTTGGGCAGTGGTTATCGACGTTATCGGCAGCATCCTGAGCATCACCCATGGAGACGTCATTGTCGAGATCGGCAGAGGTTGGATATTGCTCTGGGTTGAGATAGCCGTCGACCATTCCAGCAATATCAGCAGGATGGGGTCCGGGGAGCACAGAGTTGAGCGGTGCGTCTGACCTCAGGAGTTTGCGTATCTCGGTATCTCGGTCCAAGAAATAGGACGAAACTTCGGAAAACGCAGAGGGTGCAATGGAAGGGTCCTCAAAAGGATTATCCTCGTGGGCGGATTCCGTGGCGGTGGTAGACCGCTCGTCCGAAGCACGGTTGAGCTCTTTCAAGACCCAGTTGTCATCGTAGCGAGGAGGATAGGGATTCATGGCTGGCAATGTTGACAGGCCAAACTATACGGCAACGTCTCGGATACTTTGTGAACTGCACGACTGTGTGGCCGAGACCAACAAGGCTGCAGATACTCGGGGCAGAGTGTGATACGAGACGCAATAAGGCGGCCAGAAGCAATAGAATTGTTCGGTCTGACGAAAGTGAAGGTGTCCGAAATCAGATGACGACCTGTTAAAGCTTCGGATGATGGGCACTGAAGGAAAGAAGGAAGGAGGAAGAAGGTTGCGAAGGTTAAAGATTATCCAACGGAATACTGTGCCATGAGACGGCACTCGCCTTTTGTTTTACGACAAATGAGCTTTGGTAAAAGAAGAGGCTCTTGCCCATCCTGACCTTGCGTGCGCTGGTAAAGGTACGTTAACTGCGCCTCTGGTAACTAATTTACAACTTTCGGAGAAGAACCCCTGATAGATTGGTACAAAATCCCATTGTTTACTTGGGAATTTGCGGCCAATGAGACGGCTGGACCTGGTCACCGAAAATTGCATAGGTACGTACCACCATGATGTGGGAGCGTCCGACAGCTCCGGCATCCTTCCTTCGTGGTGGTGTGCAGACGGCCTAACTCAAGTTGACAGGAAAACGAGTGTCACACCAGTAAGAGACCTCTTCTGTTGAAGTGATGCACACAAGTTGCTCACTGCACCCGGCACCGCGATATTCTCCAGACCTCTTCTCCGTATTGCGGGGCGGATTGGCCAGTAATGCTTCCCCGCAAGATGATGGCATTGGCCGCCACTACCATGATAGCTTCGTGGGATGGCATTCATTCAGCGGTACCCCAAGCTTTCTGTGCCTGACATATCCGCGTGCCACGTACCTGAGCTCAGGATACCCACCTGCCACTCAGACAGGAAGCGTACCTTGCACAACAGGAAGTGTGCACAAGTGTGCAGAAGCTTACCACCAAGCCAATCAGTCATGATACGCGTATACATTATCATTGTTCGGCAGCGAAATCACGGCAGAAGGAGAGCAGAAGTCGGAGTGATTTCACTGCCATCCCCGTCGATCCCCTCCGCTTCTAACTCTAAGGCGGCGTCGCGCCGGACGCATAACCTATCTGGTTCCTACGTTTCACATTTTCTTGTTTACACCATGTTCCGGTTGTGGCGGGGCAGATCATGAGAACTACGCGTCGGACGCTTGCCGGCAGTTTCTCGTCAGAGCCTGAGGTTGGTTTTTCATTTTGGGCTTCGGCCTTGAGACGAAGTCGTCTTACTTCCAATCTGTCAAGCGTACACCACACGCCGCTACTGCCACTGCTGATGCTGCCGCTGCACATGTCGAGCGATGTCGATGCTGGTGTCTCAGATGCCGAAGACGCCACGAATAAAAGGAAAGAGGCCAGCCCGGCGTCCGATGCAGTTGCTTGGCGTTGTTCTTTCTTCAAGCCTCCATCAAGTCGTCATCGTCGTCGCCGCCCGTCCTTGGCATGGGTTTGCGCTTCATATTCGCTTGAGCTTTTTCATTGTCGTTCATTTTAGGGACAAGGTTCTAATCTCCCCCTGCAGCTAACTCAGCCGCCTGCGGGGATGCGCCAAGTGTAGTGTACCCGTTCAAGCCGATGTTTGCGATCATCGTGGTCTAGAACTTGAATCTACGCCGAACACCTACCTATGAGGCCATGAAGCAGGAAAATGGACACTGAGCACACTTAGTCCGCCTTGTTTTAACGTCCTTAATCTCCGCCTGTTCTCACCTGTGTTGTCCTCGCGGTCGTCCATCAGAAAAACCGCCCAAGCCGAGTGGTAACATTCATCACAACGGGGCTGCAGGGTACCTGCAAATGCAGGGGGCGTATGCAACCACTATCTGCGGCAGGCTGGCAGACACGCAACGGCATGTCATGCCGTGGTTTCCATGCACTGCTGTTCCTTGTCTTTACTCACAGTCTGTTATCTGACTTATCGCGTACCAAATCTGCGGTTGGGCTTCTCCAATCTCACTGGCTGGTTCATCGACCCTTGAACAGCTGAAGCGAGCTTCGAATCTTGATCCTTACCGGAAATCTTAGTACGACCACGTTAATGGGATTGCGGCTTCGGCATTCGGATCCGGAAAGAATGGCATTGTCACTGTTGACGTTTCATAACAGCAGGTTATCGGTCCCGGAAGGCAGACTTGCGCAACTGCGAAGGGAAGGACGGCACCATGCCTACAAGTCACAGAGGCACAATACCACGAAGTTGATGGATCGGCGGGCCGTGCTACTGCTACCGTTACTGACAGGTTACAGTAAATGCGAGTGTCCTAAGTGGTTGCGAGTGTACCTGGCAGTCACGCGCCGCGTCATGCACTCATGAGTTCATGGTGTTGAACGACGCCGCCAAACGACATCGGGGAGGCCCGCATTGCTAGACTCTCCAAGCCGATGAACGGGGCTCGGAGCCTCCTGGCCTCACGTGTGTCTTGAGATATTCCAGTGATATGTGACTTTTTTTGAGGCTCAAATGGCGGTCTGATATGCTGTTAGGCTGTTCATTTTGACTTGTGTGGCAAAGCAGCTTGCCAAGATTGCCGGTGTGCTTTTTAGCATGTAAGTCAGTCCAACCGATTGGATGCATCGGCGGAGACCACTTCGCGAGGCCATTCAAAGGCCAAATTTGGAGGCCAGCTCAGCCAGTCGAGAGGCCCGGTGTGAGTGGACCCCGGCGCCGATTGGGAGATGCTTGGGCCGGAAAGTCGGCAGCCAACAGACGGAGATGGCGGAGAGGGTAAAGGAAATGAAAGGAGAATAAAGGCAAATTGCGGCGATATTGGTGCAGAAAGGCGGAGGAGGCTAAAGAAACCCAGAAGGAAGATAATGAAGGCAAAAGGTTTCCTTCTTCCAAGTTCATGATTGTTTCACCCTACCAGGACGTGTCGGACCTGCCAAAGGATGCTCTTTCAAACCATGATTGGTCGGGAGCTTTACATAGCAGGAGCATGTCTCACATGTAAGTGGACAATTTGGGACCATCTTCTTCATCCGGGTACCTGACCTCGAACACTAGGCCATTGCTCACCCATCACTCGTTTGTCTCGCGTCAAGAGTTTGTTCCTAATCGCCATTGGCTAACGGAGACGGCTTATCAAACGTCTCTATAACGGGCGTTCGTCAATTGATGTCTCACAAGAAAAAGAATCCCTAGTCAACATGATGTGGACTGGCGGGGCTTGTGAGACCTTGACGGGTTTTCCAACGCCAAACCAGTGATATCAGGCAAGCTTCTCTACGGCACAAGCGGGAAGCCTTCCATCCAGTGATAATACACCCCCAGAAAATCACTGACGAGTGACGAACCGGCAGCGATAAAAATATTTGGTAATTGGGCCGCTCTCAGAGGCCGGAGCTAATCGCTGGGGGTGCAGATGTGTGGCACAACGGCCAGGCTGGGACGGCTGGAGACACTCTCAATTATTCACACCACACGAAGCGAAAATGCATTTCCAAGCACATATTTGGCACCTCCTGTTTCTGCATTCTACCCCTACCACAAAGAGTGGTCAAAATTAACGGTGTAGACCGCTGAAGAGTGCGGTGCACGACGATGACCATGACGACGAGAAGCAGAATTCGAAACGCGCTGGGCATCTCCGACCAGCAACAAAGTCCGCGAAAGCAGAAGGATATTCGCATTTCAGCTCACAAGCAGACAAGAACGGCCCCCAAACTCCCAGAATTCTTTTTGACTTCCCAAAGTGGTAGACCGTCATCACATCACCTTCTCTTTTGGGCTTCTACTTCCACACTCAAGAATTCGGCCTGGGACTTGGGCTTCGGGATTGGGGGCTATTGTAACCCACCTTCTCTCCGGTGTTGTCCTCCCGCATGTTTCGAAACGACTCTGTTTCCAAACTGCCCCGGTGTTTCTGTTTTGATCATCACTTCATATTACAGTCTGCGGTGGGCAAAGGTAATCACTGGATGCCTCTCGACACCAGCTTGGTCTTTCCAATCCCGCTACCCCTTTCTTTCTCGGCGATGGACGACGTCTTTTGCACACCTGTCTAGCCAGGGGCTACGGGCTGTCAATGCTGAGGCAGCAACAGGGACGCAGACACATTCACCTGGGTGCTCTGCCTCCGAAACAGCCGTCTGGCCTATCATCCGTTTCTCGTAACCTCTGTTCTCCTCCCCCTTCCATCCTTGATTTCACAGTCTTTGTAAGTGCAATTCCCGACCGTGATGCAAATACACACCGCCAAGTTCGACTAATTCACTCAGCTTTGGTGCCTCTCAACGGCACAGCAAGTTAGCATGTGCATTCGTGTCTTAGTTTCATCACCTTCCCAGCCACGATTTCGATCGCGAGGCCGACACATTCACACACCCACTTCCCAAGTCGAGCACCTTCAGCCTAGGTACCTAAGGTACCTAAGAAGTACAGGCGACAAGCGATCTTGAGCTCTGCACCCTGACTTTACATCCAGCAGCAGCACAGCAAGGCGAAACGAATCTGTCCAATACCTCCGGGCCAGTCAATCCACCACTCCAAGTCTCAGACCGCCTGAGCTCCTCGCCCTAGGCCGGGATATGGTGTCCATCATCCTCCCTTTCCCAATCATGGTGGTGGTCAACGGACGCGGCATCCCTTACCCCTTTTCTGCCTTGGGCTCTCCTCAACAAATTTGTCAAACCGCCTTTGCTCGACAGACGCTCAAACAAAGACTACCAATCCCTGAGCAACACGGGAGTGTAGGAAAGCTTGTTGACGGCACAGCTAGTTGACTACCCTTCCCCAAGGTACCTCTACATTACACATCAGGGGCACTGAAGTAAAGGTTTCTGTCTGTTGGTTGCCTCACGCACGAAAAATCTCAACTCTCGACTCTCCGTCCGTGAGCTTCACTCCCGACAGGTAGGGTAGGTACTCCGGAACTTGCTTGCCCCTTCTCAACAACGAAAGCCCAGGAGCTAGCTCACAGTTCTGTTCGCCTCACTCATCGCATCGGCCAGCTCATGCTCATCCAGTCAACCACGTTGACACGCATGCATCATACATGAACCGTGAACAACATCTATCTATCTATCTACAATACACCCACCACCTTGTCCTCCCTCCCGGACTATGTATGTCTGCCCTAATCTATCTGGGATGATGACCAGATGAGGCGGTGCGGGTTGGTGAGTCCCAGCGTCGAGTCCCAGCGTCAAGGCCACCTACCTACCTGACGGACGCCTTACAAGGCGCCTGAACTCCGAAGGGAAGGGGGCTTGGTCCAAATCCTACGAGCAGCCCTGCCCTGGACTGGACTAGTGACAAATGGACTGGACTAGTGACAAATGGAACTGGTAACAAAGGGGAAAAAAGAAGACCGGAAAGAATACAGGCAACCGGCCTGCAAGCTATCACAGGGGGGTCCAAAGAACCTGGGGCTCAGCCTCGGTGTTTCCGTGATTCTCGTTTTTCGTCCAAGTATCCAGGCAGTCAGGCAGCTACTCGTATAGCTACGTTTGCCTACGTCGACTAGCTCCGATTTTCCAGTCTCGAGCAACCATGCATCAGTCAGACTTTGCTTGGCCATTGGTGCTTGCACCCTTGCACCCTTGCCGCTTTGCCTTGGTCGCCTTGTCATGTTGTCCACACTGCGGCGAGATAACTTGCCTTTTTGAAAGGTCGAGGCTCATTCCCTTTCGAACCTGACAACAGGGATTTCATAGTAACTTACCTCGTTACACACTCATAGCTTTACTTTTGCCATTTGCTGTGGTTGTCGTTAAAATATCGTCGAGTGTCCGTGTAGCATCCAGCAGGCAACACAACCACAGACGAACAGTGACGAAGAATATCATATCAACTTCGCAGTTTTGCCAGTGTATTAACTACTGATACACTGTCTGATCACCAGATATTTACTGGGCCTCCTCATTGGATAACCACTCCATGTCATTAACCTCAGCTGCTATTACACCCAAAGGGCCATTACCTCACCATAATCTAGCAAAGAAACCAACGTCTTGCCCTCAGCCAGGGTCATACAAATACATAGCGACTACAAATGTCATAGCAAAGCCTCCCTTTTCTTCCCTGAAACCCTCACCACTTCACATTCAAACAACATCAAAGCCTCCCTCCGCCTCGCCCCATGCCGGCAATTCCTCCTCAACCCTCGCCGCCCTCACCATCGAACTAACCACATGAATCCCCAGCCCCTCCACATAACTCCCATGCATCACCACCTTTCCATCCACCTTGACGATATTCACCACCAATTTTCTCCTCAGGAACGGTTCCACATCTTTGGGGTCCAGACTCCTCAACACCTCCTGTACTTCCCACTCTCCATCTTCTCCTTCTCCTTCTCTTTCTCCTTCACCCCTGAAACCGGCGCCGACGTCTCCTCCAAAGCCAACGAAACGACCACCGACGCTTCTACCTTTACTACCACCTCCCCCGGTTGCGACACCAAACTTTCCCGTCCTCATCACCTTCTCAACCAGCGCCTTAGTCAACGGCACGGTCCCCGACACCATAACTTCATCCATCCCATCCATCTTACTCTCCCCATACCTCTCATCAGAAGCAAAGACCCCCATCGACCCGACATGATTCTTCGCGGACGCCCACTCTTTCGGGTCTTTCGGTGCTTCCCCAAGAAACAAATGGATGAAGAACGGCCCATTCAAGGCTTGTTTCTTCACCTTCACATTTGCTATCCACTCCCTGTACTGTCCATTACCGCTAAAGACCCTTCCCGCTGGTAGATTGCCGGGGACCTTCTTTCCTGGTCCCAGTCTTCCGGCTCGCAATTCCTTGCGGTAGAGACTCGAGGGAGTAGATGGACCGTAGAGGCGGTTGATCGCTGCCATCACCCTTCCCCTTGCCCTCCTGGACAGAGCTCGGCTCTGGCTGTTCGGTACACTACCCGACACTCCCGCCAGCTCGGGGTAGTTGTATCCAAACCTCGTATGATCGCGGACCATGTCCGACGTCCAAAACGTGCCGTTCTCGTTAAAGAAGAAGGGTGTTAAAGGGGTGGCGGCGTTTTGGAACTCGCCTCGGGACGTGGTATAGGATGCGATGTAGGCTTGCATGGGGGTGACATAGCTGGTTGGGTACAAGGATTGCCAGATGGCGAAGATGCGATCGACCATGGCATGATGAAGGAAGAATATGGGATCAAAAGAGGAGTAGGGAATGTAGGCCATGTGGCCGCCTTGAGCGTTGGGTTGGCCTAGTCCGCCGCCGCCGGCTAGGTTGTGTACAGTGTCGTGGATGGCTTCGAGGGAGTCGAAGGAGCCATTATTGATGTAGGGTATCCAGGCGTTGTTGCTAAAGGTGCTGTAGTTGCCATAGTTGGAGAAAAGGATGTAGAGACGTTGTCCGAGTGAGTCGAGATTTTGGTCAAAGTTCATGGCCACGAGGGAGTTGTTGGATTGCGCCTTGTTATCGCTGGTAGTGGGGCTTCTGAGAGTGACTGTCCATATATCCCACTGTCGCACACCAATGTCAGCAAAGGTCAAGTTGCCGAGGGCGACATGCACTCACCGGATCCTGAAGAAAGGCAGTAGCATTCAGCGGCTTGAAGGAGTAACTGAACAAAGGGTTGGCAATTCTCTGCACGCCACTGGGACCGTTCACATCCACGTACGGGCTCCCGCCAACACTAAGAGGCAGAACGCTCTGTCCAGAAGGCGGGCTGGAAGCCCAATCCCAGTAGGGTATGCGGAACCGGAGTGCAGTCGCCTGGTATCGTTCTCGTGGTTCGCCTTCGGGCCACCATTTGGCAATGTTCTGGATCAGGTTGTAAAGTACTTGCTGTGACGAGTTTTAGGTCAGAAGTCGTTATGATCTCAGGGACAGAGAGACGTACCTCGTAGAGGACAAGATAAGGGCGATGCCATGTCGGGAAGAGGATCGAGGAGTGAGTACAATATCCTGTTTCCTCATTTCCGGGAGTTGGAGTCACACCGCCCCAGGTTTGGTGAGGTATGCCGTGTATCCCTGGTTGACGTTGTTCGTTAGCATGACAGAAAGCACATGTGTAGCGTGTCAGCAGACAGAGAAGAATGGAGAGGGGGGAACCTCAAGTGTAACATAAGTACCAGTAATCCCGTACCACGACACCGGCGATGACTGGTCGGTGAACTGCATCAGACTGAGCCCCAGGATGTAGAGCGTCCATAGCTCTTTGTCCTGCTCGAGCTGACGGACTTCTTGTCGCAGTCGAATTGTCTCCCCGCCCTCTGCTCCCCTTACTACTGGCACCGGTTCTTGCGACGCGAGCTGGCGCTTTATGAGCTTTGCTGCGTCAAAGCCGTAGTCATATGTGCCATATTGTGCGAGAACGGAGTGCGCGGCGAGCAGGGCGAGGGATAGCAGGGCGATTGGCAACCGAAAACGTGCCATTGGCGTTGTCGCAATGCGGAAGTAGTGTTAATCTCGGTTGTCGCAATGATTGAGACGCAGTCTTTGCTCGGAGAGGAGCCAGTGAAGCGTGCGAAAGGTTGACCAGAAGGAGATTGGTCGAGAAAGATGTGAGCGAGGTAACGCACGTTGCGGGTGAATGGGAGAGACCGGAGAAGGGTGGGATGTAACCAAGGCGGTAATGAGCTGCGATTAGCTGAGGTATTTGGGTGTCGATGTAATCGTCGACGAAGTCCTTAAATGTCCCGAGCCAGAAAGGAGTGATGATGGTCGGGAATATGGCAAAATTGGGTGTGGCTCAAGTATGCTAATTAGGAGAAGTTGGCGAGATGGATTAGAAGAAAAGAAGAGAAAAGAATTCTGGAATCAGAACAAAAGAAAAGGCAGCAGCATATGAATCTTGAAGTACGAAACGAGTGAGTGATTACTGTTCCGGTCACGGTGGACAGTGGCTTTTTCTGATGTCAAGCATGCCCTGACTACCGGTAAAGACAAAGTACAGATTATGGTAGTAGACAAGGTACTCGACCCAAAACGCCAACACAGACGAAGCAGATGACTTGCGATCGCCAGTCAGAAATTGAACATGTCAGAGAAAAGTCTGAAACTGCCCGTGGGGAGGGAAAGCCAGCCAAGTGCCGTGGAGCCGAGCCGAACGTGATACTGACGATATGGAAGGGAAAGGACGAGAACTTCCTCAGAAGGAGCAGAGTGAGAGTGGAAGGTACAGAATTTTCACACTGGTTGACACAAGGAAGGTACAGATGGCAAAGAGATTGGGGGACCCGGATGCCGTGGTCGGAAGTCGGGCATCAGAGAGGAAGGTGAAACCCGACATCGGTACTGAAATTGCTCCTTCCTGGATGGGCGTGCTGCGTGTGAAGTGTCAGGTCACTGGCGGTAACTATCCGTATCAGTGTTGTATCCATTTCAGATGTCGTGTGATTTCAAGCTGGAGTGTCTCACCTGGAGATGGTAACAAACTGAAAATTACCCAGTTAAGTTCTGAATAGCTTCAAGATATCGAGTTCTTCACTCAAGGACAACACTTCCACTATGCTGCCAATCCCCTCACGAAATCCCATGCTTCAGATGCACCACCGTTGACACGCATACCTATCAATAGGGGTCACGGCAGCTATCCGATCGTGTTAAACACAATCTTGCGTCCTGGAGTCGTCTCCCGCCCTTGTGTTCAGGTACATCATTTCTCCTGTGCTACCGTCGAGTTTGCATTTGTCATCCAACCATTGCTTTGTGAGTGGCCTGTTGATGACGGGATTCAGCTCAGTTGCGATCGAAGCCAAACTCACTTGAGTATCCAACCACATGCTAATCCTGTTCATGGTTTCACGATGCCATGGGAATAAGAAAAGGTATACCGATATGACCGAAACATGAGAAAAAGAACATTCGAACATTGCAAAATACACTACCCTGACATACTCCCATGATGCTGCTAAACACATAAACCCTTACATGGAAACTTTTCTGTAACCTTTAACCAAACCCATCCATGTACCCCTTAAGCCGTCAACATCAACTCTCCCGCCTTCTTGGGTACCAACTGTCCCCTCCTAATCTCATCCTTCTTATCCACCTTATACTTCAACTTGATGCCCATAGCCGCCAGCTCCACATCCAGGTACTTGAGCGCACCCGGCACCGCCACGACGGTAGTATTCTCTCCACCAATCCACTGGGTACCGCTGCCATCTTCCCAAATCTCTCCGTCCATCTGCATAAGGTCCACATCCTCCATATCGTCCAGCCTGACCGCGCAGTTCCTGCACCTAACAGTGCTAACGGCCTTGCGCTTGCCGATGAATGGCGAGACGGTGGGTTGCGTGGAGAGGAAGGAGCCGCACTGACGGCACATCCAGCTCTTGGAGTAATCGGAGCAGTTGAGTAGACGGTCCTGAAGGAGGAACGAAGTACCGTGAGCGAGAAGAGCATCGCGCTCCATTTCACCGACACGGATACCACCACCCTTCTTACGACCCTTGATGGGTTGACCAGTCGTAGGCACGACGGGACCAGTGGTACGCACTTGGTACTTGTCGTTAACCATGTGACGCAGACGCTGGTAGTAGACGACACCGATGTAAATATCCGCTTGGAACTCCTCACCCGTGATACCGGAGTAGAGGGGCTCGTTGCCGTGGTAGTTGTATCCGGCCTTCTGGAGCTGGTGGCCGAAGTAATCGCCGGCAGTGTTTTGCTCGTCGAACTTGAAGGGGGTAGAGTCCTGCGCGAGACCATGCAGGGCGCCAGACTTGCCGGCTAGCGACTCGACGAACATGCCGATGGTCATGCGCGACGGGAAAGCGTGAGGGTTGATGATGACATCGGGCTGGATGCCGGTTTCGGAGAAGGGCATGTCGGTGGCGGGCCACTTTTGCGAGAGCACACCCTTTTGACCGTGACGAGACGAGAACTTGTCACCAATGACGGGGGAACGGGGAATGCGCAACTTGATGGAGACGGTCTGCAGGGGCTCGGTGCCATTGTCGGCGCCGATGACGCGGACTTCCTCTACGAAGGCGTCTTCCGAGTCCTTGTACCGCTCGTAGTGGGTGACGCCGTCGCGGTTGACGAGCTGGCCGTTGTAGTCGGCGGAAACGGTGTGCCACGCGCAGATGACGTCGCCCTCACGGAGCAGACGGCCGACGCGAGGGAGACCATCGTTGTCGAGCACGTCGCGGGTGGACTCCCGGATGGTGCTGTTGGGCGCAAAGCCGAACATCTTGACGATGCTCTTGGCCGAGCGTGTCCTGCTGTCATCCTTGAGACTGACCTTCTTGGTCTTGTAGATGCTACCGTGACCAAATCCTCTCTCGTGTGCCGACTTGTTGAGAATCATGGCGTCATCCATGTCGTAACCGGTGTACGAGATGACAGCGACGACGGCGTTCATGCCGTTGGGGAAGTTGTCGAAACCGTACGTGTTGTGCAGAGGTGCGCGGACAATAGGCGTCTGACCCGTCTGGAGACGGTACATCTTGTTGTCCGTACGGTGGGCGAGAGCCGTTGCTGGTGTACCCATAGTTTGCTTACCCATCTGACACTGGTACATGTTACGGGGAGACTGGTTGAAGTCGGAGAAGGGGGTCATGTTGGCGAGGATGGAGAGGATATTAGTAGGATCGAACTCCACGTGGGTTGAATCCCCGGGGATGACCTCCTGCTCCGTGCAGGCAATCGACATGTAAGGCTGCTCCTGAGGACCGACAAAGTCCTCCTTCTGCAGAGGAAGGTACTTGACGGGACGGACCATACGAGCGGGCTGAGAGGACATGTAGAGACCGGGGTAAGAACCGCCGTTGGAAGGAGGGACGTAGCCGATCTCGAGCTGAAGAGGCACGCCGTTCTCGCCGTTGACCTTCCAGTAACGGAGAGTCTCGGCAATAGACTTGCACTCCTCAGGGGTACACCAGCCGACGATCCTGCCATCGAGCATGACGACCACACTCTCGCTGGTGGCAGCCGAGGAGATGTTGACAACGCCGAGCTCGAAAGCCAGACGAGGGATGGTAGAGGCGTCTACAGACTCCGTCATGATCTTGCACTTGTGGGCCAAATGGTTGAGAAGACCGCAAGGAGAACCATCAGGAGTGTGGACAGGGCAGAGGAAACCCCACGATTCGGGCAAAAGCTTACGGACCGTTGTTGTCTTGAGCTGGGCGAAGAAGGAACCACGATGCACCATGCGGAAGTGACTGATGAAACGCAGGAAGTTGAGCTTCTCGGCAACGACGGTGAAGCCGGACACCTGCTGCAAATCGAGACCGGAGGGAGACACAAGGTTGCCGGTAGACAAGAAGTACTCGAGCGATTGACCAATGTTTTCGTTGGCCCTGCGGAAGATGGCGATAGGGAAGTCCTTGAGGAAAGTGTCGGACTGGAATGATACCGTGGGGTTCCTCCTGAGGTAGTCGCGAAGGGAGCCACGGAAGGAAACGGTCAACAGCTCCTCGAGTCTCTCCTTGATGATCTGGCCGTAGAGGAAACCACCCAGGAGAATCTCCTGATTCTGGACGGCATCGGGGTTGTCGACAGCGCAGTCACCGGCGACGAGAGCGTACAGCTTGCGGCACATGAAGAGCAGCATGTTGAACTTGTCGGCATCCTGCTGCTCGGTGACGTCCTGGCAGCCGAGATGGACAAGAACAATCTTGCGGAGGAACTCTGTGCCGACCTCGTAGTCGGACATGTTGTCGGGGACGCCGAGAACGACGCGGAACTTTTGGCCGAGGTACGCGCGAGTCTGGGTCTTGCTGTAAAGGCCGTATTTCTTGTAGGTGCGGAGGAGGAGTTCGACGCGATCGGTCAAGAAGGTGTTGGCGACGCCCTTGGACTGGGGTGGGCCGACGAGACCCTCGAAGATTTCCCGATCGTTTGTCTCAACAAGGGCCTTCATGATCATCATGACGGGGATGAGGAACTCGTTCTTTCTCCACGAGAAGCGGAAGGTGACATTGCCGTCGGAGAGGTAGTGGAGGACGTTGGTCTGGGAGGTCTCGTCAGGGCGGACGGATCGCATTATGATACCGTACGGGGTGTAGGCGGCGCCTCTGTTCTGGAAACTGGGACGGACGATGGCGAGCGGGAAGTTTCTCCGGTTGACGAGGAGCATGCGGATGAGCTTTTCGATACCGTTGACGACGAAGTAGCCGCCCAACTCTTCGGACTCTTCCTTTCTGGCCACCAGCTGGGCAGGGGAGTTGTTTTGGAGGTGGCACTTGTTGGACTGTTTTTGACCACCAAATTGTTAGACATATTACTTTTACATCTCCGTCTTCAAGCGTTTCCAAGGGTCTCTAGGCTCAAGGCTTACCTTGACCATGATGGGCATCTGGCCGAGCTCGCGCACAAACTCGTGAGGCTCGCCATCGTTGATGCGATACTCAAAGGTGGCCGACAGCTTGCCCCTGTATGAGACATGTCGTTCTCTGCACTCGGCCGGGAAGATTTCGCGATTCTTGGCCCAGCGGTTGGTGGGCGGGACCTGAGACTTTTGCAGCTCGATGCTCTTGTAGCGGATGGTGAGCTTGTTTTTTCCGGCGGGATCAGCGCGCTCGTCGCCGTCTAGGAATGTCTTGGTGCCAATCTCGGCCAGGGCGTGGTCGAGGAGGGAGGGCTTGCCATCGTCGCGGAAGAGGGCGTTGAAGGACTCGATGTGGGGGTCGACGGCGGCCTGGAGGGCGGGATAGGCGGTGCGGTCGGTCGGGGGGTCTCGGAAGAGCTTCTCGCGGCGGACCTGGTCGAACTTGACGTCCCAGTCCTGGTTTGTGGACTGTTGTTGGGGAGCCATTGTGGCGTGTGGT